CTTCCGCGAGCGGCCGGCTTGTGGCGGCATCCTCTCATCGCACGGAGATGGCAGAAACCTGCGATACGTGGCGCGAGGCGTCGGAGGGGAACTAAAATAAAGAGAGGTTCCTACTGGCCATCTCGCCCAGGCTATATATGTAGCTAGTTTCTGCCGTGGCATGCCGCCGAACAGGAGAGAGGGCATCCCAGCCGGCGATCGACGGCCGGGTAATTTTAGAAGGCGAATGAATATTCGTCGTGATTCAGGAGCTGAGAGGCGAGGTAGGCAGCTGAGCCGAGGAGTCTCCCGACGATGTCTCACGAGACCACCGAAAGACCACCGGGTTTCTTTGCCCGTGCCTGAGGTCTAGCGGAGTCGCACCACACACCACACACTACACTAGGCCACGCAGGACCTAGACCAGGGCCGTAGCAACACTGAGAGCTCATCCGACGAAGCGAAAGAACAGAAGGGGGGCTGGTGATGGCCAGGCCCAGCAAATTGCATACCTGGTGCAGGACATTACCTTGACCGTCCCAGGTAAGCGACGGCCAGATGGGATGATGGGGGGGGGGGAGGGGAAACGGGTTGATATGGCTGTATGCAGTGACATTAGGGGCATGTATGTATGCAAAGCATAATATGCTGTGGGTATGGGTGTGCGTGTGCGTGTGCGTGTGTAGGTGCGTGAATGTATCTAGATGGATTGGATGGTTGGATGGTTGGATGTAGGTATGTATGTACGATGGTGAGGGGTAGAAGCGATCGGTATCGTCACCTCGCCTTGTGTAGCACGCAAAGATTTCAATGGGCAAAATGCAAGATTGACTGGGCGATGAACGATAATCGTGCTACTGGACGGAGAGCTGTCTCCTAATACGCATGTGGGTGCGTACGGGCCCGGAGCAGGATCTCGCGAGGTTCAAAGGCGAAGCCGTCGAAGATGATGAAACGTTGTATCGAATCCCAAGGCAGTTGTTGACCGCCAGAGATGCAAGCATAATACAGCTGGACGACGAGAGGAAAGGAAAAGTATGGACAGCGAGAGAGAGAGATGGCGGGGGAGATGAGGGGGTGAAAAAAAAAAAATTTTAGGGTAGCCCGATGACTTCACTCGTCACTGGATAGGGCGTAGATGGAGAGATTTATCGGGGCGAGCAGCGCCATAACACCGATCTTGCTGTGGCGGCAATACAGACGGTAGTAATGATGCCCGATACATTAGGTACCTACCGAGGTAGGTGGTGCGGCGATCGCTGATCCGCCCTGTGAACGATTTCCATTGTAGGGGCTTCGTTAGACTACATCCGTCCTGAGGTTAGGTACCTGAAGTGGTGGGAGCACTGCGTTAGGTGGGTAGGTACCTACCTACCTAGGTAGGTAACCCAGGGATAGTAAAGGCGTAGGTACCTGGTAGACAGGCCAGGCCTACCCCTAAACATCCAGGTACCTAGTACTGAAAGGTAATCGCATTGCTTCTAGGTAGGCTGTGTTAGCGACCTTAGGTACTTCCATCTACCTGGTCGGCAGGCTCAAGGAGAAAAAACTTGGGCCAAGGCAGGGGGTGGGGTTCCGTCCCTCTTCCATGACGGAAGTCCTTCCAGGGAGGGCGTTTCTAAGAATAGATCTAACCTACGCACTACAGCATTCTTGGTTAGGACCGTGCTTACCCGACTGACAGGTCAAGTCCTGGAAGTATTCCACTGGTTCCGTCCCGTACATCGTGTCCCCGCAGCGTTGTGCTAAGGGAAACGAGTGCCCAACGTGCCTTGACTCGTTCCGAAGGGGCAATTTAGGTTGTTAAGGGTCCCGTCGATCTTGGGAACAGTTCCATCCGGTTGAAGTTTTTTTCCTCCCACGTCGCCCTTTTTTTATTTCATCCTCACGCTTTGATATGGGCGCGGACGGATGTACCTCGTGCGATGGGGCGGGTCATGTGGCTAACTTGTGAGAAGTTGAGGCTCAGGTGGCCCCCTTCAAAAGGTACCAGTAGCGAAGTAAGGTTGGCAAGGGGGGCGGGGGAAGAAATGGTCCCCGTCCGAATGAACCATACCCTTTCGGTTCGTCCTGCCGATGGCGTGGCGAAGCCCGTCCCATATGTACATGCGATTCATTTCAACTCGGCGTCATAGCTTTTGGGGAGGTGGAGAAAAGGGGTGGTGAAAATGCATTACATAACCACGGGGAATAGAGGTATATACATACGTACTTACATACCTAGGCAGGGAGTTGGGAGTTGGAGATGAGGATGGCATCTGAAGTACCTTGGGTAGCCTATCCGACTATTGTTCGAATGTATGAAGCGGAGCGGCGCCGGGCGGGGGCGGCTTCGATGAAAATACTACGTGGCTACCATTGTTGAGGGTTGTGGTATCCAATCGTCGTGTAATAGCAGTGATGAGTCCCAGAGTTTGGGAGATCATGATCAATTGCATGACAACTGATGCACACGGGATGATCCATACCGAGGCAGGTCGTGCTAGTACTTGGCATCAAGGACGAACCTCAGTGCCGGTTCCGTTATATAGCCAACCCAAGTGACAGCGACAACACGGGGACGCGGTAAAAGCAGGCAGCTTATTGTAAGGGGTTAAAGGGGAGGTGCAGGAGGGACACGGCGATGTTTACATCACATACATACTACCTCCTACCTACATACTACGTAGCACACCACGCGTTGCTAGTAGTCTCGTACGTAGTAGCTCAGTCAATCCCATAGGAGAAGCGAAACCCGTTGTTCAGGGCCCCAGCTAAAGGTGGGAGCTGGGGGTGAGAGTCTTGGCCCAGGACAAGGATGAGGCTGTGCTGGCGTAGACGGACGTGGCACCGGCTCGCCAATCAATCAATATGAGAACGATTAAATCAGCGGGTATGCTCTGGTCCAACATGGTTCGATTATTTTCACCGCTGACCGAAGGAGACTTGTTTGAAGAAACCCTCTCCCATTGTCAATAGGCTATTACCACCACCTCCTATGCATAACTGGGCTCAGCTGGGTTTAGCGTTGCTATGCGGTATGCACAATTCCTAGCTCAACACCACACGGATTATGCACAGCCCCAGTATGTAGGTAACCTAGGTAGGTATTACCCGACGGTATAATCGCAACACACCTGGAAGCTTACATAACGACGCGAGAATCAACATGGTAGGTACTACTTATGGATATTAGGAGTCTGGGAAGTCCGCGGTGGGCAGAGAGAGTCTTACGGGTAGTCATCGTCATTGCTAGACCCCTTGGCTTGGATAGGGTCCCATCCCCTACCCTAAGGCTGCAAACGCATTAACTACAACACCCGCAGTGGTAAACGTCCTAGCCGACTTGGATTGGGGAGTTGAGAATTAGGTATGTACGGATGGAGGTAAAAGGCAGGCACGCATCTCCCTAGATAAACCGTAACAGTTCCGTCCGTACTAGTAGTACAGCAACTTACATAGTATGTGCCTAGTTAATATGGCTTTAAGGCTCAATAGGCCAGGCTGATAGGGCCGCCTTAACAGAGACGGAGTTGCGCTCGAGAGCGACGACGTTAAAGGGTTCATGGCTCAGGGCTGCTCAGGGCTCCGGGGAGGGGAAGGGGAGGGGCAACCAGGGGTGAGGATGCGCGGCGCGGCGGATCCAGGGGAGGGAAGGGGAAGGACATCCCCCCCCCCCCCCGGTCCCCCGTCAATTCACACGTTCCGCAGCAAGCCTATCTGGGTAGACGGTGGGCATGCAGCCCACTCGAGATGGGCTCCAAAAATGGACACGAGAAACTGCTGTTTCAGCCAACCAGGTCTAACATGGCGGCATGGGCTCGACGCTTCAAGATCGGGCATTGCAGAATACCCTTGCGACATTCCCCGTCAGCCATGAGGAAACCACGATGAATGAAGAATGAGATGAACGACGAGCGACTATGCGCGAAAACTGATGATCCAGCCGGCAGGGCAGGGCTTATATTGTATGTATGCGTTCTTAGGTAGGCAGGCAGGTAGGTAGGTAGGTAAGGTATTTGCCCAACGTTGCCCGCTCTGGTCCAACTAAGGTACGTCAAGGTCTAGCTGAGTGGAGAGGACCACTGCTCTGGAGATTATTACATACATACAGATGCCAATCTGGCTTGACGATGCCACATATGTATGTATATAGGTATGCATGTACGCATGCGCGCGTGTAGGAGTACCCGTTTGGAGGCAGCTGACAAATTGTGAGGCTCCGAACGAGTTGGCGCGACAGGTTGTCAGTTCCAGTCTCGCCTATCTCCAGCATCTACCTGATCCTGAGATATTTACCCTTTCCGCTGTGCATGCCTGGCTACGGACAATTGAGACGGAGGAAACGCGAGAAGGAAGAGAGGGGAGCGAAACGAAGAACAGGGAGGAGGCGGAATCCACCTTGGCACGACGGTAGGTAGGTGCGTAGCAATGTGCGAGCGAGGTATTGCCGGGCTATGCCTCCCTATTATCCCCGTCCCCGATAGCTGGGCGCGGATGCTCCGTTCGGAGCGGAACTCTCTTCGGGCACGTCAGTGTAGAGGTACCTACCTGCCTAAGGTATGGGTATGGGCTAAGGCGCTTCGCCTGGGCAGAGATACCAGGTACCTCGGTGGGCGGGATTCCCACGCTCCGTCAGTGCGTCCGCGCATCGAGCTGCTGTTTTTGCGTGTTTTGTTCTGACTTGGCGGCGGCCTGGGAAATCCCTAGCGGCGTAAGGTTCTGATTCGGCAGGCCGAGCGACCCGTCGACAGCATCATGTACTCTACTCATAAGTACGTACACGGCCTAGGCCAGCGAGGTCGTGAGGGCACTTTGGTCCGGGCGGCGGCATGCATGTACAGGCCTTGTACTGGACGTACGTACAGATGTACAGTAAGGAGGTGCCCGGCGTAGCCACGTCCGTGCTCTTGGTCGGGGATGAGGTGGGTCGGAGAGGAGACAGGGCCCCCTTTCAGTACATCGAAACCGATGTAACTCGACTTCAACGCTACGTCGGCGCACCACCACCAGGGAGAACGTTACTAGGCCAGTGTGGAGCGCTAAAACGGCAGAACTTCGATTTTTCCCTTGGAAATCGGCTATGACGTTGTTTCTACGGCGCTTTGTCGTAGAGCGGCCTCGGCACTTGCATGGTTGCTACTTGATGTGCTTCTCATCTAGAAACACTTAAACCTACCAACAGCTTCTCCCCTCTCGAGCGAGGCGGGCCAAGCCAGACTTCGAGGACCGACCCTGCCCGATGCAACTTTCTTCCTCCCCTCCCCTCCGCTCCCCCCTGGCTCTCGTCCGACTCTTATCGCTACTACTTTGGTTAGCTTGGCTGGGAATGCGGTTGTCACGGTTTTCCCGTCTGTTCTTTGTGACGGACATCGGGATTGCTGGCTGGAGGGCAGCCACCCCGTAGGCCGCGCTCGCCTGAGGTTTAGGCGTGCGCCCTTCCACCTGAAACTGCTGGCTCTCTGCGCTGTGATTCTCCTAGACACTGGTCTTGGCGGATTTCCCGTGCCCCCTCGGGTTGTTTGTTGTGCGTGACAGGATCCGTCGCGATCCCTAGCAGAAGGGAGTAGAGTAGGACAGGTACTTGCCGAGTCCAGGCCACAAGCCGAGTTTCCGGCAATATTGGGTCGACGCCTCAACAAGCTTCGCAGGATTCCTACGCAGGTCTTTCTCGTCCGCGAGCGGGTTTGCTCCGGGCTCCCCAGACCGCGTCGGTCAGTGCACCGTCCAGAGCACGACTCAGACAGGCCCGTTAAAGTCGGACGATCCCCGGGAACCATGCCCAAACTGGCCCGGGTACCAGTACGCTGAGGACTACTTAAATTCTGTGCGGTCCTGGTGTGCGAACCGGTCAGTCTGCGGCCATCATAGGACCCGGAGGTATTGTACGTGTGGGTGGGGGTAGCAGAGATACTACTAGTATGTACATGACACGCATTTCTCGACAGCCCTTGGGAGAAATTCCTACGTGCTAGGTCTCAATACAGTCTGGCGGCGACGCATGTCACCACACCATTCTGGTAGGAGGTTAGCATGTCATCAAGGTGTCTTGTGATGATGTGTGGAGGTGAGTTGGGGGTTGGCATCTCGCATCCTCTGCCGACTACCGGTGACCTTGCCGGCCGTGACCAGACCACGATCGGTGCTGTTCAGTGCAGAAGGCCATTGCTTCCCCATGCTCCCCTTGCTCGCCCACGCTACCACGGTGCTAGATGCAAGAGGGCAGGCCGTCACTCGAGCGATGGCTGGACGGGCCTTCGCAGGGCCCTTCATATCTGGCCTAGGGTGGCTGGGTTGGATGGTTGTGTGTGTGTGTGATACCTACCTGGACCTATATCCACACACACCTACACCCAACATACACATACACATACATATAATACATACAGATATGTACACGCATATGTTAGGTACGGTCCAGTCTGGAGCTCGAGTGGGACCGGAGCTTCACAGCCCCGCTGCGCTGACATGGCCAACAGCCAGTCGTTGGTTTCGGGCTCTCTCGTCCAGTCTATGATGTACGTCTAGACTCCAGCGCAGAATCGACGAGAAAGCGCCGACGGTATGACGGAGTCACCTTTCAATATAAGGCGCCGCTCGATCAACTACACGTGTAGGTCTATTCGCTGCGGGCATTGCCGCCTTTATCACCTGGGATCGTTTTGTTCCTCTTCCCCTTCCTATCGGACTCGTTCTCGCTCGCTCGCCTCCCCCTTTGAGGATGGGGGGTGCTGGGGCGATGCCGACCTCGCGCTAGGCAAACGCATCCGTGAAGTTTTGTCATGGGATATGGGATTTCGAGAAACTCCCGTCGTCGATGCGGGTCTCTACCTAGGTACCTACCTGACCTTAGGCACCTAACACAACCTACCTAAATCGCTTAGGTACCTAAGCTAGGTAATGCATGCACAAACTATAGGCAGCTACATATCTGTATCTTAGGTACCTGCCTGTATGTGCTAGACTAACTTCCATTTCACTTGGCTTACGGACAGAGAGAGATCGCAGTACATAAGCCGCCCCTCTCACTACCTCACATGACTACCTGGGTACCTACATCCGCTGCACAGCCTCCATAACAGGTAGGCACTATATGGTGTACTTGATGTAGGGAGGTAAGTATCTGTTTTCTGCATGCGTGTACCAATTAGCATGTACTCCCGTCCATCGAGGTAGGGGATCTCCAGTCCGATGGGGCCGAGCATTTGGCTTCGCCTCTGTCGCCTCTGGGCTGACTCCCTTTGGGGTTACCTATCTGTATGTAGGCTCTGAGAGAGAGTGTGTGCCACATGTACCGAGGAGCTGCCCATGGATCAGGGTGTTGACTGAGATCATGGAACGGTGAGCAGCGGCCGATGTCACGGCTAGCGCACTCTGGCAGGTCTTTTCCATCGCAACACTCCCCCCCCTTCTTCCCGCATCATAGTAGTAACTCGCAACGAGACACGCACACCACGCACACACAGACACACGGGGCGCGAGGGCAGGCGTACATATCTGCATCCCATACCCCTCGATCATACAGTAGCACGTCGAGGCCAGCCACGACAAAGATATGTGCACGCCTGCTGTACGTACCACGTAGTATGTGCGCTGGAAGCAGCCCGAGCGCTTAGACCCGTGCTTAGGCGTGTCCGTGGTAGACCGGTTCATACGATGCCAACTCCCTTCGAGATCGGCTCGAGCCACCAAAGAGACACTAACCCGGCAGTCAACCAGAGCATACCCTGAGCGTCAGGTATGTGTCCATGTTGGGTTGGTAGGAACAAGCACATGGGCGTTGCTGTAGCTTGCACGACGAGCCAAACTAGATGCGCATTAGCAACCCCAAAGATGCCACCAGGCTGGGGGTTCCTTGGTATCGATCCCACAGTTGCATCGTTCGATGATGGTGGTGACGGGGAGCTGGCGGATGGGATTGGCCGGGCCAGTGGCCGCTGGACTGCTTCTCTGCTTTGGGGGTTCTGTCCTTCGCGCTCTCTCTCTATTTTTTAATTCCCTCCTACCCTACTTTATTTATTTTACCTCTTAGTGACTACTGTTTATCTCATCTTCTTCCCGCAACTTGTCGTGGCTAACGGCAAGCATGGTGGAGGCACATATCCAGGTGTAATAGGCTACCTGCCATGCGCATAATCCGCATATCTATATATATATATATATGGGTGTTTATTTATCTCATCTGCCTTTCGATCTAGTTGGCCCGACCCGAGGACGACGACTTGGCCGAGGACCTATGGGAGACGCAACATCGGAGGGCCCTGTAGGTACCGGGATGGGAGTTTGCTAGTAGGCATTGGATGAGCTGTTCGGTTCGCTGGTCTTGTGCAGCGAACTTTCCGTTGCGTACCTACCTAAGGTAGGCAGGTACCTGTGTACTACTACCGCGGGCGTCTTAGGTTAGGTAATGCATTATACATGGCCTCTGCTTCCTACAGACACCCTCTCCTCTTTTTTTTTTTTAATAAATATTTTTAATAATAATCATAATAATTTCTCCGTGCTAGCAGCCACTAGTCTGCTGTGCCGGTGCTTTGTACCCGTCAAGGGATGTCGATGTACATTAGGTACTTCAGGTCAGTGAGAGCGTTCCATCCATTTGCCTCATGGTGCCCTGCCCCCACCTGTTGCAGGTCCGCCACGGACGTATGTACATAGGTACACAGCTCGCTGTACTCTGTTTCCCCTTGTGGAAAGTCGCCCTCTTCATGGTCGCCCGTGCACAGTGCACTCCCCTCCCCTCCCCTCCCCTCCGTCTCTACCTGGTACATGGACGTCGGCCCAACGAGGGCCTGGTGTAGGTACCCTGGGTACCTACCTCTCTCCCCGTCTCTGCCGACTGGCTGCGGCACAGGTACCTACCTGCCCGCCTGCTAACCCCAGGCTTCCAAAGTACCTGCTAGCCTGCCGGGCCTGTGCCTACAGGTACCCTGCCCTGCCTCGCCCTGCCTTGCCTTGGGTACTACCACTAGCTTTACACAGGAACCCGTCTCTGGGTAGTTGTTAAATATCCCTCCGCCTCCCCCCCCATCGCCTTTCTCCATTCTATTAGTCTCCCATCAACAAACTGCTCCCAGCTCATAGCTGCCTCTACCCTCAACCACACACTCGCTTTTCACCTCACCTCCCCTTTAGGAAGTCCTCGTTGGCTCCTGTCATTCGCTTTTTCCTTTTTGTGTGTTTGGAGATTTCGGACTCGAAGGATCCTCCCGTCAATCGTGAACCGACGACTCTCTCCCGCCTTGTCACCCCATGCCAATAAAGCTGCTGCTCTAAAAGTCCACCCAGCTGCTGATAGTCTTCGCCCGTTGACATCGCACCTCGTTCTAGAAGAGTCCGTCCGCCATCGTTGCCCTGTACTCCGAGTCTCGAACAGAATTATTCAATCGCTTAAAACACCGGGAAGGGAACACCACCCCATCAAGACAGTCGACAGTCAGGCCTTGTGAAGTAGCAGCGACGTCTAGCATCTGTCTTATAGCACTTGTGCGCGCCTGTATAACCCGTATACCCCGCCAGACTCGAGTCCCGGATAAGACGAGCTATTCAAGAGACACGCTCTCGCCACACGCATCTCCATATATGTGTTGATACGTGCGACCTGTCTGCCACTCCCGCCTCGATCCAACCCATCCGAATAGGAGGCAACCCCTATATCAACCTCCCAGCTGCCGTCTAGGAAGGTCTCGCAAACCTAGCTCCGCTCCTCTCACACCCATTCGCTCGCTTTAGTTGGCACGAAGTCCCTTTTCGTGCCTTGCTTCGTGTAAGTCCCCGTCTCTCAGCTCGGTCCAGCAGTCGATCCGCTGTAGTAGATGTTGCATAGTCATACTAATGGATCGATGGCAGTTCCTTCGTTTTTTTCTTCGTATTCCTCTACAGCATTTCCAATGGCTGGCCCAGGTGGTGGTCCCCCGCGACGCAGGTTTGTTTGCCCCTATACGAACTGGGGCTGCTTTCGGAGCAGACGTGCTAATTTGCTATATATAGCCACACCAAGTCGCGCAAGGGCTGCGATAACTGGTATGTATCGCTTGTAGTGGGTCGGATCGAGCGGGATAGCGGGAACTGACCGATCTATAGCAAACGTCGGCACATCCGATGCGACGAGAACTTCCCCCAATGGTATGCGGTATGCCCTCGTCAGGATGCCATGTAGCTTGCTAACCCCCCCGGGCAGCCGTAACTGCACCAAGCACAAGGTCCGGTGCCCGTATAACGATGTACCCGTCCCGGATGAGAGAGCGTCGACTCCTGACAAGCCCGATCTCATGTGGACTCGTGACATTGAGGTCTCCATCGAGCAGTGGCAGCGAACTGGAATCTTCCCGTTCCCGAGCCTCAACATCTACCCTGCTCCGGCTCCGGAGTACTTCTCTCTGGAGGACCTCCGCTTGATCTTTCACGTTGCTGCTATCTGCGATGAGATGAGTGCCATGGATGCCAACGGGTTCACCCTCTGGACCCGCCAGATTCCCATGTAAGGATTTATACTGCCTGTGAGAATTAGAGCGTTGTAGGCTAACTAGCTTGACAGAATCCTCAAGATCGGTGCTACTCATGGCTACGTGATGCATGCCCTGCTCGCCTTCTCTGCCGAGCACATTGCCTTCTTGACAAACTGCCCGCATGTGGGCAGCATGGCCTACGAGCACCGCGGCATCGCACTCAAGGGATTGCAGGGGGCCATCGGGACCTTCTCGCAGGAAAACTCGGACGCCGTTCTGGCTGCCTCACTTGTGCTCTCGTGGCAGGCCACAGATTGGTGAGCAACACAATGCACGTACCCGACGAACGGCCACTGATTCGATGAAATGATAGGCGAAGCTGGACCCAGCTGATGCAAGGGACCTCATCCGTAAGTTCACGTCTACGCGTGCCCAAGACGAGCCGTGGCTGACTTGAGTTGCTGAAGGTGATCGACGCTATGGATCCTTGGAAGCACGAGTCCCAATTCGGGGAGTTCATTGCCGAAAGTAGCACGTTCCCTACCGCACCCCCGTCCCCGACGCCGGATCACAAACCCCACCAGCCGCGCAAGGAGGACCTCGAGGCGTTCCAGCGCATCATCAACCAGCTTACCAAGGTTGAGGCTCACCTGAAGCAGAACAAGGAAGACCCTCAGCTGGCGACGCAGCTGGTGTGCTTCCTCAAAGGCGCCCGCAAAGTCAGCCCGATCCAGTCTATCGAGGACCAATTTGATCGCCTGCGGCCGCTCAGGACTTGGCTCTTCTGGCTTCCTGTTATGTGCTTCAAGCAGAACGGCACATCCCCGAGTGCCTTGGTCGTCATTGCTCACTACTATGCTGCCGCCATCATGATGGAACGCCTCTTCCCGGAGATCGGCGCAGCTTACTTCGGCAGCCTCGCCATCGGGCCGGTGGAAGAGATCGCGCGCCGCCTACTCTCGATCAACGTTTCCGGAAGCCTCGATGGAGACTCGCAGACACCGCTCACCCTTATGGAATTCCCCATCGACACGGTTAATGAGTTCCGATCGCGCATGGGCTGGGTTCACCCGGTTCGTACGCCTTCGTTCCCGCAGTTCGACCCGCCCAATTTCTACATGAGCGAGAGCATGCCGCACGGGACGCCGCCCGCCGCTGCTTCATACTTGCCCTACGGAGACAACCCAGCGTTCAGCTGGAGCACCGAAGACCTCTCCGTCATGGGGCCCGAGCAGGAGTCTGGCAGCGCGGTCAGCCCGCTGGCCATCTCTTCGCCGTACCCGAGCCAGCAGTATCTCAACATCCCGTCGCCGTCGTACGGGGGTTACAGCCCGGTGTCCTCTACGTTTGGTGAAGGCTCCCTTGGGTACAGCGACCATGAAGAGTTCGGGTCGTGGGATACGGGATTGACGGTTTATCCGCCTCTCGGCTCTGCTGGGCCCAGCAACTTTGGTGTCGGGTTCGTCTCTCCAATCCAGGCCGTGTGGATCTAAACTGTCAGGATTCCCACATTGGCTCCCCGTCCCGACATGGAAGAGGAACACAAGTGATTGACCATACCGCTCAGGAACACCAATTCACACCACCACCATTCTGCGTCTGCATCCTCGAGGTACTTCTCGCCTGGCATCCCTACGCAACAGGAGTCCACCGCTCTGCGTCCTGTCAGCTTCCACGACGCGCCTTCACCTTTCCTCAATCCCGAGCAATGGTCCGGCGCTCACGCTGAGTCCACCACTCCTCTGTCGCTCTCCGCACCGTCACCCACCTTCTTATCGTCCCAGATGTTTCCGCACCATCATCGGCAGAGCTGCTCGGTCTCTTCAGCTCCCGTTCAAATCAAGAGGGAGCCACTTATGGAATGACGGGCCCCGAGATCACCCACCGCACCACGATTTGCTTCGCACTTCTCCCGAAAGTGCGCGCCTTGATTTACTTTTCCCTTCATCCCGCCACAGACGCCATCGCAACTCGCACCCCTTACGCCGACAGGATTTATCGGCAGCGAAAACCCTCACATGTCTACTATCGACACAATGATACCCACGGTCCTTATGTTACTCGAAACGCATAATACATATTGCATAATGAACAAGCTTATGACGCTCCTTACGACACCACTCAAGATACCCAATTAGACGCTCCTTTTTTTGCATCGCAAGATACCACAACACATAGACCGACCGTTTTCACTCCTTACGATTTCACGACGATTTCTATACACCCGGAATAGAATCTCATCCACTCCTTTTGGACCTTGCATGGTTTTGAGTTATCAGGATACCCACATCACCATTTTACCAAATTGCATAGCGACTGTTGCACCTTTTTCACCCGGGAACAAATCTCTCGACGACCTCGCGGGCGGTCTGTCACATGCATTGGGACGGCGTTTCTTGTCTTGATTTTTTTTTTTTTTGGAATTGGTCTTTTTTGTGTTTTATCCTCCGGCCCAAGTCGGAAGACGAGGAATCTTAATGGGCTCTCCCGTCTACAACGGAGAATTGGTTACGATGGTATAATATATCGAACCGGATGGGGCATCTATGCCCGTGCTAGGACAGGACACGTGGGAGTTTTAACCGGCGTTATTTGGTTTAGGGCCGCAAAAGTCTGGGGGGAAGATTCAAGAAACGAGGGTTCGAAACTGGAGCGTGTAGTTATCGCTTGTTGCTTCATTGCTCGGAGGATACGAGCAGTTGATGCTTGCAACAACACGAACCATTGCCGTGCTTACCTTGGGTGCTAGCAGATAAGGACACAGGCGAAGTTCGTCAAGCGGATAACTAATCTTAATTTTAATACTATGCATCTCAATTTCTATGAATAACCTCAATATTCATTTCCCTGCTGCGTGGGTCGGTCCCTTTCTCGACGGCACCGCTTGAGAATGCCTCGGAGAGAGGCTGCATTGGGGGTTATCTTAAGACCAACTTGAGCTCGGTAATGCAAGTGAAAAAGACAGACCACGTAGGTACCTACTTACGGGCTGACCCAAGCACATCTCCTAGTAAGTGATTTTCCCTCCCCTCCCCTTTCACTTAAACGGGACAAGGCACGCCACATAGGTCACGACGCGACTGGTTGGTCTAGCCCTGGGGATTTCACCTACCTACCTCGCCTGGTTAGCCGAATTGGGATGATCTGTGGTCTGTCTTGCTTCCTAGCCTCGATTCCTTGGGTCCAGCACTGCCTTCTCACGCCAACAAGTTCGCCATAGCATCACGACGTCGGGGGTTCAGTAACAGCACTAGATATGCTTCGGTATACCTGTTGGATCCAGCCGATTGAACGCAGAAATTCCCAGCTCCGTCGTGCCGAGGACCACCCAACCAATCATCGATCGCAACAGGGGTCAGCTCCAGTATACGAGGTCCCCGACCTTGAGGCTGGGTGAGGTTGATCTATTCTTAGATTTATGCGGTGCACTGAGAACGGGCGACTGGTGAAGGGTGAACCAATTATTCCAACCGGGTATGTCAATTATCGTCCCCAGCTGTAACACGCGATTCTATACCATCGGGGGATAAATTATTGTTGCCTCCTCCTTATCCTAGGTATGCTAACTTTGGTCGATAGAAGATCGATGTAATATTCCCCTCCAGAATAGCCTATGCTGCTCGACAGCCGCCATACCCAAGAGAGTTACTACTACCGTTCAGCATAGCCAGCACGCAAATACCGGATGCTATTGGTACGTCGAGGCGACTGCGGGATGCCGAAAGGAGAGGTGGAGACGGAAAAGGGGGTCATGCCGTCCATCGGCGACAAAATAATGACAGCCCATGTTACAGGACCCCGAACCCGAACCACGAACCTTCTCAAGTCGTAAACATGCCAGCAAACGAAAACCTCAGCAGTCCCCCGGCGGCCTCGCAGCTCGTTGGTACGATTTCATCATCACGGCCAGTAGCCGGACGATGCTTCTGTTCCCTGGCGTCGTCGCCATTCCCACTACTAGAGCATAATAGGCTCCCTATGTTAACCACTGGGGTCAGATTGTATCTTATTTTATTTACTCCTAGGACAACATGGCTAACCTTTTCTAGAAGCCGTACGGACAAGAGCGTCACGGGTGCCCGTCGCATCACATGGGAAGACAGAAGTGTACGTAAATCTAGATCTCGCTTGCCTAAAGAACACCGCAGAAGAACCCGCTGTGCCTGGCTGGGGACCCGTCCCATTAGGCGGTCTCCCATGGCTCGCTCTGCTCAGAAAACAACATGATATTTATTTTATCTACCCCTTCCCTCTCCCCTCTCCCTTCCCCTTCTGCCCTAGGCTAAGCCTTAGGGTTGCATAGATAAGAGCGGACCTGTACCTAACGCTATACGCGACACGGTTGTGCGAGTGTTCCCTCTCAGCGTCCTGAGGTAGGTCCTCGTCTGCTACGTTACCACAACTTTGCTCTGAATCGGGATACACAGTCCGCTCATGCAGACGTAGCGCCTCCGCGGAGTCGTCTCTCTGGCCCTTTCCCGTGGACCTGGGTATATACCGATGAAGGCTCGCACACAAGCCCATATCATTCGACGCTTTGCGTGACAGACGCAGTGGCCGTTCATCTCTAGGCTCGATATGCCCGAGAGTACATTTATCCGCTAGGGCTGCCACTGGCAACCGCCTGCGATGTTCTCTGCTCAACTTCTTGGGTCTATATCACGCCGGTTGCTCGGACATAGAGCTACATAAGCTACTCTAATATAATGGCCAGCAGATCGAATGTGTCAGTACCATATAATGGTACATACCTACACGAACCTACTAAGAGCCGGCACCAAGTCGACAACAACTTATCGGCCAAAGTAACTGGCTCTATCAAGTTTGAGGACGTGGGTTTTTTTTTAATTTTTTAATTTTTTTGACTTCTGTCAGAAATATTTGTAACTGTCTACCAGCCCGGGATCCAGCTCATGGAACCCCTCTCACGCATGCCCGCTCACTCATAAAAATGGCAGGCACTCACATAGTCGAATAACACTATACTATGCTCGATTGCTAGCTTACGCAGCGGGTGGATAGGACACATAATACGTGGACAAGTAGGAAGACTCGATTGCAAGCTACATAAACCCACCCATCGCCTCGATTTCTGGCGCGAAATAGCTGAGAGATAAAGGGGTAATACATAAGGTATATACATAAACGAAGAGGGGAAGGGATGCCGGACGCCTTCGCCTGAGTTTTGACAGCCCGTTTCGCATGACAACTCAGCGAGGAAGGGAGACAAAGAAAAGACTCGAACCTGGTCTTTTTTGTATCACATTTTCTCCGCACTTACCTGTTCCTGATTGTTATCCCACCCCGGCCTCCCCCCCAGCCGGCCTCTGACGATCTCTTGTGTTTTGGTGGTGACCAGAATCTCGTATTCGCTAGCCCCATCACGCCAACAGCCCCTGTCAGCTCAGGCAGGCCAGTCTCCGCCCTAAGCCCGAACGAAGAAGTGCCTCCTCCTACATAAGGGACAACACATATGTACGCTGCAGCGGGCTGCATTCGTCGCTGGGGACATGGTCTCTCCCGGAAGAGAATCCCCAGAATCCCGCCGTAGCTAGGCAAGCGACCTGGGGGCCGAAGGCTAGGGGGGGCGGGTTAGGCGAGGGCAGGACATGAGAAGGACGAGTAGGACGAGTAGGACAAGAACGAGGAATATGAGGGAGGAAGGATAGGGGAGCGGAGGAAGAGAGGGTGGGAATGTGGGCATAGATGTAAGCTTGTACGTCTGTATGCAACATACGTGCACACACACGCACACACGTATACGCTGGTACAGATGGGATTAAGTGATATATAAACACATGTGCCTACCCATACACATGTACACACATCGGGTAGGTATTCGTTGTCGATATTCCTCCCCTGGACCCTGGAACTCGGAACATTAACCCAATCCGACCTTTTTCTCTAGTAATATGGGAATATAACCAATATTCCCCCCATACCGTCATGTAACTGTCGTGGGCGTTTATCGTCACTACACCCAAACAAGAAGACAACGAGCGACAGGCGCTAGCTACCTATATCTGAACAATGCCTACCTACTTTCCTACACACGTGGAGAAATAGAGCAGATCATAGTAGAAAAAGAAATGATCCAGTATATATAGACATGTCTCTCACTTCTCTCTATCCAGCCGACGTCCGACGTCCACAGCACCAGCATTGCCATGAATCCCTTCTACCTCAGGCGTCGGGGCAGGGTTCGATCGCCTGAAAACCAGACAGATACTCTCGAAGCGAGGGTCCTCGGGAGCCCAGAATCATCTGCAATCGGCTTTTCGTCCTTCTGCTAGAAGGCCTCGCTAACGCCACTATGTAGGCCTAGACGACTCGCGCCAGACGCCGTGGGCATAGGTGCAATCATGTAGGCGTATACACGCCGGCCGGGGAGCCGCCGCGCCCGGTCTAGGCGTCTAAAGGCATCTGCATATAGAGCAGTGCGATTAGAGGGGATGCTGTTCCGGAAACACAACCCAACCAAGACGTAGGTATGCATACACAGGCCATCGTGCCACCCACCCACCGCGGATGCGGGAACTCCTTTTACCAATATCGAACTCGGAACTTGCCGTTCATGTTTCCCCTTGCCGTAAGTAGACGTACTCATAAGCGTCACACGCCCGGACGCGGGATACGCATGTGCTCGGCGCTTCTTTTCTTTTCGAGAAGGATTCTAGAAAAGGGAGAGGCCGCGGCGTGTGTCCTGTGAGAGACACAGGGGATGTGTGCGTGCCTGCGCGTACCAGTCCGGCTCCCCGCCCTCTCATAATATCACTTCGTACCCTACCCCTCCAGATCTTCCCCCTCCCGCCGATTCATCGAGACTCCGAGGACTACGTGCTCGGGATCGTCGACGTCCTCCCCGCTTCTTAATTATTATCCCTACATGCCTCCCGCCTTCGAAGCTCGGTCGAGCATCGTCCCGCGACCCCCCCCCCCCTGTCTTCTACCCCCTCCCCTTCCGGCCTATCCGACCCGATCTCTTTTGGGGCTTCCGCTATATAACGCTTCGCACCCGACGTAGCCTCACGAAGGGCTCTTCGTGGCATAGCATGAAAATATCCCATCACCTATGGGCGTCGTATTCCTGTGACTACATACTATCCTACTATGTAGACCATAACCTTGGGTAGACTTTGACAAAAGACCTCCTGTTCTGTCCACCTCCCTTCCTCCATACCTACATAGCCGAACTACTTCGCATCGAGGCGTCGCCTCTGGTAGGTATATTAAGGGTAGAGCATCCCGCGGGGCGTCTTCACCAGGTAACCCTCTCTCTCCCCTGCACGACAACGTAGTCCTATCTCGGTAGACGACGTGGTAGCTTGATGGCCAGCCTCAGCCCTCCCGACACGGGCGCGGCCCAGAACACATAGGTGCTTGCTGCAGTTCCGATTTACGCACATCCTCCTCCTTCTCTAACCCCAAGGCTAGCCTGCTCGAAGACGGCCTCCGACATCGCTCAGAAGAAGAAGAAAAAAAATCTCGTACGTGCAACGTCACGATAATCGAACCGGAAAGAAGACGCGTACACACAAAAGTCAACCTAACCTACACCTCTCCCCCCCCCCCCCCGAATCATGCGGCGGCCGTCGCCGTGGGCACCGCGGCCTCCTGCCGCCTCCGGATGCGGATGGTGGCCTTCATGGGGGGCACGCGGTTCATGCCGAACCAGAAGTTGGGCGGGCGCTCGGGCTGGGAGGGCTCGATGTCGTAGTGGGTGAGGAGGTAGGCGAGGAGGAGCTTGAGCTCGCTGGCGGCGAAGAAGCGGCCGGGGCAGGCGTGGCGGCCGTGGCCGAAGGCGGTGTACTCGGGGCTGGTGGTGGCGAAGGCCTGGCGGGCGCGGTCGACGTAGGTGGTCGGCGGCGGCGGCGGCGGCGGCTTCTCGTCCCCGCCTCCTCCCGCGGGCGGCTCCTCGCGCCTCTCGGCGAAGCGGAACGGCCGGAACGCGTCCGGCTCCGGGTACAGCGCCGGGTCGTGGAAGACGGGGTACGACGGCGCGCAGACGACGGCGCCGCGCGGCAGCCGCACGCCCGACGGCGCGGCCACGCCGCCGGCCGCCACCACCACGCGGCTCGTCGCCACCGCCACGAACGAGTTCAGCCGCTGCGACTCGCGCATCGCGCTGTCGACCCGCCGCATCGCCGCCAGCGCCCGCTTGTCCCAGGCGCCGCCGCGCGCCGCCAGCACCTCGGCCACCTCGGCCCGCAGCGCCGCCCGGTCCGCCGCCGCGCCGCTCGCCAGGTCCAGCAGCGCGTGCGTGATCGCGAACGACGACGTGTGGATCGACGCGAAGTTGAGCAGCAGCAGCCGCCCCGCCAGCGTCTCGGCGCGCGCCAGGTACGGCCCGCCGAGCTCGCGCGCCTGCCGCACCGACCACTGCAGGAAGTCGTTGGGCTCGGGGCCGAGGGCGGCGGCGGCGGCCGGGCCGCCGGCGCGGCGCGCGGCGTCGTCGCGCAGCCGGCGCTCGATCTCGGGCCGCACGAGCCGGTAGAAGCGCCGGGTGTGGATGCGGTTGGGCAGGGTGACGAGCGGGGCGACGAGCGGGCGCAGCGGGCGCCAGAGGAAGCGCAGGAGGGTCGAGGCGAGGGGCACGTCCTGGGCGTAGGCGACGCCGGCGTCGAGCAGGGCGGGGTCGCGGCAGAGGGGCAGGCCGACGAAGACGCGGTTGGTGGCCTGGCCGACGACGCGGCGCATGGTGTCGTAGACGCAGACCTCGCGGAAGGCGGGGTCGGGGCCGGCGGGGCCCCAGGCGGCGTCGACGGCGGCGCGGATCTCGTCGAGGAGCGCGGGGACGAGGTTGCCGGTCTCGCGGGTGAGGGCGGTGGCGACGAGCTTGACGTGGACGGGGGCGCGGGTGAGCCGCGGGTCGACGACGGTGTGCTCGAGCTGCAGCGACTCCTGCACCAGCGCGTGCGGGTCGAGCGCCGCGTCCGGCTGGTCCACGAGCCACTGCAGGTCCCGCGCCGGCAGCACCACGAAGTCCTCGGCCCCCGCCACCGGCAGCACGCACGGCCGCTCGCGGTACCGCGCGTACGCCACCTCCGTCGCCGTCTTCATGTCCAGCGTGTTGCGCCACCGCGCCCGCGCCAGCGGGAACCACTCCCCCGGCCGCGCACCGACGATGGGCAGCCCCGGGGGCAGCCGCGACGGCCGCAGGAACAGCTGGTACAGCAAGAAGCCGATGACGAGCAGTGCTGGCGCCAGGACGGCCGGCCGGCTCAGGGCCCCCGCGAGGGTCGCGGTGGACATGGTTTGTTCGCTCGCTCGCTCGTTCGTTCGTTCGTTCGCGAAGACGGGGGGGAAGGCGGGTCCCCTCTCTATTCGCCCGTTCTCGCCCGGTTGTTGCTCGCTCTCTCACTGATTCGCGCTGTTCTCGTTCGTTCGTTCGCCGGCGGCGGGAATAGGTCGGGTCGTGTGAGCGGGCAGGCGAAGACCCGAAGGGAGCAGATGAGGGGGGTTACGGAAACGCACAGCGCGTGTATGGATGGAAGCCTTCTTTCTCTCTTATAGGCGGCTACTGGGTGATACCTTTGATGGGGGAGGGGAGTTAAGTATGTAGCACAGCAGGACTAGAAGTGGGACCTCGATGGCATTGTAGGTCGACAAAGAGGGTTGGAATATATATACCTAGGTCTTATATCCTATACATATCTCGTACAGCACCCACACAGGTTAGGCGGGTTGCTTATATGTAGACATGCTAACGTGCTACTACGTGTAGGTATGGATAACATGACGGAGCATGCCAGGCTAGAGAGGTTTAGGGGGTACTAATAGACGAGGGCACACGCCCGCTCCCGGGATCATCGCCGCTAGCGTAGCAGAAGCTCTATGGGAACGACGGCGCGATCCCACGGCATCTCTCGTCGGCTACAGCGTTAGGGACGCCCCGTACATCGAAGCTCTTCGCTGTAAGACTAGGCGTTTACATATACAGGTACTGCCTCTACGCGACGGCGCATAGCGGGATGTAGGTTTGTAGGCACCCCCGTCGCCAACAGCAGCAAGCCCCCCCTAAACGGGTAGTATTATTCGGACTGTCCAGCCCCATGGACCGGCCGTGTCGCCACACTACCTGCGCCCGTGCGGGAGAACTGTGTCAGTGAGCGGTGGCCGGAGCCACTCAGCCCGCTCCCCTACACACTACCTCGGCGGTACCTGTCGACGATTATGCCTGTTGTATATAAGCGACCATCCCGCGACTTGCTCGTCCGCCCAGGTACGTAGATATATCCCGCGACGCACGCCGTAAGCCCGTGTGTCCGTACTGTGGCACGCCATGCGGCCGCCCTCGCTCGATCCACATTACGAATACGACCTCGCGTCGGAAGGCCCAGTTGCCGTTGGAGGGACGAGAGGAGGGCGTCGCCAATGAGGCCGCTCGCCGTCGGCGCCCCCCACCGCGCATTTGCGGGAGCGCGAATGGATTGCCGAACCCAGCAAGTGGCCGAGTGCCGAGCCAACACCCCGTCAGCGGGAGCAGCGCCAGCAGCAGCTTCTTCTAGCCGAAGAGAAGGGAAGCAAAAAGGTGTGATCTTCGGACGAAGGAGCGTTGTGTGGTAGAGAGGCGGGGGAGAGAACGGCTAAGCGAGGGGCAGGGTGGAGGAGAGATGCGATAGGGTGACGGGGGGGGGAGGTAGGGAGAGATCGCTTAGATCGATCTGTTGGTCCTCTCCCCCTCCATCGCTTAGCGGTCGTTCCCTAACCAGTAGCCCATTCGCGGGCGTTGAGGTATAGTTGAGACGATATAGGCATAGATATGCCCGCAGATAGAGACAGAAATAGAGACGTAGAGAGACAGGAAGAGAGGGAGGGGAAGGGCGTTCTGCTCGTTCATCGCTGTGCCCAAGCCCTGTAAACATGCCTAATGCCTTATACCGCTTACACCTACCTATTAGGCCTATATTTACCTCTAGCATCCGCATACATGTATGCTACGGGTCCGTGAAGTTGACGCGACTGGAGTGGACAGGCAGGCCTGCCTCCCCCCCCTTCTAGACCTAGGTATGTTGCGCATCTGCGGAGATTTGCGCACTCCCCTGTCCGCATTGCCAGCCCGGGCCCGTCCAATCAGACGGCCCTGATTGCGGATGCCTCCTGCGCCCACTTTCGGCTCCGCGCACCTGTGATTTCACATGCCCTTTAGCGATGGTGCGCCAACCAGCTCGGCTAGCAAGCGGGCAACGTCAAGTTCTCGAAGCGAGCCTTAGCGAGGCTCTTTACCCGTGCGTGCGTGCGTGTGCGTGTGTGTACGGGTTCATAGACACCGTGCGCCTGCGGATCTGTTCCGTCGCGTGTCTACGAGGTGATCCTGTACCTGCTAATCTGCCTGGTGCGGTAGCCTCCCCCGCGTGGAAAGAAAGCCGAGGGGGACACGCAAAGTCGGAAACGCTATAGAACGGACAAAAATATCGCAAGAGGCGAGCAAAGCTGCCTCAGGCGAGGGTTGAGAAGGGGACATCGACATCTATGGTCCGCGTGGTGTCCGCTGCCTCGATTGAGGGTGGAAATATTAGGCACATAAGAGAGAGAGATACGCTGCGCTCGAATCGCTAAAGCAGCCCCGAGTCCATTCCCTTTTTTCCCCCTTGACCGCCCCGATTCCTTTCCCTTCCTTTGCCTTTAACCCGACCTAGCCCCCCCAATCCTCATGCAAACATGACCCCGTCCCTGCCTGCCTGCCTGTCCATGATGACGATTCCATGTAACCCGGTTGACGAAGGGAAATTGTGAAAAAAAGGAAAGACAAACAAAATAAAAGAGCCAACGCCGATGCTGGGGTATCCATACGTATAATGGCCGCCGCGCTCGAATCCTCTCTCGCCGTTCGGGGGTTCGAGACATTAGTACGTGTGTGTAGAGTATACGGAAACGGTCCCTATATTACCGTCCATATCCGTGGGACCCTCCCATCCCTTTTTCGGCTGTCCCTCGCGTGTGCCGTGTGTATTAGAAGCCTCGTAATCTCCAAGTCGTAACCGATGCGAATGGGAAAAACAAGCTCCGCCCCCCTCCCCAATCTCCGACTCGACGACCTCCCGGGGAGGCGGGTAGGCGGGCCTACCCGCTCCTATCCCCTACGCTAATGAGCCGTACTTCCGTAGCCTGGGCGGCGTGTCCGCCTCTTCGTGCCCGGAAGCTTGCTTCCTTCGGTTCCCCTCTTGCCCTCCATCTCTCGCCGCCAGCAGCGGGCCGGCGCGTCTCGCAGCAGCGACGCGAGTCATGTCCTCGAGAGGCCCTCCGTGCTCGGGACGGCCCGCTACGCGGCGCTGCGGCCCGCGGCGCCGTCCTCGAGCAGGGCGCGGACGCGCTCGATGCGCTCCATGGCGCCCTCGAGGCGCTCGAGGCGGCCGCGCTTCTCGGCGTCGCGGCGCTCGAGCACGGAGACGCGCTCCTCGAGGGCGGCGCGCGCGCGGCGCTCCGTCGCCACCATCTCGTTCGCCTGCTCGAACAGCGTCGCGCTCAGCTCCTCCACCTCCTTGCTCGTGTCCTGCAGCCGGCCCTCCGCCCGCGCCCGCAGCTCCTTCTCCCGCGTCAGCGCCTGCTGCAGCTCCTCCGCGCTCGGCCCCGCGCCCGGGTTCGCCGTGCTCGGCCGCTGGCTGGGCAGCGGCGGCGGCGGCGACCCCGCCCCCGACCCTGACCCCCGGTTCCCCGCCAGGTTCGGCACCGACTTCCGCGGCGTCAGCAGCTGGCTGATGCGCGAGGCCGCGCCGGCCGGCAGGAAGGACGAGCGCTGGCTGGTGGCGGCGGTGGCGGCGGCGGCGGCGGCCGTGGTCGACGCCGCGCGCAGGCGCATCAGCTCGTCCTCGTAGTCGGCCCAGCGGTCGACGGCGGCGGTGGCCTTCTGGCTGAGCAGGCGCACCTGGGCCTGCAGGTCCTCGATCTGCTTCTGCGCGTCGAGCAGGGCGGTCTGCGCTTCGGTCGGCGACGGGAGGTAGTGTCCGCAGTTCGGGCAGCAGGGCGTCGTCGTCAGGCTCGTCGTGCTCGTCGCCATCGTGGATATCGGTGCGGATACGATGGGCGGAAACGACATGGTCATGGTTGCCGACATGGTCCTAGCTAGAGCCAGCCCCTCGCAGCGATTGTTCGTTATCTGCCGTGTCTCGTAGTTGTGCCCGTATGATGGCAGCCGCTGTTTTTTTTCTTCCCCTGCTACTGCTGCTGCTGCTGCTGCTGCTGCTGCTGGTGGAACTCGGTAGGGATCGTAGGTAGCGACCGGCGGATGTGAGCTTCTCTTTGTTGGACGCGCACAACACTAGAGGTTATTGCCAAGTATGGACTAAGACGGCCCAGCTCAGGCTGAATTCCAGCGATGTCGGTAAGTGGCCGAGGCGGCAATGATAACAAGGACGGAACGGGATCGCAAGGCTTTGTTTGGGTTGGGATGTTTCCCGCGAAAAAAAGGAAAAAAAGGAAAAGAAAAAAAAAAGGTCTCTCTCTTGAGATTGCGATATGTGTTCAGGTGGCTGGACTCTAATAAGACACTGTCGCCCGCGTGTTGTTATTATCATCTCTTCTCGTGACTTGTCTCGCGAGCTGGAGTGCTCGATGACGGCGCCTGATCGCAGAAGACGGCCAGTGGGGTCGAGGGGGGCTTTCGGGCAGGCCAATCAGAATATCGAGCTATTTGTGGTGGCGGCGCTTCCTTAGTCGGTGCCCCGGCAGTGACAAGCTGCGCCCCGTCAAACGGGGGGTGGTTTTGCGAACCCTGTACCTGAGCGGTACGGCGACTTGCCTAACCGGCCTCTGTAGCAGGTACCTGCGCCTTCGAGCCTACGCGTCACGATGCTCCGACGTCCTCACCTCTCGATTCGTGGCTAAGATATGCGCGCGCACACACTCGCACTCTCTCTATCTGGAGCGAGATAGGGGAAGAGAGAGAGAGACAGAAAGAGACAGAGATAGAGAGAGATGACATCAACTGTCGAGGCACTTCTTGGGGCAGCGGTTTCTCACGATGGCTAGTAGGTGTGTGTTGTTGGATCACTTCGCGATTCTCTATGTGTATCTACGAATTGTAGGTATATATGTAGGTATTCGGTACGCATTCCAACCCCTTCACCACCCCCGGAAAGGGTGGAAACGGGGCGCTTGGCATTTGGGCGCTCGAGCCAGCATACTGTGGGAATACTCCACGGGTGCGGCAGCGATGGGATAATGGCTCTTGGGACCTTTACCCTATGCAGCGCTTGGCCTGCATCTTAGCATCTTTACCGTGCCATCTCCAACGATGGAGTCGGCCGACATGAAACATCTTCAAACCGGACCCTGCGTGGTTTCGAGTGTGACAGGGACTTGGACATGTGCTACGAATTCGATCCGCGGGGTCGCATAATATTCATGGTCTACTCATATTCTTCTGCCTGTGCTATGCTTGTCTCTTGCGTCGTGGCTACGCCTTCATGTGACAAATCCGAGTCTGTCCTCCTGTGGCTGTCTAAAGCCATAGGTAATGGGGATGCATGGGACACGGTTGCTCAATGGGCGCCATCTTCAGCATTCGTCTGTGGCTCGTGTGCAGACAGGCAACACACGCGGCAGTCCCTCCTGTCGCAGTGCACAGTTCGGACAGTCCGCCGCCACGTTTTATCCCCGACGTTACGAATAAATAGCACAGGGCCTCGCCGGTCTCCTGGGGCTGTTCTCTAAGTTGGAAACCCCCCCATCCTCGCCCCAAGTGCCCCTGAGAACCGCCTAGTCTCGCTATGCACATCTCGGAGCTTTATAACAAATCGTAACTGAGAGCCAATCGGGAGCAGAGTCCGCGAATAAGGCCGGTGGCCGGGGAGGCGACTGAGTATAGCTGACGCTCTAGGTCGGAGGGGATAGCTTCGAAAACTGCCTGCGAGCAGAGGATATGCTGAAACTGGGCCGCAACGGGTAGGCATGAAGCTAGCTCACAGGGGCCGGGCCACTTTCCGATTCTCGCTGAGACCGGTCTCCGGGTCTTTGCACTCTTTCCAGCTGACGGGGTACATGGTGTTTCCGGCCTCGCTCGTGGCCATGATGACGCCGAGTTCGTTGCTCGCGGTCGAGAGGTAGTAGTTGGCCTGGTCACCTAACGAGATCTAGCACGCGGACGACGCCGCAGAGATTAGTCGATGCCATCCTCCCTTTCCGTCATTCATTCTCCTCGACCCGATCGCATCTTCTCCCGTTCGACCGGGTCGCCGTAGACGAGACGGGACAGCTGTAGAAATATGGCGAGAGACGGCTTACCACGCGCGCCCGCACGATGTCGCCCGGGCGGAAGCTCTCGTAGATCTTAACCTTGTCTTTCTCGGTCGCGCGGACGTCCTGGGCGCGGACGAGGCCCTGCCACTCGGCCTCGAGCACGGTGTCGCCGACGACGAGGATGGCGACGGTGGCGTGGCGCGGCGTGATGCGCGTCACCCGGCACAGCACCGCGTTGCCCACCTCCGGCAGCACCTCGCGCTTCTCCTCGGGGCCCGACGACCGCGACACGGATATGGTGGGAAGCTGGGCGCCGCCCGCCTTGGAGGAGGAGGACGACGTGCTGTTCATCACCGCGATCTTGGTCAAACGCTTCGTGGGGCCTGGGGCCTTGTCGGGCTGGGCGATGGCGATGGCGCCGAGAAGCGAGGAGTACAGGTTCGACTCGTGGACGTGGGTGCCCGGGCCGGCGACGTACTTGTCAGCGGGACCCAGCAGCTGTCCAGGGACGGCGACGGTGTGGGCCATCGTATTCGTTTAGAGTCGAGCGGTGGCCTCGCACGGCGGCGGGTTGGCGACGGAGTTAAGAGAGGAATTAAGGGTGATTACTGGTAGGTTGGCAGGCAGTTAAATTGGTGATTTTAAAAATGCAAGCGAAGGGGAAAATATCGTCGGCGTGATTGGGCCGACGGCTGCCCAGACGGTTTAGCTTGCCAGGTTCCCAAGGCCGTTGCTGGCGCAGCCGATGACGTAACGGGGTCGTTCGGGCGTCCGCGGCTCGTCGATGGGGACGGAGCTCGACAGCTCCGAGCTGCACAGATGGGCTGAGGAACATCACCTAGAGGTATGTACCCGCCCTAACCTACCCGCCTAAACCTGCCCGCCTAAACCTGCCCGCCTAGGTACCCAGCCAGACGCTGCGAAGGCGACAAGTCGGACCCCTATTCGCCAAACCCGGGGTAGCGAGGCACCTATACGTGTCTGTAAGCACCGAGCATAGGAGGTACCTGACCTAGCGTGTTTACGCGCCTTAGGTACCGTAGGTACCTCCAAGTAGAGAGCACAATATACCCGTGTGGATGGTAATATACATGGCCTTACCTTACCTTGGGTTATCTAGGTACATACAATATTCGGCGTTAGGTACCCAGCTAACAGCGGTGGCCCACTTTAACTTTTATGAAGATAACCCCAGGAAGAAGACGAAGAGAAAAAAAAAAAAAAGGGTGAGCTGCGTCCGTCGACCGTAAGCTCCAGAGCACGCTCCTCCCGAAAATTGTTGGCCAATTCTTCTCCAGTCGTCAAATCCCTCCGACCCTCCCGCTCTTCCTATACTTAGGGACACCTGTCCGTTCCTCTGTCCGTCCCGTCCCCCCCTCTCCATCGTCTCTCTACTCGCTTCCCGCCCTCCCGTCACCGCTGCCTGCCTCTTCCTCTCTCTCTCTCTCTCTCTCTCTCCTTCTCCCTCGGCAAGCTCACCCACCCTCAGACATCGAACAATGGCGCCCAAGACCCGCGGCGGCGCCTCGCCGAAGTCGCGGACCAGCCGCCTGACCCAGGTGCTCGTCGCCGTCGGCATCCTCGTCGGCCTGCTCGCCCCTGTCGTCTACCTCCTCGAGCAGAACCTCGAGAGCTTCTACATCTTCTCCATCGAGGAGCTGCACGACGTGTCCAAGCGCGCCGTCGCCGCCCACGGCAACGACACCGCCGCCATGGTCAACTACATCGTCGCCGAGCTGGACAAGAACCACCCCTCCCACGTCAACGCCCGCTGGGACGACCGTAGCGAGTGGTTCTTCAACAACGCCGGCGGCGCCATGGGCGGAATGTACATCATCCACGCCAGTGAGTCCTCCCTCGTCTTTTACGCCATCATTATAGGCCGCCCTGTTCCCTGGCTGCATATAACGTTGTGTACGCTGTATATTCATGTCGTGTTCCCTGTATATGCATCAAGCGTACGCTGCACATGCATAGTGTACACACACGTCATACGTGTATACACGTGCGCATCGCCCTTCTTGTGTCCATACTTGTGGCTCTGTCGCCTCTTCTTTCGCCGAGTAAATACATTAGCCGCGTGATGGACTAACGACGCCTCCCTCCCCCTCCGCTCTCCCTCTAGGCATCACCGAGTACCTCATCATCTTCGGCACGGCGGTCGGCACGGAGGGCCACTCGGGCCGCCACACGGCCGACGACTACTTCTACATCCTGACCGGCGAGGAGTGGGCCTACGTACCCGGTGAATTCCGCCCCGAGGTCTACACCCCCGGCACCGTCCACCACCTCCCCCGCGGCGCCGTCAAGCAGTACCGCATGCCCGATAAGTGCTTCGCCTTAGAGTACGCCCGCGGCTGGATTCCCCCCATGCTCTTCTTCGGCTTCGCCGATGGTTTCTTCTCTACTCTCGACTTCCCCACCCTCTGGCGCACCACCTACCACACCGCCCGCGAGATGGGCGCCAACCTCTTGGTCGGCAAGTTCTAAAGGGCGGAAATCCCGGAAACGAGAAGGGGGGGAACAAGTCTACTTTGCAATCTCGATATTGTATAATCTAATCCGGGGTCACACCGCTCTGCTGTTTCGCCCTCTCGTCAGTGTAACCCATCGCATGCGCCGGGGGGGATAGAGAAATCGGCAAAGTGGGCTCGTCGCAGAAGAGAGCAGGAGTATCGGATCGAGAATAGAGAAGCTGGACATTTCAGTCTCGAGCTATTTCGGGTTTTCCCCGTCGCGGGAGGCGTCCAGTTGGAAAGTCCTACTAGATATTATCGGCCAAGCTATGTTTCATTGAGCGCGCCTCGGGAGGGTCATATAGAGAGAACGCATACCTCGCTGTCTACGTAATGATAATGGAATGAACCCCGTACCTTGAACCCCGAAGCTTTCGCGATGCTCTGATATGAACGAAGTACTAAGAAAAAATGGATTTCTCGAAGAGGTAGAACGCGCCGCTTAGCTTAGCTTCCCATCGTTGTTATTTATAAAATATGTGGCGAAGCGTTTCCGATGACAGAAACCTCGACGCGATACGTCCGCAGAATCAAAGTGTATATGATATAATGCAGTCCCCATCTCATCCCATCCCATCCCATGCATGCAACCCAAACGATACTCCTCCTACCACTACTATGCAGCCACTTCTCCCCTCTCGCCACCCCCTCACCTAGGCGATCCCCACGTACCGCTCCCGCCAGGGGTCCGCGCCTCGCGCGCCGCGGGCTCGGGGGTCGCGGCCGGCCAGGTCCTCGAGGATGCGCCAGTCGTAGACGGCGACCCAGTCGCGGCGGCCGCCGCGCCGGCGCAGCCCGGCCGCCTCGATGGCGCGCGCGAAGGCTGCCGTCGCCTCTGGGCGCCGCGCCTCGACGAGGCAGATCTTGCGGGCCCGCGGCGTCTTCGTGCCCCACGAGGCGGCGGCGGGGGAGGGGTCGCGCGGGCTCGGCTCGTCCGCGCGCGTCCACTGCCGCGGGTCCACAACGAACTCGGTCACCCCGTGCCCCCGCAGCAGGTTCTCCGTCACCCACGTGTACCGCGAGATGCACGGCGACAGCAGGATGGAGCACTGCGCGAAGGGGCTGCTGCTGCTGCTGCTGCTGCTGCTGCCGCTCCCGGAGCAATGTCCGCGCGTCCGCGGCTGCCCGTGCGCCGCCGCCGTCGGGTTTTGCCTCCCCGTGTGGGTGTGGCTTGGTGGCCGGCTAGGCGTTTGGGACGCGGTGTCGAGAGGCCCTGCCGGCGACGATGCCGGCCTCTCGGATATGCGCGGCCCCGATTCGGTATTGGGAGGTGCCAGAGCATTCTGGCCAATCTGGCTCAGCGGTTGCCGATCCCTTCTCTGACTATCCGGTGGCGATCTATCCAGTCCATCCCCCGACTGTGCTTGTGCAGATGCATCGGAGAGCTTCCGCAATCTTTTAGCCGCGCGGGTCACTTCTGTATCCAAGCAAGGCCTTTTTCGGCGGCCCAAAATCATCGGCGAATTCTCAGAAATACCGGGACAGCCGCCGAGTTCCCCATTCTCAGTTGTGGATGACCCTGGTGGTGTTATCGGGATATGGGCTAGCGATACTGTGTTGGTATGAAGCGCAAAGGACTGTCTTCCCACGTCCACTTTCTCGGTGGGTTCTGGTGTTGAAGCAACTGGGGGCTCTTCCTCTCGGTAATTCCTACGTAATGACACGGCAGACGAAGCCCTTGTCTGCGTGAACGTGCTTTGTTGGCTCGCAGCATCAACAGCTATCCCCCGTGGATCGGCCTTTTCCAACGCGGACACCCACTTAAGCATTTCCTGTTTATCTGCGGTCTCGGGTATTTCCGTCGCATTTGCCGCAAGGTCCTGAAGCTCGGAGAAGGAGATTGTGTCCAAGTATGATCTATCCTGATGAATCTTTGAAACGGTTGGGAATCTCATGCTCCAAAAGTTTGTATTCGGCCTCTTGTCGAACGAGAAACAGCACATATCGAACACCAGCGGCTCCAAGAAAATAGTTGACGGCCTCTTGACCATTTCTTTTTGCCGAAAGTCCAATATTATGGATTCGTTGGCCTCGGATGAGACGGGAGCCGGAAAACATTGGGTCAGGATCATCGATAAATGCGCCTCGGAAAGCTCAACGATATTGGTGACAGTGAATCGAGGTTTCTCGTGTTTCGCCCGCACGGCCTCCCGGTTTTCCAAGCAGCCGATGAAGAAATGCGTCCATTTGACGTTAGGCATTTTATATTCTCTTGCCTTTGCTGCGTCGTAGGAGGCGCCTACCACCGCGAAGTCCCCTACGTCGCCCCAGCCTTGGACATATTCCTTCTTCAATTTGATATTGCAGCACCCGTAGGGCCTTTGGGTCGTGCTGAAATCGAAATACGGCTCATCGGGCTTCAGCACGAGGCCTTCGTTACGAGAAATAATACATCTCGCAAAGGCCTCCCGCAACTTCAACGCAGCCAACGGCCGAGAAAAAGATATGACCTCGCGCGCCACCAATTCAGCGTAGCCCGTACGACAAGTAACAAGCTCGCTCAAACGCTTAAAACGCTCAGAGTGACGAACCCCCAATAGCGATTCGTCGTCTATCATGAGAACGTCGTAGTATACAATCATTAGGTGCTCGTAGGGATGGGGTCTGCCTAGCATTTAGTCGATAGCTCCAAGAGGACGATAAGGCTAGGTCATACTGAGAGTCGTTGCTAGTCCCTAGAAAGACACCGGACCGCGAAACGTGCTTCCGGATCTTATGGAACGGCAGAATCCTATGGTCCTGCTCTTCCAGTTAGCAACTGTTTGACTAGACGAAGAGAGGCTGCTATCCGTACCTCGGTACCATACACCACCAACTCCCCCTCTAGAATGCACCCTACTTTGAGGGGACAGTCCCGGGTCCCTAGTTGGAGCGAGTCCCGTATTGACCTGGCCGACCGGGTTAATCGAGGGCCACGAAGCAGAGCCAGAAGGAGGCTTACCGGTGTAGACCGATTCGATCTCGGGTGCTATCCTTCCCGCTTTTCGAAAATATTTGTATGGATTGGGACCTACGGAGATCGATGTGTATCTGACAATACTCTCCGTCGATTTTCTGTTCGCAACTCACTTCTCGCAACCTTCCCATGTCCATGCAATGCTTAATGCTTCGTCCTTTGAACCATGGTTGCCTCCCCACCTTGGTCCCGAGAGATGGCTTTAGACTACTCGCAATAACGCTCTGGTCGTGAGGTGACTGCCGGAGACGCTGTAAGAAAGCTGCAGCTATTGCAAAATCGTCTCTGACCTTCATCACCTGAGGGAGAAGGACATGATAGCAACGAAAGACGAGATGGTTATCTAGAACAACTGGTTGGTAACTCTTCAACACCAGCCGGGTAAACCATTTTGCGTCTCGCGCGCTGAGGCGCCTGTAGATGCTGGTGAGGCACTCGTCCTGGTCGTTCGCGTTTGGGGTTTTACGCATAGCCCTCACCAAAGGCGAGCTAAATCTACAGGCAGCGGCAATGCGGCCGAGGGTGTCGTCAATCTCCTCCACCGTGGGCTCGTTGTGACCCTGGGGGGCATTGGGCTTCCGTGCGGGTTAGTATATCCTATCTGTAGTCCGGGGGAGGACGAGATCGGCTATGGACGATATACTACTAGGATAACTTACTGTGCGTGTTAATATGCCTTCAACGCAATCGGCCAGATCGAGGCCGAGACCAGGCGTCAAGTATCTTCGAAGCTCTTGCACCCTCGAGGCCCCAAGGAGCAGGGCCCTGCCGAATATGCGCTCAAGTCTCGAGGTCTGAATGAGGTAGACACGGTCAGTTCTCCTCTCGGGCAGGAGAGTGGACAATGTGGCGGATGCATCGTTCTCGGGGGCGTCGAGGCGGGAGCGATGCTCGCGAAACCAGGCTTCGATTACGGCGCCGGTAGCAACCTCGTGCTTCTTCGCCCTGCGCGATGCGTCGTCGAGCTGTTGCAGGAGATCGCATATGTATCTGTACGGGAAGGGCATCGCAAGAGCGACAGGTCCTGCAGAGAAGTATAAGGCAACTCGCAAGGGGAGTCCTAGGTGTGGCCAGTCGGAACCCAGAGCCTGGAAACGGTGGAAATGAAAGGAAGAGGAGATGGGCGGGGGAATTCTGGAAAGGGCAAACGTGCTGCCACGCCTCTAGGCAAAGATCTTCACAACAGGTGCATGTCTGTCCCAGGCATCGGATGACTCTCGAGGCAGAAACGGCTATGGGCGGTCCAGGGGTTCGTCCGTTGATAGTAGTAGGCTGAGCCCGATGGCCCAGGCTGCTGGTTGTCTTCTTTGTGGTAGGGCAGGCGGGCAGGTAGATGAGGAAGAGGTCCGGTCGGAAGACTGCCCACCTCCGGTGTACCCAGGTGGATTAGCTTGCAATAACATACCGGCGCGCATGTCGCACGTCGGCACGTGCAGTCTGGCTCTAACACCAGTCACCTCTACTCATACACTTTTTATACTTACCTAAGATGGGCACCAAAGTACTGTGAATAACCTTAGTGTACGTACGTACCTACCTGTACCTCATGCTGAGGTTACTGTGTATTGAGCAGCCCTCTACAGCGCCTATCCCATGTCGCTAAACACCTATCTACGTAGGTGTATACAGCGGGAGCTAAGTAGAGGTAGTTATGCTTGCAAGTTATGCCTGTGCTGGTTATAAACCGTCCTCTTTGTTCGTCATTAGCGCGTCGTTAGCGCGCGTGCAACGCGAGATAGCCGACGGGCAGGTTCACGGGTGTTCACGTGAGCTCGCTGGGATGCGCATTGTGTAATCTCGATGCATAAGGGCTTTGCCCGACGGAGCCAGGTGGGATGTACCCGGTAGCCTGACTTACTATCTTAGGTGCCTTGCCGAATATCTTGATCGCATTCCTTCTCCGAAGCGGTGACGATTCCGCCCTGTCTGCCTCCGACAGCTAGTCACAGCTACCTAACTGCCGCCAACTACCATCACGACATCATCATCGTCAGTCCTCCTATTGCTGCCCATCCTTAGCTGTCTGTCCCTGTCGTCTCTGCCTGTCCGGCATATCGTGTCGTCAGCTGTCCCCACTCGGACTCCGTACGCTACCATGTCCCCACATCCGTCATCTCATCGTAGGCAGGGATAGCCATCCTGAACCCGTTGCGAACCCGTCCTGGACCAGAGCTTCGTCCCAATCAAAGCTCATGCAATTTGTCCGCTGCCAGCGCCATCGTCTCCCCATATGACAAGCAATACCCGTCCAATCCCCATTATAGGCTCATACCAGGCCATGCGATCCGCCCATCTCCCTACGCTCCGTTGCCCATATAAATCTGCACTATACATGCCTACGGCCCCTTGGGAGGTGCAAAAACACAGCCCATTCCGCGCAGAGGCGAAGAGAGGAGCGCGATGGGCGCACCAGTCGGCTGGACGGAGTTTCCTCGCCAAGGCAGCCAGGGATCGAAGACAAGCACCTCTCCGAAATAAATACCAAATGAAACTCATCATCATAGGCCCTACTTAAAGTGATCCTGACTCGCTGACTCGGCGTCTGCGCCTCTTCCTCTCTCTTGCCCGACCTCTTCCCGGCAACCCTTATATACTACGGAGAGAGAAACCAGCCCTTCTCACCCGGCATTGTTTTTATCTATTTGTCTATTTATTGGCCGGTTGTGTATTGTTTTTGTTATATGGTGCTCCTCTCGCTCTTTCTAACCCCCCTCCTCTGCAGTCCCTACACCTCGTCGCAGTGTTCAACGGAGGGAGACCAACGCAAGGAGAAAAGGAGAAGAAAAAAAGAAGAAAATTATTCGGACTAGGATACCGGGAGAGTCTGTGTGTGTGTGTGTGTGTGTGTGTGTGTGTGTGTGTGTGGACGAGGACGGGGTGTGCGACGGGAAGAATAGACAGACAGATCCCCGGTATTCATTCATTCGTTCATCCAATTACAGGTCCATTCCTCCTCTCACACCTATATTTACTCCCCCCCCCCTACCAAACATATACCTGCCTACCGCATCCCATATCATAAGTAAACAATACCGACCACGACCCCCCTGGCCGAACCCACCGCTGCCAGTCCGTGTGGCCCGAGTCGACTCGAGTCTCGTCGCCCCCGTCATCCTTTCTTGCTTGAGGAGATAATGGGCACCCTTGGCCCTCGTCCCCAGCAGATTCCTTCCTATCATTCGTCGCCTCGGCCGACCCAGCAACCAGCCTACCACCCCGGCCGGCGGGACTAGACCCGTTCCTGTGCTGGAACCTCCTATTCGAAGGTCTCCAGTCGCTGGTCCTGTAACTGTTGCGTGCGAGTCTTGCATGCCCCCAATTTCCCACCCCCCCAGCTGTCCAAGCGAGCTCTAGTCTCGCCCTGAATTCTCGATCTCCATCTTTTTTTTCTCGCGCCAACCGGCGAATTCTATGTTTTCTTCTGTCCATGAAATCCGTCCGACTTCTACAGATTTCCTTTATCGCTACCTACTCCACCACTCTTTACAACAACAGGAGGCTCCAACACATCATCAACGCTCTCTATTCCAGACGATCCTTCGTTGGGAGGTACCGGCACCGTCGTGCCAGCTCCCCAGCCACTCTTTTTCTCAGGCGACGGCCCGGCGTCAATCGCCCGCTAGAATTCCCCCAACCACATTCCTTACGCAGAATTCTGAGCCCATTCACCTTAGAAGCCATGACAGCCGAGTATCGTCGACGCGGCCTGCAAGACTCGGCCATCTCGCTCGATGCCGTCCTCACTCCCAGCAGCGACGTGGCCGCCGATCCCAGTTCCGCCGGCGATGCAACCATTCCAACATCGCCACGTGCCCACTGTACGGAGAGTGCTGGAGAAAGCGGCCAAGCGGAAAAGGATGCGCCCTCCAATTCGGTTCATTCTCCACTACCTCGAAGTGAGACTCGGTCCACCCGTTCCACCTCGACAACGTCCCGAAATTCCAACCGACTGTCGTTGACGCTGCCAATCGCCCCGCCCGACAGTGCGCCGTCTAGGCCTACGCCATCTTCGTCGGTCCCGCCCACTCCTATCGAGATGTCGGCCCTCAGTTCGCCCACCGACCCGAATGACTTCATCATCGCCATCGCCGCCCAGGATCGCCGGGTGCTGGTGCTTCGTGAAGAGTTAGCCCAAGCGGAAATCGAGCTTAAGAGGCTGAAGAAGCAATGGGAGTCCTACGAAGCTTACAAGAGGCGAGCGCCCACCCGAAACTTCAATCCCCATCAACCAATGTCCCCCTTGCTAGACGGACAACGGGGCGGCGACCTCGGTTCGACAAGATTTGCCAGCGAGCTGGAGCGCAGGAAAGCCATCTTACGCGCCCAAAGCCAGGCGACCCCCCGCGACAGCAAGAGGACAATTATCTCGGGCGGGCACACGCGTACCCTCTCCCTGCTCTCGCCGACGAGATCCACCAGCGGGGACCCTGATGAGCGTCGGTCCGTCGACCTCTATCCTAGCTCTCCCGCGCTTCCCAGTCCAGCTCTGCTGAGCAAGCGTGCTACCTGGGCCCCTCGCCAGAGTCAGCCAACGAACGGCATGAAGCAAATCGCAAATGACTTTAAGCAAGGTCTGTGGACGTTCGTCGAAGACCTGAGGCAAGTCACCATCGGCGACGAAGCGATTTCAGGACTATCGAACCGCACCAGCGACATGGGTTCACGTCCAGGAAGAATCGAGGGCGACCAAGATACCATCCGTGCGTCCGCGACGAGCCGTGGTCAGATCCCCGTGCAGTCCGACTCAGATTCGGCCGAGACGCCTAGCAGATCGTCCACCGGTAGCTTCAGCGACCGCTACCAGCATAGACGCACCTCTTCAAAGCCAGAGCCCAAGGCCAAGAAACGCTTCTCGTGGACGCCCCTCACGTACGACAACTTCGACGACGAAGATTGGTCGAATTGGGACACGCCGAACGTCAAGACCGCTCGGTGGAGCGGCAGCACGGTGAACGGCGACATCATCCCGGCTATCCCGGAGAGGGCTGCTGAAAGCGAGGGAACACTGTAAGAAGATGACCGCTCACTGAGACGATAGACAGGTGCAAGGCGCATGCTATCGGACCAGCCTCCAAATCGACCCGTGCATCTAACCGCTTCGATAATAGGAGACGGAAACCGTCCCGAAGTGAGCTCCGGTCTCCGTCCCCGCAGACCCCGAGCAAACTTGAGCTCCCTCAGGCCATCCTCAGCCGCCTCACGCCCCTCACGCCGGGCAACATCATCAAGGAGTGGGAAAAGAGCCTGTCTCCACCGGCAGAATCGACGTCGTTCTGAGTCTAATGTTTGCGGCACGAGGGGCGATGGGACACATGTCGCCATTCGCGCAAGATTTCGGTTCCGGCTCCGGCTATGAAGCCAAGTGCGCATTTGTTAGTTTTTTTTTTGTACATCACCACGGAGAGGATCTGGGGGGACGGATCTATCCGACGGGATTTCAATTGTTTAGTGGGTATTTCCGAGCCTCGACGGCGGACATGGCAGCCACCGGGGCTGGTCCAAGGGACTCTCCGCGCAGGTTATCTTGGGGCCCGGGCGGCGGTTGCTAAGCAGGGCGGGCTTTTCTAGACACGGTACTCTTTTCCCGCTGTTGTTGCGCGACGAAATCGGCTCTCGTCTGTACCCTCTCCATCTCATTCTCCCACCCTGTATTTTCCCGCTTCTTCTCGGACCGCCCTCGCGCGAGCTCCCACGAGACCAGGCCTCCTTACCCCGTTGCTTCTTTCTTGTAAGGGCAGAGGAGAGACGGAGCAGGGCGGAGGGGAAAGAAGAAGACGAAGGAGAGATGAGGTGTTTTGAGGAAGAGGGAGGAACCAAATGGGGGAAAACCTGGTCGATGACGAGGAAAAAACGCACTTTGTAATAGTAACGATCACGACGCTCATGACGGATGATAGAGTAGGTAGGCCGGTACCGAAGGCAGTGGCAGCACAAAAATATATAGACGGAGTGCCGTTACTGCTGTTAACCTCCCTTCCCCCGCCCCCCCGGCGCACAAGGTGTTTTTGCCGGCGGTCTCGATCTAGCCGTAAGCATTTCCAGACTGGCGCTTCGTTCGGGAAGCAAGCCGGTTGAACCGGCCCCGCCCTGCCTCCCTAATATGCAAGCATATATAACGCGGGGAAGTCGTTGGTTCTATGGCACATTTATACACCCAGTCAGCCGCAGACATATACAGGTACGCACACCTGGAGACGGAGGCACAGCACCCAACGAGTCGTCGTCAATTTCATCTATTCGTCTCTTTTATGCAGGCTCCAACTCGCATCCCCCCGAAGAAAAATCCTCATACGCTAGAGCCAGAGCAGCTATTACATGGCCCACGGGGTGGGTGAGCGACACGTAGTTGATCTGAGATATGCAGTTCCCTCCCCTCATCTCGTACCTCGCCTAGCGCCGTACCCGGCCGTCTGTCCTGTCTGTATGCAGGCAAATCCCGTCCGCTAACGCCTAGCTAATGCGCTCAACACAAACACTCTAATAAATTTCTTTTATCGTCTCGCGCGCCTTCTCTTGTGAGTGAAGATGTGTGCTATTGTAGAGATGCCTCTCGTCGTTAGGCCTAGGCACAAATGGGCTATACGATCCAGCGATAATCTCAAACAGCCATGAGATATAGGTAGTGGGCTCACGCATTCGTTACGCTGCCTGTGTCGGGAAAGCCGGCCCAAGGTTCTTCATCGGCTTCGTTGCTCTTCACATGAGGCTCGGCGGTTTCTTGGGATGTGGATGTGGTGGCAGCTGAGGTCGACAATGCCTCCACTGCTCCGTCCGAGCCCTGTGTTCCCTGAGGTTTTGAACCAGTCACCTCCTCGGGCTCCTCTTCCCGGACCAAAGATGATGGCTGTGGAGTTGGAGGTTCTTCACTCGAAAGGGCGTCTTCAGCCTTGTTGATGATTTTGTGTTCTCGAGATTTATCTGCAAACCTGATTGCGGGTTTGCTCTGATCGTGCGCGGGCTTGTTCTGTTTAGCTCTCAGCGGAGGCTGGGAAGACGTGGTATGTGATTTGTTGTGCCACTGAAGTAGCATATCCTTGATCTGAGGCGCCCATACCGATTCACCTTTTGCCAGGTCTGAATACTCCAAGCAATTACCGGCTCCCAAAGCGAAGTCCCCCTGGCGACTTCGGCAAAGTTCTGCCATCATTGCCGCGGATCCGATCTTGAGGCCCAGGTCATGACAGAAGCTCCTGACATAGAAGCCGGACGTCACAGTCATCCGAATTCTTGCCGCCGGTGGTCCTTTTCCGTCCCAAGGAGGGGGCGTGTTGGGGTCTTGGGATGCAGGGACCAAATTTGACCCTCTCCCAGGCTTGGGGGGTTCCGGCGGGAGGTCTCCTAGCGCACCTGACATCAGGGGGGTATATTGCGAAGTCCTTCTACGTTTACTACTAACTCGGTCGTAAACCAGGGCGTCAACGTTCTCGTCGGACTTCCGCTTGAAACGCTCGTGCTCCTTAAGCGCCTTGGTCTCCTCCTCCTCCTCCTCGGGGGTGAGCTTCTTCGAAGTCTGTTGCTGCTTTTCGATCTTCCAGACCTGCTCGGCGAAATTGCGCTCGAACGTAGTGGCTTCTTCGGCGGGCCAACGATGGGCATGCTCACCGGGTTCATACCACTCGACTAGCTCAAGGCTAGACACCTCCACTTCTCTAGTTGCAATCTCCTGGGGGATCGGCTTCCCCTCCCTGGCGTATTCGTAGAGGGGCTTACCTTCCATCTTCAAAGCAGAGTAAAGAGGAGGAACCTGCTGAAACTTTCCGCGGAAGGCGTTGAGGGCCTCCTCGACCATGGGCCGGGTGATATGGTCATAGCACGTCTTCTTCAGGATCTTGCCGACCCTATCATACGTGTCGGTGCTGGCGCCGAAGAGCACAACGGTCTCGTAGGTCTTGGTACAATCTAAAAAGGATTGCAGAGCCTTCGTGCCCTTGCCAACGCCGAGAATTAACACGCCGGTAGCGAGAGGGTCGAGTGTGCCCCCATGACCCATCTTGACCCGGATGTCATGTTTGCTGAAGCCGCGGCGCTTCCTCTTGGTCCTAGACTCTAGAATCCTATTCTCGATCTCCTGGTCGATCATAGGCTTGAAGAAAGCGGAGGGGTTAAAGTAGTGTTGGCAGTCCCGAATTACTTGGGCGGAGCTCATGCCCATTGGCTTATTCATTCCTGTTTGAGAAGAAGGGCATTGTCAATACTCGAACCGGGTGAGACAAGGGGAAAATAGATAAAAAAGCAGGGAATCTGACGGGGGTGGGAGTAGACACCGTCATACCAAAGACTCCATCAAAGATGGTGCTTGAAGAGGCCATTCTGAAGACGTGGCTGGCTCTCATCCGGGTGACGAAAGGGGAGCTTCAGCGGGAGAAGCTATGACTCGGTATGCACACACCGTTGATTCAACTGATTCAACGGAGACCGGAGACGGACTCGGAGACCAGGATGGGGACTCCTGCTGACAAGGATTGGTCCCGCAGCGCACAACACCGCACGGGCAATTGTGCCGGCGTATTGTGCGTTGTCAATAATGCGGCTGTGTGAGTATCTCCAGATGCGGATTTGGGTTGCAAGAGGGCTGGATGCTGGGAATTTGTAGAATGTTGGTGCGAGAAACGGCGTTAAGGGTGGTTCGTCGTCTTACCCAGGGTTGTGCAGCATGTCAGGGCATTGGTAGTGCTGGATGCTGATGAAGATGATCAAGAGAAGGCATGGAAAAAGTAGCTGAATGGGATGGGCAGGGAAAAAAAAATCCTAAGCTCACGGGGCGGGAGCAGGCGCATACAGGGACGGGGGTCTGTGAATAGTCTGCAATGGTACCTATCAAGATATTCACACGTTTACTAAATTTAATATTAAAAGTAACCTTCATTAGCTATTATTCATTGAAATTAGTTATTTACTTAATTTATTATTCATTTTTAAATAAGAAAGTAGGTGTTTTTCTATATATAATAGTAAAACTAAATAAATAAAAATTAAAAAAGTTAAAAAATTAAAAATTTTATTAATATAAATATTATTTAACCTTTATTAATATATGGATTAAAAGTAATTCATAAAGCTCGCGAGCTTTATAAAAAAATATTACTTAACGCAGTATAGTTTTAATGATATTAAAAGACATTAAAACGTTTTACTTATATAGCATATATACCGTAATAGTGTGCGGTGAAACTTAGCTACGTAGGGTTTCAAGTATTTATATAGGCCTCGCACTCATATTTTCATTACACACTCTTCATCTTGTATTCAACCTTCATTGTTCACACCTTCAGACAGCTATTGCAGCGCATATAGCCGTGGCATTCTTTTCATGGCCATCCTAGTCGCCGTGCACTCCGTATGAGCCATGTCCTTGTGACTATCTCTCCTTCCTTCTCGTCTTAGTCGGCTGTGCTGCTCAGGAACAGGCGTCTACCACAAGGATAATCCAAGGAAGGGCCATCTTTTCGAAGAATTCTTGAAGAGTTTACGGGATGTCTTCTCGTGTGAGTAAGTCGCATCGCTCTAGACATGGTAGTAGATCGAAGAACACAGGAAAGTCAGGCAAGGCGACGCTAAGTAAGAAGGCAAGCAAGGGGTCGCCAGGCAAGCCAAGTAAAGGGTCAGAGCATCAAGGCTAGGAATAATACCTCGATCTCTACCGCGCAGTTTATACGCCAGAACTCAGAAATCATTGCCATTGGGCCCTAGCAATCCACGATCAGGAATCGGAGCAGTGGCATATTTTCCAGGTTGTCCAGGAAATGCAAGACGGCCCCATCAGCCCCGATCATCGGCTGGTCAACCCATTGCATTCACCAAGGTGCCGCCTGCCTCTCACGCCCTTGGGCCAGATGCGTAAAAGCTGGTGGGACACGCTCATCGAGAAAATCGGGATGATTCAAGTTCCAGGGGAAGGCCTATCCTGGAATTGCCAGGACTATGTCATGGACATTTGGGGCGTTATGCACCATTTCGGGATGATTGACGACGGCACTTGGGAAACGGGCAAAGCGAGAATGATGCCCGACTACGGTCCAAACTTTGGTGGTGGGGGAGACGAGAATGAGGGCGAAGAAAGTCACGAGGATGACGATGAGGGGCAACGTCCGGTTTTGTCAGAGGAGTACATTTATGATTCAGATGAGTGAACTCTCTCAGCTGTGGACCAAGGAACGATCCCACACCCTATCTACCAACCATTGAACTGAGTACTGGCGCGGAGAGAAGGATTCTGGGAGGTACATGTACCAGTCGTCATTGTCCCTCGCGGTCAGGTTGTTCGTCATCTTTACGCACTCCCAGTATTCCGGGTAGAATCCACTTGCTTCCCAGTCGATAATAGCAATGATCTTCCAAATTCCATCCTCGGCTTTCTCAACCATAATATTTGCTGGGCGAATATCGCCGTGTGTAAAGACGCACTTTGCCGGGGTTGTTGGCATCATGTCGCGTAAAAGCCGGGTGTATAATGGCGAGGCTGTAGCGGATCCAGCAAAGATAAAATCTTCGAACTGCTTGATATCCATGATTGGCTGCGAGGAAGTGCGTTGTCCTCGTCTGCCATCCTTGCACCCGTCTCCTTGGACGCCGCCAAGCGGAGTATTAGCCGGAAATGGAAGCCGCCTTAGGTCGGAGAAGAGTGTATCCAGCTGGCTGCTAATGGACCGCTTCTGAGCATTATCCAGTTGAGGCCATGCTTGCTCCAAGTTCTGTCCTGGGATGAAGGTCGTAAAGAGAAGGCCGTATTTACGAATACGTACGAGGCCGTGTGGTCTCGGGGCGGGAAAGGCGGGTAGGTGTTGTTGAAGGAACGAGAGAGAATGATATTCAGTTGTGGCAAACCCTTCGTCCGTGACCTTGAGGACAATAGTTTCGCTGACTTTGAAGACCATGACAGACGCTGCCCATGCACATTTGTAGAGGACTTCGCTTTCGTCCAGGAGACTGATGATGGCTTCCGAAAGGCTTCCAGCAATTCGAAGAAGCCCTCCCACTTCGGTTGACAGCTCGCATATGATGGTGGATGGGTCAGTAATACAGAGTCTGGAGCGGATGTCGCTGTCAGGGAACAAAGGCCTAGGCTTTATCCCTGCCAGTTGGACGGCTATTCACATTAACATTAGGAATAACTGAAATAGCTTAGGGGAATATTACCTGGTCTCTTACACGACCGTAGCTGCTCAGAATATGTAGATGGTAAGAGGGCGGCGAGATCGGCCTCGGGATCTTTCGTCAACGCGGCTTGCAGCCCACTCAAGATCTTCATGTTCCATCGAGCCGCATAGGTTTTGCGATTGGCTTTATTAACGCGACTTTTCGATGGCCTGCTGGCCGAGGCAACGCTGTCCATTTTATGATGGGTTCTTGCGTTGTTATTAAATTTAAGAAATAAGGATATTAAAGGCCTTTCAGGCCTTCAAGCCTGGTTAGATAAGAATGCTTGAGAGGAGGTAGTGATGATGCTCCCTGCTGACCCTAGGTACCTAAGGTACCTGTCTGTACCAAAGGTATTGCACAGGTACCTCCCGATGTACTAGGAGGTACATGTACCTGCCTATATCCGGTACCTCGGGTGTCTCCGCACACCCACACGTGAACCCGCCTTGCGCCCTACAACTGTGCATCTTACCGAGCGCGTCTTGAACAATTCGCAATTCCTAGCTTTTCCATCTCTACTTTTCATACCCGACCCTACCATCTTCGCCATTTCCTTATGCCCTCCCGCAAATCTACAGCTTCGTTCCTGTCGAAATCTCCAGCTACATCGCCCGTCGTCCATCCCATCCCATCTTGCGTCGCTGCCTCTGCCTCCACGCGCATGCCAGCTGCAAGCCGATCGATCCACCAACCGACCATCGTGACACACAATCGGCCTTCGCCTTCTCCCTCCCTCCCCCCTCGTCTCCCTCCCGCACCGCCTACGCTCAACTTCCTCTACTCGCTATCGCCACCTCAACCCCCGGGCTCCCCTTGCCAGCCGCCGTCATGGCTGGGCGTCGACTCAGGGCGATCTCCAACTCGACTGTCGCAACCATCGATGACGCAGCCATACAGTATTGCACAGAGGACTCCCTGCTGAAGCCGGTGCCTCCCACCATACACTCCGACCACTGGCCTTGCTTCCTACTTGTGGATGCCACAATCTACCATAAGAATGGCACGATTGCGAACCAGCTGCATGTCGAATTGGAAGGGCCCTTCATTATTCGTGGCAGGGTCGAGATCGAGAAAGACCAGGATGAATTTTGTACCGTCCACCTGCCCCCTGCCTCCGAACCCAGCTGCGCGTCGGCCGTCTCTGACCTTTGGATACAGTGGTAAACCGTAACATCAAGAGCCGGTCGGTGTGGATACAAATCCAGAACAGCATGACCTTCGCTATCGGCATGAACAATGCGCCTGTCCTCTGGGCTGGTGGCGTAGCGGGCTGGTACGAGATTGTCCCCTCTGACGCGTACAAGGCCACATGCGACATCATGTTCCAGGGCATAACCCTCTTCTTCGCGTTGGATCAATATGACGAGACCCCCAAGACGGGACGAGGCAATGGCAAGAAGAGCAAGCACAAGACCCGAGCCGATCCAGCCTTACCTCTTGACGATATGCTTTTTCAAGTGAGTAGCTACGTAGTCTGGGTTGATCCGCTTCTGATTTACGTGTCATAGTATGCCGTAACGGTCGGCGACGGGATTACCTTGCCAGAAGCGTACGATCGGTTGAAAAGCCAATCTATCTTCCTCCTTTCGCATTTTCCCAAGGGCACCCGGTTTTATGCCTGGCTGACGAGCGAATTTCCTGTAAGTCTACTTCGCCTCGGATTCGGACCGGGTACCGGAGATTGACTGGAAATACAGAAAAATGCACAGAAATTTGTTGCCAAGGATTCCGACGATCTCAAAGCTGCTCGAACCTTGGATCCTAGCCCTCTAACTGCGGTGCCGTATTCGTCCCTGGGGAAGTCCAACTCGTTTGAGGTTGCCGTTAGGAAGAGGAAGGACAAGGCCTCCTTGACGGGAACGGCCTTGAGGAATCTTCGCAACAGCGCGACCGCTGATCCCGAGGTGATCGATATATCAAGCGACGAACCACAAAGCCGAGGGACCAAGGCTCCCAAGACTAAAAATAAATCGTCTATCAATACTCGGTCCGACTCTGTCAAAAGCACAGATGCAACAATGTTGGACGTTCCCGACGACACTGCGTACTACAACGTAGCCTCTACGCATCACCTAGGTGGGGCGCGGCCCCCCCCCAACGCGGCCGCCAAAGTTGACACGACGCAGTCGAATTTCCAGGGGGGGAAAAGATCCGACAGCCGTGGCATATCTGCGCTGCTCGAGGCTTTGCAGTACTTGCGAAATGATATGTTAGAGAAGGTCAAGAAAGGAACGCAGAAAAAACAGCCGGATCATGTGACTCCTAAGGGTTGGTTTAATAACCTCTACTTCCAGATGAGCACTAAATCCCCTGCCGCGGTGCCCGAGTTGTGTCAATACTACGCCCGGGATTTGGCACGACTACTTGGACCGGAATGGCACAAAAGCAACTTCTACTTGTGGGTAAAGGAGCGTGTCGATACGCCACCAACGTTCGACCTTATTACCGAGGAAGACATGAAGACAGTGAGGAGACGCCATCAGAAAGCTAAGCCTACCCGTGACGAGACCAGTGCCACTATAGAAGAACAGCAGAGGAGTGCATCCAGTGGTGGGAAGCAACCACAAAGAGGACGTGCCGGGGGTAAGGTAGCTGGCCTTCGTCCTCCTACGGGTAGTAAGAAACGCTTGCGCCAGGAAGCGAGCTTCGACGAGGACGAAATGGAGCTCGACGAGGATGGATCGCTGAAGACGTCGAAGAGGTCGCGATACTCTGCTGACGACGATCGTGGCGAGGAAGAAGGTGATGAAACCTCAACGGTTAGCGACGCCGAAGAGGAAGAGGAGCCGACTGCCCGAGTAGTAACCCGCGCCGAAAACTTACCTTCTACGACACCGACAGGACCAAACCAAACATGGACATGCGGAGAGCCCGATTGCGATTATGTCGTCCGAGCCGCCAACCAGGAAGAGGGCCAGGCACTCATCGCCCAGCACCACGAGGAGCACGAAAAGGCGGCCCAAGACGAGGCTAAGCAAGCTGCCTTGAGCAGGGCGAACCTCGCGCTGAAGGAATCGCAAGGGTATATGCCTATCAAGTATGTTTTTGCGCCATTAACCCCTCCTCTCCCTCTAGTAATGATACCCCCTACGCTATGCTCTAGATGTGTAGTCATCATCCCCAACCCGTTGCCACGCGCCAAACGGTATTAACCCTCTACTTCTTCTAATCAACCTATTACAGTAACCTGCTCGCAAAGATCCGTAGCCTCGGCGACAAGACGGAAAGGCGAAACGAGGTACGGCTCAACGGCCAGACACTCCCGCAGCCTATCAAACGCGGCCTCTTGATATAGCCTGCCTCATCGGCGCCATACCAGGTAGCGGCACCGTATTATCCGCGAGGCTCTCTCCCTACCCTCCCTCTCTCCCTTCTACCCTAGACTATTAATCAGGCGCGGAAACGGTGTTATATCTCTCGGTCTCATGTCCAGCGCGAGCTTATCAAAAGGTGAAAAAAAAAATTTCCTCGCGCATTTTCACGGTTGGCGGTGACGAAGAAGGACGGACGGATGGCGGAACGAACGGACGAACGAACGAACAGACAGATGATATTCTCCTTTGACCACTCTCCATACCCGGAATTTCGCATGGTTGTTGCATGGGCCCGGTCGTTCGGCAATTGGCTTGGCTATCTGTCGTTGCTGCCGACCACGGGTCGGTCCCGTACTCTCCCCACCACCCACTTGTCGCCTCTTGTCTCCTCGGCTCTTTGTCATCGCGGTTGCGCGTAGGTCTAGTAAGAGGGGGGAGCGGGTGTAGGAACAAGGGAGGAGGAGTAGAGGCAGTAGAGAAGCCGGGGGGTAGAAGAAGAGGGAAGACACGGTATTTGCCTGCTGCCACTACTAGTGTGGCTGGCTATCGCTCTGCCTAATGTCCGCACACGCGTTATATACTCCCCCCCCTCTCCCCCTTCTCTATTTGTACACGGCATAAACACAGGCTAGGCCGTAGGGCCCGGCCAGGTAGACCCGGACGGGCAGACTCCCTCGCTCGCGAGCATTGAGACGACTTTGGTCCTGAACCCGGCGGGTTCGGGTCTAGCCCCGCAGGATGTAAAAAGCAGCAGTGGATCGCATCAGACGGCTCTCGAGCTACCATAGGCAGCTACGTAGAGAGACACGTAAGACAAAGGCGCCAACGCCGCCGATAAAAAGAGAGGGTCATTAGAAAAAGTGTACTACTATGCAACCGGCCACCCGGCCACTTTACGCGTACCTACCACGCGCGACCTAGCTATGGCGAGTGACAGATGCACAAATACATGTCTTGCCAGAGCCACCTATCCATGTGCTCGTACTACTAGGTACTTCGAAGCTGCGACGGGGTAAGGACCGCGACTTGGTGGTGCCATGCACGATGAGTAGGGGGACCTAAGATAGGCTGTCTGCCTACGTACATAGGGCTGGTACTCGCGACGGTGACGACGACGACAGCAACAATAACGGCAACGGAACAGGTAATGGGTATTACGAGTTTTCCGAATTGCGTACATCATACCCAGCAGGCCATGGTTGTATGCGTATCTAGCGTAGGCCGAACTATGGGGATACGCGACGATGAGAAGAGGGGGGGCATTGATAACAGGTATTTATTCACGCGCCCCTCTCCTTTAGTCGCGGCTCCGGCCCCTGTCGTCCCCCTCGCATATTACAACCGCCTTCTTCCATAGCCGTCATAGATAGACAAAGCCTACAGGAAACCATACTTTTCTCTTCTGTTTCTAAGGGGCTACAAAAATTTTGCTTTTCCGGCCCGCAAACGTCTTCTCGAGGTCAGGGGTGCTTCGAAGCACATCAACAGTGTCAAATGTCAAGTGGTCCAGCCCCCGTAACACAACAGCGCCAGACCAACCAAACTTAACGACGGTTGAAATTGTGGCCGAGGGGTCGATACATCGAGTTATGTATGCACTCAACCAGGTAGGTGGTACTGATAGGCTCGGCCTTTCGAATTGACTTGCCTGCTCTGGTTTCCGCACGCATCCTGATTGGGCTCTATAGTTGGGAGACCGTAGAATGATCCGGTAACGGGTTATCGGCGGAGCCTAAGAAATATGGAAGCTTTATCCCAAGTGGCTCGATCCGTAGACGAGACCTCGTTGCCCTTCAGCGTCTTAACACCGGCGTGAAGCGCGTCGAAGAAGTCGCAAGCGATCTCCAAGTCCTCGAAGAAATGTGTTGCGTACGGCACGAACGTACCGGGAAACTCCGTCTTCTTGGCAGCTTTCTGCTCGGCAGTCTCGTTGGGATTGATGTCATCCAGCAAGGTCTTGACCGCAATGCCGAGGGCCACGTCGGTGTCGTTCAAGAACGGTAGTCTAAGCTGCGTTAGTACACAGGGAACGATACATTAGAGGAAGATGCGCTAAGACGGAGGGACAAACCTCTGACCTATCTCCAAGTAGTCATCCCTCTCTCGGTCAGTCTGGGCAAATAGTAGCAGGGACGCCACAATCGCTTCGATGAGGTCTCGATCCGCCTCCCGAATAGATGAGCTCAGCGATCGGAAGCACAAAAAGTTCTTGCTGAGCGGACCAGTGTAACCATTGGCCTGATGGCGCATCTTCAACAGGATGGCGCAGCGGCTAATTAGCAATAGGCTTGCCTTGTCGTCGTCGGTTCCGTTCATTGGCAAGCCGTTTAGCTCCGGATGCTGGTTGCGGGCATTGAGAAGGTCGAACCTGAGCAGCTCGTAGGCGAGAAGCACCGCCTCGAACAAGCCGGGGACCTGGCTATTCTTTTTAACAGTGGGCTCAAGCGCCTCGAGAGATGACGCCAAGGCCTCCCCCCAGGATGTGAGCCGGTGGTTATCGTTTACGTAGCCGCGCAGGTGGAGGAAGCGCCAGATAGTAATAGAGGAAATCAAGTCGGGGGAGATGCCCTTCGGCTTCTCCTCGGCGATCGTGCTCTTCGCAAAGTCCGCATTCTTGAGAGCCGTCACCTCGAAAAGAATAGAGCCATGCTTGGCGTTGGGATAGAACTTCTTGGCAACGGCGCTCTTGAGGTTCCAAGTATGTGAGCGCTGCAAAGGCTGGTTGTCCTGGGGCCGGTGTTCAATCTTTTGAGAGTACTTGTCGTCGTACCACACCTTCACGGTGATCGGCTTATATTGGATGCCCCTATGCAATCGCGGCAGCAAGAGGCTGAGAGCCAACTCCCTCAGGGGCATGAGCTGGGTGGTCACTAGGCGCTTGTATTCCTCCGACTTAACGCCGTCTAGGGTCGGATAGATGACGATCTGGCCATGGGAAATCCAGCTCAGCATGCGCGCTCCGATCAGGCCAGTGTTCAGGTAGTGAAACAACTCGGCCGGGAGCTGATAACCGAGGTATTCCCAGTTGTCTCGAGTCAACGTGTCGAAATTATGAACCTTTATCTCACCGCCTTCGTCTATGTAGACGAAGTGGTCTATGCTCATTCTAGCTTTGCGGTACTTCTGCAGCCAGTTCAATTCTCTATTCTTCCCTAGGATGTCGTTAAAGGAGTTGCAGGCGTTGGCGACCGATTTCTCCGAAGTACGCAGCAAGTTGACGGCATCCTGTACAGATGGCGGCTGGCGGGCCGTGATCTGCGGCTCCTTTAGCGGAGGGAACGTGGGTAAGAAGGAGGTTCCTGTCATCAGCAGGGCATCGATAAACAGCGACTCGGTCACACCCAAAGTCTTGATAATCGCCTTCTTGGAGATGGCGGTAAAAGTGCCCGCGTCCCAGTCAATGAAGCGGACGACGGCATCCTTGATCGGGTATAGTAGTAACTCCTGAGATCCCATGATGGCCGCGCATTGCTCTGAGTCAATCATATCAAAATAAACAAGCTTCAAAGCTCATTAGCGGCGTGGTCCGAAGTCGTGGTAGACGAGACTCACTTGCGCGGAAGCATTAAAGGGGGGCACCAAGAAGTGGAGACCGCGGCGCTTGAGAATTCCTTGTAGCAACGGAAACAGGTGCTGGACGAGATAGGCCCCTATAGCACCACCATCTTAGCACCGCACTCTGGGTCTCCACAAACTATTGATGACCGTACCTCGATGGGAGCCAAAGGCCGTGACCGCTTCATTGGCCTGACTCTGGAAATACAGTCCCCAGGCCTCGTCAGTGCCGGCGATCGCTCTCTTGCCCCTCTGGACGGAGACATCATCCTGTCCCTCGATCGCTTGTCCATTGAAAATGAAGAACGGAGTGGTATTGTTGGTCTTCCAGCTGTCTAGGTCATGCTCGATGTGTGATTGAATGCCAGTTAGGCCGCCGAGTGCAGGAAGAAGCGGCTCGTGGTAAGGAACGTTGTCGAGGAACAGCTGGAGGTAATATGCAGCGTCCACGGCAATGGCGCTATCATCGAGGTGAGAGACGTCGGCGGATCTAGAAATTCCATTAGCCCAATGGCGCTAGAATTGGGAGAGGAGACGGATGGGGGTTTGGGACGTACACGGCCTGCTCATTGATCCAATGGTCCTCGAAAGCATCTAGAAGCCAAAGTTAGAGAGGAATTAGATCGCGACAGAAACAGAGGGCGGTGAAATGCAATTGCTTGGCTCCGACGGTACCGCTGCAACCCTTCGGCGAGAACCCCCCAATACCGCGGGCAGAAGATAGAATGGTGTTCCATCGATCAGTGGGGCTCTTAAGATTTAATATCCAACCCTCGATATCCATCCTATCTGATCGGACCGAAGCGACAACAGACGACTGCACGGCAATTCGGTGTCGCTAATGCACCACCACCAGCCAGACAGACAAAGGGGGACAGCTCGCGCTGCCAAAAGTTGCGGTATGAGGTCACGCAGCAAGTAAGGCTGCAGAAAGGCGGGTGGATAGCATGGGTGCGTATACGGAGCAGAAGCACAAGTACCGGAACCAAGAGAGAGGAGAGCCAACACCGGCATGGAGCAGCGGTCGCACAGGGATACCGGCACGGAGACAAGGCGAGGGCAGATTGGACGGCTTCGAAGGAAAGACCGTGGGACTCACTCGGCATGTTGGAAGACTAGGAGCCACGCTCCTCAGCTCTGCAGATTCGGATTGTCGTTTACCTAGGCAGAAGAGGTGAGATTTCTCGTTTGCGATGGGGAGTCGCGGACTGGGAGGAGGAGGAGGAAGAAGAAGCGGGTGTCTGCCGGTGGCTGAAAGGAGGGACTGGAGCTTGACATAAAATAGGGAATTGGATCAGGCAGAGGGAAGAAGAGAGAGGCGGCACGACAGGAAGGCGAGGCGCACCGTTCGCATTCGGTGTGGGTGTTGGCGCGCGCACGAGGGAGTGAGGCGTGTATGTGCGTGAGGAAAAAGAGAGAGGTCGAGATAGAGAGGGAAATAGAGAGGAGGGAGGGGGGAGAGAGGGAGAGAGAGGGGGAGAGAGGGCGGTGGAAATAGTGATGGCGACGAAGTTTGAGAGGTGAGCTCAGGGAAGGTAGAGCCTCGACTTTGGTCTCGCTAGATAATAATAATTTGATCGACCTAACACTTTTGCCGTCCCAGGTGGGAAGGTGGGGGGGGGGGATGTAATGGGCAGTCGCAACAGGGTTGAAACAGGCACCAAGTACCTGAGTACGTACGTACCTCGATCGTTTACCCACCCTTTACCTGAGGTCGGGAGGTACCTACCTAGCCCAAGGTACCTAAACCTAACAGGTGCTTTTAGGTTTGGCAGTGTGCCTTGCTATGCAACATGCCGCTGTATTATGTAATGCGCCAACGGGGTGGCCTGGAAAGAGAATGTACAGAGGTAAGGAGGGTACCTAAAATAATACCTACAGGTCGGCCTGTATTGGGTGCCACCTACTACCTAGGGTACTGACAAGTCGCTAGAGGGTCAACGTAAATCAACATACAGACAGGGTAGGCCAGGCAGGTCTTCCACAGGCAAAATTAGGTCCCCAAGCGTCCAAGAGTTGATTCGATATTATTACCAATAGGTAGGTACCTATGGCTTGGAATCTGGGCTGTAGGTGATCAACCCTGATTCATGTCGGCAGAACGGAGCACTCCGACACACAGAGCACTCCGACACACACATGCAGGTAGACAGGTACCTACACAAAGAACCCCATCTTGGCAAAGAACCCTATCTTGGAGTTAATCTTATCAGCTACCTGCCACTTGCACACACATGCCTCCCATAAGGGACCGACTCGGATTCAGATGCCCATCATCTGCTAGGTACCATACGGGGGGATGGGGGTCTATCGACAGTATGTCACGTACTATCACCCTCCTTAGAAAGGATTACTACAGCTGAAAGTATTTCCATCGCAATACTAAAGCGAATTAAACTCAGGATGCGATATAGGTACAATATCGATACTATATTAATCTAGTAACCCCTTCTAAGGATAGAATGACTGTCGCATATCATGTCTAGCTAGAAAGTATGTCCGAATCGATATAATATTGAAAAGGTAATAGATACTTACCTTATTATAGTAACTACCTTGTAATACTTATATTAGATTATGATAAAATCCATACCATGACCTTTGCTGTAAGTATCTTATACTTACAGAAATCGTTCGTCGTTATTACATCACTTGAAGGTCATGTCCATACCGTATCCGCATTGCAGACATACTGTTGATAGACTCCCCCCTCCCGCTATGGTATTTATTCTTGATCGCCCGTCCCCGCGTTACATCCCACAGCACCAGAAGCCAAATAGAGCACACACACACACACAACACACCCGACGATGGCTAGCGCTGCAACGATCCCCATCATCGACATCTCGGCCGACGGAGCGGACCGTGCGCAAGTCGCCAAGGAGCTGGTGGACGCCGCCGTCGAGTACGGCTTTGTCTACATCAGAAACGCCAGCCGAGATATCACGCCGGAGCAGATAGACGACGTCTTCAACGTGGTACGTATGCGGTGGCCCCTCTGCGCTAGCAACCAGGAGATCGTCCCCTCTCCTCTCGGCCTTGCCCCTCCTGGTCTGGTAACGCGTGCGACGCCGACTAGCCAACATGATAGATATGTCGTGTCGTTGCAACTATTATTACTATTCGTCTTACGCTACATCCTCATAATACCCACAAAGAACCCCCCCCCCCCCCCTTCAAAAAAAAAAAAAACTCCCCCAACGCCGCCCCGTCTAACCCCTTGTACAGTCCAAGATTCTGTTCGCGTCGCCCCTCGAGGACAAGCAGCGATGTCAGATCAAGAAAAACAACCAGGGATGGGCTGGGGTGCACACCGAGACGTTGGATCCGAAGACGCAGCGAGTAAGTCAGCCTTGGCCACCGAAACATGTCAGCCGTACCGGGACACCCGCGCCGCCCCCAACTCGGCCGGCGGCGCGAACAAACCGCCTCGGACGCTAACACGGCACCTCGACATAGGTCGGCGACTTTAAGGAGTGAGTAAGCTGTCTAAGCCACAGTCCTGCCTCGCCATAGACCTACTCTACCCACCCCTCTCTTCGGCGAAGCGCATTGGGGGCGAGAAAGAGACGGAGAGAGAGAATGAAGGACATATCTACCTGCCCAGCCCACGCTGATTTAGAATCGCCCCCAAAAAGGGGCTTCAACTTTGGCACCTTCGACGACGAAGGCAAGGCCACGCAGCCCATTCCGCCGAGCATCGAGCCGCACCAGGCGCAGCTTGCCGCCTTCCGGCGGGCATGCCACGACCTGTGCCGCAAGCTGCTCCTCCTATTCGGCGTCGGCCTAGGTGTACGTATGCTTCTGCTTCTGCTTCTGCTTCTGCTTCTTCCATCAAACGATCCGTACCATCGCACCCCCGTTCATCCCCCCACGCCCCCTTTCCCCTTTTTCGCAGTCTCAGGTTCGCCCGTCTCGGAACGGGATTGGCTACTCGGGCTTCTTAATATATCCATCTGTACAGAGATACATGAACCCATACCTATACATCCTTATCTACATCCCCTCTCCTTCTTATCACCTGGCGCTCAAGCAAAGCCACCCTAATCATGCCCGCAATCCCCACCCCCCTCCGCAGGTCGACCCCCCGGACTTCTTCACCGCCGCGCACGACCCCGGCCTGCCCTCGGGCTCCATCCTGCGGCTCCTGTACTATCCGGCGCCCGACGGCTCCGACGCCGCCGCGCCGGTCTCGCGCCAGGACGGCGACGTGCGCGCCGGCGCGCACTCCGACTACGGCTCCGTCACGCTGCTCTTCCGCCTGCGCGGCCAGGCCGGCCTCGAGATCCTCGAGCCCGGCACCGGCGCCTGGGCCCCCGTGCCCGGTAAGCCCCGTCGCATCCACTCCCCCCCACTTCCCTCCTCCCCCCTCCCTCAAACCGGCCAGCCTACGAGCCATCTAACTCGTCCCCCCACAGTCACCCCCCCAGGCACCGAGAACGACCCCGCGCCCCCGATCCTGGTCAACATCGGGGACCTGCTCTCGTACTGGACGCAGGGGCTGCTGCGCAGCACCGTGCACCGCGTGGCCTTCTCGGGCGGGCCCTCGTCGTCGTCGTCCGTCGTGCCCGGCGAGTCCTCGGATGCCCCGCGCTACTCCGTCGCCTACTTCTGCCACCCGGCCGAGGACACGCCCCTCGCGCCCGTCCCGAGCCGCCGCGTCGCCGAGCGCCGCCCCGAGTCCGCCGCCACCGCTGCCGCCGCCGTCATGACCGCCCGCGAGCACCTCGCCGCGCGCCTGCGCGCTACCTATCTCCAGATGTACGCGCACGGCGCCGCGGGCGAGAGCGCGTAGGGCTACGGAGAGAGGAAGGCGGAGGGGGGGGGGGGGGGCGGGGAGTACTTGGCGGTCGGACGCGGGCCCCGGAGACCCGCCGGTCCGCTGTTTTGCCTGGACGGCCCGAGGCGGCGCGACGCCCTGCCCATGCCTACCTACCCATTTACCCCCGCAGCACGTCCCTTCCCCCTCCGCCCGCGTAGCCTATATTGCACCCGTGCGCGCGCGCGTCTGGCCAGGCCGGCCGGTAGGTACGTAGCCCGGCCGTGTAGCCGGCTGCGGCACGCTGCCGCTTGGGAGGTCCAGGCCGGCATATCTATAAAGTTAGGCGTCTTCCCGGGGCGGACTCGGTCGCAGAGACGTCCTCGGCGAAGGAAGGAGACTCCGCAACGGCCACGCGACCGCTGATAGGAGGATCCCTAGGGAAGTCTTTCAGAAAGAAAAAAAAAAAAAGCCCGAATGTTGTATTGAGGAGTAAAGAGTCTGTGAGATTATGACTAGGGAGACTTTTCTTTTTTTTTTAGCAGGCCCCAAACGCCGGATGAGATGAGCCGAGATATTCTCTCGGGCGCCGCTCGCCGAGTAAACAACTCTCTGCAACAACGAACTTGGTGGTGGTGTGATTAATATATGATGATCCCCTCCCCCCTCCCGGCCCCCTTCCCCCTTCCCCCCACGGATGGAACCTTTCGACAAACGGATGAGACGTTGTCGCTTATATCCCCTTTTCACATGCAATATATCCCGTAAGCCATGCCCCCCACCGCCCTAAGAATGCTGGTTTTTTTTCCCCCTGTCTTCTCTTCTATCGACCAATGTAAAATGGGCTACATATGTACGTCGGCGTAGAGTTTTCCCCCATGGAAGTTAATTCGTACCCCGTGACAAATTCGCCTGTCACGCCGACGCATAAACTAGTGGTCGCGATATCGAGTTCTCGGGACGAGTTCCTCCCTCAGCGGGAACTGCGAAGTAGCCAAGTGGTATAGGATGATGACCTTTTCGTTCCGAGATATAAAATAATAATAAAAAGGAAAGCGGGTTGCCATAGCCGTCGTACCCTACGAGTCATGCTAGCCATGATTCCTCGTCCCTCTTCAGTCCCCGCTGCGACGTGCATAGTCAGTATTTCCGTATCACAATAGGACAAAGAGTCTCCCCGGGCGGGGTATGTAGCCGGTCGAAGGGCCCACGCGTGTCCTCGACTTCTTCCGGATCGACAAGTAGAATGATGACGGAACCCGGGAACCACCTACCATTATTAAACCCTCGTCCACGGAATCATCGTCCCCATCTTCGCCTTCGTCTTCGTGGCCCGCGACGCCTTCATTCGCTTCGGCTGTGCTCTCGAATGTGGTGGGGCCACTCTCGTCCGTAAACATCCAGGTCATCCCATTTGCCTCCTCCTCCAACGGGAAAATCTCGCGTGCATATTCCTCTAGCCCTCTGGGCCCTTCCCACAAGGCCAGGGCGTCTTCGGGACACTTCCTTTCGAGTTCGAGGTCTCCGAAATACGGCGGCTGTCTCGTCGGGTCGTTATTGCTCAGCGAGAAGAGCTTCTCCAGCGCCTCGAGCTGCGCTCGATAACCTTCGGGAATCTTTACCCTCAGTTTTATGGGTCCTCGCTTGTAGCGTACGCGTCTGCCGACCCCCCGTTCAAATGCCTCGCAGGCCTCTAGGGGCGTTAAATACTCGTAGGCCAGCGCGATGCGCCTCCCATTCCACTTGCTCGGGCCGTCCTTGAAGACCTGGATGATGGCGGGCCCGACGTCGTGCTCGGCATCCAACCAGGGCAGCTTCGCGTTCGGGTGGAAAGGAGCCTGCCACTCGAACGAGCCGTCCGGCTTCAGCTCCATGCAGAATAGCGGGTAGAGAAGTGAGGTGAAGTTGTTGTTGTATATACCGGTGTAGACAAAAGTGGAAGGAAGTCCTATCTTACGAACGTACTCTTCGGCCTCGTGTTTGGCGGCCCAGAGGGGTAGTGAAGGCCATTCGGGGTTGTAGGCCGCGTGGTCGGGCATCGACGAGTACACGTAGTGCTGGACGCCGGCGCGCTTCGCAGCGTCCGCGATCGCTTCTCCGATCTGTATCTCGTTTCCGTAGAAGGTCGTGTTTATGAAGGCTAGCTGCGCGCCGTCAAAGAGCTGCGAGATTAGAGAGTGGTTCACGAGGATGCCCGGGAGCGGCCCGTGGACGGTGACGTCTCTCTTGTCATCCGGCTTGTTGCGAAGATACAACTCCCCGACGATGACCGTAACATTCGGGTTGGTCGCAACTTCGGTGGCTATGACTCCCTCCAGGTTGCGCAGCTGGGCGCGTACCTTGTAGCCCACGGCAGTAGCTATGCGAATTAACGAGGCGGCCTGGCGACCGCTCGCATTGATAACGGCGATCGTCTTGTCCGGCGACGGCGTCGACCGCTTCAAGGGGCGGAAGCTCAACGAGTTGTTTCTAGACATGGCCGCAAGAGGAGAGCCCTCCGAGTAGGAGGATCGCGTGTGCTTGTGCCGCGTACCGTGTACCGCCGAAGATTTGGGAGATGAAGAGGCAGTTTGGCCGTTTTCGCCAGGAGGTGGTCGAATCACCAAGTCAGTCCGGATGGGGATGGGGTTGGTGGAAGAAGGCATGGCGATAGCGTTGGCTCGGTCAGATCTCACTCCAGGCCTAGACGCCCCGAGCCGATTTTATAGACCAAAGGAACGGCGGGATCGTGAAACCCGTTTTTTTTAATAAAAAAAAACAAGACCAGTCAGACGGCCGGACACGAACACCTGGACAGGCGCGCGTGACGCTGCGATGATGCAAGAAGAGGAAGGGACCGAAGTCGCAACTAGGGATGACGAGAGGGAGTTGGTATGTCCATCGAAGGAGTCGTAGCAGCAGAGGGCCTTGGGCGGCGCTGGATAGGGAACCAATGGGCCGAGCCTGAGTGTGTCGGACGGGAAGGAGTTCACGATAGTCAGTCTGGGAGGTCTAGGAGGTCCAGACGGTCCAGGTGGGTTAGGTGGGTTCAGGTAGGGGGGGGGGGGGGGGGGAAGGGGAGCCGGGCAGGGTTCGGCAGAGGTAGCGTTGGGTTATAACTTAAGCGGAAAGCTCAGGTGACGGAGGTGACAGCGGTGACGGAGGAGGGGGTGGCTGGTAAAGGTGATAGAGGTGACCAGCGGCAGAAGTATAAGTAAGTAGGTAGTGATGGCTGAGAGTGCTAACAGCAGAGGTAGTCGAGGAGGTGGTAGGGATGTTCGTTGGCCTGGGTAGCGGTGGTGGACGTGAGGGAGGCAGGCTGGACGAGAGAGAGAGAAGAAGAGGATGGTATGTATGGTAGACAGGCAGGTCAGGTATGGCGATAGCTGGTGCGGTACCTTGTTTTGCCGGCGGTTTGCGGTCGGGTGTGCTCTAGGAGGCACGCAATATCTTAGTCAAACAGGACTTGCTGCTATACAGAGGTTTTAATTGTGGATATCGTCGTAGATGGAAGTTCTATCGACCTGCAAGCCCCCGAAATGAGGGTCCGGGAGGGTGTGGACAGGGAATGTAGGTAGAGGTAGGTGATGTTGGGTACGGCCAGGGGGTGTGTGTGTACATGTGTAGGCAGGCTATGTACCTGCACCTCGTGGGCCGGAGGGCCTGGCTAGCCCTTTTGGTAGGGCAAAAAGAGGTACCTACTGCGTATTTTTGGTGGAATATGTAGGTAGGCAGGTACCTGCCTCTACGCCCTGTGTACCCTACGTGGGAGGCAAGGTACAGGTGTACGTGCGGCGGGTGAGGCGAGGGTATGCAGTATGTATGTAGGCGGGAGGTAAGGGGGGCCGCCCAGGTCACCGTGGCAGCCAAGGTCCAGCCGGGTGTCTCCCGAATATCGCGAGGTTCTGGAAAGACCTGGTCGGCGCAGCGCGGCGGGCTGAGAACTCGGCACGAAGTCGGGAGGTTATGGACGTAGGGGGGTAGGTGAGGAGAGCCAGGCGGGCAATAATAGGTCTAGGTGGCCACCTTGCCGACGAGGACGGATCGGATTCGGATTTTTGGGAGCCCCGTATACCTAAGCTTTCCCACGATAAGCTTTTGCGTATAGATAGGCCAGGGTCGCGCGCTGCGGCTGGCTGGCGGGCCGATCAATCTAGCAGGCATACAATACAGCCCTAGAAGGGAGGCAATGCGGCGTGGGAGGTGACAGGTCGTGTCGGTATGGGGCCTACCTGTCAGTCTCTGCGGGAGGCAGGTAATAATCTATAGAGCGGGTATGTGGCCTTGTGCAGGTTATCGAGGGCATGCAAATACTGATTTACATTGAATAGTCGGTATATATCCTTACCACTTACCTACCTACCCACCTGCCTGCCTACCTAGGTGAGTATCAAAAGGCGAGCGGATGCGGATAACGGCCCTATAGTAGGTACCTAGGTATGTACTTGCGGTAGGTACCTCTGGGTAACCTACCTCCTACTATAGATACTTACGGTACCTACGATTAGCCTGACGACCTCAGGCACATATCTCTAGGTAGGTAGATAAGGAGAGCGCGCAGAGCAAAGGAAGATGGCGTGCTGCGTACAGATAATGTGCATGAGGAGGCAGAGAGACACAATGGGAGGTATGTTGGTAGGCAAACGGGCGATAGGCCGATGGGCTGATTGGGGAGAAGGAAAGAAAAAAAAAAGAGGGACAAGGAGGGTGTGGGACAAGACGGGTACCCTCCTTACCCTCCTGGTCTTTGTGGAATCCGGGGAACTGTTCCATGGATGGGCGTAGTCCCTCCTTGGGAGCTGATGCCGACCTCTAGAACCTGCCTAGCCATGTAGCCACGCCCACCTCGACCTTAAAATAATCATCATCATGGGTCGAGGCGGGCGAGAGGGTGTAACTACGCGGCGGGTACATGCACTCCTGCCTGGGGGCCAACGAAGTGTATGAGTATTGTATAGGAGGTAGGTCTAGACAGACACTTAGGTAGGGTAGGATAGACAGGTAGGGAGGTACCCGCCGACCTTGGACCTCATCGTGGGTATTTCCTCCTCCTCGGCAAGCAGAGGAGAGCACGTCGGTGGAAGCCTCAGGTTGTTTGGAAAAGTCGGACAAAGAAGAGAGAGGACGATAAGGGCGTTTTGTCCTAGAAGCGTCCCCGATTTATATGGGGGTTTTGGGGGTATTATGCGGTGGGCCGTATCCTTCTCACTGGGTCTTTGTATACCTATGTAAGACGGAGATGGACAACTTCCACTGAGACATGTTGTAGCGGCGCGGGTGCTACGGGCCCAGCCCGAGTGTTACCAACGTCGAGGACAGCCTGGCTGACAGGCTCTGTGACCACGGGTTCCCCTATCGAGAGAGGGAGAGGCTGACAGCGAAGCCAGATGCGACAGCAAGAGATGATGTGCGTCTCTACGTGTAACAGGTTGTCGGGTACCGGGGTACCGAAATGGTCGCACAGACAATCCAATGGGAATGCCGCGGGCGGCTGCGTGGACAAGCTCCGCGCTCTCGAGCGAGTACTCATAGAGAGTCAGGTAGGGCACGAGGGCGTTTTTTAGTAATGAAGGCCGGAAAGCGGAACAATTGACAATAATCAGTTACATGCAGCATATGAGTTAGGTAGGTAACTGGCCGATACCGAGCAGGGATGGCCGGGCTGACACTGGGTACAAGCCTCTTTTATCGCTTACCTAGGTACCCCTACGAGGTAGTAGGTACCATACAGGGAGGGGGGGGTCTATTGACACTATGTCAGCAACCCTTTCTATGACTAGACATAGTATCTGCCTCGTGATAAGAAGGAGTTAAACTCTAGGCTAACATTATTACCATTTCCCGACATAGTTACCATCCGGACATAATGTCATTATTTTAAAAAAGGTATATTCTATAGGATTACCCGGTTACCTCTATGTTACTAAGTACGTACCTTTGTACCTTTGTATCTTTTACGTCTAATACCTATTTCCTAACCTCCTACCTATCTACCTACCTACCTCTTCCATAGGTAGTAGATAGATTCCACGCCCGCGAACTAGCTCCTACAGGTTCGAAGATAGGTTCGCAGATAGGTTCGAAGATAGGTTCGCAGATAGGTTCGCAGATAGATAGATAGATTCCACGCACGTACACGAACTAGCTCCCACAGGTTCGCAGATAGGTTCGTAGATAGGTTCAAAGATAGGTTCGCAGATAGGTTCGCAGATAGGTTCGAAGATGGGTAGTAGATCACAGTATATAGAAAAAAGATGAAGACAACAGGTCTAGGTAGATAGGTCTAGGTAGGTAGGTAGGTAGGTAGGTAGGTAGGTAGGTAGGTAGGTAGGTAGGTAGGTAGGTAGGTACCTATGGAATATATAGACATTATATCCGTCTGGACATTGTCATATCCGTCTGGACATTGGTTCCTACGTAGTCATAAAAACCATCCTGAAATTATAAGAAGGGAAGGTAATAAGGTCGGTACCGCGACCCTTGCTGTAATTCTTTTAGCCCCTCCGAAAGAATGACTAGCTAAGGTAACCCTTACTAGATTTTGTTACCGTGTCGGTACCCCGACTCTATGGCTGACATACTGTCCATAGACCCCCCCCTCCCTGTATGGTAGGTAGGTAGGTCTGGGCTGCGGATGGGATAGAGAGAGAGAGAGAGAAGAGAGAGAGAGAGAGAGAGAGAGAGAGAGAGAGAGAGAGAGAGAGAGAGAGAGAGAGAGAGAGAGAGAGAGAGAGAGAGAGAGAGAGAGAGAGAGACAGACGGGATCCGGGTAAATGCCGCGGGAGCACGTTGCGGACCAGAAGGCGGCAAGGTGCGGTGATAATATATCCCATGATAAGGCAGGGAAAGGAGGCGGATCGAGAACGCTCAACGGTTTCCCACGGCCCAGATGATACGCCAGTCGGCCGTTCAGGACTTCGGTATCCTTATCGCTCTTTGGAGGGTTGCCATGCGCCGATCCGATCGCATGCGGAAGCAATCGAACTCGTGTGATTGATCGGCCGTTCGCGCACCCCAAGCAGAGAGCCAGCGCCTGACTGGCCGCCGCCGCCCTCCATCGCACACATGCGGCAACTCAACCCAGGAGCGCGGCGGCGCGTGATTGGCGTCCCCGAGACCATGCGGTCTGGTTCTGGAACGCTGCGACGAGATCGGAGCCCGACCGAACGTCAATGTTGTGTAAGTCGATGATGAAATGTATTTGGTATTATCTATCTTATCTCTTCCCAGCAGCCGTCACCGCGTGCGTGAGCGCGTGCGTGTGCGTGCGAGCGTACCTAGGCTACCCATGGCGTGCACCCGTCGATGGCATTTCCCCTATCCTACACTAGGTACCTACATACCTATCTACATACCTACCTACATACCTATCTACATACCTACCTACATACCTATCTACTTCCCATATACCTACATGTATTTACGGACTTGCCTACGGGCGGATCAGGTGGATGAGCCAGCGTATCGGCACGTTATCGCAGAGGGATAGATGCAGGTAGCCCAGGATTCGTGGATGAAGACACGAACGAACGAGCGCGTTGGAGCAGCATGTCGGCACCTACATATACCCATAGGTAGAGGAGGTAGTCAGGCAGACACCCGCCTACTCACCTGCCTACCTAGCTACTTAGATAGATAGATGAGGTAGGTGGTTGACTGCCTACAGCATCGAAACTAATTGCTCTGTCAAGGGTGGGATGCAATTCATTCTTTTCATCTAACTACCCCTGCGTCGACATGAGATAGATTGATTTGTATGCACCTACCCAAAGTGATGGGGACTCGATTGAAGGTGGTGTATATATTGTGAGGTGCCTCCTAACTTACCTATTCTTACTTTATTATGTGTATGGTTTGGATCTTCCCCCCCCCCACCCTACACTGCTCTATTCGTCTTCTTCTTTTCCGCTTCTCATTCAAAGCCCGGAGTCCAAATCCCGCTTCGAAGTCTCGTGAATTCGTAGAATGTAAGTGGGAGGAGAGTTGATGGGTCCGCTTACTTATGTGCTTCTACTACTACTACTACTACTACTCCTAAATCCGGCAACACGCTAGGTCGGTCTCGTCACGGTGGCTTACCGGGGGACGGGGGGCTGCTCTCTTTTTCTTCCTCCCCTCTGCTCTACTTTGAAATTCTCTTTCGCTCAGCTGAGCAAGCTAGATACGGTATCTAGCGGATTCAGATTATGTAAAAAGAATCGAGCGTCGTTGGTTGGCGCCGCGTCGAAGTAGATAGGCACTTACATGACAGCGCACGTAGAGTTGATGGATGTGGCGCGCAATACTTTCATAATAGGTAACCACCTACCTCCATCTTGCCGATGTAGGTATGTTCTGCATCCTAGTCCGTGTGTGAGCTCTCTTTGCGTCAAGCCACCTATCTTCGGAGGGCGGTCCGTCCCCTTTCCCCCTTTTGCCCGAGCCCTATGGCGAGCGCGGAAGACTGGCTCGTCTCATACCATCATACTATTACCTACCTACCTACGGAGAGTGTGGGGAACGTAGGGAACAGGTCGCGCAGACGCGATAGATCTACCTGCGTATGTACCCATCCATCGCTACCTAAGAGAGAGGTAGGTAGGTACGTAATAGTAATGAGAGGGAGCCTAGTGTGCGGTTTGTGTCATGGTAGGTAGGTAGAGGTACGCATATATGCAGGCTGTGTAGTTATGAGGTTAGGTGGAGGGAGGTAGGGTCTGATCGTAAACCGCCCGCCTCTTCATCCTTCTCCTCTTCATCCGTCTTCTTCCCCTTGACCCTTCTTCTCCTCTTTGCCACTTATCTCTAGACTCTAGGTATTACCTCCCTACCTTACCTTACCCGGAGATCCCTGGGCTACGCAGCGCCTACCTCAGGTGCCGGGGAGTAGGTACTTACCTCGCCTTAACCTCCTAGCGAGTGTGTTCCCCATCGCACCCGAACCCGGCCCTCGTCCCCTCGTCCTTCGTCCGCGGGTCCAGCCAGAGACGGAGCCAGCCCAGCGGCCAAGCAAGCAACCCAGCATCGCCTACGATTTCGTGCTCCGTCGCGTCCAGGTGACCCGATGCCCTAACCGCGGTGGGTTTGGCCGGTTGGCGACGCTGTGGGGAGCAACCTGGTTTCGATTACACATAAAACCACATGGTTGACATGGCGAAATCGTACAGCCGATTTGCGACGCGCCCGCCCATGCCACCCCATGCGCATACCTACCGCCTACCCGCCTACCGACGTACTACTCTAAACCTGGCACCCACTGGAGCCACCATCCGCTGCATCGGACTCTCTCCCTCTTCTGCATTTCTTTTTTTTTCTTATTCCTCTTCTCTACTCCTCTATTTGTCTGCTTTCGGGGGGAGGAAGGGAGGGGGGTCAGGCCTCGAGGATTGACAAGATAACCGCCGGCCAATGGCGGAGCTTGTCTGATGAATAATACATGGCGAGCAGGTCAGACGTCGGAATCCCTGGCTCGACGTTATGATAGCGCGCATACACGTAGGTACACCGCCGTAAGAGAGCCCGCCGGTATCGTGGCCTTTCCCTATTATCGTCATCACGTATTATCGGCGGATACGTGTTCAAAGGTGGAAACCCGGCTCTCGAACCCTCGTCGCGGCCGCTCTTCACCGTATCTACTTTGGGTAAGCTACCCCCATGTAGGCAGAGATGCGGCTACGCAAATACACCGGCCTCCAGTATATGCCGGGCCAAGGAGGTAGATGGGTATATATATAATTACGTTAGGTAGTATGTCTACCTTACCTTAGGTAGGTAGGTATATGACAACGCCGCGCGAAGCCGAGAGTCGGGAGTGGGAGGGATTCTATGAGTATGTTCTTCTTCGATGTAGGTAGGTATCTGTGCCCGGGCGGGCAGGATGAGAAATACCCATCCACACGTACATACATACGGATGCGATGTTTATTCGGAGTGCACCGCTTCTAGGAGGGTATCGCACCGGCGTCGTCTTATTATTGCCGATACTAGCAAATCCCAGATGCACGTCGAGACTTGCCGCGAGCCCCGGGTCGCCAATGGGAGGGGGGAGGGTTGCATCATCTCGCTACCTAGCGAATGCGATGGCCGCCTCCCTCTCTCTCTCTTCGCCCACTCAGGCAGTTGACGGTGGACACAAGCATCGCGAGCCCGTTGTTTTATTTTATTTCTATTTTTATTTTATCCCCCCCCCCTCCTACAAAAAATACACTTGCTTATTTATTTCCTAGATTCGAGTACGATGATGGGAATGCAAATATGCATAGGTAGTCAGCACCACATGGGCGGCATGGTACCTGCAAGAGACCGAGAGTGATTGTTTATCTTCAAAGTGCTACCTAGGTGCTGCCGCCTGACCCCTCGGTCTTCCGTTCCCCTCGCCTTCGTCCTCCCCTCCCGATTCGGCATCCTGTCTACGACCCAAAACGAGGCCAGACCGGTGTCCGTTGTGAAACCTAATAACCATCCAGAGGATATTTCCATGTGATGGCACGCGTTATGCCGATTCGGGCTTGTCGACCCGACCCGTCGCTAAGGGAAGGGAAGCGTTGAAGCTGGGGAGGAGAAGAAAGGCCCCCCCCCCCCCTTTTTTTTCCTACCCTTTCTTTCGACGGCTCGTCTTACCTGGCGGCGTCGAATCGAATCGGCCCATCCAGGCGTGTGCTAGTAAGCGTGACGGAGTGGGCAGCGAGCGAGCAAGTTGAGGGCATCTACACACGTACGGACACCACCCTAGGTAGCTAGGGCATCTCCCGTCGTATCAGAGCACCCGCGACTGCACCGGACAGGGACGGGCGGCGGCGAGTGCTCTTGGCATTAGGTATGTTTTAGTAAATAAAAAGAATGGGATGGGTCGCATCAATGCAATCGAGCACGTTCTCCCGGCCCTGGCAACATCGCAGCACTTTTCCCACCTCTGCGGGCATCCATCGCCTGTCCCGACCGGCGCCAGCGACGGCCGCGCTCCTTTACAAATAGTCGTGCTGGATCTTGCGTGCTATTACGTACAAGACAGTCAAGCGAATCCTGGGAGCCTCTCCCATCCACAATATCCGCCCTGTCGCCCGTCATCCCCTATCCTCACCAGAGAAGGGGGCCTTCTTCTAGCGCTAAGCGTGCCCCTCTCTTCTCTTCTCCCTCCTCCGTCGAATCAGCATTTCCGTCGGATCCTTGCGTCCTGCTTCCTATCCTTCCTTATGAGCCTATTAATCCGCTTCCACATCCTTCTGTTGCTCTGCTTGACTCGGCCGGCGAGAGACAATTCGCTGCTGATGCTGTTGGTTTTCCTACGTCATCTAGTTTAGGACTCGCACACGCGCACGCCCACCCCCTCCCCCTACCAAAAAAAATGGAAATAAAAGATTCGCCAATGCGACTTCGCCAGCCGGCCAACCAATAAACGACCTTGCCGAGTGGGCAGCAATAAGACTTACCCCGTGAATGGGTTCACCGTCGTGGTTGTGCATTTCTAACGAGGTCCCCACCAAAGATCCCCGTCCGCCAGCCCAGGGTGGGTTGTTTGCCTTAGACGGACTAGGTCGCTCGCCCAAATATGCGAGAAGTGCAACCGTGGCCTGGAGGTGCCTTGACCAGAGCCGGTTTGGTCGACTACGCCGGCTATATTCTCTACCTACCCCTTGGATTTTACACGATCGAGGGTCCGGATGCGGCCAAGTGAATGGTGCTGGTTGTGGACTTGATCCACTGCCACGCAGCTCGCGGCGTCTTGTAATGGTTGAGAGGAGAGAGTACGCGTTCGGAAGAGGGTACGCGGGTCTCGAATCACGTTGGAGCTAGGTTCCACGGGTTCGAAACCAAGTAGTCGGAGAAGTTTTCTATCGTCTTCCCGTCTGCCCAGCCATCGTAGGCCGTCATCTGCTGAGTCGGCTCCGCTATGCCGCCTCCATTTGCCATGGTATCGAAGTAGTTCTACCAGTAGGTCCGTCAGAGGGAAAAACGGTGGTCTCTCGTGATATCTTAAGGGGGGAGGGGGTTGGGAAATTGGCGGAAAGAACTCACCCAGTCGTAGCCATCCTGCGTCATCCAGGGGACGCCCGACCCGATCTGGTCTATACCATCGATCGTCGCATTCGTGTTCGGTCCGACCCCGCCAAAGCCGGCGAGGCTCTCGATAGGTGGCTCGTCGTTGTTAGACGTCGTCGAAGAGCCGCTGCCGTCGATCGCCAAGTTTGCCATCGACACCGTCTCGCCATTGCCATTGGTCCTGGTGCTCGACGGCTGTGATTCGGGGGCTCGGACTCCCAGCTGCGTCTCTATCCTACGAAGCACTGTCCGCACGACCATCTCGGCTTTCTTCGATTCCAACAAGTGGCCAGCCATGTAACGCCAGACGGTATGTGACCTCTGTAGCCGCCGTAAGAGCTCGGATCTCGTAGGTAGTTGCGGGCCACGCGCTATCCAGTTGCAGTCGCTGCCGACCTCCCAGAACTTGTCTGTTTCGAGCACGAAGGCGACGACCATGCCCCCTAGCAGGAAGTCGTTGGCGGCTAGTGCCGCGACGAACCAGCCGCCCGAGTTCAGCATGCCGCCCGGCTTGCAAGATTCGCATATCATGTTCTGGTATTCGAGCAGGGCGAGTGCTGCGTCTAGGCACACCCGGCGGGAGTAATCCAACTCCCGCTTCTGTACGGCTTCGACGAGGTAACGCCGGTGGAGCACGCATCGGCTTTTCTGATATAACGACGCGAGGCCGTGCCGCTGAATGACCAATATTGCCGGATCCATCACGGACTCCTCCACGGGCTTCGCCCTCATAAAATCCGGCACGCTACTCCACACCTCTTCCAGCTGGGTGTCGATTTTCGTGACTTCGGTGTATGTCGGGGCTGTCAGAGAGTGTGCTTGCCGGACGACCAGGCCAAATACTCGCGCTATCCCCGCCTTATAGATGGGGTAGGTGAGTGGTGTGTAATCTGAGTTGGGCCGAGCCGGCGGCAGCTCCTCGGTGGTCTCGTCGAAGTCGCTATCGGCGAGATTTGTCGGGAGCGACGTATCGGTCTCTATTCCGTGCATCATGCAAGGGAGGCCTACATTGAAGGAAACTAGCAGGTCGATCTGCATGGCGACGTTCCACAACCGTTTCCGTATCTCACCGTCATAAGGGGTGATGTTCGGCAGTCGACTCGGATCGCGATGCAGGCCCATCTTCAGCATGAGCCGGATGAGGATGGACGAGAGTAGGTAGCTATTCATCTGGTTGTCCCGATTCGTGACGAACTCCCCTTCGACGTACAATAGGAATGCCTGAAGCGTGTGAGGGCCCGGTTGAGAATACTTGCCCCAGACGAGTGCCCAGCCGGCAGCGCCCCTGAGCTGCTTAAACCTGTCTGCTGCCGGCACGGGTGAGTCATTCTCCAGCTCGTGCGGCGCCTGGAACATGGAGAAAAACACGCCAAGCGCCAGTATCATATAGAGCAGCGCTATCCAATGCAGCGGCGCCGCGTCGAGATTCTTGCTGTATTTTCTGTATTCCTTCAGGAACGTTGGAACGTGAATGGTGTCTTGGTACGAGTGTAAGTAGCGGGTCCGCGCCTGGGAAAAGCTACCTCGAAACCACATCTAAGGAGACACTCACGTTGAGAAGGGCTGTTCGAGTTGAAGTAGCGGTTCATAAGACGGTCAACTATCGGCTTTGCGGGAAGGAGAGATAATAACTCGCTCTTATTCCTAGGTACTCCGCGCGAGAACATCATAAGCTCGCCAGGCTGGGTATTCTCGTACGGGTCAGAAGTCTCGTCTCCGTCCTCGCTCGAGTTTTCGAAGTAGCTTTTGAGGCCTTCAATCTAATCCACGCTTACATCAGGCACACGAATTCCCAAACGAGGGAGGGAGGGGGGCGGAGGTTGACGATGAACAAGACATACATCCTCTAAGATGGCCATGAAGTGGGTGCCGCCAATGTAGCTAGCGCCGGTATGACCCCGGATGATGACACGTCCAGCTGTCGGTTCCGGGACGGTCTCGTCCGAAGACCCGGGGAGCCCGGACCCGTCCGGCTCGATTATCTTGCGAACCACTGGCCTCAGCATCCGTAATTAGCAATCAACGCTCCCGTCTCAGATACAGTCTCCAGGGCGCGCATTGTGCTCTGGGGGGTCTCCTTCGGAATCCCGAACCGGTTTCTCGTCCTTTTCCACCGCCTCTCCAGAGCAGACAGCCACTTGGGCAGATCTCGTGGCACGAGAGAGAGAGCAGCAGGCGAGGCATGCCGAAGGAGAACGTAATTTATAGCGGAATTTAAACAGGTCAATAGGGCGAGGAATAAGGCGCGACGTACTCCCCTCGAGCCTCTTGAGCCTCGCGGCCATGCTCTTGGCCGGACGGTGGTTCTTCTCTGGCCGCGGCGCGTAGAGGCACACGTCCGGCTTGCCCTTCCGGAGGCACTGGCCGCACGGCGTCGCGCGATCGCACTTGAGCTTCGAGCTGCGACACGGCGCGCAGCTAAGCAGCACGCGGGTGCGCTTCTGCACCTGCGGTGGCTGCCGACCCATCCCTGCCGACGCACTCGTCCTCGTGGCCACGCCGGGCGCCGCGTCCGGCTCTCCGTCCGGCGCTGGTAGCATCGCCTGGTCGTCGCCGCTGCTGTTTGGCCCGCTGCTCTGGGCGTCTTCCCGGGATGGCGCCATGACTTAGTCCGCTGTATCTGTTTCGTCAACTCTCCGCCTTCTAACGAAATTTCCGTGCTAACGCAATGCATATACGCGCGCCCGCGCCCAGTCGGGTATGATCAATCGAGCGCCTATCGAGGCACGCTGGTTCGACGGATGCCTTTATTAGAACCAACAGCTTCACGCAGAGAGATGAAGCATCCAGGAATTCTTTCCGGGTTTAACGTCTCTAATACTGTTTGGCAGCTGGCCCTTCTCCACTCAGGCCAAGTTGTGATTATGTAACTACGCCAGATAGGATCAACTACGGTACCTCCTAGTAATGCCTAGGTACTCATAGAAGGTACCTCTCGATGCAATACTATCAATTAGAGCTAGGAGGTACCTACCTACCCAGGTAGGTAATGTATTAGGTACCTGTCTCCGTATGATCATAGGTACCCGAGTATTCAACCTCCCTAAGATGCTGAGCACTCGACTCTTTTTTTCACACGGGCATGAGCAATATTGCTGGATTCGTAGTCTGTTTCCTCGTTGACTAACGTACCTCTCTACTTTCACGTCCTCTTCGCCGCCTCTCTCACAGTAGTACCGCACACTCTAACCGCCCTGCTATCACCTTCTCATGATGAGGGACCATGCCGGTTGTGAATACTGAAAACGCATAGCTCAGTGCTGCCCAAGCGAACCGCTCTTACGGCGTGGCGTCTACAGGGAGGCGACGGCAAAGCAGCACACATTAGGCACCAGCCGCCGGAGCGTCAATGAGGCAGATCGCCTCAAGTTAAGATATCGAACACGCTTCTAATTAGATTTTATTCATCCTCCGTGGTATCATCGAACCGAGGCACCGACGCGAAACCCGCATGCGTGTTGGTTCCCTCTCATTACTATCGCTCGCGCAGCAGTCATGTAGCTAAACAGATAAGCAGATATCCAGAAAACATTACCCATTTCTTTATATTACCCTTGTTTTTTTTTTTATTGCCTCGCACTCTTTTAGGTTTTCTTTATCCTGCTAGACCTCGCCGGCATACCCTAGTTATGGAAGTAGTGGACCTGCCACTTGAATTGGAACGTCCAGGCTCGAAGAAGCGAATCCCCGCTGGGGTATGTGGCATGGAGGTGCATATGCACCGGCTGCCGCCGTTGTTGGTCGGTAGCGAAGCACCGAGGTGGCTATCACCATGTGATCGTGGTGGAGCGGGTTCGCGGGTCCTGCATACCGGGAATCAATCCTCGCGTGCCGCATTGGATGGTGGCGACGCGGTCGCGAAGATCGAACTCGACTGCCCGAACCATAACACGCTTTTCCTCCGGGATGGTCCTCCTAAACACGCTTTCTCTCCGGCTACCCCAGCGAGCATTGCCGCCGGGGCCGAGGGGGACGTCGTCCCCGAAGTTAGGAGACCCGGCAGATCTAGCACCAGGACTGTCGAAGGAAGGCCGGCTCGCGTCCGTCGAGCTCGAGGGAGGTCGTCGATAGTCCTCGGTAGCGTCGTCCTCTTCTATTTCCATAACCCACGACCCTATGCGAGCAGCCAGCTCGCTGTCCCACATACCTTCTCTCCGTGAGCTAGTCCGCAGTAATTGGATCGCCTGGCGCCGAGTCAGGGGGTCCCGGCACTTGGTAGCGACGACGAAGAGCGGGGGAACGATGCCCAGATCTGCGCTGAAACTCGGCTTGATGTGCCGGGCTGTGTACTGCCCGCCAAAAATATCGGCCTGAATAGGCTGGTGGTGGCAAAATTGCGGGTTCGGACATCGTCTCGCGGCCGCCCTTCGCTCTTCGTCGCCGACGACCTCCATACCTAAGTTGACGATATCTCGGAATTGTCTCAGGTAGGCGTCGAACTGGAGCTCGGTGTCGCTAAATGTCATATAGAACAGGATCACGCCCATGATCTGATTCATTTTCAGAACCGCGATCCCGATTTTCTCCTGACTGCTTTTGGCTGGAACCGTCCGCGATAGTAGGATGGGCTCGAAAGCTCTTGACCACGATTCGAGGCTCTCCATGAAGCTGACCCCGTACTGCTTCAGCGAGTGCGGAAGAACGCCCATGGGGCTCTTGTCCGAGGTATACGAAAACAGATTCTCAGTGAATCGCATCATCCGCTCGCAGAGAGCATCCCAGGCTTGTCTGGCTTCCAGAAGTGACTGGAAAACAACCGGAAGCTGTGTCGAGGTCGTCGACACTGGCGAGCCCCCATCGGACGAGGGAGAGATGGGGTGCTCATTGCTCTGGTTATTCTGGGGGGTCAGGCGGATGACGAACGGTTGGGGGAAGTGAAAAGCCATGTCGTAAGACTTGGCTTGAATAGCTAGGCGCGTGAACATTTGAACCAGGTCCTGTTCGACCGCTTCCTCCGGTTTCGGGAGGAAAGCATTTCTGCGCTCGGCACGTAGCATCTCCAACAGCCTCAGGCCGTTTTGGATTTGTATAATCGCCTGCTTGTGGTCCCCGATAAAGGAGTCGAAGCAAGCTAGCAGCACCGTCGCCATCAGACTCATCCTCTGCGTTGTGTGATCCCGAGGTGCCGAGGCCCTAATGGATTTGATCGCTAACTCGTAATTCTTGAAGGCAACCTCCCAGTGTTGGACGTAGTTGTCTATCGAGTCGACGGAATCAGACGGCGAACCCGGCGGCGATTCGGACATCTTCTCTAGAGTCTTGTAGAGGGCCCCTAAAGCCACTACCGAATACCGAATCGCCTCCTCCGAATGGCATTCCTGCAAGACACTACGGGTCCAAAACGCGCAGTCAAAGAAGCCCGATAGTTCACCAGCCGTACGTTCCCGGAAAAGTTGGAAGTATTGACCTTCTTTCAGGCCAAAAACAAGTCCCGAAGGGCGGTGCGTCGTCAGAGAGCTGGCTATCGGCGTCTGCGGCGGAGTGAGCCGTGACACTAGGGCGGTCTGGAGCGCTGGTTGCGCGACCACTGGCTGTGGTGGGCGGTGGGTCAGGGGTTGGGGCCGAACCGGTCGGACGGCGAGTTGCGCTGATGGGGTCGGAACAGCATGCCCGCCCGGCCTGGGCGCGATCCTGACGCCCTCCAAGGCTCTATTTCGCGGAGGGGGGGGATAGCCGCCGCAGACCTTCCTCGACCGAACACACTGAGAACATTCAGGTCGCCGCTCGTCGCATTTTATACGTCGCTGTCTAGAGTTGAGAAGCAAATGCTTAGCATAACACGCGCACCAGCACAACCAGCCGATTGGGAATCCATCGACCCGCCATCGTAAGCAAAGACACATACTTGCAGTTGTTACAACCCGTCTTGACTTTTGGCTTGCTCGTGCGAACCCTCCTCTGCCGCGGCTGGGAGGGATCGCCGGACGGCACGGCGGCCGCTCCCGCCCGCAGAGGATTGGCCGAACTCATCATATACAGGTATGTATGTCTCGGGATTGTCGTCACTCAGGTAGCGACACAGAAAGCCTGGTCGGCTAGCGTCCTCTTCATAACAAGCTGTTCACGCGAGACGGGAAGGGGGAGGACGATTAGGCCAATTCAGAAGGCAGCCCAGCAGCAGACTGGATATAACAAAGAGGAAAGACAATGCGGGAGACGTATCCGCGCGCGTGCGGGTCTCGGAGCAAGGGCTCGGCAAACGAGCAGTATATCGAGGGCCAGCAAACCAGGGAGCCAGCCAGCAGAAAAGAAAAACAGCCAAGGCTGCGCAACGCACGAGACGGCTGGTGGAGCGGGAGGAAGAGGCCTAATCTCGAGTTGACCGGGCAGACCCTATAAGTGGCGCATCGAGCAGCAGGTCGCCGTCGAACAAGCAACGCAGCAGCAGAAAGGGGAAGAGAGGAGAAGAGAAGCCAGCAAGGCGGTAGTGCCGGGGGTGAGAATTTTACGTCGAGTGGGCAAGGAGCGAGAAGGTAAGGAGATGGGATAAAGGTGTGGTCGAGGGGTTTCGGCAAGGTGGATATGCCACTGGTATTGTAGGTAGTTAAATGCCAGAGTCGCAGGGGGATGGGGGGGGGGGGGGGGGATCAGGATGGCCGCCGAGTGGGAATTTGGGGGCTTAGATGCGGCACAGCAGGCTGCACGCACTCATCTGTAGGTATTGGACGGGCTGCAGTCAGGTCAGTGACGGACAGATGTACCTAGGCAGGTAGGAGAGGTAGGTAAGTACCTACACCTCATAGCCGGCCTCCTCATGTACATGTATATGCTTAGGATGGAAATGGTACCTAAGGCACTCTCCTCTGAATACTTCGAGGTACATACGCGAGGAGGTAGGTAGGTACCCAGGGCACATACAGGTAGGGAACTTGCAAATGGCAACGGGACCTCCTGTCGGCTTGTTGTACGTAGGGGGTCGACGGAGGAACGGAGGCACGGACGGGAGGTAACGTGGGAGGTGGGTTGTGTTAGATGTAGGTACCTTACATACCTAGGTAGACCGATGTACATGAGGTAGTCATCTAATGCATGCAGGCACTGGGTCTGTATCATACCCAATCTTAGGTACCCAAAGATATGTACCTAACAATTCTCTAAGATAGGTACCTACCTCAGAACAGTCACCTCAACATCGTTGGAATGGCGTCGATACGCCATTTCGCTACACAGACGGTCATGTAGGTACCTCCCAGACCGGCCTCCATCCCGAGGACCCAAAAGGGTCACAATGGTCGATTTCGACGAACGCAGAGAAGCCGCCCAGTCCGAGGGGCTTGTTGGGGGGACCGGCCATCGTGGTATAACGTCCCTGTACATGCACGCCGTTGCCAGCCTGCTAACAACAACAGGCATGTTGCCAGTATCGGTGTTCGGTAAGTAGGTTAGTTGCCCTACGCAGGGAGCCGGCCGAGCAGGCAGCCTGTTAGGCATACCGATGCGTATTGTGCAACACAACCGGCACCGTCACGCCCAAGGTGGCCGTGGTCACATCGAAGAGAGGACATCAAAAATTCCGAGCGTCTCGACCACCCTGCCGAGTGTGAGTAAACACCTACCCAAGGCAAGGTTAAGGGTCCGGGGCAGACGACCACAGAGGTAGCGACTTTATTTATCGAGGCTGCGCACTGCTACCTCCCCCCTCTTGCGTCTGCATTGCAGGCAATTGACCTCAGAATAAGTCTAACGATATACCTAGCCATATCCCCCCCCCCCCTCCTCCTCGTCGTCTCGGTCTGTGAGCAATGGCATGGCGATGGCTGCCCTCTCTCCATCGTGTCATCACGCGCTGCCCACCTCGACAACAGTGGCCTCGGGCCACGCGCGATGGATAATAGATGATAGGGGAAATTGCGCCTGTGTGGGCGGGCATCCCGATTTCGATATGAAGGCACCGTACGGCGGGCACGCATCGACCCCTGTAAGTACCTACCCTGTGCTGCTGTAGACTCGAGGTGTCGCATGTCTTGGCCCAGAGGCGGCTGGCTGAGAACTTGTCGCGATATCATATCTCTGACCGACACTCAACGAAGGGTCGTGGCTGCGGGCTGCGCGTAAACCCATCCCCATCAACCAGCTTACTATCGAAAGTATAAAGCATCCCGGAATCTAGTGCCAAATAGATCTGGGTATGCCTACATCGACGATCAACGCTATGCTATCCGCAGGCTCTGGGGCCAGGCTCGTAAAACATGCCGCCACCAGGGAGTCGTCTGCTGCGTTTGCTGCTTACTCCATGTAGCACCGACCTGGGGACTGGGGTTTCAACAGCTGATGTAACAGGTGAGTCGGCGACGGTATTTGATTCGGAGCCGCACCACACAGCCAATGTGCGTCCCACTGGAGCCCGTCCGGTTTCTGTGCGTCTCCTGCATCGATGAGATCCCATTCCGCATTCCTCGCATTTCCCAACGCGACGTACGTATACGTAGGTACCTGCCACGTAAATATAGGGTAGGCAGGTAAGGTTATTTTTAACCCCCGTGCTATCGCTTTTAGCAAGAGGGCTCCCGAGCGCTAAGACCCGGGACTCTGACCGCCCGCCACCCGCCACGAACCTCGAGACAGCGTCAGGCTACCTACCCCTAGGTAGGTTAGGTAGGTTAGGTAGGATAGGTAGGTTAGGTAGGTTAGGTAGGTACTTACTCACCCACCATCCTCCCTAGGACGAGTACCCTCAAAAGGGGTAGACCACTAACACGGACGGCTAAGGGATTATAGTACCTACTTGGCTACCCACCTCCTACCCACCTGCTAGCCTAACCTGACTCAACCAGACCAACGTAGCCCATCTGGACCTCCCTCAACCTGGAGTCGTGGTGTAGCTATGCCTCAGGCGGTTGGGATGCCTAAAAAGTGTAAGAGGTTAGTAGGAGGTACCTAGGCTGGGTACCTTACCTTAGCCGTGAGGGGAGACGAGCCGACAGGTAGGTACCTGGGCAAGTCAGATCTTCACGCAACCATTGAGGTTCCAGTAGATTAGGCACTAATACCGAGCTCGACCTTGTCCATATCCTCCCTCCCTCCCTACCGTTTCTTCGATTCCGCTTCATCCACCACCTCCAACCCGCCCCGCCAAACACCGTGGCCTCCCTACGTGGTGGAGGCGGACGTCATGTCTTGTAGTGCCTCTTACCTGCATAGGTATGTGTGCGCACGCCCCGTTCAACCTTCCTGAATAGGTCCGCTGGCCGACTGTCTCAGCGAGGGCGAGGGGCCCCCTGTCGGCGATCACCATCATCTTCCTCCTTCGCCTGGCACATTCTGCACAGGTAGATCCCTCCCTCTCCCGGCTCAGGGCGCGAGCCAGGGTGCCCTCCCATCCTCGATCTCGTGCGGAGTCCGGGCCACTAACAATATTCGCAGTCTAGGCTTCGCCAAGCGGTGTGTCATGTTCTGTCGATGGCGCTGCTGCCACCTCGCCGCCCCCCCCCCCCTCCACCCGGCACCATCCTGTCGGGCTTTCGTCCAATCTTCTAGGGCCTGTTGACACGATCGATTCTCCCGCGGAACCGGCCCGCCGTCTTACGAAATTCTCGCAAGCCTCGGGCGAAATTACCCCAGCGCGCGCAATTGGCAAGTACTCTACCAATATCCACTACATTCAGCCCTACGGAAAAGCCATCCTCGCCGTAGTGGTACATCTGACTTGCAGGCTTGCGAGCTCCAGCACCAATCGCCCCCACCAAGGCGATAACGCCCATGGCCTTTCGTCGTGAATGTCGTAGAAACCAGAGCGAGTCTAGCCCGAGCCCGTCCTGCTCATTCTTGGTTCTTCGTCGGTTCATCAGCCCTATGATGCAACCCCGTCGGACGTCTTGATTCGCCTAGGCTCAATTCCAGGCACGACCCTTAGTTAGTCCCTTGACAGGTGAGCAGGAGGCCGCCACCCTCGCGACGCGCCGCACGGCTGGTAGACGGGTATCTCAGTCTCGGAGTCCTAGCCGTCGGCTGCTCTGCATCTCGTACGACCTGACACGGCGCGAAACTCGGCGTGCTCTGGCGGTCACACCAGCGGAGCGCTATTCGTAGCGCGACCGTTGGCGGCCCTCAATCGCAGCACCGCCGGGGGAATAGGCTGTGAACCCGAGAGGGCAAATCCTCTGTCGGCCATTGTCAGGGTTGATTTGCCCGTTTCGAAACATCCTCCCGCCCTCCGAGTGGTTGTCCGATATCACCCTCGCCTCTTTGTCGGCTGGGTGGAAGATCTCTGTGGCCTAGCCTGTCGCCTAGTTCTCGTCTCTGTATTGTTTCCGTATTCTAATTTAGTCACCCAGAGTACTACCCAGAGCTATGCACGTCGGCGAACCTCCGGCTAGGAATCCGACTACCGATCGCTCATGCGTACATTTACGAAACGAACTGCGGATCACAGTCGATCGCGTTTAACGACTGGGGACATGTATCACCATGTCTCACCCACGGCGTTGCATCTCGATGACAGCACTCCACGGCCCGGCACCTTCGTCGGACGTATCATGCGCGCGTCTACCTAAGCGTACGTATGTAGGTGCATCCATTCCTAATACACCGTAACATGTGGCCGCAGGTCCCCGCATGTAGGTATGTTGTCATTTTGAATCACTCCCCAATTGCGTTTTCCCTTGGTTTGGGACGTGGCGGTAGGAGACATAGCACCGGGTACTCAGATCTGACTCAGATTAGCCCTCGAGATGATGGCCTCGAGATAGAATCGGCTCTTTCTCCCCCCTACACCGTAAGTCGCGAGCTTGAGGTCTAGTCCGGCCGACGCGGGGCCGGCGACAAGACTTCATGCAGCAGAACAGACAATCACGAGATCAACCCCTCCGATCATCACCACACATCGCCTATTCGGGACACCAAGACGTATCGCGTGTGTGCGTGGTCGCGCCTCAAACACGGGTGTCTGGGGCTGGGGAACGTAAGGAAGAAGAACAGATGAGTAACTCAGCCTCTCTATCGTGGCGTCTAGCTTCCGTGGCTGCACCACATATAGTAGAAGAGGCGAGAGGGGTAGCCTATGTTACATTGTAGGCAGTGAGAGACCCCCAGTTCTCTTGGGACAGCAGGGGGGTGACCGACTTTTCATCGCTCTTCTGCCCTCCCTTGCCTGTCTTTGGTCGCGGGAGTCGACGGTGAGTGGGCCAGCAGGCCGGCAAAATGTGGGAGAGGCGCAGCGCCTCCGGACATGGCCGAACCGAACCAGTAGGTAGTAGGTCTCCCCTCCATGACGGGCCCCCACGATATGCACCCTCGGCAGGCAAGGGGGAATCCAGATGACGACGGTCAAGGATGATACACAGAGACGCAGGCGCGTGCACGAGCTGACGGTGCTGCCGGCTTTCGAAATTCTGCCTTGCGATGGTCAACAGTCGACGGTGGTCATGATGAGCGCCTGCCTCGCTCCATCTCGATACTCATCGCGGCTATGCTAGAGCGTCTAATACCTACCCCTGGGCGGCGCGCACCCAGGAATCCGGGACGCGAGCGACATAAGAGACGGCCATCATGAGCATGGAATCCCGGCGATCGTTGTGCTGACGGTGGTACGCAAAAGCAGGCAAAAGGGCCGAGACATCTGAAGAGGGGTGCCTGTATGTTTCTCACCATTGATGGGCCATCGGCGAAAGATGACTGGGGGCTTCCTTTGTGACGATGCGGCTCCGTTTGCCTTAGTCGTCTTGGAGCTCGATGCTAATGTTTGTCTCATGTCTTGTATGAGGCCTGGTTTAACTTGTCAATCCTTGCGAGTATCTCTATGTTGTAGCTCTAGAGGAGGAGAGAGAGGATATGTCTGTGTGGGATTCCGATGCTGTCAAATGGATTTGATCAGAGCCTTGGGGCATCTTACATATGGAGGTGGAGGTATCTTAGGTAGCTAATCGGAACCTCGGGGACGGAGTGGACACGGGTATACAAGGTAAGTTGTGTGCCTACCGTGGGTACCTGTATGTATGAGGTATCTTAGGTACTTGCAGGTATTTGTTCCGAGTAATATTCATATGTATAAGACGTCTAAGAAGTAGCGATCAAGCAATGGATTGATGGAATTAACACATCTAGGACATAGGTCATGACGTAGAGGTGCCTCGTAACAAGTACGTGGTACTTACGGTAGGCAACCCCGTTAGGAGGAGGCAACCCAGGATGGGCATGAGGGGAAGGGAGGGGTTGATCAGTAGTCGGCGGTCGGTGATTAGAAGCCCCGAAGGGCGCTAGGGGTCCTTCGACCTTGGGTACCTAAGGCACCTAAACTACCTAAGGTACCTACCCGGGTCTGATAACGATAAGAAACAAATCGGAGGGGAGACAAGAAAGAAGGAGAAATGCTAGGTATCAAAGAAACTAAGAAAAAAAATCAGGACCTGTCTCATGCCTCATCCCATCCCATCCCATCCTGTACTGCCTCACCTCGAGATCCGCCCTTCATATCTAACACTGATACCAGGAAAATCACGGATCTAAGTCAGACACCACCCGAGGACTAAAGAAGGGAGGCCTGTTAGGGTTGTTTCAGCAGACAAGGGGACATCCAGCTCCCAATTGATCGCCTACTACCTACCGCTCGAGCCCCCCGCGTCCTGAGCATACGTACGTCGGCGAGTTACAGGCGAGAGACGGTCAGCTTTCGCTCATCCGTCTCGGCTGTCGCTGGTGCTGCCCAAGACTGCCGAAACTAGAAACTACAGCATCCCGACTCATCCTATACCTAGGCCAATCAGCCACTCCATTCACCACCAGCCAAGTCAACGCCGATACGATGGCGTCCCCGAATGCTCCCCTCCAAACGCCACCACCTCCACCCTCCTCCTCCTCCCAGCAGCAGCAGAGTCCTTCGCCAGCCAACGCCAACGCGGGCAACGCTATCGTCCACAATGTCGCGCTTTGCGTGACGCCCATTGCGCTGCTGGCGCTGTTCCTGCCACCACGGCGCCTCGACATACGCGCTCTCATCCTTGGCGGCGTCGCCGTCTGGGGCACCAGCCGGCTCGTCTATGATTACAGCGGCAACTCTTCGTTGCAGAGCCTGCAGCGACGGCTCAGAAGTTTGGCGGGTCCCGACCTGCCAGAGAAGGCGCGCCAGACCCAAATCCGGCTTCGCGCCGAGCGCGCCGAGCGCACGCGCCTCCAGCAGCTGCAGGAGGCCCAGGCAGACTTGCCGGAGGAGCAGAGGAAGATGCTCGAGGAGCAGCGGCAGCAGAGGAAGCAGCAGCAGCAGGGGCCGTTAGCGGGACAGGACTCGGAAGAGCGCAAGGGGGCGGAAGCGAAGGGCGCGGCCAAGGAGAGATCCCTTTTCCAGCGCATATGGATGGGCAACGAAGGTGACGACTGGAAGGAGGAGCGCGCGCGCCGCGAGCGTGAAGCCTTCAGCGAGGGCGGAGGCGGCTACTGGGGCCTGATCACGGACCAGATCGCAGAGGCGTGGAACGAGAGCCGGAAAAAGGAAGGGGAGAAGAACGACCAGAATACGGAATCTGAGGGAAGTCGGCCGAAGGGAGCTTGACGCAGACGGTGTACACTTACCCCCATTTTTCGGAAAAAGGGGGGGTGGGACTGTACGAGTACGACGGCAACGTTCATACGATCTAAATCAGAACTATCACACCTATACATCAGCATACCTATATGTATATTATGCGAGGGCATATGGGAAAATAGGAGATAGGCGGCGTTCCGGTGGACATGTTTGATAGGACCGGGAGTGGCAACCCATCCACACGACGGGCGACCCAGCACAGGAATCCCTTCTCTCCTCTCAAGGAACCAGCCACTCATGCACTGGGCACCGGAGCATCCTCCGTACCGTGCTTGCATTTAGGACATGACTTGAAACGAACCGTGCCGCGCGGGGAATCCATACAAGTTGTAGAGTGTGGGCGCCTGTGTTTTACGCAACCACCCGAAAATCCATTCTCTATCCAGGGGCGACAAGGAGAGTTTGATAGCCACGGTACCAACGAAAGTCCACCATATTACCCAATTGACAGCAGAAGATGTAACAATATGAGGTAGGTATTATAACGCGACTTTCTACCTTTCAATTCCCCACATCTGCGTCGAGACCCGGGAAGCGTTGGAGGGGGAGGGGGGGGGGGGATCCAACCGATAGCGGCTCCGAGCCCACGAGAGAAGCCCCCTAACAGCTCCCGTTGCTTCCCGCCTCTCCTACCCCCCTCTCCCAGCATCTTCAGGCTTTATCTCTGTGGGAATTTGCCGAGCCGTCCTTCGCCATCTGCCATGGATTTTGGGGTATGAAGTTAGGTGGAGTTTCAGAGGAAAGAGAGGTGTGGTAGAAAACGGGTAGAGGTTGGGGGAGGTCTGGTTACCAAGCTATAATGTATCTTGGGTATCTCACGCGTCTCATCTTACCGATCTTGGTGCATCTGCTAGAATCCCCTTGCCGCAATAGCTTCATATTATGCAGCCTTTCCCCCTGAGACCCCGTCTATATGGGTAGCCCTCGAATAACAAGCCTTGCTATCACCCCTTTCCGCAAAAGACAGAGGCATAGTTGGATCGCAAGTCTTGCCTTTTCAAAGGGTATGAGATTTCTTGGTCTAGTTCTAAACCTAGGTAGTAGAAATGATGGCTTGTAGAAACATGTAGGTTTCCTAGGAGCCTGCCGGTTTGACGGCCCCCAATTTGCCGGGACCGGGATGATACTCGACTCACCCTCAAAGAGGGACCTCAGCTGGGTACTATTAGCTACGTGGCGACTTATACGCTTCCTCTTCCCTGAAATGGCCTTTTGGTGGCTTTCCAACACGTTACCTGTGGCTACGTATAGCTTCCTTCTAGGTGTGGGCTTCCTCCCTTTCCTCCAAGACACAGACACGCACGCCTCTGACTTACCGTCGCCCCCTTTCGTTCGTTTATATCGCCGCCGACTGCCTCCTTCCACCTCCTTGCCTGGAACCAACTAGTATGGAATCCACGACCCTTGCTTGTTTCCACATTGGCTGAGGTGGCCTTATCTTTTACCTATCTAGGCTCTCCTCGCGAATGCTCCGCCCTCGCCTGTTCCCTACCACAGTACACCTCAACATCGCACAGCCTCCTCTGCACATGCTCCTCTTCACGGCTACACGTACACCGCCGGGTTGCCATATTGCAGTTCATGACCCAACACCACACCCACACACCTTCTTCGACCTTACACTGCATTGGGTGATGGATACACCCTTTACTGCTCTTAGCTGCCCTCATCTTCCGCCATCGTAGTTGAGATTGGCACTGCCCTGACTTGCCGCCGCGGCTGTGCTTCACCACAGACGGCCGAGCGCGTTGCTTGGCTTCGTCTCTTCGTGACTCGAGTTGTTCGGAAATTCGTACGCGAGCTCGAGTCGACGCCGCACTCTATCTGATGATACCACCCGGTGATACTAAGTCGTATTTGCGCTCGTAACTATTAAACACCATAACTGTGACTCCGAGCTTCGTGTGCTACCCCGTTATCTCGAGACAATGCCCCGGGAGAAGCGCGGAGCAAAGAAAACCCAGTCTGCCGCCGCGGCAAATCGCGACAGGAAGGCGGCCGAGAAGCGCGCCAAGAAGAAGGCAGCCCTCGAGGAAGACGAACGCAAACGTGACCGCGAAGAGCGCATGATCGAGCTGCCTATGCACCCCGACGACGAGCCTTTTGTGATACGTGCTACGCAAGTGCCCCCGCCCCGTAGAAAGCGCCCTGCGAACGCCGCCTTTGACGATCACGCTGGGGATAGCATCAGCGCCAGCACTCATCGGAGCACGAGGGCCAGGCGCCGTGGCCGCCGCGACCCCGACGAGGACGTCGAAGGGGAGGTGGCCCCCAAGAGCCTCCTCCCCTGGGAGAATGATAAAAGGTTGGAGCAGCCTCGCTCTGCGTCCGACCTCGGCTATGATTCAGGCGATGTGACTCCGGGCCTGGCCCTAGACCCGGAACCTAGCAGCAGCGGCGGCTTCACCACCGCGGTAATGGGAGATCTCGGCAAGCTACCCCCGGAGATCCTGGACGAGGTGCTCCGCTGCCTCCTCGTGCACGAGGCCGACATCCGCGTGCTGCGGGGCTGGTCGCTCGTGTACTCGCGCGGGCGGCCGAACCTGGACCTGGGGGTGCTGCGGACGTGCCGGATGCTGCACGGGCGGGGGATGCGGGTGCTCTTCGGCGAGAACGTGTTCGCGTACGACATGCGCGACCCGGCGGACCACGAGCCGGCGACGGCGGCGGTGCTCGGGCACGTGTTCAAGCGCGACGCCGTGCCCATCGACGCGTACGGTCACCTGGTGCGCCACGCCACGGTGGTCGTGCCGGCGAACCGGCTGGGCACGCACGAGCTGCGCGCCGGCTTCGCCCGCGCCGTGCGCAAGTTCCTGCCCGGCGGCGGGCTGCGCGCCCCGGCCGCCCTGCACACCTTGACCCTGCAGCTGCCTGCGCTGTCGCGCCGCCACCTCGGCCTGCCCGGCGACCCGGACGCCGTGCCCAGCTGCGACCTCGTCGGCGGCGCCGTCCGCGCCGCCCTCTACCAGCTCGACGTCCAGCACCTCCGCCTCCTCGCCCGCGACAAGGACGGCCGCACCTTCGAGCACGCCGTCGACCTGCGCCACTACCGCAGCCAGAAGCAGGAGCAGGAGCAGCAGCAGCAGCAGGCGCAGCCGCCCGAAGCCAGAGACACCGAGGAGCACCGCGCCCGCTTCGCCCGCTTGGTCCGCACCGCCAGGGCGCGCATCTACAACCTGCCGGTCCGGCTCCAGGAGCTGGCCGTGCTCGGCCTGCCCGAGGCGAACCGCGCGCGCGAGTACTGGAGGCCGGTGGACGAGCCCGAGGGCGGCGGCGGCCGCCGGTACGTCGGGGAGCTGCTCGCGCTGCCTAGCGACTGGAGGGAGTCGGGGCAGGTGTCGCGCGGAGGGAGATCCACGACTCCACGCCTCGCCCCCACGGCCCCGAGACCACGGCGGCCGCGACCCGACGGGGCTGGGCTGACTGAGGCGTTCCTGGAAGAGGGAGCGGGAGTCGGCGCCGGAAGCGCGGGGTCTGACTGCTCGGCGTGACGGGCCCCGACGGAGAGAGAGAGACGGAAGAGCGCGGAGGAGAACGATGCGTGAACTGGCGAGAAGCTGTTGCGTGAGTACTAGGAGAGTTGATCGATGGTTTCGCGCGGGTCCCTTCGAAGTGGGACGCGGTGCTTTTGCGGCTTTGCGTAGATCTCGCCGATGACTAGGGCCTCGTACGGTCCGCTAGGTAGTTGAGTGCGGTGGCTTTGATTTTAGACAGACTAGGTAAGACAGATGTGAGCGCAAAAAAAGGAAGAAAAAGAACTTATTTTTGGCGGATTTCATTACCGGCCCCTTTGACGGGAGGTGAGAAGCCTTGACTAGGCGTCGTCGTGCTCTTTTCACTATGGTATATATCATCTTGTGACCGGCCATTAAGAGCTCCGCCAACATCACGGCCTCCTTGACTAGTTTTCTCTCGCCTTCGTTCTCGACAACCGGTTATGGGAAGCAGATATCGTATCGGCGAAGAGTATATTCGAGTTTTTCTGGTCTATAGGTATTTCCGAATCGCCCCGTTCAACTCCCGTGCTATGCTAGTATGTCATGCCATGCCATGCCAAGCTGTTTATACGCCCACGCGACAACGACAGAAAACCTGGCCGGGGCGCCCGCCCCCTCCACCCGTCTACCGCGCCGTCCGCTAGACGGCGGCGATCTTGACCCTGGTCACTTCGAGGGTCTCGGAGTCCACCAGCACCACCTCCTGCGTGGCCGAGAAGGACGGGACGGCGATGAGCCGCGTGGTCTGCCCGTCGGGGCCCTCGATGACCTTGGTGCCGAACTCGGGCTGGCAGCCGACGAAGAACAGGTGCGGGCACGACTCCATGACGAATGGATCGTCATCCTGGAACGGGTAGCTCCCTAGATAGCCGGCGCCGCGGCGGTTAGCTCAGTGCCCGGACCAGTATTGTGAGATTTGGGGTGGGGAGGGGAGGGGGAGAAGAAACTTACAGAGCGTGTCGGGCGCTGTTGGCGCGCTGCAGCGCCACCTACACATGGCCTCCATCATGCCCAAGCGGTCGTCGCTGTTGACGTACTTGAATATGTCGTCCACGTTCTGGCCGCCAGTGCCCAGCACCCTCCACCCCTCGATCTCTCCCTCCCACGGGTTCGTCACCGTGTCGAACCAGCCGACGTCTGAAGAGCCGGGCCTCGCCGCGTAGGACCTCGCATTCGGGAACATGGCCGGGTGTATCGGCTGCTGGGGGTAGCTGGCGTTGGCGGGATCGTGGGCGCCGGGGAGCAGGGTGACCGGCAGGGTGGGCAGCAGGGCGGAGAGGAACTCGTCGAGCAGCTGGGACGGTAGCGCGTTGTAGGAGCTGCTATCGTACCCGTACTTCTTGTGCGCCCGCTTCTCCGCCGGCTCGTCTTCGGGCGCGCTCCGCTCCTCGACCGAGATCGAATTCCCGGCAATGATCAGCCTGCTTATCTGCGACAGCTCCTGCTGCGCGGCGGGGTCCAAAGACTCCCCCAGCAGGTATTCGAGTAGCAGGTCGAGCTCGATAGCGTGCGACGCGTCGCTCCCCGAGAACCCCAGACCAGAGACGATGGCGATTTTGCCCCGGCTCCCCTCGGATTGAGAATCCGTCATCTCGGCATCTTCGTCCTCCGGCTTCGCCTTGACACGCCCCGCGCTGTCGTTCGTAGCCGGAGGCGTAGATAGAGTCCATCGACCCGGCTGCGGGGGTAGATCTGGGAACTTTAGGTCAATCACCTCCAGGTCGCCGTTGACATTTTCGGTTCCCATAACCGCGATGATGCACCCGGTAACGAGGATGATAGATTTCAGCACATCCCCCACGAGGCGTATGCGACCCGATTCGTCCTCGAGCGCGACAGAATCCAGACCATCTTCCGAAAAGTACTTCTTATCCGAGATCGGCGCCGAGAGCCATCGCTAGGAACAGGGACGCCTCGTTAGCTTACCGCCTTCAGAGGGGGGGTAGAATGGAGAGCTATTGGGTGCCTACATCCTTAGAGACGTCCTCTAGAATGTTGGGCTTTAAGGGCATGTCCATGAAGACAGTACCTGTAACCCAACACAGCTCGCCTTGTCGGATATCCAGCACTCGTTCGACCTTCTTGACGGGCTCGTCGCCGATGACCATCTCCTTCCAGTCAACAGCGGCTATCTGCTCCACGGCCGGTTTGATCTTGGTGAGGCGCAGGAAGTACATATCGGCGAATTGCTGCTTGTATGGCTTATCCTTGTCGAGCCAGAAGGAGCGCAGCGGCTTATAGTTCGAGGGCGTCCTCACAACTTCGTCCTCCGGCTTGCCCCTAAATAGCAGTTAATAAGGCAGAGTTTAGACGGGTCGGTCATGCAGATTCGAGAGAGCTAACTCACGAAGGCTTCCGGAGTAGGCTGCCGGGTATGTTGTCTAGTGCAGACATGGCGAGATTGATGCATTGTCAGCCCAGGTGTTGTATGAGAGAGGTAAGAGGTAGAGGGAGAGAGGCTTCATGAAGGTGAAGACGCGTTGCCAAATCGACCGACGCGTTTTAGGAATTAATTGATCGTGGCGGTGCGGCGTCGCTCGTTGTTGTGGCTTGAAGTTATTCCTCTATCATCATTGTACCAGGTACCTACCTCATATAGGTATGTATCTACGGTATTATGATTGGCCAATGCTCCGCATCGCGGGGTAAGGCTGAGTTGACTACTTTCAAGGCGCACGGCTTTATCCTTTTTTCCTTTCAGATAAAAAAAAAAGGTCTTGGCAAGGGACCTATGGAAAGAAGCCACCAAAATTCTTCTACTACCCGCCCTACCTACTTATCGAGATAGCTATCGCTAAAGCATCACCTACTCGTACAGCACCGCCCAACTACACTCGTTTCTACGGCACTTCACCCACCCCTGAACCTATTTCGTGAACCACTTCGTCAGGTAGTCCACGCTTGCAATCCGAGCATCTCCCGCCGGCCCTTTCGAGGTCGTCGCCGCGGAGATGGATTCGTCGTCCGCCAGCCGGCCGGCCGCCCCCGAACCTCAGCAAATCCGCGTCAACTTCACCACCTCGTCTCCCGATCTCCAATTGCCCGAGGGCCGGACCCAACTACTCGTCCCAGCAGGTCTGTCCCCTTACCTCTTGTCTTGAAGCGGGAGAAGCAGTTCGCGGCGCGAGGCTAGCCCGAAGCTCACCACCAGACACTTGCAGACATCAAGCGCTATGGCCTGTCGCGCGTGCTCAACTCCGAGTCGATGCTCAACACCCCGGCGCCGATCCCTTTCGACTTTCTCGTCGACGGCAGCTTCCTGCGCACCTCTCTCGCCGAGTACCTTCGCGCGAGCGGCCTCTCCGCCGAGACCGCCGTCACCCTGCAGTACGTGCGCAGCCTGATCCCACCCGTCTACGAGGCCAGCTTCGAGCACGACGACTGGGTCAGCGACGTCGACCTGCTGTCCGAGACCTCGCGCGCTGGCCTCTGGTCCACCGCCGCCGGCGTCGCCGCCCAGGACCGCATTCTGTCCGCATCCTACGACGGCCTGCTCCGGATATGGAACGGCTCGGGCGACGTGCTCGCGACGTCGCCGCCGTCCGCGCTTGGCGGCCACAGCGCCAGCCCCAAGGCCGCCAAGTTCCTGTCCGCCTCGCAGATCGCCTCCGCCGGCCTCGACCGCACCGTCCGCATATGGAAGTACGCCGAGTCCGACGACCGCCTCTCCGGCACGCTGAAGCCGGCGCTCGAGCTGCACGGCCACCGCGCCGCCGTCGAGGCCCTCGACGTCCACGGCCCCACCGGCCGGGTCCTCAGCGCCGGCAGCGACGGCACCGTCGGCCTGTGGACCACGTCGAAGACGGCGGCGCCGCCCGCCCCCGCCAGCGCCCTCCCGCCCGCCCCCGCCAGCGCCCTCCCGCCCGCCCCCGCCAGCGCCCTCCCGCCCGGCGCGGCGTCCTCGTCGAAGCGGCGCAAGATCGCCGCGGCCTCGGCCGCGCCGCAGCGCGGCCCTCTCTCCCTCCTCCAGCCCCACGCGTCGGCCGCCTCGGCCGTGCAGTTCGACCCGTCGGACCCGACGGTGGGCTACTCGGCGTCGCGGGACCGGACGCTGCGCACCATCGACCTGACGACGGCGCGCGTCGAGGGCACGATCGCGACGTCGCACCCGCTGCTCGCGCTGTGCGCGTTCCGCGGCGGCGGCGGCGGCGGCAACGCGGGCTCGACGCTGCTCGCGGCCGGCACCGCGGCGCGGCAGGTGGCGATCGCGGACCCGCGCGTGTCGGCCGCGGCGCCCGTCGTCATGACGCTGCGCGGCCACCGCAACCTGGTGTCGTGTCTGGCGGCGGCGCCCGGCGGCGCCGGCCACGCGCTCGTCTCCGGCTCCCACGACGGCACGTGCCGCGTGTGGGACCTGCGCAGCGCGCGGTCGCCCACCGCCGCCGTCTCCGGCGCCGAGGGCGTCACCGGCGAGTCTGCGTACGTCGTCGAGCGCGAGAGCCAGAAGGGCGCCCCGAGGCGCAGCGACGTCCCCGGCCGCGGCGCCAAGGTCTTCGGCGTCGCGTGGGACCGCCGCTGGGGCATCGTGAGCGCCGGCGAGGACCGCCAGGTCCAGATCAACAGGGGCCGGGACCTGCTGCCGGCGACGGCGACGGAGGTGGCAGGGAAGGATTGAGTGGGGGCCGAGTGCGCATCGTGGTGATCTTGGGGGCGTGTTTGAAGTACGGGGGCAGAGGCGAGATTGGAAAGAAGAGAGAGGAACGGGGAGCTGGTAGATAAAAATGACAGGTATATCTAGTCTAGGAAGAGCGTATGTGGGAAACACAGCTTATACCCCCTCCCGCGGACGGGAAACAATAGATACGTATATATGTATTAATTACCGCCGGGACTCCATAATAGACAAGAACGTAGGTATCTATACGTCAGCTCCCGTCGGGTGCCGTTCCTACTTATGTGCGCGTGTATACAGGCGCAGTGCCAAGTACGAAAATGCCACGACGGGAACTAATTAGAGGAGTGAGATCTCTTCTGATAACACGGACGGGTATTGTACACCATAACTATAATCCACATCTCGTGTCCCCATATCTTTCGACCCACGGGGCGACAGCCACTGGCGGAGATGACACGAGGAAGGCTGCGCTCCTATGCACCAACGCGTACAGGCGGAACACAAAGCTGCTCGGATCGTCGATGGCTGCACAGAGCTGTATTCTAAAAGTGAGAAAGGTCTTGTGTAAACTAGGACCGAATATTCTACGCTTGGTCCTCCCATCTATCGGTGCCTATCTTCTAATTAACAGATACGTACTGCCCGCCCACCCAGTTATTTGTCTTGTGGTATAACCTCCCGTGTAGCGGCGTGGCGGCTATTCAAAGAGTCTGACAGGTAGCGACCATGGTCGAGATCTCTAGGAATCAGCCATAGACGCCTATGATGAGAGCTGGGAGGCCAGCTCGTTCTTCTTCGTCCCGAGGCTGTTAATCTCTTCACGTGTCCTATCACTATCTATGGGTAGACCCTCGAGCCTGGAAGCGTTCACGATATTATAGACAACTGTGGTCAGTCTTTGGGGCGGGCTCCGCAGTAGCCCGGCTATGGTCTGCACATCGAGGCCCTGTTCGTGCCACATATAATACGCCCGGAGCTGTGCGATGGACGCCTGCGCGTTCGGATTCGCGGCTCGGTAGCGAGTTGCGCGTTCTTCCGCGATCTCGACTCTGGAGTCCTTGGGAGTCCGAGACGACCCGGTGGCTTTCGTTTTCTGAGGTAAGGGCTTCGCCAGCGGCGGTGGAACTACGTCCACGTGCTCCAGCTTCGTCGTCTCTCTTTTCCGAGGTAAGGGCTTCGCCGGCGGCGGTAGAACTACGTCTATTTTCCGAGACAGGGGCTTCGCCGGCGGCAGTAGAATTACGTCTATTCTCCGAGACAAGGGCCTCGCCGGCGGCGGTAGAATTACGTCTATTCTCCGAGACAAGGGCTTCGCCGCCGGCGGCGGAACTACGTCCACGTGCTCCAGCTTCGTCGTCTCTCTTTTCCGAGGTAAGGGCTTCGGCAGCGGCGGTGGAACTTCGTCCAGGTGCTCCAGCTTCGTCGTCTTTATTCTCCGAACTAAGGGCTTCGCCGGCGGCGGCGGAACTTCGTCCACGTACTCCAGCTTCGTCTTCTTTATTTTCCGAGGTAAGGGCTTCGGCAGCGGCGGTGGAACTACGTCCACGTGCTCCAGCTCCGTCTTCTCTATTGTGTCAGCGTCGTCATCCTCGACGGTCAGCTCCGTGCTGTCCGCTAGCCGGATGGGTAGGCCAAGCTCGGCGTGATGCGGAGTAGGCGGACGAGGGTGAAGCTTCTTCCGGAAGTATTCGAGAGTGGCATAAAGATGCAACCCGGCATACGCATCCGACGCAGAATCTAAACCGTAAGCGCAGAACCGAGAAAACGAGATGGGCCGACCTACATTTGATCTGAGCCATGTTCAAGGGCCGCATCCAGTTGCTTGAGCGAACATCCTGCCCCTTGAAAAGGGGGAGACGTAGGTATTGTTGTACTTGGGTGGCCAAAGGCACGAGCTTCTTGTTGATGAGGTGAAAGTCCCCAGAGGCAGAATGGGTAACGAGCCTATACAAGTGGCTCAGCTCTATCAATCCCTTCGAGTCGATGTCTAAAAATTTCCGGAGCCGCGATACGTCACCCCTAATCGCAACGCCGACCTTGGTGATATTTGCGTCTTCCATGATCTTCCGGAAGGAAGGCCCAACCATATCACCTGTGCCCCGAAAGCAGGCGACATGAAAGAGCCCAATGCGACAAGGACTCGCTAACTGGATCAGCGAGACGTTCCTCCTAACCCCTTGAAATCGCATCGAGTTTATACACCACTCCAAGTCGAAACCGAGAAGTGACTCGCCAAGGAAATATTGCTTGCAGACACTTTCCATTGTCTCACGAGTCCGACAGTAGTGCACCAGCGGCGTAGTCTCTCTACCGTCTTTTCCTATACCACGATACTGGCTGTACGACCAGAACGAATCCGGAGACCCGGCGGGGGCGTTTTTAGCCGCGTAGAATAAATCGTCCTTCATCTTGTAGGGCAATACGGACACGGGAGGTTTGTCCGAAACCCATATCTCCGATAATGCAGACCGCTTATTAGCGGTACCGTCGGCCTTGCCCCTATCTGCTTTGCTAGGTCTGGCTTTTTTTGAGGATTTTGGGGGTAGAGAAGTGGCGCCCACGTCGCCTGATGGTTGCGCGGAAACAGCTTTCCGTCTCTTCGTCGTTTTTGTTATTGTTCCATTGAAGGCTTGCACATGCTGAGCGATGATATCCGGCGATTGCGCAGTTGTAGGCGAGAACGAGACGCATCGTCTAGGGTGCCATAACTGATACTTGGGTAGCGTGAAACCGATTCGAGGTCTTCGTGACGCCAGAGAGCTGTACAGGTGAAGTTGATTGTTAACAACTGAGCCTTAATCTCGACCTCTGTCCCCGCATAGGGTGGAGTTGAGGAGATAGGTTGGTAGACACAGCAAATACTCGAGGGGGTGAAGGATAGTTAGGGACGAACCACAAGGCGAACGGCGCACACAAAATCTCGGGAGGTCTCAGAGCACTGCCTGCGGCCCCGAGGGTTCCAAGCAGCATCATGTGTGATTATCAGGCATAGAATCGTGATGCTGCTGCTCCATCGTGGCTAGCGCTGGAGCTCGCCCATGACACGATGCGAATGCTGGCTGGGCAGAGGCGTCGTGGGGGGAGCCGGGACGGGACTGGATGGGGGCGACAACGGACCTGCGAATCGGTGAGTTGACGATGTGGGCTCAGGCTGGTCGTCCTGTCGTGGGGTTGCGTTCGCGTCCGCGGCTGTATAGCATGTATAGCGTCAAGCGAGTGAGAGGACGAAAGGCGATCGAGGGAGACGGGCTTCAGAATTCGCGGGTTCTATGAGGAAGGCCTTCAGAGGTTTGCCATAGTTAGAATTGATACGTGCATTGCATACGGAGTTGCATATCTATATTTGGGAAAAAACGATTCTTTTAACAGGTGAACCTTGAAGTGTGGATCCTCAGGCATCCAGAATGGAGGGCTGTGATTGGTCGGATTGAAGAAAAACACGCAACAGCTAACTGTTCGTAAAACGCTGTATTTAAGCCCTTTTAGCAGTTTAGTTTTTACACCTTCAATTGATCAACTAGGTTCAGCTTTCAACACGTTTTACATGCCTTACAATTAAGGCAGCGAGGCCACGAGAGTGAACCGCCAAAACGCACAGAAGTAGGTATGATATATTTAATTAAGCAGTCGTAGGTTCGTACCTCCGTACCCTTCTTCTTATTATAGAAACGTAACCTTCTTTATTAGAAGGTACGTACCTACCTTATTAACAAGTACGTATTTATTTTATTAATAAGTATATATTTACTTTTTAATATATATATAGTTTTCTTTATTATAACTTTTTTATACTTTTAGTTATAACTTCTTTTAATTATAATTACTTTTAATTATAACTACCTTTAATTTACATATTTCTTTAAATTATAACTACTCATATTAATAGAAATATATAAAAATACTTTTTAAAATAAAAAATTTTTTTTTCATAATTATTGCCATACTTACAACGTTGGGTGCTCGGGGATCACGTGGGTTGAATGCCCTGCCTACCTAACCAGACACGATTCGCGGTTAGAAGCTCTTAACCTAACCTCTGAACCGTGATACCTGCCTACGCCTACTGCATAATATATCCTCACCGAGATCACCCCCTTTATACCAGCACTTCCTGGGGCGTCAAGGCAACTTCAAGGCTTGCTCGATAAGAAACTGTCTTTTGGAGCCGCTCACCCACTTCGGCGTGCCAAACCCGCCCCCTAACGCCCGAGCCTGTTCTACCTCGATTGACAGACCCGTCTACGTCAAGATGGCATCACAACTTTTACCTCTAGGTATGGCCTCAGCGTACGCGAGATGGCCTAAGAACGTGTGGCGTGTTAACATGCGTGATATAGAGCTCATCGACAAGTGTGTCGGCTCGAGGATATGGGTCATCATGAAAGGCGACAAGGGTATGATTATTCCAGTTCCCCGCCTCCCGCCTCCTCTCGGCGAGACATTATCGTGGCTAATACAGATATCTCGCTACTAGAGTTCAGCGGGACGTTGCTTGGCTTCGACGACTACGTCAGTAAGTAGGCAAGCACGTGGGGTGGGCATTCCGCGTAGACGCAAGATAGCGATTAATCCCATTTCTATAGACATGGTTCTGGAAGACGTGACGGAGTTGTATGCATCACCTTTCCCCGCCATTCCATCGACAATCTCAAGGAGTTTCTAATCGGGCATAGTGACTACTCCGGAAACCACACCAAACTTTCTAAGATATTGCTGAACGGAAACAACATATGCATGGTACGTAAAAGAGTTCTCTTCCCAGAGGCTCATTCGCTCACTAGCTACTGCAGTTGATACCAGGAGGAGAAGGCCCAGTGGCTACCTGATCAGAGCTGATCTGGATCGGGAATCTGATTGCCGATGTGGAGGACCAACTTCTGGTATTGGTACGAGGTGGCCAACAGGAAACCGTGGAAGATTACAGTGGACGCAGGAGCTCAGTCAGACCTTACAAATGGTTTGGGATTGCAAATCGTGGGGAAAGAAATTATCCTCCAAGACAGCCTCCACCCACGGGTCTTTTATCAACTAAAATGGTGGGAAGCACCTGATTACCAATCCGTAACTCCAGACACCCCGGCTGAGCTGTTTCCTATCGCCTGGGGTGAAGATGCAATGCCGTCAAGGTAGAGATCCCGAGTCCTAAGGCCGGCCACCAGAAACGCCATTATCCTGGTCGCCGGCGCGAACCATGCGACGAAGTTCGTACTCCCGCGTGAAGTCACGGCCGAACTGGGCAAGCGTGGCGACCAGCTGCTTGCACACCTCGATGAAGACCTCTCGGGGGGTCATGGTGCCGTCGGTCTGCAAACGGATCATGACCTCGGGGACATTCGGATGGGCAACTATTCAGCTGTCAGTCCATCAGCACCTCCAGAAAGAGGAGCGGAGAGGGATGCCCACCCTTGTAGCCAGCCATCATCACGTGCGGGTGTTGCTTCAGATGCTCGCTCACAAGATTGCCGATGGTGTGGTCCTCCTTCAAGATGATAAAGTCGGACGCGTTGGACATGCCTAGATGGTCATCAATACCGAATGCCATCGACGCTCTGGTACTCGCCCGCGCTTACCAGCAAAGGGCTTCTCGGTAATCTTTTTCTCATCCTCGTTCAAGATGAACAGGTCGAATCTAAGGAACAGTCAGCTTGCGACCGCGTATGATGCACCAACGGGCTATCCGAACTGGGTAAAATTATGAGAATGCTTCGGGTTCTGGAATGCCATCCTAGCGACCTATGGGCGCGCGGATCTTGCCGTGGCAGAGCTGGACGGGGATTGGGTTGATGGGTTAGGCACGGCAAAACGAGTGCTTGACAAATTCTTAGGGATGGGTGGGTGGTAGTGGTGGAAGGAGGTTGGAAGGACGTCAAATAAAAAAGATCTTGAATGGTGAGGTGCCCTGTGGCATGCGATTTGTGTCCAAGTTGTTGTGTGGACTAAGGAAGGGACTTTATGACTGGTCTCTTCTCTATCTTCTGTTGACTCGGCCATTCTTTTACTAGTGTTAGGGAAGCTGGACGGCGAGGTTGATGTGAGTTGTGGTTGAGGGGGAGATATGGCAGCCTCAGTCCCCAGCAACAAGACAGCCTGGCTTGCCTGTGGAGGGATGCCTCAACCCATGCCGCAAGCTTCTTCTCTCCCTCTTTGGCGTGATAGATACAATCATATAAACCTATGATTTTGTATGTGCGAATCGTGAAACGGGTGTAGTCAGGGCAGAGAACAAATAGGATGTACAAGAAGAAATAACACCCACCGGTCTGGGGCGTTCATCTTGCTGATGGCTTGCCAGTAGCAAATCCACAACGATAATAATATACACCGATGTACAGGGCAGGATATTCCTTTGGTCGCACAGAGGTACTCTTGTTGGAAGGGCCAGAGTATAGCAATGCAACAGGTCCAGCAGGACAATGCGACGATGTGTCAGGACTGGAAAAGGTAGCCTGTTGCAGGTAGCAACTTAGCAGATGTTGTAGCAGACGAAGGAGAAAGGCTCACGATCAGTTGCGAGGACAATGGAAGTCAGTTACCTGAGCAAGCGCACTGACCCGATTAGTCAGCCGGGTCCAGATTCACGAGGTACCTCAGTAGGTAGGAGGTACTCATAGAGGATGTACACAGTGTATATAAATAGGTAGTCTTGGATTTCCAGGTCAAGCCCACACTGTCTTAGGCATCTGCCTACTTCCCTACTACATGGTATGCAAATGAATTGGAGTAATGGGGGGGTTATTAGGGGGTCCTCGGGCACATCACCCAAGGTTCGTTATCAAGAGGTTTTCCATCAAATGATGAATATCCAATATTGAATAACGCCCAACTGCCTTGCAATTATAGTAGGACTATATGTGTGCACGGTAGCATGCTACCTATTATACTAAAGCTTGAGAACCTCGCCCATCTATACGCGATGGACGCCTTCAGCAATTTACCTAGTAAATAAAATCAAAAGGCCCATTCCAGTCAGGAGATGCCGTGCTAACGCACCTCTCCCTGTGGGTTGTACCCATCCCCAGCCCAGATGGAAATACTTCTAGCCACAATGTATCCTCCCACGTTATGACGCTGCTAGTATAGATACTGTATATTGTACAATTCTCGAGATTCCGAACATCTTCTCCGCTAGGTTCCATCTATATATCCCTTCCCCGCTATTTCTCAATCCGTCCCATCCGTTTACATCTTGTTGGGATCGCAATACTTCGGCAGGTTTGGCCCGGAGGGACCGCTGGCCCAACTTATAACCGTCAGGCTGGTCGTGTACGCCATAGCGATAAGCCCGAAGACGCACAGGGCGATGTCGGTGACTTTCCGGGTTCTTGTTGTTGCCACTCCCTTGTAATGAAGCAGCGGCTAAGTGAGCGAGAGGGGGGGAGGGGTATTAGAACGATCATATAATGGTACCGCGCGAAGCATCGGGGCAGACTTACCGGGTAGATGTACACGAGAGGAATGCAGGCGAAATTCCCGACGAGGGCGACGAACTTGTCCAGATCGTCTGCACCCCCCCACGCGATAAGGGCGCAGAGGAACACGACAAAGAATCTGAACATGTTCTTCTGCCACTTGATGTAAGGGTTGTACTTGCCGCTTCTCGTAAATAGCGCGTTCTCCGTGATACGAATGGCGGGGAAGATTTGCAAGGGCGTCGAGAGGAGGATGGCGAGCGAATAGAGAAACTGGACGCCGTTGACAAGCTTGTTGTCCTGGGGTAGGTTGAGCAGGACGACGGTCTCCGTCTTCGATCCGTAGGCAGCATAGGATACGGCGCCCATGGTGACGAAGAGAACCGTGATGATGATCATAACGTAGAACATGACCTTCGGGAACTTGGATGGCGACTTCATAGATTCCTGAATCGGGATGATTAGTCCGATGCCCTCAAAAGTGAAGATGGCCGTGCCGATGAAGAGCGTCCAGTCCTTCTGGTTGAACTGGATGATGTCGGCTAGACCGTTAGCACTCAAAGTGAGAACGTCGTAGTAGAAAAGGTAAGCGAGGCCGATAACAATGAAAGCATCCGCTATCAGAGCCGTGAAACCGAGCTTTCCGATGTCCCGGAACAGAGAGAACGGGAGGAAAATGACCATCTGCATCAATATCAACCAGGTAATGTGGATATACGTGCGACAGCCGGAAACGGCAAGAATGAAAGCTTGCAAGTTCTCCGACGTGAATACGATGTATGCGGCGACAAACCCGATCTGGCTGATGACGATAGAAAACAGGATCAGTTTCCTCATCCAATCGCCGTACAGGACTCCGCCAATGTCACCAAACGATCCTTCGACCTTCAGTCGAGTGGTCACCAGGAGTACGAAGCAGTAGTAACTCAGTGCCGCAACGAATAGCAGAACTAAGTTGCTGAAGAGCATGCCACCATTGAGGTAAGCTCGTGGTAAGAACAAGACTCCGGTCCCCACGAATGATTTCAGGAGGAGCAGGGCCGCATTGAAAGGTGAGTTGTTGCCGCTACCGCCTCGGACCTTGCGCCTCCGCCTATGTTTAGACGGTGTCAGCAGGGCGCTATCCTCAAGAGGCTCGTGGTCCTCGTCGCTCTCATCGAAATCCTCGCTCTCTCCGGAAACGAAATACTCGCCAGGTCGCAGGACCTCGTCGTCCTCTTCAAGTTCCTCGCCAGCGAAGTGTCCATAGATGGATAGAAACTCGAGGAAACTGTTGGTGAATAGCTGCGGTTCGCGCACACCCCTCGACGAGCCTTCTCCAGCCTCCAGTCCCTGTGGATTCGCGACCGGACTTCCCGCGGCCCTTCTGAGATAGTTCCGTCTGAATCCACCGGGGATCTTGATGGAATTTATGTCGAGGACGTCGCTCTCAGGCCCCTCCCTAGCGTGGCTGAAACTCTTGCTACGCTGCTGACGGCTGCGGCTTTCTGCTTCCTCCGTCCATCTGTAGATTTGCCGTGTTATGTCTCCGCCCTGTAGCCTAAGGCTCGAAAATTCCTCACCGTGGGGGCCGGGTCCCGCGGGTTCGCCAACCTGTTTGCCTTTGGAATTGTCGCCATTGTTTGACCCTGCACCAGAATCGAGAGCATCCGCAGGCTGAACCAGATGTCGCTTGATGATCTCGTGATCTTCGTAGGCGCTTGGACCTCCACTCTGCGCATTTCTCGACTTCGCTTCAAAGGAGCCGTAGTTCGTCGGGGTCGCGGACCGTTGTAGTTGCGAGGCCGCTCCGGCCGGCGACACAGATCGTATCGGCGGCGTCCCAAATCTGGGGGGCGAGGTTCCTACAGTGTTTGAAAGAGCCGCGGCAAGAGCGGAGACGCCGGGACCCGTGTAACTTTGAGCAGCGCCAGCAAGAGGACCCGGGTTCTCAGCGGGTTCGTCATTGTCTCGATTCGCGGCTTGCAACCTCTGCGTCGGTGAAGTTCCCAGGGGGAGCGACGGTATGGGGGAAGCTAGGCGGGCTGTCACATCGGCGCGAGGCACGGAAGTACTGTACGTACGACTCCGTTGGGAGCCGGGCGAGGACGATAGCGGCACACCTAAAGGCCCTGCTGTTCCCGCTACCCCACCGCTAGGCTGCGATGCCGTGCTTCCTTCTCGGTCAGAGCTCGCCATCGTGTCTTGGAGGCAACCGACAGCGCTATGTAGTCATCGAGGTGTCGGAAACGCCGGATCGCCTAGGGTTAAGTAGTATGACTGCCGTCGCAGGGCAGGGTGGAGAAGGCGTCGAGAGCGGAATGCAAGGGCGGCAAATCAATTGGGAAAGGCGAGAGAACAGATATTCAGGAGCCGAATGGCGCGCATAGAGGACCGGGAGGGTTGTCTATACTCGAGCGAGAGGGAGACAGATAGAAGACGGAGCGAGAAGATGACGAGAGGGAAAGGAAGAGCGTGTGGTTGATGGTAATGAGAAGATTACGACGATATGGCTCCTATGATAGGTGCGTTATCAGTTGAACCTCCAAAAGAGCCCAGCCAAGTCGGTCAGCTGCGTGTTTTGATGACCGTCAAGCCTTCACAAGACGGGGACCACAGGCTTGGTGGTTGACTGCCGCTGCGCCAATTGGGAGCTTGTTCATTATCCAGGGTCAGTACTGATGTACCCACCGACGTACCCGCAGCTGGGAAGCGCATGCTGGAGGTACCTGCCTACGCCTATGCCCATAGAGGTACCTCCCTACCTAGAGGTACCTACCTACCGTAGGCATGTCATCACGTTGGCCTATCTCGGAGCTGCAGGCGGCAGCACCTGCACATGTACCTATATGTACCTTGCACCAAGTGCCGCAGATAGCCTGAGGTTCTTTACCTAATCCTGGTAAGTGTGCCTACAGTGCAGCCCACAGTACGGCACACCCCTTCATATCTATATGCACATCCTCCCAAGGCACCGTGTAGACCGTGTAGGAGCCAAGCAACCCAAGCACCAAGTAAGCTCTCGATTGATCGCTTTCTGTGTATCGAGGGTCTTGCACCACCACCGAGTCTGGTTCAACTCAATCCATTACGATATCCCTTCTTCACATTTGGTGGTCGCCGAGCATCATGTGCGAGTGGACGCCAATGTATCGGGCCACTGGACTGCGACAACACCCCGAGACGCACTTGGAACCGTTGGTCCTTTCGGGCCAAGCATTCCGTGCCGTTGGACGAGTCTCCCCCCTCCCGACAATGGCGGCTCCATGCCTAAACGAAACAGGCCTTGGGAGCTTCCTATCGATGCCTCTCGCCTGCAACCCCCTTTCCCACTAGTACCCACATTCGATCTAGGGCGGGGATTCTCGGGTGCCTCTAAGAGGACAGGGTGCGAAACACGTGAGCGACGTCATCAACAACACCATCCCGACTTCAATCGCCTACCCGGCGTGGTTCTCGTTTCGGTCGGACCAAGGCGGAGAGGACGCACCCGTCGTAGCCTACAACACTCGGCAGCCTGGCGTTCGATGATGATGTCGTTAGCTATCGCTTTAACATCGAGAATTCTAGTACGCGCAGGCTCGGTGTAGTTACAGGCGGATTGAGAGGCTCTACGTGAGAAGGACAAGATGCCTGCAGAATCCCGAGGAAATGGAGCGGACAAACCCGACACGGGAGGACCGCCGAGCAGGAAGGCGAAGCTCGGCGCGTTCACCGGCGTCTTCATCCCCGTTGTCCTAAATATCGTCAGCATTCTTATGTTCCTTCGTTTCGGCTCCATAATAAGTCGAATCGGCCTGCTTGGCATGCTCGGTGGGTGAACCCCGTTGATGTCCCGCCGCATGCTCGACAACCTCATACCAAAATGTGTGAATAGGTTTGCTTGCTATAGCATACGCTATCAACGCCACCGCGGTCCTCTCCTTGTCTGCCATCGCGTCCAATGGCGAAGTTAAGGGGGGCGGTGCTTACTACTTGATTTCGAGGTCCCTCGGCCCTGAATTTGGCGGCTCGATTGGCGTTCTTTTCTACCTGTCTCAGGTTGTCAGCATATCCCTCAACATCGTTGGTCTCATAGACTGCATCAAGCTGAACCTCGGGCCTCAGGTACCGCAGGGCTATTGGGAAGGATATGGTATGCAGACGGCCGCACTCATCTTCTGTACGGCCCTTAGTCTCGCTGGGCGGACCATCTTCGTTCAAGCTAGTAGCGGCCTATTCAGCATACTTATCCTAGCCATCGTCACCATTCCCGTCTCGGCTTTTATCAGGCGCCCCTTCAAGGACGATGCGCTTGGGGTCGAGTTTACTGGATTGAGCCTCCGCACAATACGTTTAAACCTATATCCTCCCGTCGTTGGCCCGTCATACCAAGGCGTCGAGACATTCAGGGAACTGTTTGGCATCCTCTTCAGCGCCACTTCCGGTGTCTTTGCCGGAGCTTCGATGTCGGGAGATCTTCGCAACCCAAGCAAGGCAGTCCCGAAAGGAACGGTGTGGGCCATGGCTGGAACATTCTTGCTCTACTTCGTCGTCATCTTGTCAATAGCATCCACCATTACACGGCCTTCCCTCCTGCGAAATATTCATGTCATCCCTGCCATGAGCATATGGCCGCCGTTGATCCTCGCTGGAGAATGTGCAACGGCGTTCTTCTCGGCCTTGATGGGTATCATTGGAGGTGCTAGACTTCTTCACGCTCTTGGGCGAGATAGAATTCTTCCCGGGCTGTCCATATTTGGAAGAGGAAATAGGCGCGGGGATCCCGTATTTGCGGTGCTGATCACCTATACGATCGCACAAGTTGCCCTTCTCGCCAACTTGAATCAAATTGCAACGCTCGTCTCCATGGGTTACCAGGTAAGGGCTTCCAGTGGCGGCAGTATCGATGTGTCTAATATCTGGTACAGATGACCTTCTTAGTTATGAACTTGGCGTGCTTCTTGCTAAAGATAGGATCGGCTCCCAACTTCCGCCCTGCATTCCGGTTTTTCAGTTGGCATACCGCTTTCGTCGGAACTATCCTTTCTGCGGCTGCAATGCTCTTCATAGACGAGACCTACGCAATCTCGGCCGTCTGTATGCTGATACTCCTCTTTCTCGTCATCCATTACACAAGCCCGCCAAAACACTGGGGCGATGTGTCCCAGAATCTGATCTATCACCAAGTTCGAAAGTACCTATTACGACTTAAACCTGAGCACATCAAGTTCTGGAGACCCCAGATTATCCTACTAATCAACAACCCTCGAAATCACATGCAGCTGATCCAATTTTGCAACTCTCTCAAGAAAGGATCTTTGTATATCTTGGGACATGCAATAGTGACGGATGACTTCAACTCGGGAATACATGAGGCAAAGCTGCAGCAATCGGCCTGGTCTCGGTACATTTCAGAATATTCCAGGATCAAGGCTTTTGTCCAGTTGACGATGTCGCCCACTATTGTTTGGGGTGTCCGGAATCTGATTCTCTCAGCTGGACTCGGTGGGATGCGGCCCAATATAGCCGTTTTGGGCTTCTATAACATGGACGAGCTACGAAAGACTCGCCCGGATACTAAGATACCGGGTATTCCCATTACCTTTACGAAGACGAGGGCTGTAACCAAGGCAGAGGGGAAGGCTCCAAATCGTCGGCGTGGCGACGCATCTTCCCGGCTTCTGGACAGCTTCCTTCCAACCGACACGATCCGTACGGAAGGTATGATGTCTGTTACAAGCTACTTGACGATTCTCGAAGATCTTGCGCTTCGTCATCGACTAAATGTCGCCGTCGGCAAAGGATTCCAAGCCTTAGAAACCCCTCATCACGACGGAAGCAACACCAAGAAATATATCGACCTTTGGCCAATTCAAATGTCGGCTGAGATCGCTGGTGGTGATAAGAGCCTACTGACCACTAATTTTGACACGTGTTAGTAGGCTACTACTAGACGTCAACAAAATATTAGGCTAAGACTGACTTTTTGCGAATATAGATACGCTAATTCTCCAACTTGGCTGTATTTTGGAGAGTGTGCCCGTATGGAAGAGGGCGTTTAGACTTCGTGTACTAGTATTCGTTGAATACGAGAGTGAAGTCGAAGAGGAACATGCAAGGTTGAAGGCTTTACTAGAAAAGTTGAGAATCCAGGCTATAATCCGAGTCTTCTGGCTCGCTTCGGGGTACCTTCAGACCTACGAAGCGGTCGTCAACGGCAGTAGATTGAGCTCCGAATATGGCAGTATCACGGACGAGGTACTGAGGGATGACGAGTGGTGGCAGGAACTACAACAGTTGAGGGCGGATGCTTACGGAACGGCTCTATCGCCACAGCTCACTTCACTAGGGGGTATATTTGAAGCTGCTAGGCGCAGACGCAGCTCCGTCTCTAGGCCTGATGCCCATGTTGAGTCTCTAAGGAGGCTAAGCGTCAACGAGTGGCTCGATGGATCGAGGAAGCCGACCATTTCTATGATTGCGAAATTGCGTGTCAATGTCGGCATCCGTACTCATCAACTTGGCTCTGCTACATTCAATGGCCGGCCGGATGCCGACTCACCCGAGTCTAGCGAAGATGATGACGGTTCTAATTCATTTTCAGATGCCGACTTCAACGAAGCAGCTAGTGAGGCAAGCGGCGATGATATTGAAGAGTTACCCTCGTCGGAGAGAGCCGTCATGTTGGCGTTTACGGGGCGGAGAACAAGCCAGCGAGGTATGATACGTGGAGTAGATCTAGTAAAGACGCTTGAAGGACCGCGCCCAAAATTGCTGAGGGCCCCCCCAGCCGCAACTATGTCCGGGTACGGTACGATGAACCCAGCGCCGAAAGCAAGTATTGCGCCCGCCTACACTCCGAATACAACGCCTGGCCCAGGCAAAGTTGCAACCGGAATAGCGAAAGCAACCCCCAGACCACACCTTTCACGCCACTCATCAGCAAGCCGGTTCACCAGCAGGCCGACACCCGAAACTAAAGTGCTGGCAGAAGGCGACTCGGACCCAATCATCATGTTTTCCCACGAAGAGAATCCGACATCGCTCCAGGCTAGACGCCCAGTACTTTCGCAGGATCTGTCCCTGTCAAGAGGGACTTCCGGGAGACCCCCTCCGGAAGCCAGAATTAGGAACGGACCTGAATCTAGATTGACCGAGTCACCACTGCGCTCACGGGACCGACTGGTGGATACGAAGTTCGATGTATTGTGCTGCCCTAGCCCCCAACTGGACGACGGAGACGGTTCAACATGCTCGACGCATAGTTTGGCTCTCTCGTTCAACGACTTACCCAGCCGGGCCCAGCACTTGGTCCTCAACGAGCTGATGCGCCAGCACAGCAGCGACACTGCGGTGTTGCTTACGACGTTGCCAATTCCCGAGGAGGGCACGGGTAAGAGCGAGGAAGCTAGTCTGAGATATCTGAGCGACATCGAGGTCCTCTGTCACGAACTCCCGCCGGTTCTACTCGTGCTAAGTAACAACATGACTGTTACCGTCGGCTTGTAGTGTATATACACCGGCCATCAATAGGGGGTTTCACTTTAGGATTTAGATCACTCTGCCACCGAAGGTATTCGGCGTTACCAGGCTGGGTAGCTCCGGTTTGAAGGTTATTCAGGGGTTCGATCATCTTCCTTTGATCCCTTCAACACAGATCTCTGATTCATCGATGTTTGGATACGAGATGGAGTCTTTGAACCGATTAACAATGCGTTGGTCAAGGCGGACAATCCATCGCTGACAAAGCCCTCCTTGTGAGCAACCATGACAACATCGCACTGCCAACCGTGACGAAGGAATACAATCATAACCCTGATGCGTTCAAAGAATAGTTAAATTACGTATGCTCTCTGCTAGATCCAACAAAAGCTGGCCGCTTCTTAATTAATTATGCGTTCGCCGGTACCGCATGCCCGTTTGCTGGATCATGAATCATTGATAATTTCTACTGCTACAACACTGGTCTACGGAACTTGTCTGATAGGCCGTCGCATAGCTGGTTCTATGATGACGGATACTAATAACGGTATTATTCTTGCTATTCGACTATTTAATGTGAGTATAGGTACGTTGAGTCTAGAGGTCGGCTTAAGGCACGGAGAGAAACACGAAGAGCAGGCGGAATAATTCGCCCATAACCCTATAACAAATGACACGCGAGCATCATTGGGGCAAGAGGCCTCGCCAGAACACACGAGGCGTCTCAGGGCGGCTATATAAGAAAAGCGAAAACGCCGGGATCGTCTCAAGGGCCTTGGGCTACTTCTGGCATAAGAGCCACGAGAAGCAACAGTCGCCACCACCGCAGCCCAATGCGAGACAGTCGGACCGGATGGCGAACTATGAGATTACACACCATCCAGACCGGCCACCATCTGACAGGAGGGAAATGCCGGCTCTTAGCGAATTTGAGTATGCGGCAAGGATCGAGAAGATACAGATACAAAACCTAAGGCACTACGAAATACCGGGGAACAGGGCCCGTTATAGTCCGCCAGGCTCGGGAGTAGGCCGGCCGAACGTTGCCATTTCGCCTAGGTACGATGGTGGCAGCGTCGTCTACGACGGAAGGTCGAGCTTCGAGCTTCGAGCGGAGGCCGAGAGAGAGTGGCTGTCCTTTGGCGAGTGGGCCGCGCCAGCTGAGAGATCCGACGGCGCTGAGAGTCCGGTTGTAGGACATGCGGCATCGCCCGGGTCTGCGACGATCCAGGTGTATCGCGAGAGTGATGCCAACCGGGACTCCGTCGTCGGATATCCCGCAGAGCGTGAGGAGTCGTTCCTGCTGCCCGCCATGACATTCCGCCCCAGCGAGCCACCTCCGCCGAGAAGCACGTGGGAATTGGGAGGAGAATATGAATGGAGCAGTCGGATCGAGTTCCATAGAGCCCAGGCGGCGGCAGCACTCGAAGCCGGCCCGCGGCCTACCTACGCCACCTCGTGTAATATAACGCGGAAGACTACGCTGAGTTTGACGGATATCGCGCACTTCAGATCCCCACACGAGGTGGGCTATCCGGCAGCATTCGCTGCGGATAACGACTTCGATCTAACCGATGAGGTTATAGACGAGCCATCGTACACCTACGCGGCACCGCCGGTGCTCCTCTGCCCGGCTCCAGGATGCAACGCCGTCCTCGCGATGACCAAGGAAAAAATCGAAAACTTATGCATCAGCTGTCTCGCGACTTACCGGCAGTACGCGCCCCTCGACTCTCCCGTCTCACCCCCGCATTCGCGCTTCGCGTCACCTCCTTACACGCCCACCCCCTACAGCTCCGACGGCGACGCTCCCAGCATCGCCCATGCCCAGGCCGGGTCCAGGCTTAGCCTCGTAGAGCACCTGCGGGCCGCCAAGTCCCGCGTCGCGGCAGCGTCGCGACTCAGCTGCTGGCTCCGCGACAGCTTCAGGCTCCAGCCGCCGCCCGCGAGCAAGCTGTGGCGGCCGCTGCGGCGGCAGCAGCAGCAGACGGAGCAGCAGCGCGAGGTGGCCGGCAGCGATAGCGGGGAAGGTCGGAGGGAGAGAGTGGGCTACACGGTCTCGGAGATATCCTCCTCGCCGTCCCCGGAACCCGGGTCAGCTAACATGGCCGGCGAGCTGGACGACGCGAGCAGCGACGGCAGCAGGCAGCTGGGCTACTTGCTGGAGCGGCTCCGCCGGCTCGACTCGGACCCCTGCCCGAGCGCCAGGCGGTTTACCATGAAGCCGCCTTGCCCCTTGCCTCTGTGCTCGGTTCCGTACCTGCCTCCTCCTTCTCCTCCTCTCAGCAGCGGCACCATGCCCGTCGCCGTCCTTGGCTCTCCGCCGCGAGAAGAAGACGAGGACGCCTGGGCGGAGGACGAGGAAGAAGAAGGAGAAGCCTGGGCGGAGGACGAGGAAGAAGGAGAAGACACCTGGGTGGAGGACGAGGAAGAAGAAGGAGAAGACTCCTGGGTGGAGGACGAAGAAGAAGAAGAAGAGGAGGCATGGGTGGAGGACGAAGCGGGGATGCGGGTGAGCGTCGTGAGTCGCGGGTACAGCGACGTCATCGACGAGATCATCGACTGCTACCTGTCGCCGGAGACGCCGAACGCCGAGGTGCGCTGGCGCCGCAGGTCCGCAGCCGTCCAGTCGTACTTCACCGAGGTGTCTGAGGAGTTCGAGAGTTGGCGCTGGGCGACTCGTCGAGGATCCCGGGCGGCGTAACCGGCCCTGGCAAGGAAAAGCGGAGAGGAGAGAGAGAGAGAGAGAGAAGAAGAGAGACGAGGAGACGAGGGAGACGAGGGAGTGAGCTAATTAATAAATATTCGTAATGTCTAGTTATAATATGTCTTGCTTAATTTATGGTGTCGACTGAGAAGAGGGGTAATGGCATACGGAAGAGAAAGTGAGGACGAGTACGTTGAGCTATAAGGAGGACAAGACAGCTTAATCCGAGAAGAGGGTGAACACGGAGCTTACAATAATGTAGTCTTTTGTTTCTCAGGATTGCTATCGTTTCCTCCTGCCTTCTACCCTCCACACAGGGCGAGGAGAGGAATCCATTTCGAGATGTATTCGTGGTTGTGGTCATCGACATCTCATTGCCTCCTTTCCCCCTTTTTTCGCATGCACTCATGATACTCCCGAACGCCTGCTCTAAAATTCTAGTTAGGTATCCGTTGGTTCTGTCCCGGCGCCTGAAAGGAAATGATTTTCGTTTGCTTTTCCCTTGTCTTCTTCCTTGCGCCCTCCTTGCTCGACACGGGGCGAGGAACCGGGAATTCCGCGTCGAAAAAGGCCTTCACTCAACCTGGGCACTATGCGTAGGACCAAAAAGAGGGAACCCGAGTTGGAGCTGCCTTGCGAGGCTCGGAGGTAGTTATCTGAATGCGATATCCCGGTTGGGGCCCGGCCGATCCCCTCTTCGCGTGCGCGCGTGTGTATGTCGGTATCTGTAGAAGCCTATTCGACCTCCAAGGCGCTTCCGTCGCGACTGTAAGAGCAGGCGTAAGACGCATATATATTAGCCCGTGTTCGTGTTTAAAATGAAATAAAAAGCGCGCAGGTGCGTGTACGTGTGGGTAGGCGGCATATCCAAATGTGCTCGGGACAAAGCCTAAGAAGTAAGGGGGGGGGGGGGGGGGGGACAAAGACTTACGGGATGTACACGTGCCCGTCGTCCTCCATGGCCTGCTTCACGTCCTCGGGGAGGGAGCCGGAGACCTTGATGGCGTAGACGCCGGCGACGAAGTTGTCGATGCGCTGCCAGCGCGCGATCCAGGAGCGCTTCGGGTCGGCGATGGTCATCATGCCCTCGTACACGCCCGACGTGCACGACTCGATGGCCTCGGGCGAGCCCTTGAGGTCGAGGAACGGGCAGTTGGGACAGCCCTCGGAGCGGAAGCGCTGCTGCCGTCAGCATCGTTCCGAATCGCGTCGGGGCGCCCCCTAGGCGAATCTATAGGAGAGGGGAGAAGGGGGTAGGCGGAGAGGGCGGCGGACGTACGGCTTGTGTCAGGATGATGGAGCACACCATGCACGCACGCGCGTATCGCATCTGTCCCGGAGGGATGTAGGCATTTCCGTCTGCCATTTCGGCGAGCCGGCGGGCGTTTCGGATACTTTTACGGCTGGCAGATAGCTACCGAAGGCTGTAGTCTGTAGTCTGAGGGAGGTTCGCGAGAGTGATGTTGAGCAGTGTCGGTTGGTAGAGGTCGGTCGGAGTAGTAGCAAGTTCTTGGTTGCTAGAGGAAGCTTGACAGGTCGAGACACTCTCAGGCTAGAGTAGGAGTTATAGGGGAGAGAACAGCTAGTTGTAACGGCGGTGATATCTTCCCGAAGAGGGGTAGAAGGAAAAGGGAGAGGCGAAAAGGGAAGAGAAAGCAAGCGGAGGTGGCTGCCGGGTACGTGAGCGAGGTTGAGAGGTTGTTGTTGGCATTGGTGGTTTCAATGCGCGCCGTGCTGGCGGCCAGCAATGGCAACGAAACGCTGAAAGCGGTTCATCGAATTTGCTTAGGTAAGAGGTGCCCACATTCATCCAAGACAATGGACTGCATGTATATACATAGGTACATCGAGTGGAGACAGATGAAGCGTAGGTACCTGAACAGAATAATAACATTGACTATCAGTTTACAAGAGGTCTCAGATCAGCCCAACTAGTCCCCTGTACCTCACCCCAACCTCTAACCGGATTAGGCGATTTTGCCGAGCTTTTTCCCTGTCACCCAAACTTTTCGTACAAGGGTCACTAAATTCTTCTTTCTAACCACCGTACGAACGTGCACTTGATTTATTCTTTTTCGTGATCGAAAGTTACCCCAGGAACGTTCGATAAGCAATTGAATAGGTGGTGGTGGTGATGGTGATGGTGGTGCAGTTGACTTGGTGGTGCAGTTGACTTAGTGGTACAGTTGACTTGGTGGAGACTTAGTAGTGGTGGCAGTGGTGGCGGTGGTAGCGGCTTAAGTAATCAAAAGGATCTCATCCCAACCAACTAGTGGAGTAAGGTCGTAGGAAAGAGCCAATAGAATCTTCAGGAATCCGTGACCCGCTTTGGGGTGAGGTTCAGGGGACTAGTTGGGCTGATCTGTAGACTCGTTTACAATGATAATGCTATTATAGAGGAAACCCCACTCTCAATTTCCTGGTATTGCTTTTACGCGCATGGTATGGCGGTACCTAGGTAATCTTTGATATCAGTTCAACTCAAATGAAGAAGAAAACAAAGACCGTCCAAATCATACCTCTCGCCACACCAGAATCCTCGAAAGGGCCTACGGTACCTAGCACTAGAGACCGCCATGACAGCAGCAGAAGAAGAAGAAGAAGGTTCCAATACGTTTATGGCGGACGCCCCCGCCGCACCCAAGGCGAAGCGGGCCCGGGAGCTCGTCACGGCGACGATCCGAGCGCCGCGGTACGCCTACGCGCACCTCGAGGCCTTCAGCCCCTCGGCCGTGCCCGACGCCCTCGACGCCCTCCAGGTGCGGTCGTATTGCACCTCGGCGCTGCGGCAATTCCTGGGCGCGACCGGCGTCGGCATCCCGCTGGACATCCTCAAGGTGGACGGGAGGCACTGCTGGCTGAGGCTGCCGCGGGACGACCTCGGCGCCTTCGCCGCCGCTATCACCGCCTGGCAGGGCTCCGTCCAGGACGGCGTGCACGCCTCGCTCCGCATAAGGGGATGCTCGGACTGGCTCGGCACGCTGGTGGGCAGAGACGGGCAAGAGGCGCTCTGGAGCGGATAAGAAGGTATCGTGGCCACGGCTAAATCAACTACCTATCGAGGCCATCCGGGTAGGCGTCTGCTCTAAAAGCCCATGTTCACGGCCCGTGGGTACCCCCGGCATGGTATGGTATATGCGTTTCCGTTCCCTTCTCCTTTTTGAACCCCTCCCCCCCATTACTCCCCCGCCCGCGAACGCCAATGCTTCTATGCCGATGCGATGCCACATATGCAAAGATTGCTATGTAGGTAATCCCACCCATCTACGCAAACCAAGCACGTGAAACCGCAAAAAGCAAATCCCACCCGCGTTTCCCCTTTTACATCATAGACATGAGCGAGTTATTGGCGTAGGCCTAAGAGGAGAACGTTAGGTTGACACATTCCATTGCTTGCAGACGTCGTGGTTGGCGGGGTAACAACTTACCATAGGTCGAATGGGCGGATGGGGGACCGCGTCAAACTGGTGGAAATCAAGCTTATAATCAGGGCCAATGTTGATATAAGCGCCCCTATTCTCCGTCTGGTCGCAGTATTTCGGAGCCGAAAAGACTGGACGACAAGTCAGCAGAAATGATCAACCCGGAGTTGGGAGCCACTGACCAGTGATGCACTTCCCGTCGTGCTCCTCCTCGTACCCGTCCATGCGAACCTCGTGACTTCGGATGATAGCGTCAAGGCCGTTCTTTTCGCAGAACCTCTTTGTCACGTCAGGGCCGAATTGCATGCCCACACCTCTCTTGCTCGGGCCTCGGCCGGGAGCCGTCTGAGGGTCGGTCCATAGCATCTCCATCATCAGGCCGGACTGGCCCGGTTGCCTCTGGGCGTGCCTGTTGACCTTTCGAATATCATCTAGCGTCACGTTGTCGTCTGAGAATAGACCGCCGTGCAAGACGAGGTACCGGGTGCCGATGAGTGTAGCTAGTGGCAAAGCAGAAAAGCTTTCGGAGAACAATTTGAAAACCCTAAGCGCTGTCAGAATCGGGTAGATCGTGCCGAGAGTCGGAATCGGAGAGGCTTACCGCTCGTTATACTTTGCTTTGCATTCGCCTTCAAACCCATACACCTTATTCATGTCGTCGGTCTCGTGGTTACCCCTGTTCAGGAACATGCCGCTGGGGCGCAGCCATTTGTAGGCATACAATAATAGGGCAATCTCCGTCGACCAAGAGCCGCGGTCGACGAAATCTCCGTTGAATAAGTACCAATGCTTCTCCGACGGCCTACCGTTTAACCGGAAGAGCTCCATTAAGTCGTAATACTGGCCTACAATGTGACGTTAGTTATAGCCTCGCGCACGCACACATGCCAGACACCACTTCAGGCCTGACTAACCGTGTGTATCACCGCAAACCGTTAGCTTAACATCGTCGGGTATCTTCATCTCCACCATCGTCGGCTCCTCATAGACGATCTTCTTGACCGCGATGACAATCTGATAGACATATTTTCTGTGGATCTTCTTGCCGCTCTTGAACCTCTCAATCATGTCGTCGATAAACTCCTGGGTTATCTCCTCGCCGAGCTTCACGCCGTCGTAGTCGGGCTCGACGGTCATGGAGTTGAGGTCGAGGCCCTCGGCCGCGGAGGGCTCGTCTCCAACTTCGATGGCGGCATAGAAGTTGAGCTGCCGCACAATCTTTTGGCACTCGGCCAGTTTAAGCTTCGCGTCCTTGTTCGTCGGATCGAGGGTGACACATTTTCTTAGATCTTGGACGGCATCCTTGGGCCTGAGAATGGCGGCGTGCGCGACGGCGCGGCGAAAGTAGGCCTGAGGGGGGGGGGTTGGCTTAGTTAGATGAGGCGCGGGCACCCTGATCGACGATGGCGCACCTTGACAAACTTCGGGTTTAGTTCTGCCGCCTTCGTAGCATCGGCAATAGCGTAACCATAGGCCTCCGATTTAATGTAAGCCTAGGCGTCCAGCCAGAGAGTCAGTCACGCGAGCGCCGTGTCATACGAACCCGCACGGGGTGAGGCAATACAAACTTGTGCTCTATTCGTAAAAAAAGCTGGTTCCTTGTCGTTTAGCTCTATAGCTTTGGTGTATAAGTCGATGGCCTTGGGCCAATCGTGGGCGGCAAAGGCCTTGTTGCCGTCGTTCTTGAGGGCCGTAGCCTGGTCCGCAGCAGAAGCCATCTTTAGGGGGTCTAGCAAGGAGAGAAGAGCACAGCTCACGGCTCGGATGGGTAAAAATTGGAGAGGGGAGAGTGATGAAGGGCGCGGGAGGGGGAGGGAAGAGGGAAGAGGGAATTAATCAGCTTTTTGTGTATGGTGTGTGTGCGCGTGCGTGTGTGAATGTGTTTTGGTCGGTCTTCCAATGCTAATTGGGGATGTAAGGTAGAGGTCGTAGCAGTTCTGGTACCTGAACAAGTATTGGAGTTATGATTAGTCGATGCGGCTTTGGATAACGGTTTTCCAGTCTCTTCTTTATTTTTCTCAGGATACCCCAAGATGCCGGCCGGAACTCGGGGCTTACCATACCCTTGTGCCACTGCGAGGGACGCAGCGGGCGAGCCTGGGGAATAGCGGGGTCCTTGGGGCCATCCCCGATGCCTGTACTTACATGTACAATAGATGCATGTGCAGGCTCCGAAGCCGGGTACTTCCATCTGAGGTATATCCTGCGCGACAGGTACGTGGGAATCTTCGGGGCTGGGCGCAGTCCTCGATGTGCCTAGGGACGAAGCCCTCGGGTACCTGCCTCCCTTTGGAACAGGTGCAATGTATGCGCCAAGTGGGGTAGTCAGGTAGTGAAGCCCGCTGGTTGTGATGGCGTGGAAGCTTTCTCTAATGCTTATCAGATGCCTCGTTCCTTGCATACAAGCATGTCATCGACAAGGGGGGGGAATGTGCTGGAAGTACCCAAGATACCTGGCTCCCTGTAGTACCAACTAGATCCGTCCAGGTACGCACTGACACAATAAGCCTTGTTCCCATCATGGCTCGCCTACCATCTATTATGCACTTGCACGCGTATTCATAAAACGTAGGTACCTGGTAAGCTGGGGCAGCACCAATACCCCTCAGACCTCCTTCATTCCAACCCCTTTCCTAGGCCTTGTTCGGATAACACAGATCCCTCCCCCCTTACTCTCTATCACTCACTGCAAGGTTACCCCAGATCACACCGGCGTGCTATTTGTACGGCCTAGTACTTCGGAAGCTCTGGGACCTACCTACGGTGTAGGGCCGTTGGTTGTCCGATCTGCTCCTCGCTGTGAGCCAAAAGGATATCTGCCAATGTCTGAAGAACTTCGGGACGAGGTCGAGGCAATCAACTCGATCTATGGCGATGGCAGCTTAGTCTCTTCCGATGACGCCAACGTATACATCCTAAAGCCTCCTGTAAATTCATCCTCTCTCCGAGTCGAATTTCCTCCCGGCTACCCCGCAGTGCCTCCCGTTGTTCTCGGCACCAACAGTACTGGAGAGCATGGGAAGCGCGGCGATGCTGCTCAGGAACTCTCGTTGTTCTGCCAGGCCTTGGGCGCTGTCTATCAGCCAGGGTCCGTCTGTCTGTTCGACGCGATCGAGGAGTTGACTCGACTTCTCGAATCCCGAGCCGTGGAGGCGCACCAGGACGAAGACCCCTACCTCGAAGGCAGCGCTGGTCCTGTGCCAGTCCGCGAGGAGCTGGCAAATGCGAACGAGGTTGCCGGGGGTCCAGAACCTCCCTGGGTACTATCCGACCCTTTCGTCGAGCTGAAATCGATATTCGTGGCTCGTTGCGCCGCCGTCTCGTCGACCGAAGAAGCCGAGGAGTTTGTCCAGCATCTTCTCGCCTCAGACAAGAAAGTTCGAACCGCTACGCACAATATAACGGCGTGGCGCATAAAGGGGCCCAACAATACCACTTTTCAGGATTGCAACGACGATGGCGAGACTGCCGCCGGCGGTCGGCTGCTGCATCTTATGCAGCTCATGGACCTCTGGAACGTCATGGTGGTCGTTACCCGTTGGTACGGCGGACATAAACTAGGCCCTCGCCGGTTTGCTCTGATTAACCAGACTGCGAGGGATGCCTTTGTGAAGGCTGGCCTTGTCTCTGAGAATCCAAGCAAGAAGAAGCCGTCGGGCAAGACGTGATCTTGAGGGTCGTCACACAGTGCACACCCCGCGTACCCCGCACGGTGGTTCCTCTTTGTCGGGCCTCGGCTGCTCCTCCAAGACTCCCCGCGCAGATGGCGTGGCAGATGGCGTGTTGTCGCCGTCTCTTGGGAGCGAGCTTGGTATGCTGCCTTATTGTCCTTCCCGTTTCAAGGTAAAAATCGCGCCATATCCCCCAGAACCAAGTCACCAATCTTATCCCTATATAAAGATGGTTGAGCAACCACCACTTGCTGGGCTCCAAGTCCTCGAGTTTGCCGGCCTGGCGCCGGGTAAGTCGCACTCTGGCCGATGTCCTTCCCATTCCGCTTACACGCAACCAGGCCCTTTCGCTGGTCTGCTTCTCGCAGACGCCGGCGCCAACGTCCTTCGTATCGATCGTCATATCCCTAATGCCCGAACGCAGCCTACGTCGGACGTGCTCACGAGGCACAAGTCCTCCATAGCAATAGATTTAAAGTCGATAGATGGCAGCGACCTCATCAAGCGGCTAGCCAAGCAGGCCGACATAATTATCGATCCGTTTCGCCCCGGCGTGTTAGAAAAGCTCGGCCTCGGTCCGAAAATTTTATGCGCCACGAACCCTCGCCTCATCTATGCCCGTATGACCGGATTCCGCCGCGATGGCAAATATTCCGCAATGGCCGGCCACGATATCAATTACCTCGCCGTATCGGGGTCACTTTCCCTGTTGGGAAGAAGTGGCGCGAAACCACATTCGCCCTATAATATTTTAGCAGACTTCGCGGGTGGGGGCGCGATGCTATTCCAAGGTATTCTACTCGCTCTCGTCGCGAGAGAGAAAACTGGAAGAGGACAGGTCGTTGAGGCGAACATGGTCGACGGTGCTAGTTATCTGGCGACATTCCCTCGAATGCTGCTGAAGACGCCGTTGGGCAACCGTCCACGGGGAGAAAATCTGCTGGATGGAGGGTGTCCATATTACGATACGTATGAAACAAAAGACGGGCGGTATATGGCGGTCGGCGCGTTGGAGCCGCAGTTCTACGCCGTCCTGGTAAAAGGACTAGGGCTAGGCGATCAGGACTGGGAAACGCGGCGTGAGGACCGGGAAATTTGGCCAGAGATGAGACGAAAATTCGAAGCGGCCTTCAAGTCCAAAACTCGGGCGGAATGGGAGCAGATCTTTGACGGCACCGACGCTTGCTGCACTCCGGTGTTAGAGTATTCCGAGCTGGAAACAGACGCTGCTCGCGATGGCGATCAACGTCCGGCGGTGACGCTGCGAAGGACGCCGTGCCTGGCCATCAGCGAGAAAGGCGCCGACCCTAATATCCACGGCCAGGGTCCGGGCGTTGCCGGGGGTGGCTATACGGGTAGGGTCCTCTACCCGGGTCAGGGAGGTGAGGAAGCTCTGAAAAAATGGTACGGCTGGACGAAAGGGAAGGACTTCAGCATCGAGAATGGAGGGTTCGTGTTGAAGAGCAAACCGAAACTGTAGGCTAAAGCACCGGTCTCCAAAAGCCACCCCCGTCCCCTCGCAGCGATATACTGCTCTACCCATTGTCACCACCTTCTAGATTCCCGCTCATGTGCACTGTTTTTGTTCCAAACCCCATGACGCCGTGTTTAGAAAAAGACTTCTATCAGCCGCCATCAAATGAGAAACGATTTTAACGCCTTCCCTCGGTCCATTTATCCGCTCCCGCCATCTCGGGAGGTTTATTTCTTCTTTTAGCCCACACCGGCTCGAGGAGACGACCTATGAGTCGGCCGACTTTATAACGCAGCCCACATGTTAGCGAGACACGCTTCATCGAACGAGCGGGGGCCTTACGTCTAAAGAAAACTGGGATGTCCACGTGCGTAGATACATCGATTCAAACTTGGATTGGGACATCCGCCAGTCCGTCGGAGTCGGTGGTGGGTTCGGTGGAGGCGGCGGAGCATCGTTTCTGAACTTATAGCCGTATCGAGGCTTGCTGTACCTCCTCTTGCCGAAGGCCCGTCGAAGGTATTGCAGGAAGCGGGATTTGGCGGATCCCCGGGGGGGGAGAGAGTAAGTATATTCGCACATTGGTGCAGAGTCGGTGCTGAGGTGATTGGTCTATGGGTGATTTCTTTTCGGGCTTGCTTATCTGCCCTCTGATATTGCCTTGCCTGTCTTGGTGATTTTCGAGGAGAGTATGTTCTCTCCAGCCTTATTTGTACCAGTCTTGCCGGCCGGAAACAGCCTCATATTCCACACCCCCCCCTCCCTTCTTCCCTTCCTCCGTGCCGTTCACCGCTTCCCCTGTTCGGGATGTAGATGTCTCTCTCCATATGCAACCCGGGACTGGTTTTCTGCGCGTGTCGACATATGTATGTCCATACGTACGGACACACATGTGTCTCTCTCTTCCCCCGTTCCTGGCTCCCCATTTCCCGGATGCCTGATTCCGCCGGCATATCGTGGGTCGCGGAAACTGGAAACTGGAAACTGGGAACTGGAGAATGGAGGGAACCGGAACGGTCCCCTTGACCGCCAACTCGCCTGGCAGCCAGTAATCTAGCCAGCCCGCTAGACGAGGCCAACCTGTGGCCGGGCTTTCGGCCTCGGGGAGAAAGGAGGCAGGAGAAGGCAGGGAGGGTGACCTAATAATAGCCTCTCGGAGAGTTATTATTGCTGTCCCAGCAGCTTACACATCGATTATACCACCTCGACATGGCTTCGCTGTGGCTACAGGTGTGAGTGCATGAAGAGGGTATGCAAGTCTGTAGACGTCGCATAGCCGAACATACCCTTACCCATACCTACATATTGGCGCGCCTACATACCCACTCCCTCACATGCCTGGCCTCCTTGCTAGCGTATACGCGCGAGATACCCTGGCCCTGGCCTCTTCGACCCGGCTTTGCCGACGACCCTACCGCTGCCGTAGACTTCCCCGGAGGCTAGCTCCCCGGCAGCGACTCTGTTCCGCTTTCTTCTCCAAATCCAAACCCCGAACCGCCCCCCTCCCCACCTCTATGCCACCGAAACATGAAACTTGGAGTATAGGATGGAGTATATGTGTGCTGTATGTATGTTGTATGTATGTTGTATGTATGTACGTCTGTAGGCCAAGGGGCTGGCCCCGGAAAGGATCCAAGGCCGACCTGCTCCTACATCTGCCACGCTCTCCTATCATCTCGCTCCGACCCTCTTGTCTTCCCTCTCCCGAAACCTCACTACCTCGAAGTCCGTCGTCTCTACTCGTCATCTTGTATGCAACCCACTCCCCCTCCCCCCTTGGCCCCGTCCCGTCCCGCCCTCTGTCCCGCCCTGTCCTGTCCTGTCCTGTCCTGTCCTCTCTCTTCCTAGTCCCCTTCCGTAGCACGGCTGCGAGTTCCAGCCCATTCCGGTCCGGGCCGCCGCCGCGGACGAACCCCAAAAAGATGACGGCAGGGCAGGGTCCTGTCTTAGGCTGGGGTAATAAGAACCAGGTATCAGGTAGCCGGATGCTCAAGCGGCATCTCGACGGCAGTCCAGATCGCGACGGTAGTCCCGAAGAGGAATCTCGATCCGCGAACTGGGAAAACAGGGAGACGCCGCCGGCTCGTCCACACGGCTAACCCCCACATCCTTCACACCATTCGCGCTCATCGCATCCTTCACACCCTTCATATCCTCCACAGTCTTCACACCCTTCACACCCTACCGCTGCTGTCATCATCGTCACCACCACCACCCACTGCTGCCTCCAGCTCAGGAAGCGTATGCACGATAGACACGTAAGTACCCTACATGCGTATCTATGTCTATCACATGTGTATGCCGAGCGCCTCGTCCTCGTCCCTCCCAACCCCCACACCCTAACCTCCTCACGTCACCGAGTCGATTATCACGAACATCGCTAGCGCCCTGAAGGACGAGGCCCACACGCAGCCGCCTACCCGCCCCGTCTGCCTCTCTATCTCTATCTATCTACTTATCTGCCTACGATGCTCCGCGGACCTACTACACAGAGCTCGCCTAACCCACCTCTGCTGCTCGTCTCTCTTTTGACTATACAAGCAGCATCCGCTCCGCGACTCGCTTCCGAGCCGCCAAGAAGGAGTACTTTTAAACCAAAGAGCAGTAAATACAAATCAACAAAAGAAGGGGGGGGGGGGGGGTCAACAGCGATGTGCGACGACGAGAGACGAGAGGGTGTATAGAGAAGGAAGGATACGAACAAAAAAAAAAAAAGCGCCACGCCGCTGTAAGATCGATCGATCGGGTCGATTTCCTTCCCCCGAACCCGTATCTCGTATCTCGCTCTGGCTCCCACGTCGCCCAGCCCCCCCGTCGCCTTGGTCCCCTGGGCCTCGCCTCGCCTCGCCCTTCCCCATATCTTCGTACCCCAGGTGCCCGTTCCCCCCCCTTCTCCAGCCCGTCCGTGCCTCACCTCACCGTGCGAGAGCCAACCAACATCCCCCCCGTAAAATAAAAAAAAGCAAATCCGAAAAAAAAAAATTAGGAACGATAATGACGATAATGACCCCCCCCCCCCTTTCTCCGCCATCCGCCTGAGCCGCCACGATCCTCCGCCCTGCCATCTACACCTTGTCAGCCCTGCACGCCGTCTGGCCCCCCTGGCCTCTCCGCGCTCCTGACTGGCCTCTTTTGCGCTCGGCGGGCGAAGCTCGACTGCCAGAGCCAGGCGCAGACAGACGGGAACGGCCAGGGAGGGCAGACCACGCAGCCAGCCCCCTAACGCGCGAGCGCGCCGCCCGCGCCCAGGCAGACGCTCTCTCGTTCCGACTGGTCTGCTTACGGACGCGCGCGCGCCCGCCGCCGCCGCCGCCGCTGCTGCTAAACGTACGACTAGCCGACGCAGGAGAACCAGTCTAGAAGCTCGGAAACTTTCGATCGATCGATCGGCGCGAGAGCAGCAGACGAGATGCTATCCGTCACTTCTCATCTCGCCACATCTCATCTCGCCCCGCCCCATCCCGTCGTCGCGAAGCGCGACGAGCAGGGCAGACGAACGCCGTGGCGGCTGAGAAATAAAATTCTTTCTTTTCATTATCAGGCAATTTCTCATGTCTCTTTAGCTACATTAATTATTCCGCCTCCCTCGCGCTCTTTCTGTCTCTCTCTCTCGCTCTCATTTTTTGCATCTCTCTCTTCCCTTCCTTCTCTCTCCCTCTCATGGTATGCTGCTTACTTCTCTCATCTACCCGCTACATGACCTTCATATCCATATCTAGAGAGCCAGGGGGGGGGGACCGGGTTGGGGTATGGCGTGAGGTGGCGTAATGTTCTCTTAAGACAAAAAAAAAAGAAAAAAGAAAAGAGGTGGGGTGAGGATGAGGACAGGGGAAAGGGGTAGGAGGAATGATCAGCAGGGCCCACCAGTCCTACGCTCTTCGACATTGTGTGAAAATCCGGGTTATCCGACGGTCGAAGAGCTAACAGCTTCCTCGACATCTCTTGGCTCGTCGTGACCGCCCGAAACCAAAAGGTAGCTAGCCGGCTAGATTCCGTCACAATGGGTATAGAGAGATTCCAACATTTTTACTGAACCTGGCTGACAATCTCGCTGGCCTTACCCAGTGACTCCACCATCTGATGGCATTCCTTCCGCCGGCGGATGGTGTAGTCGCTCTCCTTCAGCAGATCGTCCAGAGTTTCGTTGCGGTACATGTTCTCCAACAGCTCTCGCTGCATCTCGTCCTTCGTGAACCTGGTAACCCAAAGTCAGTGGTCTGTTGACGAGCGTCGGTTAGTTGAATGAGGCTTACTGGACGAGGTTTAGCATGATAGCTTTCGGTACCATGTCGATCATCGTCCTCTTTACGATGTTGAAGTACGAAGCAATTAACAGTTCTACAGCAATCCGTCAGCACAGTCACTCCGGCGCGGCGATCCGGTCGCACGTACTAATAACTTCGACCTCGATATTCTCTCTCTCGGAGAGCGTCCCGGAAGCCTTAAGGGTCGGGGGAGGAGCTTCCATAGCAGCAGCCTTCTTCTTGTTCTTGGCAGCAAAGAAACTTCCGAAGAACCCGCTGTTGTTGTCCAGGTTACCGTCGAGCGAAGGGCTAGTCGCGCGAGCCGGTGTGGCCGATGCTGCCAGAGGCTTTCCGGTCTTGGGGTCGACTTGCACGGGCTTCGCTCCGTTGTAACGTTCGTTCACTATCGCCATCGCTCGATGTCCGTTGAGGAAATCGGGGTGAGCCGTGTTGATATAGCAAGCCTCCATGGAGACGAGATCCCTGACCAGCTTGTTTGTGGGCTCCATGGCCTTCTTAAAGAAGCTGATAACTACACCGTGGAATTTCTCCTTGAGCTGTGGGTATCTCCTATATAGCTGCCTAGCAAGGAGCTGCGTCAAGATACGCACCAGCTCGTCGTAAACGAGCGACACGCACTTGAGACTAGGCTCCTCAAGTCGCTTGATCTGTTGCTTGACGATGACTTCGAAAGCGGTCGTCCCAACGAAAAGTGCTGGCGAGGAGCCGGATGAGTTGTAAAGTATGGTTCTGATATCGACGTCCTTGACAACATCGAAGGGGTCAACCGCCTTCACGCCGTTCGAGTAGAGCTCGTGGAATACAAAGCTGATCCTGGCACCTCCGGACAGCTCGGTGCTGGATAGCTCGCCATTGTTACCTTCTAGGACGGTTCGCCACTCGTTTGTGAACTCGGTGATGATGTTCAGAACAATGTTGGCGCTATTGCCCAGCATCGAGGGCCCCAGACTCTCGAGCTCGGCGCTGTACTTTTGCAAGGAGCTGGCAATCCTCGCCTTGATATCTGGTAGCGTCTGCTTGATGTGCATCATCAAAATTAGATTTAGCTTCCGTGCCAAGTACGGAGTACCGCAGTAGGTGCTCTTGTTTCGGTAGGCATTGTGATTTTCGAAGAAGTTCTTTTCGGCCTCGAGAGACGCCGAAATGGGTTTCTTGTTGTCGATGTCGCGCTGTCCTCTGTTGACAACGGGGACGTATCCAAGTCGCAAAGGGATGATGCGACCAGCAAGAATATCGACAACGTCGGTACCCTCGTCCATCAGGTCCACCTTGGTCAAAACACCGATAGTCCTCTGACCTTCTGGGTCTACCTCTCGGGCGAGCTTAAGGCCGTCCGAGTTGGCCAGATCGATGTTAGCAGAGGTGACGGCGAGGATGATGGCATTTGATTTCTGAATATATTTGAGCACCATATCTTTGATTTGCCGCTCGATATCTCGGGGTTGGTCTCCGACCGGCACCTTCGTCAGCCCGGGCAAGTCAACTAACGTTAGTGTCAGGACGTTGGGGGAATAGACCCTGAGGTTGATAGGCGAAGCCGAGATGCCAGAATTGCGGCCGACCTTGGCCTCCGTCTCCCGGCTGATCTCTTCCCGAATTCGGTTGAAGTCGTAGAACTTCTGCCCAGGTATATGCAAAAATTCGCCCCACTCGTCCGCGTTGGCAGCCTTATCCGTGGAGCCGGAGATCTCATCCTTCACCCCGTTCGTCTGAGGCGTCGCAGGTCGGTTGATGAGTTGTAGGACGAGAGGCCGTCGAGTTACGATACCGGACCCCCGAGGCAGGCTGTTGAGGGTAGTCGGTTAGCTGTGATCACGGAGGGAGGAGGTAGGAACCAGGCGGTCTGGGGTCAGCACGTACAAGTCTCGGCCGACAATATTCTCCAGCACGGAACTCTTACCGCTCGACTGACTTCCGACGACGACTATTTGCGGCAGGTCGATGGGATTGTTGACACCGACCGTCGCGAACACATCTTGGAGCTTGTTGACGAGTCTAGAGAGGTGATAGTGGTGTTAGCTGCTAGGCCGCGCGCACTGGCGAAGGCGGCTCTCCGTCGGCAGGACGGGCAAACGTACTTGATGAGAGCAGGGTCCGAGATGCCCCCCGGGACGTTGAGCGTATCGGCCATCTTCCACAACTGGCCGCGAAATCAGGGGGTGAGGTAGAGGTAGGCAGACAGGTATTCGCGCTGAGGCTATTGCCGGCGTTGGAGTTGCTGTCAAGCCTGGCTGGACAAGTTGAGGTTGGAGGAGCACAGCGACGTGGATTCGATAAGTCGGTGTCGGTGTCGGTGTCGGTATCGGGGGTGGGTTTGTCTAGTGCTGGGCAGATTTCGCCGATGGCGTTCTCGAGCCCCTCTCTCCGAGCGGAAGATCAGGGGAGGGAACGGGAGGCTGCAGGTGTATTATGCACAGGGCGAAGTAGCCCACGAGTTGTTTGGACGTGGTTGGCGAGGTTATGGGTCTGGGGAGACGGGCGGGTTGGCGCGTGTGGTTGGGGTTTGATGGATGGATGAATGAATGTTAGACCTGGCTCCCGATGTGTGTGGAAATACCTGAGGTATAGGCACATATGTAGGTATACTCATATATGTATGTATGCACAGAGGAGGTATGTAGATGTCGGGTCTTGTGCACCTGATATTGGGTCAGGTCAGGTCTTGCTGGCAGATTCAGGCCAACCTGACCCCAGGGATAACGCGACAAGTGCCACTTTCCTGGGCAGATTGGTACCTTATGTAATCACTTCTGTTACCGCGTAACTGGCTCCGGGTTATCGAGCCACAGGGGACGTGTGACTTTTCCTGCCTCAGGCATCAGCATATCGACCTACCCGGAATCGGACAACGGCCAATTATGCAGGTACCTGATATGCATGCCCAACCCTTCCCCGTCGCCATCAGGGCCAGAAGTTGTCTGCCTCATGCCCTGCTATGTAGGTCTGTAGGCAGGTAATTATGAGCGAGCCTCGTTTCCACCAACCAGCCGCTATTTCCAACGTTCTACACTCGGCGGGTTTGCCTGCACTGTCATACACATATGTAAGGTAGGCCACCCTGCATACGTATAGGTATACCATACATCCGACTCGCCTCCTCTCTCGACAATACCTACGGCCAGGTATTTGGCCTCTATCTCAGGCTTCCTACCGGCCTGCCTTTACAGCCGTGCTAATGTATGCCTAGAGATAACCACATCCACTAGAAAACCGGTGCGTACGTATGCGGACATGGATCTGTTGTACGTATGTACGTATGTTGAGCAGGGGTTGGATGTGCGAATGGGAATGCGCCGTGCAAATTACCCCCCCGGACCGCAGTAGTAAGTATACGCGGTGCTTTGCCCCATACGTGTCGCCGTTTATCGACAGTGGTGTAGCGCCGACTACATCCGTATTGCACGATCCCCCCATAAACGACGACGGAGGATGTATGGAAGCGAAGAAGCTGACATTGTTTACTTAAAGGCGAGCCTCGTCTACGTTTACCATACAGGTACCTACCTGTCTCTTATAGGAATGGGCGCTGGGGCTAACACTTGTTGTTACTATACGTAACGGAAAATAAGATATATATGACCGTATGTGGTTGGGATAGGAGTGCCATGCGGTAGGATAGGCCACAAAACTGTCTCTTCAGCTACCGCCTAGGAGACGGGTTGTAACCTGTAGGTATATATCCCCATTCGCCTGCACTGGGGTCCCACGACAGGTCCTCCCATAACCCGTGAGGGCAGATTGCGGATACATGCTGTCGTAGCTGCGGTCCGCACTGTGTAATTATCCTGCCACCGCAAGAATCGATAATCGTGTTGCCTGGACGAGCATGCGTCAGCTCCTTACTAGAGGCTGGTGACAACGAGTCTATTCAGGTTCAGTAGTAAACCTCGTGCTAAATCGAATCTATCTGCGAGGGTCAATAGGCGGATGTCTATCTAGATAACAACACTAGGCGGATGTGAAATGCTATCGTCTACAACTGAGCGGTCCAAGGGCGGCTCGAGCCAGAATCATGGACAGTAGTTGATACGTAGGCGTCAAGGTATGGGTACGGCGTACCCGAAGACGTAGTCTAAAGATTCGCGGAGCTAAGATACAAGCACGCAGGTTGCCGCCGAACGTCCCCTCCGCAAAGTCGCTCCAGTCTCCTTACTAGGCCGCTGTGGTTGCGGCCAAATACACTCTCGCTCTCGCATATTAGCTGGAACATGACCGCGTTGATTGGGTCGTCGTCCACCGACGGGGCAGAAACGAGCCACGCGCCCTCCCTCGCCGCGTCATCTAAGAGGGTACACGTGTTGACATCCCCAAGGCACCGTCCTCGGCCTCTAAATCTATTGTTTGAAGAAGGAAAGGGGATCCTGCAGAGTCCTCCCGCTCGGGTTCGAGCGTCTCCGCCAGAGATATTCTGTGCGATTAATGCTCCACGCAACCAACCACCCACTCATGCAGGCCGCCGCTGTAAATTAGCCGTCCCAAACCCGCATTCGGCCTGATCGTGTGGGTTTACGGGGTGAGAAGCGCCGTGTAGCCATCATCCATATACAAATGCGCCAGGTCCATATGCCATGCAGGTGTGCTATACCGTGAAACCAGACTCGACACGAGTCTGAAGATAGCTCCGTAGAGGTCGCTCTCAAGACCCGTTAGAGCTCCGACTTGTTTCCCGATGTATGCGCCGCCAGTCGCCATTAGACCATCTAGAGACAGTTAGCACTTGTAGGCCTAGATGAGGATTCAACGCAAGGGCTTGCAAACATTTTAATCTTCCCGTCATCTCCGCACGTCGCAAAGAGACACGGGTCCACTGGGCTCCACGAAACCGAGTTGCATCTAGGGGTATGGCCGACGAGCTTCTCTACCAACTGCCCACTAGCCTTGTGCCAGACGTAGACGGAGCCATCTGTTATGTCACCGTGTTTAGTTAAAGAGGAGCCGAAATATAGGTTGGCGGTAATACTGACCTTCGCTCCCGCTAATTATGAAGCTTTCATCCGCTCCACCGAAGGAACTCCTTATCGTGAACTCACCGCCGGTGAATCCCGTGTAATTTTGAATTGGTTCTCGAATGACGAGGTCGATGAGTTGCGCCACGCCGTTCTGATGGGTCACTAAAAGGTGTCTAGGGTTCTGGCTGATGCTGACCGATGTCGTTCTGACTCGTAAATCCATCTCGTATTCCAGTTCACGAGTGATGAAGTTGTAAACATGGATATGATTCAACATGTCCATAGAGACCAGCCAACGCCCGTCAGATGAGGCCGCCAAGTCCTCAACTCTATGACAGTTATTCCAGTCATGTATCATTTCCCCAGATAGATTCCATTGGACGAGGCTTTGGGAACCGTTGAGAGAGCCGGTTACAAACGTCTGGTCGTCCGCAGCCCACACGCAACTTGTAACTGGCTCGTCACACCATTGGAGCCTTTTGAGCAAGGTGCCCGTCTGCATCTGTCAGGTATAAGTCCCGCGGCAGTGGAAATTGAGACACTTACATTGACGTCCCACAATATCGCGTGCTTGTCCTGGCTACACGAAACAAGCTTAGAGTCATCCCAGCTCCAGGAGACCTTACCAACGCCACCGCTATGACCCTTGAGGAAATGAAGTGGTTCGAAGGAGGGCACCTCCCATATGATGACATCCTTACCGCTCCCGCAACTAGCTAACTTCGTCCCGTCGTGGGAAAAGGCGACCTGCCAGACCTCACCGTCTTGCTCGTCCAACTCGATGACATTATCAGCGGGGTATTGACTCTGGTCACATCTATGGTCGGCATAGAGAGATGGGGGTACGGCGCTCGAGTGCCAAAGGCAACTAGCTATCTGATTCCGCTTAACTTGGTGCAAGAGCATAGCCAGGCGGTGTTCTGGAACCATGACCGATGGTGATATGCACCCTTCAAGGGAAGATTAGTAGCAGCACACATAAGCTAGCAATAGGGGTCTGGACTCACTTGACAATTGGGATAAAAGAACGTGCCGGGAGTCGCCGTAGGCGCCATCCCACTCTGCTCTTGATTTCAGATCTTCGGCCGATTGACACATGAGCAAGCTAGATAGGAAATGCAACTTCTTTGTGTCGTAGTACAGCGTCGTTAGTTCTGTCCTAAGCACGATCAAGGCGCGGGTAGTCTCTTTTTGTTCCAGGAGCTCCAGGAATTTTTGCTGTCGTATCCAGAACCGCATCACATTCCTATCTGCACCCTTGGCCAGCACCAACCCATTGCTTCCCTCGCCAGCCCGATCGCTAGGCGGGGACGCTCCAAAAAGCAGTCGCTCCGCTTCATTCCAGTCTCCTTCTAGAACCGCAGCCCTAAAGGCCGCCACCGTCGGGGATTCCAGCTCAAACCCGCTGTCCTGGCTCAGGCTATCTGCTGCAGAGTGATAGCCCATGTCCGAGAGTGCCTGTATGAGTATCCTGGTGACCTCTTCGCGATCATGGCCGCAATAATCAGTCGACGGCCTACCTTTCGAGGAGCCGTTTCGTGCCGTGGTTGTTTTGTGTGTCCCATTTGAGGCACCTGATACCGAGGGTCGCTGGTGTGACTTCCCGTTGGAGTAGGTCTTCTGGGTGCCATTAGCTCCTACTGGCCTATCCGTCTCTGCGAGCATGGTGGTATCGGAACGTCTTCGTTTCCTTCGATGGGTTTCTTCAGGGGTGGTATTCGAAGCGTAAGCTTCCGAGAGGTCTAACTGCGAGCCAGCGACGGTATTGCTGTCGTCTATAGCTCGCTGCCTTCTTCCCAAGACCTGACGTCGTAAGGATGGAAAGATAGGGGGGCGATTTTGTGTGCTAGTTTCGGTATCGGAAGCTAGGGACTGGAGCAGGTTCGAGCGGTTCGCGGGGTTCGCCGAGGTTGCGGGTTCGGCGGGGGAAGAGAGGACAGTGTTGGGAGGAATTCGGGGGTGGTCGGAGGCGGATGGGGCGGATGGAGGCTGCTGGGGATTTTGGTCTGCCACTTCGACGGTTTGTCGCCCGTTAACTGCGGGATGGAAACACCCGCAGTCCTACAAAGGATTGTGAGGTTTAGCGCTGTCTGCCGGCCGAGGTGAGCTAGCTGTGTACCGTACAGGACGAACCTGGGAAGTAGGATGGTCGAAGTTGCGGGAGACGCGAAGTGGGCGGTGCTAATAGTGACAGTAGTAGTGGTGACGACAACGACGATGGCAGTAGGGGCGGTGGCTGCAGTGGTGGTGGCGGCAGCAGCAGATGCAAGCGAGCAAGTAGTATCGGTAAAAGTTGGAAGGCGAGGTGACTAGACAACTTGGACGACGGCCTTTGATGTGAATAGCTCGCTGAGGTGGCTGACCTCATGTCAGGTGGGCCGGGGGCTGAGGACAAGAGCGATCAACACCGAAGTCTGGCTAACGAAGAGTCTGAGGTACTATGGCGAGTCTGGCTATCTCGAGGGATGGTAAGCTCTCGATCTCCCGTCCGTCCAAGGATCGACCGTTCTCTGCGTCGAGGTGTGCGAGGCTATGGCGTCTGACCGGTATACCCGAGGCATCGACGATACGAAACCCCCTTATCTTTCTGCTTGTCTCTTTCCCCTTTCCGCTTCGCTCTCGCCCTACGAAGTCCCCTATCGCCCTCTTCGACTCTCGTCGATGACGCACGGCAGGGCTGAAGTAAGCGATCCAACGCCCGGCGAACCAACTCGGGGTTTGAATTTCGAGGTTGGCCCTCGAAACGGTAGGCAGGCGAGAAGGTGTTAGGCTAGTTGCGTGGCGCGAGAGGCTTTCAAGTGCACGGCAGAGTATGGTGATATGTAGTATGTTGCAATGCGTAGAACGGGAGGATGGGCGGAGAGATGGGGATGGACGGATGTATGTACCTGGCTAGCTACCTATGTAGGTATAAGAATTGTGTGGGCTAGAAGGCCAGTGGATGCCCGGATAGGTAGGTAGGTACCTACATCTATGCCTAAGGCAGACGTGATTATTATTACACTGAAGCTTCTTATAGTTGCATACGTTCCTCCGTATCATGTACCCGCCTGCCAACATCAAGTATGCGGGTACCTAGGTAGGTAGGTAGGTAGGTACAGGTAGGGATGCTTTCAAAGTGCCTACCGTTACTTAAGGCGGTACGCCTACCTAACCCGTCTAACATCATGTAGCCTAAAAGTCAGCCAACTGCCTGCTGCTCTCGTCGTCAGCACATGAATGTGCCTTAACAAGGTGTTTACTGAGGGTGTCAAGACCCGAGGCAGGTAAGATTCAAATCCACGCATCGAGTACCCGGCCAGATGGATAGGTACATACATGTACATACACACATTATATCTGTGATAAATACGTACCTAATGTACCTAACACCGGCGGGTTCCGCTTGCCATTGGCTTCCGGAATCCACTTAGGCAGGTGGACCTCTAACGCATGTGCGATATGTACCAGACCGTATCGTTCTAAAGGAAGTATGCAGGTATCTACTACTCTATGCGTTGTGTCCATTACGGCGAAGATAAGACTGCCTGCGGAAGTAAATCAGTCTCAATAGAAGCACCTCGACGCCATAGATTCGTCCCCATTGATCTCATCTTCCATAGCCGTCCCAACCTGTCCATCAAGCACCGTCAGTAGGGATCCATCGCAGGCGCTGAATGGATTGCCGCTTATAGACAGGTACTGTACCTTACTTCACGGCTTACTCCCTCCTTTACCGCTTATCGTGGGCTATGCCATGCCGTCCCATCCATGCATTAGGTATGTATGAGTGCCTACATCAACGAGCGCATCCACGTGACATCACCAAGCCTCCAGGAGAGTTGCAAGCTGCCTAGTCCCCTCATGGAGGTAGCGGTATCGATAGGTCTCAAGACCCTCCCCTGCCCTCCTCTCCAATGTCCCCACATGCACTGTTGGTGCCAGTTAACCTCGGAGACGTGCCGATGACTACATGTGAGGGTCTTATAAGGTCCATGAGGTAGCTGACCGACCAGATAGCGTCATGCGGGAAATAATAGCTGTCGACCTCGACAGAGGGACCGAGACGATGCTCGAATGAGGTAGGCGTGGGAGGATAAACCGCCTTGGCATACTCAGAGGAGCACTACATGCTACCGTTACCACTCGTTGTATGTGACATCTAAATCGATCCCACCGAGGTGTCAACCTGTCATTTTGCTAGGTCCAATCTGCTCTAGCGGGCGCTGAATGTCCTTGTGACAATCATACCACGACAGATCCATCCGCCAGCGAGACTATTAGGCCGCCATGGCGATGGGATTATGCCTTCCATGCCCTCCAAGCTGAGCCAAAGTTGAGTCGTAGACCAGTTTGGAGGCGTCTTTTTTCCCCCTTCCTTTTCTTTTCCTTCCCTCTATCGATAATAACAATACATACGTGTAGTAAGATTGTGTCGGGAGGGCTGTCCAATTATCACCCCACCACGCGAACAAGAGGTTTGACCCGAACTGTTTCACATATATGGCTGAGTCTTTACAGTATGACGCGCTGTGCTTCTGCTCGTTTTGTCCAAATAACTCGATGAATTCAGTCGTGCCCCGAATCAAAGTATACTTCTGGTCATGTTCGGTCAGGTCAAATTACTCAAATAATCGACGCGATTCCAGGATGTCTTCAGAGTGTGCCGTTGTTTTGCTTACGGTTGGCCTCCTGTATCTTGGCCGGGTGATTTTGAGACCCGTTAATGCCGAGATCGTGGACGAAGAGGTACGCAGGAAAAACAGTAAGGGGGTGAGAGGAAAGATGCTGAAGGTTAGCTAGTTTCGGTGAAGATACAACGCCCCCCTCCTTGCTGACCTCCAGTGATCGTTTTGGCTAGCGATATCACCAGGTCGCGTCCGTTTGATACGAGCAAGAGGAACAGATACTTGTAGGGTTGCCCCGAGGCTAATCCCGGAAGCGAGATCCAACCGCGAACCATAGGCCTGCCAAATACATACATACGAAGAGAGACGCTCCTCAGCCGAAAACATGATCTAGAGGCATAGAAGCGTGTACATGTGGACGGACTCCCGGGGTGCAAGAACCCCGAAGGTAGACTTCTCTCTCTCTCTATCGAGCACATGTAATCGTCCGCTTGACCCCTACTCTCTATTGATCTCCGCCCCAAGATAAAATCCGACCATGAGAAATGAATACTCCAACTAGCTCCTCTATATAAGGCCACTGGGGAGAACTGACCCACGAGCAATCGTAAGCCTTACTATAACTTCCCCTTGGGTCCAACTACTTCTTCGATCTTGGCGAATTGGTAGTAAAAGTCTAGGCTCTCCGGGTTGAGCAGCGTGCTGCTTGGCTTGACTATCTGACCAGAAATAATCTGCTTGACCGGAAGCTCGACTTTCTTAAGATTGATCGTCGTCTAGCTCCCTCAGTCAGCGCGCCCCTTCTTCCTCGACTCGAACGTGTGGGCTTCCACCTACCGGTATCTCAGGGGTCTCAAACACGTATTTAGGCACATGTCTCTTTGTTAACTCGTTCTCGATGGCTCCTTTAACCTCGTTGACGAGCTTCCTGTCGAACTTGTGGCCCGGCTGCATTAGTAAGAATAGCACCACACTCTCGTCGTTGTCCTGGGGCCGCCGTTGTCCGACGCAGATCGAGTCGGCCACGCGATCCGCGAAGTTCCTCTCGAGCACCGAGTAGATTTCCGCCGAGCCGAATCGGACCCCACTGGGGTTCAGGACGCCGTCGGCCCTCCCCAGGAACGTGAGATTCTTGGTAACAGGGTGAATGACGCAGAAATCCCCATGCGCCCATACGTGGTCGTACCTTGCGAAGTACGCGGAATGGTACTTCGATCCGGGGGCACCTGCTGGGGTCTTGTCCCCCCAGAGAAATACGGGTACGTTAGGGAATGAGGCCGTGGCCACAAGCTCCCCGGGCGTACCGTCTGGGACCTCACGCCCAGGCCCGGGGGGCGATAGCGAATCGTATATCGCTACCTTAACCCCTAGAGAAGGGCCTTGCGTCCCACCTACGTATACAGGGCTCAGCGGATTGCCAACGCCAAAACATCCAGCCTAGATAACGTCAAGTCAGTACCTAGTTGAGAAAACTGAAAGATGTAAGCCCTACAATGTCGGTTCCCCCAGATATGTTATTGAGACGGACGTGGGGGGGGAATCCGGTGTCGTAAAACCACTCGAATTGCTGCTCCGAAAGCACCATTCCCGTGCTCGTTACTATTCGCAGACTCGACAAGTCGGTGATCTGTCGAGGGGAGAGACCAGCCCGAGAAATCTCGTAAATCCAACGGGGGCTAATTCCCAAATTCGTCACCTTTTGATCGCCCGCCAGCTTAATGAAAGTCTGTGGGTTTGGCTGGAAAGGCGAACCATCATACAGAACGACACGTGAGCCTATCAGCAGCTGGCCAACGCTGACTAGGTACATGATCCATCCCGTAGTCGTATATTGCAACGAGACGGTGTCAGGCCCGGCGTCGTCGTGAAGGCGGGTCTCCTTTACGAAACTCAGAAGCACGCCCCCGACCGAGTGGACTATAGCTTTAGGAATGCCAGTGGTACCCGAGGAGTGAGAGATTAGGAGCGGGTCGTAGAAGCTGATCCGAACAATTGGCGGGGGGAATGTCGCATTGCCCATTTCCAAAAATTTATCCAGAGTCTGTGACTTGGGAATCTTGCTTATATCTAAGGCGGCCTGGAAGCGACGAATGGATACTATGCCGGAAAACTGATCACAGTCCGCCATACCCGCGACGATATCGGCCATCTTGGGGCGCAGGTCAAGCCGCTTGCCATTGTAAAGACAAGCATCGTCCATAAATATATACTGGTTCCAGTCAACGAGCAGTACGTTGAGATGTACTACAGGGGAGTTTTGCCGTGCCTACCTTGGGGTTAATTTGAACCGCCCGCTGCAGCATTCCCTGGACGCCCATATCCGTCGAGCTGCTGTTGAAGAGGGCGCCTAGCCAGGCGGCGGCAGTGAATATGACGAGAGTCTCAATGCCGTTGGCGCCAATGACAACTATTCGATCTCCCTTTCTAACGCCGTGACCGTATAGCGCCGAGGCGTAGAGGGCGACGAGTTTTCGGAGCGTCGCCCAGGTGACGTTCCTGATTTCGGAGACACCCTCCCGCACTGCGGTCAGGGCGATCTTATTGTCTTCTTTTCCTGACTTCCCGTGGTGGTCCGAAGGGTCGCGGGCCCCACGAGACCACAAAATGTTCTCAGCCCAATTGAGCTGTACTCCTTCAAACCAGCGCGGAATAGCGTCGATTGGTTTGCTCTCGTCTACGGCTCTCGTGTAAGAGCCGGTATGTATTATGTTGGAATATTCAAATACTTCAGCGAAGAAGTCGGACCGTTGGGCGATTGAAAATTCGTACAAGTCTTGGAATGTCTAAGACGGGTCAGCGACGAGTTAGGCTAACTACAGCTTCTTGATGCTTCACGATTGATCGATTCTCGCAAAGCACCCTTACCTTTAGAGTCGTGTTCCGCTTCCTGTTCAAACGCTGCATAAATCTATACATCTGGGTCTTCTCCGGATTGAGGGGCTCCCAGAGCTTCCTCGGAATGGAGGCCATCCTGTCTGCCGTATTCGCTCTCAGTGCGCGTCACGAGTTCGGGCAATCCACGGACTTAGCTAAGGGAAAGGTAGACAGATAGGCAGTAGTGGTAGCAGCAGTGTCCGGATCCCTCTGCGGCTCGGGGTGGGTTGGATATTTATTAAATCCGGGCTCTGTGGCCAAGTGCCACAGCATCATCCCTTGTAGTCAGCGACACCGTGCCAGAAGCATCGCCATCGGGAGTTCCAAAAGTTTATGCGGCTCAACATTACTATGCGATTTATTTTATTGCTCGAAAAATGTAACTCGATCAAGCCGTCGATCACGAGGTTATCCAACCCATTGGAACATGGAATATGCCACCCACTGAAAGGACCAGGGGAGAGGAGCACAGGGTGCCAACAAACTCCCAGTATCGAAGGGGTTCCTAAGCGGTTTCCCGCATCCCCGCAGATTCCCCAACAAATTCCGCATTATCGTCAAATTCTTCGGCACCTACGTCCTTCGAAGACTGGGTGGTCTCGCTTCTCTATATTTCAGCTTGGACTAGACCATTCGTTATGCGGTCAGAAGCCAATCTCGAGGGACGGTGCTATACCTAGGTACCTAGATGCAATGTTGGAATTTCTAAAGGTACCTAAGTTCTTGCGACCCCGTGGCCGACGTCGGACATTATCAGGTAGATATTTCCTGGCGTGTATTTTCCCCGTTTTGGACGGAGAGGGTTAGGCCAGTGAGGATTTTCATCAGCAAAGAGGTCGCTGAGCGTCTTGCTAAAAGGCAGGGAATCGGGATGAGGATGCATATTCCTAGCTAAGGGGTTACATAAGCTCGGTTCAGGCATACCTCCTAGGTAGGTAGGTAATGAGAAAATACCAGCACGCAACCGTCTATGGTACCTACCTACCTACATGCCTCATATATCCCTAACCTCTAACTACCTACTACTACTTGCAGTAGGTAGGTATATACCTCCCGACACAGCACATAGTCACGGTAGAGATTCGTAGGCGAGGCGCTCGTCGCTTGAATCTGCCCCGAAGCGGTGAATTATTCCGGCTTATGGCTACCACTCGGCCACACACTACCGGCCTAGCTTACCTACACCATAGATACCGATACGTGGTGGGGTTGCTCGTAGGAATTCATCTGTTCGAGATTAGCCGCGAGAGCTCTATCACCCCACAACCCGTCCCGATTCCAAGGAACCCCTCATGCTCCCACCAAGCTGACGGACGGAGAGACGCGTCCTGATAAAGCCCACATGGGCTAACTCGAGCCTTCCGGGAGGCCACGACAGGCTGCTTTCCATTTTCTCGGTCTCTTGCCAGTAAGCTCAGATCATTGCTGGTGGTGAGCTACCCGCCCTCACAATGGAGCCGAAGACCGGCCTTGTTCTTGGCTACAATGGGGTCCACCCCTTTTCGAAGGTGGAAATCACCGACCGCGCCTCTGTTCAGGAACTTCTGAGAACTCTCCTTGACCCCCTCGAGCCGTTCTTCTCTCCGCTAAAGGCCAGAGTGAGATGCCCCGGCGCTACGGCCGTTAGATTCGACCAGACCGCCTCCGAGGTGGAAGGCATTTGTCGACCGCTCTGGGGCCTGGCTTGTCTGTTGGCTGGAGGTGGCGACTATCACGGGACGGAATGGTGGGTTCAGGGCATCAAGTCGGGTACTGACCCCGAGAGCCCCGAGTACTGGGGATATCCTCGAGACAACGACCAGAGGATGGTGGAAATGTGTCCTTTGGGTACGGAACGTAGAGCACCAACGTTTCCAAAACTCTTCCTAATTCCTTAATAGGGTATGCGTTAGCCGTCGCCCCTGTTATCTGGAAGTCGTTGGATGAGAAGGAGCGGCAAAATGTCGAGAGCTGGCTAGGCAACTCGATCAACGAGAAGGAGTAAATCCAACCGAAGCACCGGCGTAAAATCGTAGAGCTAATGGTGCACACCAGTATGCCCAATACCAACTGGCTTTGGTTCCGCGTGTTCGCCAATCTCGGACTGAAAAAGAACGGAGGGAAATTCTCCCAAGAGAGGCTAGACAGCGACATCGAGCATCTCAATACCTTCTACCGTGGCGGTGGATGGTCAAACGATGGCCCGGAGGGCATTCATCGTGGGTCTTACTCCCCCTCCTAGCACTAGTCAAGAGAGAAAGTATTGACGCCCCCCCCCCGGGCAGAGATGGACTATTATTCCTCAAGCTTTGCGATCCACTTCCTTCAACTCCTATATGCGAAACTCGCGGGCGAGGACGAGCCAGAACGAGCCGAGGAATTCAAGAAGCGCGCCCAGCAGGTTGCGCTCGATCTGGTCCACTACTACGACAACGAAGGTACGGACATCGTGCTGCTTGCTAAGATTCTTCAAATTCTAACGCGGGTATACAGGTCGATCCATCCCCTTTGGCCGTAGCGTGGGCTATCGGTTTGCTATGGTATCTTTCTGGGGCGCCCTCGCCTACGCCGGGGTCGAACTCCCCGAACCCCTGACGTGGGGGATGGTCAAAGGCATCGTCTTGCGGCACCTGCGGTGGTGGCAGACGCAACCCGACATCTGGAGCCCAAGCGGGACGCTGGTAATCGGGTACTCGTACCCGAATATGTATGTACGTAGTCGGCCTGGGATCTCAGGCGCCGACACCTCGCTCACGAGAAACAGATGGCAGAGAATTATAATAGCCCCGGCAGCCCGGTAAGTTTTACCTTCAAGGTTCTGCGAAATGTCTTCAAGCTGACCCAAGATGTCAAGTACTGGGCTTGCCTGGCCTTTATTTGCCTGGCTGTACCAGAGAACCACCCGTTCTGGACCTCCGAAGAGCAGCTTCCCGGTGACGCGATTCCCAAGATAAAGGAGCTTCCGCATCCTGGTCATATCGCGAGGTGGGCCTTTCCCCCTCTCTATTTATCGCTGCCTGGCTTATTCGTTCTCTTACTGACACACTACTGACACACTCCCCCATTTCGCGCACCCAGCTACCTCGGCGGCCACTGCATGCTCCTATCGTCGGGTCAGGCCTGCAGCTATCCGATGAAGGGCACCCACGCCAAGTACGGCTCCTTCGCGTACAGCAGCGCGTATGCGTACTCGGTGCCGCCGGGCCTCTTCACGCTCGAGCAGTATGCGCTGGCGTCGCAGCTCGGGTTCTCGGACGACGGCGGCGAGTACTGGAAGACGCGGCGCAAGTCGGAGTACGCCGGGCTCGAGCACCGCCTCGGAGACGGTTCTGGCGGCGGCGGCGCCACGCCCGTGCTCGTGTCCGTCTGGAAGCCGTTCCCGGACGTCGAGGTGCGCACAACGCTCGTCCCGCCGGACCCCGGGACGCCGAACTGGCACCTGCGCGCGCACCGCATCGCCGCCGCCGGGCGCGAGGTCATGACGGCCGACGGTGCCTTCGCCATCTGCAACCGCCGCGCGCTCGACGACCGATATCTCGACCCGTACGACGCCGCGCGCGGCGAGGGTACGCAGCCCCGCATCATCGGCAACTACGACCTGGACGCGCCCGACGGCTGGGAGACGGGCCGGCGCGGCGCCTTCGCCGCCTCGAGGGCCGGCGCCGTGGGCATCCGGGCGCTCGAGGACGAGGACAAGGTGGGCCGCGCCGCTAACCTCGTCAATGCCGACCCCAACTCGAACCTCGTCGAGAGCCGCACCGTCATCCCGACCCTCCAGCACACCGTGCGCAAAGGCCAGACCGTCTGGTACGTCTCGGCCATCTATGCGAAGCCCTCGGGCGAGGGAGTCCCCAAGGAGACCTACCTCGACGGCTGGGACAACCCGCCGCAGATCCCCGCGTGGCTCAGGGCTGAGATGGCCTCGTAGAGCAGACGCCGAGAGATAAAGAGAGGGCAACGAGGATAGGGTGTGCGCGTGGCTTGACGTCCGCCATAGATTCACGGTTGGTTTCTGGAGAGGAGTGCAGCAAATGTCCTTGTTTTCTTTACAAAACATAGGTACTTGCAGTAAACCTCAAATATTGCATCTACTCCAGTGACAAATCCAGCAACCATGTTGAATGCTGTCCTTTAGAAACCCCTGATCAACCTCCCTTCTCACCATACTCTTTTTGTGCACATTCCCCCCTTTACGTAGGTAATGCGATGTAAGCGCAGCCAACGCCGACCTCGATAATGTTAAAATTGGGCTCAAAGCAGGGGGATGAGCTCCGAGGGATGTCTGAGACTATACTATACCTACCATAACGCGCCTCTTGTGTTACAATCGTAAAGCAGCCCATCCTCTGACGTACCTATATGTCATCGTGTACCTAAATCTCAACCTATTCAGCCTACATCCAGGCGTCTCCATGCACACAGAAACTGTAAATACGTCGTGTGTTCCGACTAATGCACAGAAGACGGGATTGTGGCGCTGGCTGTAGCGGTGAACACATCTCAACACGACCGGTCCTGGAAAAAGGCATATATAAAGTCGGCAAGCTGCCGATTCCCGTGTCTTGATAATTCAGGAGGGCTTGCGCGGCGTCCTCCAGGATGGGGATCGGCAGCAGGGCCGGCTTCGCACCGAAGTTGGAGGTAGGTATTTTTTTTCTTCCCTTTTGACGAGACTTGAGCAACGTAAGAAGTTGTCGCAGATCACGCCCGGGTGTTATTCGGATTCGGGTCAATGGTATCAACTACATATACCTACCTAGGCCGAGTCACCCGTGTCGACTGGACGGCAGAAACTGATCAGCCGTCAGTTAGCACATCGCCAAGGTCCAGCAAGTGCGAGCAGGTGTCGATTGCTATAGAAGGCTTCTTTTCCGAGCCGCCCGAGCTCGGGAACGGGCCTCCTCCCCTTGTATTCTCACCCACGCCAATAATAGATTTTAATTTCGGTAGCGAAGGAGGACCTGCTTAAGCGGACTCTCGCGGAAGATTGCACACCTCCCTACTATCAACGGTATGGTGAACGCTACACGGGGTGCTTACAACAGGAAGCCTGTAGTTTGCCTACATCTGGGTAAGAATTTCATGATCCACGCCCCTAACGTACCTGGTGTAGTGAATAATATGTCGTAGTAGGTCAGACGATATGGTTGGCTCCGGGCCAGCCTGTCTAACTAGATGCGGACTTGGCTTGTGTTTCTGGAGCGGACTGGAGCGGACTGGACGGGGTTGATCACTTGCGGGCAGCCCGGTCGGATTCCAATTCGGGCGGACGATAGGTGTCAGAAGGATATAGGTACACCTCTAGCCTTGCCGAGTTCCTAGGCAGAATGCCAGCTAGGATGCCTCTTCGCGTTGCCATCCCTGGGCCGACTTCCGCATCGCGTGCGCTCGACTTGTCCCACTGGCAAAATTCCGATAGGAATCGGAGGGGATGATGCAGCCAAGGTTTCCCCAGATTCGGCCATATCGCACAAGGAGGGTACGACAAATAACGGTCGAGACGGGACGTGATAGCACCTGGGTTATATATTGCAGCGTTGCTACGTTGCCGCTGTGATATCCGAGATGCCTGCCGAAAACGAACGGGCACTACTACCTCGGCCGTGAGTGTGAAGATCTCGCAGACTCCAACTCGAGCAGGGCTATCCGACAGGTCGACAAACCTTGCATAGACGCCCGGTTGTCATTACTCAAGCATGACAGGGCATACGTAGCGCCAGTCGCTCTGGTTTCCCGGGTTCCCACTCTGGCAAGAAGCGGAGCGTGTCGATGCCGAAGCCTTTATCCTCCCAGCTTCGTATAGACTCTGCGCGAGAGGGCCTCCTCCTCCCCTCAGAGCTCCTAGGACTCGATACCCCATTCGGGGCGCCGAACGCTTGTGTGGTGGGGTCAATGATAACCCCTCGGTTCGTTTGGGGCTTTCCAGGGTACGCCAACTGCCGCGAGAAGTACAAGAACCCCAATTAGCAGGTTACCTAGGGCCCTCCTAACGGCGAGACGGGCTCGTTGGTACATTGGGGAGGAGGCTGTCATGATTCATAAAACGCGGGTAGGCGTAGGGTGTTTCTGCCGACCTGCTTGCTTGCTGTCTTGCTCTGACCTGCTCTGACCTGCTCTGACCTGCCCTGCCTTGCTCGCCTCGCCTCGCCTCGCCTCGTCCCGCCCGTCTATATAGCATGCGCGTGCAGTGTCATACGGACGGCGACGACATATGACATGCCTGGTGCCGATCCGGACATCCTGTCTGTTTTGATGTTTCATATATCGAGTTTGACGATCTCCCCCCTCCCTCCCCCGGTGACTGCTGCCGTTAAGTATTCTTCGTTCCCGTGGCCTTGAAAGAAGAAGAGGCAGCGGCAGCAGCATCAGAGTATCGTTGTGGGTGAACTATACAGAAAATCGACTGCTAGCCTGCCGTTTCCCCCCCCCCTCTGGCGATCGCGGTCGACGGCAGCTTTGTGGCATGCTGAATTAGTGGTCGAATCTGGTATCTCTGGTGTCCGATCGGTCGGCGCTTAGCCAAGGCACAGCGATCGTTTTTAATCAGAGATAACGAGCGAAAGAGGGGGAGGGAAAGTAAGGAAATGGTGGAAATGTCCGGGAAGAAGAACGCCGAATCATCAGGCCCAGCACGACACTCGCACTCGGTCCCTGCAGCTTCTTTTCGTGCGTTAAGCTAAGCCATTTCTCTCCGTCCCTGTCTCTCCCCCAGCTACGTTCCTGCTCTTCGCTCCATTTCACCCCCCCTCGCTATCCCGCACGGCTTTTCCCAACCGCGAGCGCCAACCACGAAACACGTCGCCCTGCGCACTCCCGTCCGCAACATCGGCGGCTTGGGATGCTCATCAGTGTCTTTCTTGGCTAAATGCTGCTTGGCTACCGGAATCCCGACTAATGAATCGCGCGGCAGCGACGCACAATTCCCCGAGAACATGGTTTCTGACCTCGTCCCTGACGCCTCTGGCGGTGCGGCTGATCCGGCAATTGCTTACCCACGGTGACTACGTTGTCGCCTGCCTGCCGCCCCACGAGATCGAGCACGACGATCGCAGCGCCGAGTTCCGCGAGCTGGTCAACGAGTGTAAGAGTAACCGCAAGGACCGCGAGGGCTGGAAAGATCGCATCCGTAGCATACGTTGCGATGGTCGCGTCATGGGCCAATGCAGTGCCGCCGTGGCGGAGGCCAAGGATGTGTTTGGCCGCATAGATATCCTGCTGTGTTGCACCTCTGAAGGTATGCATACCCTGTCTCACGCGCGGCTTACCCACCTACCTCGCGGGTCCGGGGCGGACGAGAGTTCTTACGTGCCGATCCTTTCCCTGCAGCCGTCGTCGGGACGGTCGAGGAACTGTTCGCGACGTCGGCGACGCAGAATTTAGTGCGCGACCAGTTCGAGACGATATTCTTCTCGCAGGTGAACTTCATCAAAGCGTCGCTCCCGACGTTCCGCGCGCAGCACACCGGTCACCTCATGATTCTTACGAGCCTCGGCGGCCACATAGGCACGCCCGGTATGCCCATATATACGGCGGCGACGTGGGCGCTCGAAGGGTACTGCGATTCGCTAGCTTACGAGGTCGCGCCCTTCAACATCAAAGTAACCATAGTGCAGCCTCACAAGGAGATCCAATCCCTAACCAACAAAATCGTCTTCTCCCCAGCGCTACCGCATTACGATAGCGAGAACAACCCGGCACCGAGCATCCGGGATATGCTCACAAATGTACTTAACTTGAATCCGGAGACGGCCTTTGAGCCTTCGGACACGGAGATCATCCAGAGATACCCCAAGCTCCCGGCTTCGTCGATGGATCGTCTTGTTGGCGAGACGGTGTATGCGCTTACGGCGATTGGGGGGCACGAAAACCCGCCAGCGCGACATATAGTGGGGTTCGAAGGGGCAGAGGCGGTTAAAGAGAAGCTCAAAACGGTAACGGAGGAGCTTGAGGATTTTGTCGAAGCGAGCCTGGCCGTGGACATCTTGGAATCGGAGCTCAAGAATGAGGCGACGCAGGAGAATGCCAAATCCGACGGGGGTGGAGATCCTCCCGGCAACACGTCCACATGATAAGCAGTGGTTTGTAGATACCTATGTATGAATGCCATGTATTCCTGCGTGGGGGAAGCACGAAGCTAAGAGGTTGGCGTGAGGGGGATGTGAAGTCGAAACTAATATTGCTCGGCTGTAATAATAGTGTTGTAACATGGAGGACGAGAACGAGGATAGTAGAAACAGAAAGTGGTAGGAGAGACAGCTGCTAGTAGCTAGGTAGCTCTTTGGGCTGCTAGCAATCTCCTATCGATAACGCAGTAAAGCGGTAACCGGGTACGTAGATTTTATGCATGTATCGAGACTTCACCCCGGACGTTTAAGCTCTCTCCTTCGGGGCTATCTTTGCCCAAACTTGGGGGTTTTGATTGGCTAACAATCCGCGGGCGGCAGCGCACGAGGCTCAGGAGCTCAACTCGGGCATTCCAACAAGCTGTCGTTACATTTCCCGAATCCTCTCCTTCAGACACTCACTCTCGACAAGCCTCGCAGTTGAGCATGATACTCACGCGTCTCGCCCTAAACATCGAGTTCGAGTGCTTGCGCCCCATATCTGCGGGCTTACCGGCTATCACGAACGACCGAGATTGATCTACGAAAGCGACACGACATTTTGCGATACACTGAGGGTCTCCCCGTCATTTCTCCATACCAATCACATCCTTCTGATAGGCATGCGGCTGCTCTGTCATGTTAGTTGGAGGTCGCGACAGATGTTAGGATGAGCTTGGACTCTATGTTACCCATCGCCCCGGCGAAGGTACGGGCATTAGCGCTGCCCATCGGCCAGATTAAACGGGACAGGTTTGCCTCCTTCGTCCACAGGTTGAACGAGGAACATGTCGTCCAGCTTCGCGACATCAGCGCCGATGGGCGACCCAACCGGAGTAAGTCGTTCCGCGTGTTGACTATGTTCGGAGCGCTGCCAGACTGACGACCCCGTCCTACTCAGATATGTTCACCCCTCTCGCATTTCCCGATGGTGCCATGTTCTACGATATCGTCACTTACATACCACCCCCATCTCACCTCTCCCTCGTCCCGTTCGAGCTCTACCGCGAGCCTCTCATAATCATCGCCATAGCCGACGGCCAAGAGCTCGACAACGTGGCGTTTAGTAAGAGGCAGTCGGTCAACGGGTATGCGCCAACCATGGTCGAGAGGAACATCAGGACATTATATCAAGAACTTGAAAGTCTGAGGGATGCTTATCCGAAAATCCTCGCACACCAGGTGCTGATATTCGACTACGCGCCGCCGAGCGATACCTCCATCCCCATCCCCGAAGGCATTAAAACAATTCCGCCGGTAGAGCACTCGAAGAGGACGACGATTAGGACCATAATGTGTGACATATCTTCCATGTTGCTGGCCGAGATGACAACCCTGGCCAAATCCTTCGAGGGGATGACCGTCGTAGATTCCCCTGGCCAGGTGCCAACGAGGCCTGGGCTAGATGGGCCATCCCTTTGGTCTTTAGATGACGCGAACCCGACAGCGCGGCGGAATTCGCAATTTGCGATACCTACCATTACTAGGTCAGCATCTACTAGCGGCGCCGCTGATAAAACTCACGCTCGCATGTCGATGCCGGCGCCGTTTAAGTCTCTCCCCTTTGGATCGAGTAATTCAACACCCTCGGCGCGACCGACGACCCCTGTCCGCAGTGGTTTGTCTAACCCCCCCACTACGTTTGACGATATCGCCGACTCGGGTGGGAACAACCGCGAGGTAGCGAGCCCGGAGCAGCAGCCGTCACCTCGGCCAGGGACCGCCGAAAGCATGAAACCACCGGCTAGTCAAGACAAGGTCTCCGTGCAAGGCTTCGGGTCCGGCAGTATAAATGAGAGGTGGAGGAATAAAAGTCGAGGACGAGTGATGATCATAGTGGGGTCCATGTACCTTCAAGCAGGTCGATGGACGGATGCGCTAAAGGACCTAATCGAAGGCGCAACAATCGCGAAGTCGATGAACGATCATTTATGGCATGGAAAAGGGCTAGAACTTATTGCAATCTGCCTGCTCTTGCTTGGCTGGGCTGGAATTGAATTCCAAGTTCCCTCGGTGTGTCTGCCCCCGAATGATAAGTCTATTAGCAGTATATCAAAAGGGCCAGAGCTCGAAGAAGGGGACGATGACCAACCAAAGTACATGCGGATCCTCCAGAACACCCTCCCGGAGCTGCTGGAGAGAATTATAGGGTTGTATTCGCGGATATCTGGCGAACAGCTCCCTCCACTGCCAGTCTCGGAATCCATCATCAGGTTCTGCAGCCTCCTCACGTCCATCCACTTAGGTGGCGGGAAACTCGACAAGAAATCGCTAGACAGCATCGTCCTCGGAAAGCCACCCCCGAAAAGACAGACGGCGTTGCCCCGTTTAGCTATTACGCCGCCTCGCACGCATATTGCGACTATGCTATTCAAAGCATTCCCCTCGTCTGCTCCCGAATTGCTCACGACAGTGGACCGCGCAATTATTCTCGGTGGCATCGCGACTGTCCTCGGTTCTTTAGGGTTCCACAGGAAGAAGGCTCTTGTCGTGCGGGAATTGGTGTCTGTATTGATCGGAGGACTAGTTGAAGCGAGGACGCGAGGGGCCGCCGAAGTCGGCATACACCCTGCCGCCGGCTTAGTAGCTCTCAGCGTCGCCGCTAATGGGCACGGGAACGGCTCTGGGGCCCTGGATCTCGGAGAAGGAGATATAGAGTATGGGATCGACGCCTTCCTCGGGCTCCTTTGCAAGGTTCACGGGGTCGTCGGCGTTGACGGCTCCATCTGCCAATCTTCTAGCGATTCGCCTCGGCTGAGTGATACAGACGACGCCGTTATCTCGAGAATTCAGGATCAGTCCTCTGCTAGGCACTTCGGCTTTACCAATGCGAAGCTCAATATCCTTCGGGCGTGTATCAATTTTTCGGAAGCTTTACCGGACTTCAATGGGGTGTTGAAGTTCTCAAGCGATCTCTTGCGTACGGCCGGCAGCGGTGTCGCCCCAGGACCACGTCGCGAAGATGCCGCCCCCATAATCACGAGAGAGGAGCAGATCAGGCTGGTGACGAATATATCCAAAACATCTAATTTATCGCAGAGACTAGGGCTGGGCCATCTGTGTGCGGAATACTGGGATGAGTTCCTAGTACGGGGGATCACGATGGATCCTTTACCATCGACAAGGACGCCAATACCGCACTCTAAGAATGTCTTACCGGGGGTAACAACTGCACGCACCTCGCAGGACGTAAATCCCTTTATCTATAACCCGTTCACGAGAGCGTCGGATAAGACCGTGGTAGAAAGGACCCTGGTTACCGGAGAAGAAGCTGTCTTCAGAGTTACGCTTCAGAACCCGTACGAAGTCGACGTAGAGATCGAAAGCATTAAATTGGATACTGAAGGGGCCGAATTCGAGTCGTCTACGACAACTGCTACCCTAGGGCCATACCGTACTCAGGTCCTCAAACTCACCGGAACACCAAGGGCAGCGGGCTCATTGAAGATTGCCGGCGCGATTGTAAAAGTACACGGATGCCGCGAGAGAAGATTTCCAATATTCCCACATCCTTGGGCTCCGGATACAGAGATTAAAACCAAGGGGGTTGGATTGAACGCCTTGGGGCAAAATAGACAATTGCCATCTTCTGGGCCTCCATTACAACCAGACAACATTGGGCTAAGTGTTATTTCCGCACAGCCTGTTCTTGTCGTTAAATCTACTACTCTCATCCAATCGTCAGTGATGGTTTTAGAAGGGGAACTGCAAGTCTTCTCTGTTACACTTCAAAATCTGTCGTTATCCACGCCGGCCGACCTACTGCTTTTCTCCTTCCAAGATTCGACCCAAGGTCCCTTACAGACAGCCCTAACGAGTAGAGACGCAACCCCTGCCGAGCTTTACGAATATGAGTTCATCCTAGCCAGGAAACAGGCACTGAGATTACGCAAGATCGACGATTCTAAAAGGTATATAGCGCCTGGGGCGACGGCTACTTTTGATTTTGAGATTCTTGGAAAGCCCGGCCTTACCAATGGCACAATTCAAGTTGACTATGCGTATCTTGGCGTGCCCCAGGCCGAGATTAGCGACCAGTTCCATACGCGTCAAGTCTGCCTCGACTTGACTATCACCGTCAATGCCAGCGTGGAGCTTGCGAGGATGGATATTTTACCTGTGCAGGGTGTCGTGCCGAAGCCTATCTGGAGCCGCCTAGGTGCGGAGGGCGTGGAGATGGAATCTTCGCAGTTTGACGAAGAGCACTGTTTACTGTTGCTCGATCTGCGGAACGCCTGGCCAAGCGATATGCAGGTTTGCCTAAAGGCTGACAACGGGATCATGGTTCAAGAGCATATCTTGCCGGGTAACACGAACCGCGTCATCTTTCCGGTGCCGAGGGTGTACATAGAAAATCCACACGCGTCGATACCAGCGCTTAACCCTTCCCGTCAACGGCAGTTCGTCGTAAGCGCTAGCAAGATCACACCGGAAACGGAGAGAAGTAACCGGGAGGCCTTTTGGTACCGGGAGAAGATGCTCGAAAAGCTGTCAGGTTCTTGGAAAACGTTGTCTGGGCCAGCAAGGGAGGGTAACATCGAGTTACGCGGCATCCGCCTCGCGCCACGCGTGGTCGAGGCGATCAAAATCGACGAAGTCGGCATCGATGTCTCCGTCGAGGACCCACAAACAGAGGGCTCCTCGCAGGGAGGCCGTAACACGGTCTACGTGGACGAATTTGCACGGGTCAGAGTCGTCATCACGAACCGGATGGACGAGCCGATCCACCCGACCCTGCGGTTGCTGCCATCGCTGCGCCACCGTCCCGTAAACGTGGCACTCGACTTCACGCGCCGGTTCGCTTGGAATGGGACGCTGCAGCAGTCGCTCCCCCTCGTCGAGGCAAAATCCAAGACAGAGGTCGTTGTTGGCGTTACGGCGCTGTGCCGCGGCGAGTTCGAGATCTCGGCCTCGGTCGAGGAGACGCATCTGTGGAGCCCCAGCACCACCTCGGGGAAGCAGAAGCGGCCCGGCCGCCGGGAGCGGAGCGACACCGAGATCATGATGGATGCCGTGCTCGGCGCAAAGGAGAGGAGGATCTGGCACTCGCGGCGGCCGTGCGTCGTCAGCGTACGCGATAGGGGGTCGGTGAGTTAGACAGGCGAATACGTGGATTTGGTTAAACGGGCGGACAAGTGACACGGGGGACATACGTACGAGCGACGTCGAACGTCGGCATAGAAGGACGAGGAGGAGAGGAGAGGGGCGAGGGGAACGAGGAGGGCGGCGAGTAGCGCGAAAGCGATGTACAAGTAAAATAGCGAACGTCAAAGAAGAAGAGAAGACCAGAAACAAGAGACACGAGAAGATTTCTGAAGACGAAATCCTCAGAGAAGTACGATCGCCCACGCCCAGAGTACGGCCTACTGTTTGCCGTCGGCGCCGCCATAATTACCCAACCCCCCTGTCGGAAGACAGGAGGCATGCCTCGTACGTCCGTGTCAAGCCAACTGCCGCGCTTGCTATGGAGCAAAGATTCCTGCTGCTTGTGCTGCCAACTTCCCCCTCCCCCTTGCCTACCCTCCCTTCTCACCCACGAGCACGTATTTGCTTGCCCCCCCCCCCCCCCTCTGCGGAACGGGAAGACGAGGAAGCGAGGGAGGGGAGGGGAAGGGAAGGTGTGCACCGGGCACGTCCCTACGGGTGCGCGGGTGCTCGTGGGGCCGGGTCGAATCCTTGGAGGGGACGGGGGTAGTCGAGGAGACGGCGGCATATGCGGTGAGGCGTCGAGAAGTGAGTTTGCCCCAAGACAGAGGCGGATAGGGAAAGGCTGCGAGGGATGGGTCTGCTCTGGTACCAGGCGATACGTAATATGCTATGATGTATATCGGCCTCAGGCTACCAGGGAGCTACATGTGCCTAAGTCCGAATGGCGGCAGCGACGTGGTGATGATTGCAGCGAGGCAGGGAAAGCTGGGTGTTTGCGCCAAGTGGGCAGGCTAGCTAGTACGCTACTGGGGGATAGAAACGGGACGATGATCAATGCAGATGGATAGATGAAGGAGAAAAGGAGGGCGAGAAGGGCGTGGTGGGAGAAGCACTAGACTTACGTGTCACTTCCTGCTCGGTTTCTTCACGATGTCCGGTATGTGAGAGCCGAATCTAACGGTGGTCTCTTCGTTATAGTAGGTGTCTTGGTAAAAACCATCTACTCTGAGTCACCCAGAGCCATCACGATATCTGAACGAGACTCCTGGCTGACCTCGATGCTACCGTGCTCCTGCGTCGACATAGTATCCGAGTGCTCCCCGACACCTTCTTTCTGGGAGCTGCCCTCCTGCACCGACATTTTGTCCGAGTACTCGCCATCGCAGCTCTTCAGAGCAGAGTCCTCCTGCGTGGACATCTCCGTGCCCTGCTGCTCCTCATCCGCCTCGTCCGTCTTGCGGATGCCGTCGTCGCTGTCGTCGCGCTCCTGGCCGGGCATCTTCATGTCCCACTCTTCCTCGAAGCGAGCGGCGAGGAAGTCGTTATAGAAGCCCAGCTCTCGCTTCCTATGTGCGCTCCGCGCCTGCTGGATCCATTCCGGGTCGTGACAACCCTTGCTCAGATCCTCCTGGTACCGCGCGATGTCATTACGGAAGTTGTCGTTGTTTCTGAGTGCTTGGATGTCTGGCCTCGCATTCTCAGTTCCTACGTCGAGGATATCCTTCTGGTCTGGAAACTTGGATAAAATCTCCTGCTTCTCCTCCGGATCTAGCAGGTCCCATGCCTTGCTGCTGCATAGTAGATCCTAGACGTCTCGTTAGCCCGGGTGTGCTGTGAGGGGAGAAAGGAGGCGGGTGCCCTGCAGCTTGTCTCTAGGGGTTCTGCTTACTCGAAGATTGGCAGTGGCCAATGGTGCTCGGGGATTGGTGAGCATCTCGTCAGGGTTATCGTATTTGGATCGGCTCTTGCGAGACGGTGTATCCCTTGTGACGATAGTAATTGTAGGTCTAGGTCGTTTAACAAGCGGCGCTTCACCAGCAAGTTCATCTTCCTCGTCGCCGGGATTAGGCACATCCAGAGTCCCCTTCTTGGTGGGAACTGGGGTTGGCGTGATCCGGCGTGGATGAGAGACAATAATCTCGTCAACAATATCTTCTTGTGGCACAGGGACCTCCAGCTCCTTCAGCTTGCCATCTCTGTGGGTAAGGATTCTCTGAGAAGACAACTCATCGGAAGATGAATCATTTGAGAGGGGAATATCACGGATATCTGAGGATTCCTTAGATATCCGTGCAGATTTTCTGGCTGTGCCAGGTGCCTTCCAGGGGATGGTATTATGGGCGTATCGCTTCCGAGGAGGCATGGCCAGGATGTGTGAATGGTGCGGATGAGGATCGACGACAGGAGGGCAACTTGTCAAAGGGGGGATGGAGAGGTCTCAAGCCATGAGTGACATACAAGAGAGGCGGTGGGAAAAATGGGGAGGGGCCTTAAGTCAACGGCACCTAGAGTAGGAGATGAGAGAATCGAAATCGGCGTTGTCATGGGCGAACCTAACTCATCGCCGAGCTCAGATGGATTCTCGTTAACCTAACAGCAGCACTAACATTGATTAAGTAGCCAGTTGATGGTATGCGTTATTAAGCCCTGAAGCTGTCCGTGTGTAGTAGCTGACGCTGAACAGGGAGGATGAGAGGGAGAAAAAAAGAGTAAAGAGATAGAAAAGAGTAAATAAGTAGAAAAGTACAGGCTCGTCGTTTCTGTAATGTCTTCTTTGCTGTGATTATCGCAAGTAAGTCGAAGGGTTAAGTTGTTTAGGTACCTAACCTAGTAGTTGGCTGGATGGCTGTTGATTGGTTGATAGAATGAGGATAGTAAGGTTAAGTAAGATACTTAATTTTATGTACCTGAAACATTAATAAAGATGCTAGAGGTAACGTACCTTATAACTACTTAATATATTAATACTTTTATTAAATGCATATACTGTGTATAATGTATGTGTAGTAAGAGACCTCCAGGAGGGTTTAGGCGTATCGAAATATGCTAAATTAAAATCTAAGCAAAGGGTTTCCATTCAAGTACCTAGGTACTTATTACCTACCCACCTTAGGTAGGCATAGAAGTATTTACCCTAAGTACGTAGGCTAATACGAGGAGATGTTATCATTACTGATTTATTAATAAGATAATTAAGGTACCTACCTAGGGATATGTACATAGATATACCTATATGAGGTCAACATATATCTTAAGTACCTCATATAGGTACCTCCTATATAGAGGTACCTAGATCGTCAACCCCTTCAATTGCTAAGTGCCTCGGTGGGTACTAACGGCCTGTACCGAACCAGCCAGTTCTTTGACAGACCGTTGCGGCGCAAAGACGACAGACACTGAATCCACCCCCTATACCCATTTGCACTTCTATCTTCCACGCATCGCGCCCTCCAATGCCTCAAAACTGAATAGAAGCCGGAGGGAGACAGAAATCTGAGGGGGTCGCACAAGCAGTGTGACATCCTGCGTACGGAACAAGAGGGGCAACGGCGTCGGCCTGTCAGTTGGAGCTGCCTGAGCCGGCTTGCCTGTTTATAGGTTCAAGACACGTACGCGATTGAGATTAGCCCCGGCGGCGTCCTCCTAGCTGCCAGCTTCACCACGTATACTACTGAATATCTCCTACCTCCCACACCACCAAGACCAAACGCAACACCCAACCCAACACGCGACCGCTTCCCAGGCCTATCCCCCAGATCGAACCACACCCATCCTACCCAGCAGAAAACCCACATAGCAGCCAGAGATGATTCGGTCAACGCAGATAGCCCGTCTGGGCGACGGTACGTGACAGAGAGTTGCCTCTATCTACGAAGCTCAAGCTCGAACTTGAACTGATCCCTGTTACTACAATTAGGCTTGATGCTCTGCGCATCTGTCGACGATGAACAAGTAGGCCTCCTTCACTCCATTGAGATGTGCCGTACACACCCTAGGAGAGAAACGAGTGCCTCTTGCTGACATGTCTACCCTCATCGCTGCTAGTCAGACTCCCCCCTCGCCGAAGTCAAGTCGCAAACGAAGATCATATTACGGAGGTTGAACCGTAACGCCGAACCGCAAGCGAGCATCGAGAGCGGCAACTACACCATACAGTACGCGCCACCCCACCCCATCCCGTCTCCCCCCCCTCCCTCCTAACTGACCTCCCCGGCTCCAGTTACCTCATCTCCGAAGACATAGTATACATCTGCATTAGCGAGCGCGCGTACCCGCGTAAGCTCGCTTTCACCTACCTGGCCGAGCTCAGCAGCGAGTTCGCGCAGACGTACGGGCCCCAGCAGGTGCGCAGCAACCCGTCGCTGCGGCCGTACGCGTTCATGGAGTTCGACACGTACATGTCGCGCACCAAGGCGCTCTACGCCGACGCGCGCACCGCCGCCGCCGCCGCCTCGGCCGCCAACAGCGGCGGCGGCAACGCCGGCCTCGGCCGCCTCAACGACGAGCTCCGCGACGTCACCCAGGTCATGACTAAGAACATCGAGGACCTCCTCTACCGCGGCGACTCCCTCGAGCGCATGGGCGAGATGAGCTCCCGCCTCCGCGACGACTCCCGCCGCTACCGCAAGGCCGCCGTCCGCATCAACTGGGACCTGCTCATTAAGCAGTACGCCCCCATCGGCGCCTTCGTCCTCATCGTCCTCGTCTTCGTCTGGTTCCGCTTCTTCTGATGTCTGCTGCCCCCCCGCTCTGCAGAAGCTGCGCTCATATCGCCGCGCGGTGATCGGTTAAGAAGGGAAGAGGTTCGCCGACTCACGCCCGCTCTGGCCCGCCCGCGGAGACGCACACGGAGAGATTGAGATGCCGAGAACACTATGTGTATTTGTTGGGGAAGCGAGATAGGTGTCGTTGTCCGCCGACGTGACGGGCTGGAGCGCGTGTTGTACATACTGGGGCATTGCGTGGGTGCGATATTCATCCACAAATAATCGAAAAACGGCATCACACGAGAGAGGGGCGTAGGGTGCATGGACTGTTGGGAACGAGGGTTCCTCTTGGTGTAGTGCGGGACGAGGTGTGTGAGCTATGCCACTAACGCCTCGGCACATGTGTGTGGGACGGTCGTGTATGAAGCAAGAGAATTTGTCCCGACCTAGGGCGAGATCCCCCTGATGGCGCCGGGTTCTCTCGCGGCAAGACGTCGTTGTTCTCTAGGCAGAGCGAAGTCTCCCGCCGCAGGATAAAATACTATAATAATGCTACTACTATTGCTGCTGCTACTCTAGAATTATCATCCCCCGGGTCCGGGACAAGTAAACTAAACAGCTCCCACGGAGCCGACGCCCGCCTGCTTCTGTGCCCGTGTGCCGTATTAATTAAGTTATTTAACTAACCTAAGTAGTTGTAGTATCTGTATCTAGTCAAACGAGTCTGGGAATGGAATAACTTGAACGCTCCTTTTGCCTGTCCTCTCTTTTCCGATGCGGACGCCTAAAACGCCATCAAGTCCTCCTCCTGCTCCTCCTCGCGCGCTTCCCCTTCTGTCCTTCCTGTCCATCTCACGGTAAAAAAAAATATACAATAAACCCAATCTACGCGGTAAGAACGCGCGGGCTAGGCCAACCAGGTTCCCTCCCGCGAACGCCGCGAGACGTGCGCGAGTGCGCGGGGGAATTCACCCTCGCCTCCCGCCGCCCTCACCCCTCTCTGGAGGCGGGGGACGGAGGGCGGTGCGGCGCGGCGCGGCGCGGCGCGTGCTACATGATCTGGCAGCTGGAGGCGCTGATGCTGGGCACGATGGGCGCGTGGCTCCACTCGAGGTGCGCCTGGAAGGCGCCGATGCCGTCGAAGCCGCTGCCGTCCTGCACGTACCGGACGCGCTCCATGTCGTCGTCGCCCTGCTCCTCGTAGTAGTACTCGTCGCAGTACGGGCACAGCACGCGCGACCGCCAGTCGCCGACGTCGGGCGGCACGTGGTTCGCCACCGCCACCGGCGCGAACACCACCGTCTTCGTCTCGCCGTTCGTCATCGCGATCCCCCGCGCCTGCCACGTGCTGCTGCTGCTGCTGGACTCGAGGTCGCCCGGGTCGCTGTTGCTGCTGCTGCTGCTGCCGCCCTGCGCCGAGGCCGGGGCGTTTCCGGCGCCCAGGTGTAAGGGGAGGGGGGGCTGCGGCGGCGATGATGGTGATGGGTTCATGCGGATGCGGGTGGTCGGCATGGCGCGCAGGTCGTCCCAGATGAGGAAGCCGTCGCAGAAGTCGCAGACGAAGGCGACGTTCTGGTTGCCGAAGCGCTCGAAGCGGCCGGCGCGGGCGCAGGCGAGGCGCTCCTCGTCCTCGCGCTTGCGGGGGTCGCTGCGCTGCCGGTGCTGCTGCTGCTGGACGCGGTAGACCTGCAGGGCGCCGAGGCAGCGCGACGGGCTGCCCGACAGGTTGTCGACCTGCTGGGCGCTGTGGACGCGGCGCGCGGCGCGGCACTGCGCGCGGTGCAGCTCGGTCCGCAGCGTCACCGTCTCCCGCGCCCACGCCGCCTCGATCGGCGGCACGCCCCCGTTGCGCACCCAGTCCTTGAAGTTCTGCGTGTGCAGCTCGAACCGCGTGCACAGGATGCGAAGGTCTTCGAGGGACTCCTCTGCAGAAGGGGAGGGGGTCAGCTGGGTGCAACTATTCGGGTAGCTTCTGGAATTCCTTTGGTCCCGGCTCTCGTTCGCATGCTACCTCATCTCGGAAATGCGATCACGGAGAAATAAATACGAGGGTGTGGAGACGGACCCATAGGCAAGGGGGAAAGCACACATGTGACGATGCAGGAACCCGGAGAGTTGAGTAGGGAGGGATGAGGGGAGGGAGAGTCTGTATACATGTATGATTGATGAGAGTGAGAAGTAGGATTTGCCAGGGGAAGAGCGGGAAACGGAGGAAATAAGTAAGAAGAAAATAAATGCCACATACCTATACGATCGTTCTCGTAGTAGAAACGGCCGTTGACGAGGTCAGGAAGCTCCTGGAAGTCTTTCTTGGCCTCGTCGAGGGCCTCTTCAAGCAGGCGCAGCTGCTCGAACTCGTCCGGGCCCCAGGCCTTCTTGTCGGCGAACATCATGATGCGGAGGCCATCGTTGAGCGAATTCGCGATGACGGCCAGAAGCGAACCAACGGTCTCGTGATTCATATCCCTGCCCGCGATGCTTTCTCGTGCGGCTCCCTCCTCTTTCTCCTCTGGGTATGTCCTCCTCTTACCTCCTCCTCTGAGAAGGCGAGGACGGGTGCTCCCAACGAGAAGCACGAAGGGAAAAAGAGCGCCCCGGAGGGAAGGGGGGGAGGTGGGAGGCAGGGCAATCCTCGTAGCGGAGCAGGCCAAGCTTCTTTGCCGTTTCCTTCTCTCGTTTCTGCCCAGCGGCGACGTGGGCGGGCGGTGCTTCTTTAGAGGCTTGTAACCGGACAAATGCGTCGACTACAGGCGGCAGTTAGTTATTCGTTTACCAGCTAAAGGCCGGCCGGGTTGGCTGGGCGTTCGCCGATTATCAATGCCTGGGAGGGCAGGGGAGACAGGGGCCACGCGTGCGCGCGATAAGACACCAGGGAATGCCGTCAGGGGGAGTCTGGTTGCTATTATTAGCTAATCATGATGCCATGTGCAAGTTGCCGGTAATAGTCGGGACGCCAGGGGCAACGGGTTCGGTCATTTCGGGGGCAGGTCGTCGACCTTGGTGGTATCCAGTAATGAGACTTAATATGTCCTTTCCATGGTAAAGCCGGTCCCCGCCCTCTGTCCTCGAAATACGCAAATCCGGTCGAGTTGGTCGGGTTGGCTAGTAGCCGCCGGTAGGCCCCTCGGGTTGTGGACACCTCACCTTCTGCGAGATAGGGGTGAGCACACCATATATATCGATGGGCATGGAGGGTAAGCAGGCAACGAAATCAAGGGGGCCATACGGGTAAGACCATATATATATATGTGTGTAGGTATAAGAGAGGGAGAGGTGGGTAGGCTATAATAGGTACGTAGGTGCACATGTGTATGCGCATGTCGCGACGTGTGCGACCCAGAATGCAAGGATATCTCCAAACGCCAAGACAGCCCAAAGTCCTACACCACCTTCGCTGCATTGAGGTATCATCCCCATACATATAGTATGGATATGCATGTAGGACCTAAGGCTTTGCGGCTCGCTGATTAGAGCACCCAAGCTAGCTGCTTAGGTGCCAGTTTAGGGCTGAACGAATCCGTCCTGGCGGGTATGCCTCGAATCGCCGATGGGAACCTCCGCTTGACCATTATACGGGATTGGATCCTGCAAAATGCTACTATCCATCCACGGTGCAGATACATAACATCAGTATGCCGCTGAGCAGCGATGGCCGCCGGTGGCCCGTCCAGGTAACCACCCATGCCCTCCTACCGGGCCGTCGAATGAACGCGAAATGACCACCTCCCCACCCAGAAAATATGGATTCGTACCTTTACATACCTACGACATAGAAATGCGGACCTATCCTCCCAAGATTCCACCCAGCTACTTCCTCTTCTTCGCCGCGCCCGTGTCCGCGCCACTAGACTTCGCAGCTCCACCTACCTTCTCGGCGGCGACATCAGCTTTCGGCAGCGACTTGGCTTTCTCCTTGGTCTCCTCGGACTCGTCTTCGCCGCCCTGGCCGAATTCGTTGACCCTCGTGTAATCGATCCTGTACGCCCAGCGCTGGTACAGGTAGACGAAGAAGATGATGTCGTCGCGGAAGGTGGCCAGGCGGTACAGAAACGGCATCTTGATGGTGAAGGCGAAGAGGTCATCGATGAAGGTGTTTAGGAACTTGTACATCATCGCCTTCGCCGGCATGTGGGCCACGCTCTTGAGGCGGTAATTGATGTACAGCGAAGGCACCATCATCAGGAATCCGTACGCGTACACCGACCCGACCAACGTCGCCAGGATGTAAGAGTACCACGACTTGTGCGATTCGTAGACCAAGGACCAGATGGCGTAGCCGATGAGCAGGGGGACGCTGGCAACGTACATGTACTTGAAGGCGATCTCGTCGTACTCCTTCGTCTTTTCCTCCGTCTCGCTCAGCTTATACTTATCTTCGAAGGTTATCCGATACGGTATCAAGGACCCCGGCGGGGCGGGTCGCACGCGGACATTGACGATGGTGGTAACCTTCCAGAACTCGATGAGGATGCCTATGCCTTGGGAGCCGAGAATCATCCAACTCGTGTTCTGAGAGTTGTCGATGAGGTAGAGGAATATGACCGCCTGCATAAATACGTTGGCCAGGATCGACCGGACCGAGATTCCAACATTGTCCTTCTTCTTCCGATAATGGGCGATGTCGGACCCGAATGCGAGCGTCTCGAGGATGAGGTGCGCAATGCTCACAACTACCGTCACACCTAGGAGATAAGGGTTTGTGTCGACGAACATCTCCTTGATGAGCTCAATCTCGCTGCCGTCGCCACCACCCGGGAGGGGGCCGCCGTAGGCAGCCTGGAGCGCCTGCTGCTTCGAGTTGAAGTCGACCGAGGCCATTATGTTAAACTGCCAGTTCTTCATGTTACGCAGGTCAAGACGCAGCGGAAGAGTCTGGACCGTTTCGTTAAGTATCGTCATGTGGCTCCTCAGTTGCCAGAATGTGTTCACATATAGCATCGGGTCTACCAAACAAGGTCATTAACACATTCTCACAGCAAAGATACGTGAGCATAGGAAGCTGAGGATAGCTTACAATACCACGAGTTCTGACCGGAGCCATCACGAGCGCCGGAGGGCTATAATGAACGGTTAGCGCCAGTGCCACGCATTTCGGGAGGGAGTCTGCGATTTACCTCGAGATGTACAAACTGCCGTACAGCAGGATGCATCTGGGGATAGTTGAGGATGCCCGAGTCGGGGATGAGCGCCAGGGTGATATTAGGATGGTAGTAGTTTGCGATAGTCGGCCCAGCGGTCTGCTCTTCAGGCTCTGCTTCTTCCGGTTCCGGCGCACCCTCCAGGAGGTTGCGAGTCTTCGCTTCCTTTTTCTTAGGTATGTACTGAGTCAGAGGATACACAAAATGGAAAGCCGCCGCTGGATCAAAGCCAGGTTCTCTCGGGTCGAGGTTTGCGCCCGCCAAGCCAATATAGAAGTGCCCCCAAAGTGTGCCGTTTTTCTGGACAGATTGCGGCACCTTAAAGGCGGTCTCGGCAACTCGAGTGTCACTGGAGTTTCCTATCTTGAAACCCTTCTCATTCAGAGCCACGTATTCCTCCGCGACGCTAGAGATCTTGCCGGGGACGAAGGACGACGAGAGTGTAACGATGATATCGACGGAGCTCTCGGGGGACCAGATGGGGGCGAGCCGCTGCGGAATGGGGTTCCAGACGGCGCCCTCGTCCAGGGCAGCTGGTCGAAGCTGGTAGGCAGGAATGGCGCCGGTGCCCGCGGGAATTTCGACAGTGTTCCCAGCAGCGTCCGTGGTGGTGGCCGTCTGGGCCTTATTGCCACCCGCGAACTGCTTCATCAGCAATTGAACGCCCATCCATATGGCTACACCCTGGATGATTTTCGACACGAGAGACTGCTGCACGGCGCGAGGAAGGTCAGGACGACGTCAGCATAGATTCTGAAAATGCGCGCGGGAGTCATGTACAGAGCCAAGGGAACCCAAGGTGATCTGGAACGCGTTGACTTACGCCTTGCTCCTGGCGGGCATCCCCCGCGGGGGCAGCGTCTGGTTCGGGCATGGCGGGTGGTGATACTGCCGCGACCTTGCTGCTCACGTATGTAGGCTGCCGGCTCAGGTAAGATTGCTATGTCGCTTCGGCAGAGCGGACGCGGCCTCTGGTCAGACGTCACCGGCGTTGTGGTCGGATCTGACAGAGGTGGTGCGGGAGGATGTCGGGAGGAAGAAAAACGAAAGGGCGGATGAAATTTGGAGGTCGCGCAATGGCAGTTTGGGGTATTACGCTATGTAATGTGCCTAGCTAGGTACATACTGTGTCCCTAACTCCCTGGTAAACTCGCCCTATCTCTACTGGTATTAGGCGCTGGGCAGGTGGGCAGGTTCTAACACCGGGTAGTACAGAGGCCCCTTACCTCTAACGCACACCTCCCAACCTAACGAAGTACATAGTAGGTACCTATCTAGGTAGGTACTTGACGGTAGACTTCCGGTTTACGTCGTGGTGTCGTACCTGCGCAGGTACACGTTCCCCAGGTATACCTACGTAGGTACATCCACAGCAGCAGCGGGGTCGTCGGCGAATCCTAGACCGACCACGGCGCGGGATATGAGGACTTAATCGATTGCTAAGTTTAGATACCTACTACCGCTATACCCGCCTAACGTCCTGTCTTCTAGAAAGGTACCTTAGGTACCTACAGGTAGGTAGGTGGGTGTATGCATGCAGCCCCCCCAACCCCGTAGCCTCCATCCCAACGTACAGGTTAGGTCCCTACCCAGATACGTACCTACGGCACCGAACGGTTCAGGTCGGTGGTGACCTCTTCCTCCCTTTGGCGCGTGTAAGCGGGTATAAGCGCCGGCCAGGTCCCTCCCTGTCGACGTCCACCATCGTAGTAACAGTAACGTACGTACTAGATGTCTTCCTCGCTGCAATCTCACATCACCCAAGTCGACGATTGCAACCATGCCTCGGAATCGGCCAACCTAGCCGTGGCTGGCTGTATATGCCTAGCTGTGTAGACTCGGGTGCGATGCGTTGCCTAACGACAATCCCCATCCAGCAATTGGCCCTCTTCGCATCCGTCGTGACCCGTAACCGGGCACCTATGCACCTAGCACGTATGCCCTTACAGCTTACAGTCAGCTGGGCTCGATCGGCTGTCCCAAACAGGGAGGAAGAAGAAGAAGAAGAAGAGAGAAGGAAATAAGAAGCAGGAGGGAGGAAGAATGAGAAAACTAGGAGGGCACGGTCGCGCTGTAAAAGAGAAACGAAACATGCATTTCGAAAGAGAGAGACAGAGAGACACGCAGGACTACTTCATATCTACCGCCGTCCACCCACCCCTAAGTCCCACCCCGATCTCATCCGGCATGCTGCCTCCCGCCACAAGCATATACTCATAGGTAGTCCTCTCGTCTGCCTCTCCGTTGCCATTTCCAAGCATGTCCTAACAGGTTTCGCATACTGGCCGAAGTGACTCGTGCAATAACTCGACGCATTCCTCCTCTCTTCGCTCCCGACACGCCCCCGTTCACCGCTGTGCCAAGCTGGGGTGTCTGGTGAACAATAAATATCCGTCTTAGTGCCTGCCGTCTTGTCCGTTCTTCTAACCTTTTCCACCTGATGTCTAGTTTTTCTCGTCCTTCCTAGCTGTCTGAACCAGAGAAAGCCGCCGACGAAGCAACTCCCGCTGCTAAACTCCCCCCCCGTCGAACTACCGCCGGCTTCTTGCTGCTGCAGTGCGGGCTGACGCATTCACCCTTTTTTTGAGTTCCCTACCCATCCCTGTCCGATAGCCACTCGCCGACCGCGAGTCGCGCACGATGGCCCCCGACTTGACGTCGTCCGAAACCGGGACAAGCCTAGCCAACCCAGGCCCTAATGCGGCACCACGCCAGGCCAAGATCTGCGTCTACTGTGGTTCCTCGCCCGGGTATAACCCGGAGTACGTGGAAGCTGCCCGGAATTTAGGACGGCTCATGGCCGAGAACAACATCGCCCTAGGTGCGCTCACCCTCCGTCCCCGCTCCCAACCATGCAGGCAAACGTAACTGATACATCTGCTGCCCCTGCGTTCAGTGTACGGAGGTGGCACGGTAGGGTTGATGGGAGAGGTGGCCAAGACGATAGTAGCCATATCCGGCCCCGGTGCGGTCCACGGTATCATTCCCGAGGCGCTGGTTAAGTGGGAGCGGGACTCGACATACTCCGTAAAGAAGGACGCCAACGGCTACCACGTACCCGAGGAGGAGGTCTACGGCCGGACGACGGTGGTCAAGGATATGCACTCGCGGAAGAAGATGATGGCGAAAGAGGTGATCGAGGGCGGGCCCGGCAGCGGCTTTATCGCCCTCCCCGGCGGGTACGGCACGATGGAAGAGCTTCTCGAAACGGCCACTTGGAACCAATTGGGCATCCACGACAAGGGTGTTTGCTTGCTGAACACAAATGGCTTCTACGACGGCTTGACACAGTGGATCAAGACGGCCGTCGACGAAGGGTTTGTCAAGGCGGGCAACGCTGACATCCTCGTTACCGCCGACGACGCCGAGGGTGCTCTCAAGGCCCTGCGCGAATACAAGGTCTCGGATGCGCGGTACGGACTTGACTGGGGCAACGAGTAGAAGCGGTGCCCCGAAACCAGCCAACTTCTCACTCCAATATCACGCTCGCGGCGGGACATACTCATATACAATAGAGGCGGAAATAAAGGAAAAGGGAGGGGAAGCATATAGGCTGCATTCATAGACATTCCCGGCCTGGTTAAAATAAACATACCTCTCCGTTAATTACAACCTAGGATGGGCCTCTCATCTTTCCTTGTCAATTCTGTGCAACTGCATCTCAATCGGCATTGGAGGTCATGTTGCCGCTGAGAAATCCACGAGGGGACGTTGCCTTGGGAGACTCCGGAACTAACAACCTATCAGGTGCATTCGATGGCAACGAGCTGAGCGTCTATTCTATTGCATATGGGCGAGAATGTTTCATTGAGGCATCGCCACTTTCTAGAGAACGAGTTCGGGAAATTGAAGAAAAAGGCACAAGAAACCTCTCGAGACGGTTCATGGTAAGGAAACATACCTAAGTAAGCACCTACCTAGGTATCTATATAGAATAACTCAGGTGCTCCAAGAAAGAGAGCAGCAGACGGTGTAGGTACCTTTAGGTATCTTAGGTACATACGAGGTACCTGGGTATGCAACAATTCTAGGTAGACGGGTACCTACGGTAGGTTAGATAGAGGTACCTTAGGTACGTGTACACCCGTCTAGGAGGCACCTAGGTGCGTAGGTACGTACGCACCTATTACGACTATAATGGCGCATTTACAAGAGACGAGATCCATTCGAGAAAAGCCGACGTTAAACAGCTTCGATTGGTGTTATATATATTCGTTCCTCATCGTCGTGTGCTTGGGGGTACCCCAGTGGGACAGGATATTACATCAGCTACAAAAAATATATACCTCCCTCCCTCTCAACTCTCGCGCTCTCTCAACGGTGCAACTGATCTCATCCCATTAAAAAAATTCCTTCCGGGCTCATCCTTGACGACTGAGGTAAATACTTCTCCCAGCTGAATTTGGAATTCGGGCCGTCAGACTCAAGATCTCGCCATGTGCAACCAAATTAGAATCAGGACCCCGACACCACCGTAAACATGGGCTCTCCTAAAATCCTCTTCATCGACGCCTATGATTCGTTCAGTCACAACATTGTCTCTCTCCTGACCACGATTCTAGATGCCCATGTTGATATCCTGCCCATCGACCCGCCTTGGTTCCGTCCGGACGACCCTCTCCTCACACGCCAGTTGCCCAGCCTGTTACGCTGCTACGATGCCGTCGTGTGCGGCCCGGGGCCCGGGTCGCCGGATGTGGCTCGGGACGTTGGGCTCATGAGATACATATGGGACCTTGAGCCGGCAGACCTAGTCCCGGTTCTCGGGATATGCCTCGGTTTCCAGAGTCTTGTTGTGAGCTGTGGCGCTGTCGTGAAAAGGCTCGAGACCGGTCTCCACGGCATGATTCGAGAAATCGACCATGCGATAGGCCAGCCGGGCTTGGACGAGGGAAACATATTCCACGGCGTTCCGCCCTTCAAGGCCACCCTCTACCATAGCCTCCATGCTGATATCGGACAAGGCCACATATCCGCAGACGATTGGGTCGCGCATAAGTGGACGCCTCCTGCTCGCCTGCCGTACCTAGTTCCTTTGGCCTGGACATATGAGAATCGAGACGACCATGTTGAGCGCATTCTCATGGGCGTGAGGCACCGATCGAAACCATTCTGGGGCTTGCAATACCACCCAGAATCAGTCTGTACCGAGCTTACCGGCCACAAAGTCATCAAGAACTGGTTCCGGGCGGCTAGACAATGGAATCTTGTGAATCATCGCTTAAGGGACCCCGTTCCTACCTTGCTGGGTAGTATCACAAGACTGCCAAAACCTCGCGCGTACGGCATCGGCCCGGGTGTGCCCACGGGACGTGATCTTGACGGTTATTTCTCGTGGATAAACGGCAGCAGCGAGCTAGCCTCTTTTGCGATGGACTGTTGCTATGGTTCGAGGACCCTGGACCTCCCACTACATATCGAAGTTCCCGATATCGTTGAGATACTCCAAGGCGATAGGAGAGACATCATCATTCTCGATTCTGCAAGCGCGAAAGCTAACAGGATCGGAGCCGATGTACGAGGGCGGTACAGCATCCTCGCCCTAGACGTTGATGAAGGCATAAAGCTGGAATACAGGGTAGGAGATAGGCATTTGACTGCACGTTGCTCTCGCCCCGGGGGGTCCTCGCAAGAAGCCTGCGAGAAGATACCTCTAGGTTCTCAGCAGACGGCATGGCAAATGCTGGGCGAATTCTGGAGTAGACGCAGAGTTGCTGCCGGTGACGAGTTAAAGCCCTTTCTCGGTGGCTTTATGGGATTTACTACTTATGAGTTGGGCTTAGAAGGTATAGATGTCGAACTGCACGAGGAGAGGAGCCATAACAGGCCGGATCTCTGCTTCGCCTGGGTCACCAAGAGCATTGTTGTGGATCACACCCAGGGGATTTTACGCATTCAGTATCTATCGGATTTGCCATCGGAAGGGAAAGCCTGGTCGGACTCCGTCGCCCAGAAACTCTTAGCTTCGACTGTATGGTCAGATGGGCTTCGAGCAGATTTCAACAAGCGCGCACAGCTCAGCCAACTAACGCCGCCGACAACACCCAAAGGCTTATTTACGAGGCCACACATACAGGTACCGGATGCGGACGAGTACGAGTCCAAGGTTCAGCTGTGCCAAGACTTCATCGCGTCGGGAGACTCCTACGAGCTCTGCCTCACGGACCAGACGCACATCACGCGGCCACGCAGCCCGCCAAACATCTCCCACCTCGCGCCCCTAGAGCCAGACAAGCCGCCCCAGACGTCGTGGCAGTTATACCGGTCGCTGCGGTCGCGGCAACCGGCGCCGTTCGGCTCGTACGTGCGGCTCGGCGGCGCGACACTGATCAGCAGCTCGCCGGAGCGATTCCTCGAGTTCGCCGCAGACGGGCGGTGCTCGATGCGGCCGATGAAAGGTACGGTGCGGAAGTCGCTCGGCGGTGGCGCCGGAGGTGCCGCCACCCTCGCCGAAGCCGAGGCCATCCTGCACGTGCCCAAGGAGGAGGCGGAGAATCTGATGATCGTCGACCTCGTGCGCCACGACCTGCACGGCGTGTGCGGCGCCGGGCGCGTCGCCGTGCCCCAGCTCAACAAGGTCGAGGAGTACGCGAGCGTGTTCCAGATGATCAGCGTCGTCGAGGGGCGGCTGCCGGTTCTCGACGAACAGGGAGAAGACGGAGGGGAAGCGCAGGGACCCCCTCCGACGGGTCTCGACGTCCTCGCGGCGACCCTGCCCCCCGGCAGCATGACGGGCGCCCCGAAGAAGCGCAGCTGCGAGATCCTGCGCGGGATCGAGGGTCCCCGCCACGAACGCAGCCTGTACTCGGGCGTCGTCGGCTACATGGACGCCGCGGGGCGGGGCGACTGGAGCGTCACGATACGCAGCCTGTTCCGCTGGGACGACGAGGTGCCGCCGCCGCCGCCGCCGCCGGTAGTAGGGGAAGACGACCGGCGCTCGCACCAGCAACAACAGCCCCAGCCGCAGCCAAAACCATCGCTGGAGGTCTGGCACATCGGCGCCGGCGGCGCCGTCACCGCGCTGAGCACGCCCGAGGGCGAGCGCGACGAGATGTTTACGAAGCTCAAGGGTCCGCTGGGCGTGTTCGAAGATGGGGTGTAAGCGCGATGGCGCGCTGCCCGCCACACGGTATACGTACCTATATTTTCTCAGCAAACCCTTCGTGGAGATCGGTATATACTGGGAATCTTGTGCATTTGAGGACGGTCATGTACGACCGAGGCGGAACCGGGCTCCCCCCCGCCGATATACCTACAACACGCATCTGTGCATCTCGGCCAGCTATGCATTTCTTTTCCATCGGAACGGGGCAGGTGTTGTTGGGGTTGGCGCACACTCAACGGTGGCACATGGGAACTGGGCAGGTTTGCAGGGGCGGGGGAAAGGGGGGGAGGGGCAAGCGTACACCGGCTCATTCATCATGGAGCTGAGGCGCAGGATAGGCTAGGTTAAGTCGCTGTAGCATTGACAATACGGAGAATCGCTGTTTTACCGTCTGTCTTATCTTTTCCGTCTCGTCCTTCCCCTCGTCGCCCGCCTCATCGCATCCGCCGTACTCGACGTTAGCCGGGTCATCTCTTTTTGTTTTACAAAAAAAGAGAAAAGATACCCGGCGACCAGCACTGCGAGTAGCGCCATGCTGCCAGGCTTATAGTGGGTCTCAACCATTACCTGCTACTCCTGTTGTCTGCCCTCCCCCCTGTCCCTCTTCCCGGGAGTATCTCGGCACCTGGGTTACTCCGGTGACAACAATCAGCTCGTTATCTGCAGTGATTGAATTTAATAGGCTTACGTATCGACGGTAAGACATCAGTGGTATTGACTACCTACAGTCTAGCTCTATCTTAGATAGCCGGTCTCCTGATACTCCTCCCATCCGCATATCTCATAGCTCATCCCGGGCATGCTGCTCGCCCTCGGCTCCCTCCCTATCCTGCCCTTCCGCCTCCGGCTCCTCGTACGCCGCCGAGCCCTCGCCCGTGGTCTGCGGTATGAAGGAGCCCAGGTCATCGAAGGCCATGATCTTGACCACGAGGCTGGTCCAGCCGGTGAAGTGCTGGGTCCGCTGGCCGCGTCCCGTCTCCGGGTTGTACTGTTCCCAGGCGAAGCCCGTTTCTGCCCAGCTCTCGTACACAGTCTCGACGACGTTCCGGCGCAGCCGCACGTACAGGTCCTTGGCCCTAGCTGCCTGGGGACCGGGACGCAGGGCGTAGTTCTGTTGTCGGCGGGAGAGGCGCTTGTTAGTGGGCGACACTAAGGGAGCGGAAGGCAAAAGGCAGAGGAGGACGGGGAGAATAAACAGACACATTAAAAGGGGTATAATTAGTGTAGACGTAAACTTACTCGTAACTGCACGATGGCAAGGTAGTTCATGTTGATCCACACGGGGCTGCGCCAGTAGTTCTCGTCGGTGGCATAGAACTCGTCCTTCTTGCTCAGGCTGCGGATGCCGTGGGGGCTGAAGAGCTCCTCCTCGTCGCCAAGCAGGTCCAGCAGCCGGCCGAGCTTGGGGTCGTCGGGTTGCAGCAAGCCCAGCAGGAACGGAAACAGGGAGATGTAGCCCTTGTGGCAGACGAGAACGTGCTCCTCGAAGGCGTCGATGGTGGCGTCGCAGAAGCAGCCCGCAGCCTCGGACCAATGAAGGTCCACTAGGTTGTGCGCGATACCGTCGAACACTTTGTCGTACTCTTGTACGTCCTCAGGTAGGCCGACGAAGTCAGCGATCTTGGCTAACACTCGCGCCGACATGCCCATCCAGGATATGAGGTCCACGTGCAGCTCGCCGGGGTGCGGGGGCTGGGGCCGTGGGTAGTCGTCGAGACCGCTCGTTAAAATGTGCTGGACGGATCGGCCGCGCCAGCGGTAGGCTTCCTTCTTCGAGTACGCGTCCCGATCGTAGCTACTGATGTCTCCGAATTGGGTCTTCTTGAACCACAGGAATTGGCGTCGGAGGAGAGGATATAGGTTGCGTAGATACTCCACCCCCAGAGCGGGGTTGTCGACGTGAGCAGATTCGAGGACGGAGCCTTCAGAGAGGTGCTCTTTGCCGACGCGTTGAGTGCCGTTTGACTTCTGTAGCTTCTCGGCGAACGCTTCGAGGACCAAGTACAACGTCGGGGGGTTGGCGTAGTGCGGGTATTGCACCTGGAATTCCGGAGGGACTTTACTCCTGGCTTCGTCGCCGAGGATCTGCTCGCGGGCGATCCACCCGTCGTCGTCCATCAGGTTGTACCAACTCTTCACAATATCGAGGGTAAGGTCGATGTCCCAGTCGGCAATGGGAAGTAGGTGGAAACCCTCGTCCCACAGAAAGCCGCGCGGGAAGAAAGGCCGAGACGGAATACTAGTGAACAATTCATACGGCCCATCAAGCTGCTCCTGCTTTCGAGCACGAGCCTCAGCGGTCTCCTCCCAGAATCCTTCATTTTCCTCGTCATATTCAGGGGCATACGACCGATCGACCACCTGCTGTCCGTAGAAGTATCCGATGCCCCCCGCCAGGTTCGAGAGCATGCTTCGACCGAATTTTCGGTACTTGTCGGTATCGAATGGCGCTAGAGGGGCGAAAACGTCCGCGAAACGGTCTCCGAAAGAATCGGTGGTGGACTGGATTTCGCGGGTCAAATCTTCGCTCGTGGTGGCCTTGCCGGCAGACCCGCTCGAGAATAGGACGTCAAACTCGAAGGGCCCCTCGAATACCTTCTGGACGAAATGCGCATTCCCCGAGGCGGGTTTGTTCACGAGCTGGTAAACCTGCCAGGGAGGAGGTGCGTTCTCAGCTCCGTATTCCTGGATGACCTCATCGACGCCCGCCTTGAGCTGCTGAAACAATAGCTGCTTGGTCTGCCATAGATGCTCCAGGGGGGTAGTTAGCGACTTCACCGTCGTCTTTTCGGCGTCCCTCTTTGCGGATACAGCATGAGCACTAGTAGGATGCCCGCCTTTGCCTTTGGTAACGACTAGCGTGTAGTCGCCCAAGACTTCGGAGCGGCCGGTGAAAGTCACGTCGCCGTCGTATCCATTGTCGTCGCCGTCTCCGGACACGTCAAGCAGCTCGCCCAGGGCCTCGGACGCGACGTAGAATAGCACGGTAGTCTTGAGGTCGACAGGGGCGTCATCCCGAGGTACACCCTTGATGCGAGCTGCCCAACTACCGCCATGACCGCCGCCGGGAATCTTGACGAATTCGGTTGTGATGTCAATCTTATTTCCGGAATCATGAATAGACTGGACACCACCCCTCCTCGTGTCATACTCATCCCAGCCATAGCCGGCCATGCCCTCATTTTGCTCACAGGTGTAGCGGAAGCCTAGAGGCGCCCGGGTTAATAACACGGTTTGTGGCTGCTAGGGGGGTAGATGAGATAGAGTGTGGTGTCTATACAACGTACCATTCTGAACGTCGACGTAGTTGTCCACTTTGGCCCATAGGAGGGCGGTGGTCAAGCTCAGCGGTATTCGCGGCCGGATACCGAAGTACAGGTTGGGGCGATAGGGGCCCCATAGAAGACTCTGGTTGTTCAAGCGACCGATCTCGCCATTGATCAGGCCTTCGGCGGGGGCATCCTGAGCCTCGCAGACCGAGGGGCCAACGAAGAAGGAAAGGGAAAGGAATGACAGCAGAGCTGTCAGTTGGCTCGAGAGTAGCACCATCACGACATTGAGAAGGACGGATGGCGATGTACTTCCGCCCTCGGGTATTTTTTCTGCTGGTTATTCCCCCCTTTCCCCTGTAGAGCGGTTGAGGTGGGCAGCGTAGGTATGCCTAAGCAATGGGACGTCGAGGTGGGGGACAGTGTGCGTGGTAGGAGAAAGAGGTGCGTTGTGAGTGAGTGAGCGACAGCTCAGGTGTAGAGCTGGAAAGGTGCCCGTTTGATATGTCCCTATGTGGTTAAGCGGTACAAGGCAAAGCTCTAGAGAGCTCGATGTGAACACGGTTTTGCTCCCGGCGGCGTCAATCCGGAGAGCTTCAAGAGGTCTAATTGGCTGGGCTTGACGTCAGATACCCCGGTTAATGCCATACTGACATAGCTCCCCGTGGGCTTATGTAATCACACCCTTGTATGAAATTTGATACCTCAGGTACATGGAGGCGATGTACCTGCTTTAGCGCCGTGGTACCTTGGGTACCTAAGTAGATATGTACCTAGATGTAGTTGATTTCAGAGCACCCCGCTGCTATATTAGGTGCCAAGGGTACATTCTTCTGTACATACAAGGGTACTAAGGCAAACTGCCTGACCCCGTTTAGTGCCTCTCGCGGTTAAATCAGGTCCGCAGCATGGATTGGGTCTAAACTCTGCCTTCTGAATTCCCACACCCACATCGCCATATATCGGTGCTTCTCGCCCACCAGCCTCCTCTCTATACACCCCCAACTCTCCGGGATCTTTCCACCTACCTATTCTACCTGCTCGTCAATCTCTTGTACGACAGCGTCCAGACCAACTAGCATGGCCGACCAACCTCGTCGGGCCCGCAATCGCCCTGACAGCAAGCAGATGTGGGATGAGTCCGATCGCCGCAACCGTCACGGCGCAAATCCCCCTGCTGCGCGCGACAGCGGTAAGGGTAAGAAAAACGAGCGTGAACGCGACCGCGACCGCGACGCCGGCCGCGATCGAGACTGGGAGAGGGACCGAGGGGAGGGCCAGCGCGAGCGAAATGGTCGCTATCGATCGAGGTCCAGATCGCCCCGCAGGGATCGAGATCGCCATGACGGACGTCGCGACCGCAGGGATCGCGACAGGCCGCGGGATAGCGAGAGGGCGCGGCCCCCCAGGGGGGATGACCGCCCACGTGGGAAGGGGAGGGATGTCGCGCGTCGAGACGACGAACGCGAGAACCGGCCGAGGCAACGCGATGACGAGGCCAGAGGTACGCATGATGTTAACCCCCCGACAATGAGAATAGTATCCAGGCGCACTGCGGTATGCCAGATCTTCACGTGGCTAACCGTGTGTATAACAGGTCCAGGACGTGACCCAAGTCCCCGGCGCTCCGCCTCGCCAGCCCGAAGCCCCCCCCGGAAATTCGACCGTAGCACGCACAACGACTCGCCACTCCCGACCCGGCCCCGACCCAGTGGCAGCAGTGGAACAGGCGCGGCCGGTGGAGGTGCGTCTCTCTCATTCAAAGTCGGAAAGCACGACAACGAAAGAAAAGGAGACGATCAAGGAAGAGGGAGGGGAGGGTCGTCGGATAACACCGAAGATGACAGGAGAAGGAGAAGAAGGAGTGGCGACGGCGACGACGACGACGACATGCTAGGCGGTGATGCCATGGATGAGGATGAGGATGGCAACGAGGACGATGTAATAGTGGAGGACGACGGGCTGAGCGCCATGCAAGCCATGATGGGTTTTGGTGGCTTCGGCACGACGAAGGGCACCCACATCCTGGGGAACAACGCCGGCGCCGTGCGCAAGGAGAAGAAGACCGAGTACCGGCAGTACATGAATCGCGTCGGTGGCTTCAACCGGCCGCTAAGTCCGACGCGATAGCCACTTTTCACATCGTGCTTATACCTTCCTCAAAGGCGGGCGTCGCGTCAGGGTCTCATGGTGGGTGTCGTCAAAAGAGCAGGGAATGCGAATTCAAGTCCCACTAGGAACTGAGGTCGGGCACCCTTGTTGTTCGTAATGTCGTTGATAACATTTAGCTCAAGAGTACGTCGTTAACCTTGCAAATTGATAAAGCTCAATGATTTATTAACCCCTTAGGTCCGGTTGATTCGGGCATTCTGCGTGTTCTTGAATTCGAACTCGTCCATGCCCCTCCCCCGGCGATAGTACTGGCCCGGCACCCTACTTCGCGGCGAAATCTCAGTAGGAAGACACCTGGTGGTAGCATCTGTATAACCGGTGCTCGGGTCGGCTTGCCTCGCCTTGATAGGAGCCGATTTCCATTACACAACTAGGATTGCCGGTATACATATAAGACTGCTTGGCGATCGAGCATACTCTATATATTAATAGCCTTCTCAACACTCCCAACCGATATCCAAACGCTCGCATTTGCATCATATCGTACGACGAGGTGTCAACCCGGGCCTAAGTACATCGAAGCTTTCTTCACCCCCTATTCTTCCCGTTTCCAACCCCGAATCATCCGCTAGCGGCAGCCCCGGGGCCTAGGTCGCGCCTAATCGAGGCGCTGGGCGAACTTGAGTTCCATCTTGTCAGATACGTCGAACACGGCGACGATCTCTTGCATGAAGGTGTCGCCGAGGATGTAGGAGCCGGACTGGCCGGCGCCGATGCCGGAGAGGCAGATGTTGGTGCCGGGGATCGCGGTCTCGGGGAGGATCATGCTGCTGGGATGAGTGCGGATGGGCCGACCGCCGATGACGATGTCGAGGACGGGCGGCACGGCGTCGCACGCTACGCTCCAGATCATGCTATCCTCCTGCTGCCCGGGGGGCGAGTACGCGCGGTTGATGGCGGCGGCGACCTGGCGCGGGAACAGGTTAATCGTCGTGCCCGAGTCGACGAGTATGTTGGGCAGGTTCGTGGCCGTCTGCTTCACCGTCTTGCTGCTCCACGACATCGAGTCGATCTTGATGTCGTAGTAGAAATAGTCGGTCTTCCCGCTATACGTGGTTCGCTGGCGCGTTGAGCGAGTATCAGTGTCGCCAAAAACGGCTTCGGGGCGAGGGAGTTAGGACAAACCTTCTGGATCGGCACGGCAGTGTATTCGCCCGTCTTGACGGGCGGCACGCCGCCGAAGGCGATAAAGGACCGGTTCTCATCTCGCGACATGGCAAAGCTGACGACAGGGTCGGCAACCTTGCTTTTCCCCATCGTCTCGATGAGGGGGGAATAGTTGACTAGGTTATCGATGCTGTCGTTCCTGGGATCGTTGCCTGTGAAGGACGCGGTGAGGCCACGCAAGCCGAGGCCGAGGATGCCACTCGAGATGCCGTCACCGCCAAACGCGGCCACGTTGACGAGGGCAAACTGCTGCTTCGGGACGGTGACGTTGGCCACGGTGATGCTGGACACCGTGTCAGTCAAATCTACCCGCACGGAGGATGGGCGAGTGAAGGAGTAGGTGCGTACTTCGCAAATCCCATAGGCCCGTTCAAGTATTCGCCGCTCATGTACGAGATATTCAGGTTCTGGCTGTCGATCCTGCCGTCGGGAAACTCTCCCCTGAATAGGGGACCGAACCCGCACTCCTCTTGAGGTACCTCGATACCATAGGAGGGGTCCAGACACTTGAATCCTTCCGAGATGACCCAAGTGTCGCTGCTCCCAGTATCGGGGATCATGTAATACGCCTCGGCTCCGACGCCGACTTTCATGATGTACTCGACTTGGTTCATCTCGGCCCTGAGCTTGTCTACGCCTTCTGGCTCGTCGTCCCCAATATCATTCATCAATGCGTAGTTCCTTCGGTTCTGCCGGAGGACATCGAGGGTCCGGGAGAGGCCAGGCGGCCGACGGATCCTCGGAAGCGCATGGAAGTTGTCGGTAATAGTTAGGCCAGCTTCGGCGGCAAAGTTGCGGGCCTCTAGCATATGGTCGACCGGGGCAGCAGCCCCAGCCCCGAGGGCCAGGCTGCCCACGAGGGCTTTCAATACGAGTCTAGCCATGGAACGCAGGAAAGAGAAGTTGGGCTTAAACGACTGAAGGTACGAGAGCCCGATACAACGACCAGCTTAGAAAGGAAGTTCCCCAGGCCAGGCGACGGCGGGAAATTGAAGCCGGGACCCCTATTTGTATGCATCTCTCCCACGTCCCCTGTGATGCTCCATTGGGAACCAATCTACGATGAAGGTGCCGGGTGAGCGTGGGGGACACGGCAAGTATATTGAGCCAAGAGAGGAAGAAAGCAGGCTATATACGAATGCTACCTGTCGAGGTGTCGGGGCCTACGAAGCTCGCATCGGAGACCCGGGTTGCGATGGGAATAACGGAGGGTCACAGCCGTGGACAAGGCCTATACCTACGGCCGTAGGACGTGAGGGCCGTGGCTCGTAAACTCGTAAGCTTCCGTGGGCTTTGGCGCAGATAAGGACGAGGAGCTGGGGCAGAAAAGCAGGTCGTGCGGCGTCGCATTAGGGGGATGAGCGATCTCGAGTATATTAGGCAATATAGGGGGGAGCGGCGGTTGGTGGGGAGAAAGGAGACGACGGGATGGTGTTAAGGTCCCGTACGAAATATGATAGGTGAGATATACCCACGCCTACGATAGATAGAGAATACGCAAGCCGTCTTGATAATGACGTTAGTATCATAACGCAGTCTGTATCTGGTCGTGACAAGATTTGCATGTCGCGATAGGGGTGAATGCTGTTGCCGGAGGAAAACAGTGTTGGGGGCATCCAACCTACGTATAGGCCACGATTAATAGAACGATATTTAGATAGGTAGGTGAGCACTTAACCGATCTGTATCGTTCTAGGTACTGTTAGGTATACGCCTAGGGGAAGTTAGGTACCGAGAGTAATCTGCGTACTCGTCAAATACCCTTGGCACCGGCCTTAGGTAGGTTCCGTAGCAGTGGAGCCCGCTATAAGCCGCCCGCTATGGCCCCCTAAATCGGACCGCGGGGCCGGCTAACTCCAGCGCGCGTCCGGTAAAGCCTACCGACCATCCATCAATTTTCAGCGAGTCGGCAGGTCGACCACCAGTCTCTAGTCCGACATAGACTCGCACTCCCTTTTCGTGGTCTGCCTAGCCTACCCCCTTAGTATTCTCGAATGCGATAAGCCCACCTGCCTACCTACCTATACCTAGGCCTCGCCACGCACACCCTCTGCCCGTAGCGTCACATCGGCCGGCCGGTAGACCTCCACGCCCGTTGTTACAGGCGCCCCCTGGTTTCCACGCCGAGGCGTCGAGAGATGCCCTCTTCGACGCAGTCGCATGCGCGATCGCATGCGCTGCTGCTCCTGCAGAAGCTTCTCAACCTGCGCGACAACGCCAGCCCGCTGACGCTGGTCCTCGACACCCTCGAGCAGAGCGCCAAGCCCGTGGTCCGGGAGTTTCTGAGCAGAGCCAAGGTCGGTTGCCGGGTCGGCCTCGCATTTACCCCTACGCGCCCCTCTTCTCTCGTCTCCGTCTTTCTCGCAAAGTGCTGCTCTGGGCGTGTGAAGGGCGGCGTGTGCTGACGAACAAACAACCCGGGCAGATCTCCAAGAGCAAGACGATATTCGTCTCCTTCGGCACGCTGCGGAAGCCCGCCGACGTCGACGTCTTCGTCAAGGCGTGGGGCAAGCCCCCCGAGGCCCTCCGCGCCGAGATCGCCTCCCACTACCCGTCCGCTGCGGCCGGGCACGCTTACAGTAAGTCACGCCGTCCACCACCCGTCCTCGCCCTCGTCTCGTCTCGTCTCCGTAGGAGCCCCCAACCCCCCGGAGACAACCACAGGGACAGCCATCCCGCCCGAAACAGCCTCTCCTACTCCCCACAACATATCCCCAATAATCCCTACCTGCCTCTCTGCACACACACTCACTACTCCCCCCCCTAAACAGAAGTCCTCGTCGTCCTCGAGGCCCTCAACCCCCTAGCCTCCGCCGCCGGCGCCCGCCTACCCCTCTTCCTCTCGAGCCTCGTCGCCCCGGGCGTCTCCCTCGTCGGCGTGTACCACGAGGACCTGCCGCTCGACCCGCCCTCCCCTGCCTCCACCACCCCCCACTCCTTCAACGAGTACGCGCCGCCGCCTCTCGCCGTCCTCGCGCACCTCGCCACGGCGATCCTGCGCGCGCGCAGCCTCGCGCACGCCGCCGCGCGGCGCCGCGCGCGCGACCGCAGCCGGCCCGAGCCGCGCTGGGGTCTCGACGAGGGCCGGGAGGGCGTGCTGGTCGGGCTCGCCGGCGGCGACGGCGCCGGCGCCGGCCTCGTCCTGGAGATGGAGCTGCGGCGGCGCAGCGGGCGGTCGGTCGCCGAGGTCTTCGTGCTGGCGCCGCGGGGGGGCGCCGCCGCGACGGCTCCGGCAACGTCGCAGCTGTACCTGCTCTCGGAGCACCCGGCGTTCCGGGGCCCGGAGCAGGACGGCGATTCCGGCGGGGAGGACTTGCGAGCGGCGGAGGCCGAGGCCGGCGCGGGGACCATGGGCACCACGTTCGACCTCGGGCTCACCGAGAAGCAGCGCCGCGACCGCGAGGGCGTCGTGCTGCCCTACTTCGACGCGCAGCGCGACGTCGGCGCCGGCGAGGGCGGCCGCATCCTGTACGATATGGGCCGCGAGGACGACTTCGACGACGAGGAGGACGAGATATGATGCCGCCCGGTAAGGTTGGACGGGGAGTTGAGGCGAGGAGTGAAATAAAGGAATTAAGAAAATAGAGAGGAAAGAAACGTCATGTCACTTGTATTCTCGATCTTCTCTCGGCTTGAACACGTTTCTTTTCTGGTCTTGAGACTCCGTAACATCAGCCATCAACCAGGATCAATGCCGAGAAACTGTTGATCCATGGTTTCTTTCTTCCTTTTCCCTCACACGTTCGGCTTGTCGTCATCGTCTATTATTACATCTAGAATTGGCGCTGCAGCTTCCGTCCGCAGGCACCGCGCCACCTTGCCGAATCCCCTATGCCCGAGCAGAGCTGCAAGTTCACAGTAGGTGTTTTACGGGATAGGCCCTCTCGAGGTACATAACGAGGGGCACCTATTTTGTTTTAAAGAGTTTCATTCCATCTGTCCATCCCCCCCATCCATGCCCCTAAAAAGCCATTTCCTCATCGATTCAGTTTGTCTCAGTCATCTACCTGCATCCCGTCCCCGCCGTCCGCGGGCTCGGCGGTCTCGCCCTCGGCGGCGGCCTCGGCGTCGTCGGCGACGCTGTTGATCCACTCCTTGACCTCGGGCCCGTCGTGGACCTTGAAGAACTCGAGGCCCTTGGCGGGGGTCAGGCCGGGGGCGCGGAGGCCGACGACGCCGACGCTCGTGTTCTCGAGGGTGAGCTCGCGGTCCTGGACGAGGGTCTCCTTGAGGGCGCGGAGGCCGTGGCGGACGAGCTCGTCGCGGCCGCAGGCGGGGAACTTGTCCAGGTTCTTCTCGAGGTAGGTGCGGGCCATCTGGGAGCGGGCGCCGATGGCGCAGGCGAGCATCTCCTGGGTCATGCCGCTCGGCTGGAACTCGAACAGGTGGGGGCCCGTGTCGTCGACGCCGGCGACGAGCAGCCCCACGCCGTACGGCCGCTTGCCGTAGTGCTGCGTGTTGCGCTGCGCCTTCTCGCCGATCAGCGAGACGAGCGTGTCGAGCGGCATCGCCCGGTCGTACGTCAGCCGCTGCGACAGGCACTGCTGCTTCATGAAGTTGGACAGCACGCGGGCGTCGGAGGTCAGCCCGGCGATAGCGAGGCCTACGTGCTCGTCCACGGCGAATAGCTTTTTCTGGTACGACGAGAGCTCTTCTGCATTTCGCTATCCGAGGGGCCGAATTGTAACGTAACCATTAGCTCCTGCGGTTCAAATCCCCCCCCCCAGGCGGCGGCCGGGTCCCCTCGTCGTCTAATTCGTACCTTGATAGCAACTAGTACTGCGTGCGTCTTGCTCACCAGGCCCACCACTACTGAGCCTTGCTTCACAGCTTCGGCGGCATATTCGACCTGGAAGATTCTCCCTTGCGGAGAGCTGCGAGGCCGCAGTTAGCAGCTGCGGGTGGGTATACCAGGGTTGGGTGGTAGCAAGTAGGCATGGTATCCGTCGACGGAGCTTACAATGTAACGGAATCGTTGTCGTAGTTGTTTCTGAACATGGTGCCGCTCGCGTGAGGTCAGACTCTAGATGTAGCTCGTACTGGTATGAGGGATCACCCGTCGTAGTGGGCGGACGGGTTGGAGAGAGGGTATTCGCAGGGGCGGAAGTGGGAGATGTTCGAGTTGAGAAGGGCCTGGCGGGATGGTGAAGACGATAGCAACTTCGCAAGGCAGCTCTAGAGCTTCGTCGCACCTCCTCTTTGGGACTAGTCCGCCGTCTGTGGGCGATTTGAGCCCCTCCTGAGAGGTACCTATGTACCGTATTACCTAATCTGGGTACATATGCGATGTACCTACTTTTTTATGCACCCGCCACAATGTGATCATTCAAGTGTGGCGCGAGCTTCGTGCCAATGTCCCCGACAGGACAGGGTACCCATGTACCTGGGATACGGGTAGACCGGTATGCGAAGGACGGCTGACGACTTGCCTTCAACTCTCGAGACTACGCTATCGCCGAACGACCGACAGCGACCAGCCCTCGACCACCCTCGACCAGACCGCGAATTTCATCTCTGGCAGATTAATTCCATCCGAAATCCGGAACACGCATCCGATACCAGCACATTTGCCACTGAGCCGGCTACAGGACCGGGTAGGCTGTGCGACCCTCGACGACGACGCGCATCAGCTAAACGCCTCCGCTACGACCCTCGCCCATTCCTCCCCCCTTCGCCTCCCCCCCCAGCCGAATCGAGTCTCTGCCCGACCTGCCCTTGGCCCTCCGGGAGAAGCGCCCTCGAACACCAGGTCGCCGCCGCCGCCGCCGCCGCCGCCAACCAAGACGATAAACCCAAACCATCAAACCCGGAAAACGATAAGGAGATAAATAAGACGCCCGCTACGATGGCGACCGCGGGGCTCAAGACCATCATCGCGCTGTCGTTCGTGCTCGCCGTCGGCTTCCTGCTCGTGATCCTGTCGTGCGCGCTGTACGGCGAGTACTACCCGCTGCTCGTCGTCGGCACGTACGTGCTCGCGCCCGTGCCGAACTGGGTCGCGGGCCGCTGCGCGAACCCGGACGACTTCGAGAGCGCCGGCACCGGCGTCCTCGACCTCGGCCGCTTCTGCACCGGCTTCCTCGTCGTCATGGGCATCGGTGCGTTTCCCCCCCCCCCCTCCTCTCTCTCTCTCTCTCTCTCTCTTCTGCTCCCACTTCTCGGCGCGAGCCCAGCGGTAAACCTCGCGCACACGTAACTAACTAACCGTCCCTCCGCGCGCGCAGCCCTCCCCGCCGTCCTCGCCCACTCTGGCCTGATCTGCGTCGCCGCCATGGCCATGTCCATCATCGGCGGCCTGCTGATCTACGGGACCGTCATCTCCTTCGGCATGTTCTTCCAGGAGGAGCAGGAGTTCTAGCCGCGAGAGAACCCCCCCCCCCCAGGGTCTCTCCCTCCTCGTCTCCTCCACCTGTTTGCAAGGGACAAGGGGAAGAAAAGAGAAGAAGGAAATCTCTCTCTCGCCTACGGCATTCACACATCATCTATCTACTTAATAATCGCGCGGACGCGCTGTTCCTGAACCTCGCTCGTCGCCGAGCAGCAGAGAAGGGGAGGGCGGAAGATGCCTCGGGAGCTAGTTAGGGGGAGGACCAATATCTGCGGCCAGAGACGAGGCGTGGACGAGGGACGGAGACTGAGATAGGGGGAGCGGAGAGCGACCGGCGGGAACGGCAGAGGAGACAGGTAGCCAACGTGTGCGAAAGGGCGCGGGGGGGAGAAGGGAAGGGAAGGGAAGAGGGGAGAGGCAAGCAGGCGAGATCGGTTACGTTGTTATTATCGTCGTCCCATGTAATACCATCTACAACACCGCGCGCGCACGCATGAAACCTACGCATCACACCCTCATGTAGGTAGATCGTGTGCCATGTGACTTTTTTCAAATGGAGTGGGGGCAGGACGCACACAGAGAGAGCGAGCGAGCCAGAGAATAATACACATGAGGTTTTTTATCCTACGAGCGCCTATAGCGAACACCGGCACTCGGCCGCGAACGAGCGAGATGGCTTTTCTTTTCATGCCTCTTCGTCACGCCAGCCGTCCCCCCTCATCTCCCTGCACGCCTTATTGCGGCCAGTAAGCCCTACTTGGGACACGGTAGTAATATTGCTTCTCGTCTCTTGCAATAGCATGAATCCATCGAGTGAAAACCATCCCCTAGATGCCCTTTTCTACCCTCGTAAAAAGACAATCCTACGCCTTCGTCCTTGCAATCCCTCCCGACCCCCCGAAACGCCCAGTTAAGTCTCGGAATCTTGTTACTGTGCTTGACATTAAGTCCCTTCTCCCCCTCCGTTACCCCTCCTCTCTCTACACACTTGCACAAACCTCCACGCGCTGTGACCTGACCCCGGGGTTTCTTCTCTCCTTCATCCTCCTCCTCCTATTCGCAACAGGTGTTTTTGGGGTTTGTTTAAAATTAGAAGGGCGAAAATAAGATACAGCTCCCATAAGATGTCCAATTTTTCCCATGATGGCTCCGGTCTAAAAGACGATGCAACCGCCATTCACTTTATGTATGTACTTAGCTAAAGCACTTACTCAAACCATCACCTAGGTAGCGCCAGGGGTGACGGGATCGCCTTTTCTCCTCTTGGGTAGCACCTCTACATCCCTACTAAGCAGCTTTCGCAGCTCGGGGGTGATCGTCCTTTGCTGTTGTTCGCCTGGCGGCTTTGCGTTAGCGACCTCCGGCCGGCTTGACGACGCTGAATTCGGTGGCGGTGCATCCCTGAGAACCCTTGGCCCCGGGAAGTTCTGCTTCTTGTCTATAGTGTCGATCAGTCGGTGGAAGCGGCGGAATAAGACTTCCGCGCGCATTAATGTTGACTCAAGGTCCATCGTGTTCGACAGTTCGTTAACTACATTCCACCTCCGTTAGTAACCTGAACTTCCCATCTTGAAGAAATCAGAGCTGGGATTTTCGCAAATGACTTACTATACTTGAGAACCTCATCGAACTGTCGTAGGTGCTTCATGATCACATCTCGGTGCTTCTCCAGGATTGCGAGAGCGACGAACAGGTGGAAGCTACTGGTCAGGTAGTCCGTCCATAGTACCTCCCACAGGTGAAGGACGTCCATCCACTCGAACTCGCGCTTATACCAGACTAGCAGCATGCGGAAGAAGAAGAAGAAATTGGTGCTCTCGGCAGACGCGAGATGGGCGTATAGTTTAGGATCCATGAAGAGGACTAGATGTTCAAGGGTGAGGAGTTGGTTTCGCATGCCAGACTGGTCGCGCAGGAAATTGCGTTCCATGCGGTCCATGTAATGCTTGAAACCCCAGAAGGCGACCGCATCGTCCTGCATAACGGCATAGACGGGTGCGAGAAGGTCCGACATGCCCTGGACGTAGCCAAGGTCCCCGTTGTACTCGTTGTAGGTAAGCAGCATGTCCTTCATCTGCTCCATGTGGACGTTGGTGCCGACCGAAGCAAATGGCGAGTCGGGGTCGGGGTGCGGGATGTCTTCCCCCGCGAATATCGGGACCGTGCGGTCGGTTCGATGAACATCCTTCTCTGAGTTTCCGGTCAGTATAGAGACATTGGTGATATAATATATAGAGGGAGACTTACCGATCCTGGCTTTCTGCTCGCGCCACCACTCGCCATCCTCGCCTTGACCGCCGTTGTCCACCAGCCGTTCCCACCAGGAAGCCTTGAGCTTGACATACTCGTCTCTCAAGGACGCAATCTGCGCTCTACGCTCCTCGCTCGTGCTGTACCAATCATGCACACCGAGCAAGAACAGCCAGGCCTCTTTGCGAACACCGTCTTCCGGGTCGAGGCCGCCATGGAAGATACGCTCCTTGACTTCGTCGATTGTCATCGTAAGGCGCCCGGTTCGGGGGTCGAAGAAGGTGTTCCACTCCTTCAGGGTCACCGTTCTCCTCCTTTCCTGGAGGGATAGGGAGCTCGTCTCTAGCAACTCGAATTCCCCGACATCGGTATCCTCGAGCTCCATAACATCGCGAGCGGTCCATATTCTTCGGCTTCGGTCCCTCTCACTCTGTTCGGCTATCCCCATAGCCCATCGTGCTAGGTAGATCCTAGCACTATCGAATTCCTCCTGCAGCGTCTGCACCTCGGGGTTTATCATCAACCTCCGTACCTGAGGCGGGACCCTGGGATTGTCGATTATGTCCAGGGCCGTCCTACGGGTGAAGGTCGTGACTTTGCTGAATTTCTCGAGGAGGTTCCACCCGGTCTCCTTGACAAACTTCATGACGGGATCCATGCCGGCATCGTTACGGCCGCTAGGGCCCGCCGACGAAGGGCCGGTAGGACGGCGGGTGGTGATGCCTTGAGAGCTGTCCCGCCGCCCGATCTGGGAAGGCGTACTGGAAGTCAATTTACCGCCGAAGGCCTCGCTGTCTTCCTTAGTCGGCTCTACCAGATAAATGTTCGGCTCGGCCCCGCTCCTTTCGATGTGGGTATAGCGTTTCAGCCAGCGGAGAACTTCGTCTCCCCCCCAGAACATTTGCCCATCTTCACCGAAAGGGTCGAAGCTTTCCCTAGCTCGCTTCTTCTTCTGCAGTATAGTCGACTGGCATTCACTATCGTGAAAGAACAAAGCGGGGAAGCTGTCCCCGGCTCTGGTGTTGATGACGAGAGATCCAAACCACCACCCTAAACTCGGAGGGCGAACCAGCAAGGAGTATATGGCGCTGACCGGGATAGCAAAGGCGTAGTGGCCGATAGACCCTTCGTGGGTAGTGACGGTGGGGGGAGGGGGCACGAGGTAGCTCTGTTTCGGTGGAGATTCGGCATCGGTCAGGTCTACCTTGACGTAGATGCTGGCAGCCTCGCCGAGGGCGGAATCGGGCAACCAGGCAAGCAGGAGGTCAGATGATGCCGGAGGGTTCGACGACATGGAGGAGGAGGATGTCGGTCGCTCGCCACGGTGACCCTTTTGCTGTAGCAGCGCGATGTAGCCGCATATATTGTCCTTGGCGGACGGCGTGGGATGGACGTAAACCTTGCTCTTCGAAAACAGCAGCTTCACACCTCGACCGGTTTCGGTGTGAGTGATGGTATCGTACTCGCCCTCCTCATCGTCGCTCATGGCATAAAAGCTGCCTGTCGGCGAGCTGGGCCGGGCCGGCTCGCCGCGCAGGGGCTCGGATGTCATTGTCGGCAGGGGGGAGAGATGGCTGCTTGGCCGGACGGAGACGTCGGATCCGGTTACTTGATGACACGGAGGCTGTACGGTGGGGTGCGGAGCGAATTCGAGGCCGGAGAAATGGAGTGCTCTCGCTAAGCTACAGGGAGGAGACGTAGCGCGCGAATATGCGAGGAGGGCGGCAGTAAGACGAAGGAAGGGCACGGGACGGAGGGCACGGGAGTATGGAGGCGTGATGAAGCTGAAGTTGAGAACAGAGGCTAGACGGTCGATAAGTGAGAGGTACCTAGGCAGTAATAAAAGGGACTACCTGCACTGCACAACGTAATGGCAGTTGGGAGGCGACTTGGAATTTGCAGAGGAGGTGGGCGGGCGAGTAGGTACCTACTTACCTAGGAGGTACCTACCCGATAGAGGCTAAGAGGTAAAAGTAGGCAGGTACCTTGTCAGTACATAGAAGCCAGTGTAAATGGCTACCTGAGCGAATGTCCACTGCGCCGAGGAGGGCGGTAGCGCATACCTGGATAGCAGCGGCAACGGCAACATGAGCCCCGCCACGCGCCAGTCCGCCGATTGCCGTTCTTCCATGGCGGGGTTCCTCAGGTCCTCAGGTAGGTACCTACCTACGTAGGAGAGGTAGCTTAGCGGGAGGGACATCCCTCCAATAACAGCCGACCGATTGATGGTAGGCACCCAGCCGGGGCCAAGCCTAGGGGGAGCTCCGTTAGGGCCGGTACCTGCGAGGGCTGCCGCGTCCGCGCGTCGATACCTCCACTGACACCGCTGATAGGCGCTTGACTCCGGTACCCGAGCCTCCGCTAGGGCGCACGCGCAGGTACCCGACTATCTGCAAACGGGTCTGTCCCAAGCACCCGCTAGAAGCAGGCCGCTAGCGAAAGGAGTGCAACCTACGTAGGCCCTGGCTCGTCAGCTGCGGACTGCGACACCTCTATGACGAATCCATCCAGCCTCGTGACGGATTTGTTGTCGCAATGGCTTCCCATCCGTCGTCCCGTGTGCACAGGTTCTCCTTCTCTGCGCCGTGCCCTTGGGTGTACATTTATGAGAATGCCGTAGTCTGTTTTCGTCCGCCTCGCGCCGTGTCTAGGCGGTTACGTTGGGGGTTATCTAGGGTGCCTGTGTATTGGCAGGTACATAGCGAGGGTGAATGCTGTACTCTAGGTATCTACATCGGGTATAGATGTATATGCGTTATTCGTTTAGACCAGAGGCATATTCCCGTCAACGGGGGGCGTACGCAGCGACGCGCAACGCGGCGTCGAGCAGGCAACAGTTATTAGAATAAGTTAGTCCGCGTCTGTATTATATATATGGTTTCTCGTCAGTATACCGAGGGCACGCCCAATGCAGAAGTCTAGAATTATGAACGCTCCGTGACCCAATGCCTTATCGAGTGGCCCCCGCGCCCTCTCCCCTGCGCCCTGATCTTCCTTCTCCCACGACTTAACGAGCCCAAATATAGCTGGTCTCGAGCGTCCTCGCTCCTCTCTCTCCTCTCACGCCCTCCCCCTCCCGTTAAAAAAAAAAAACCAGTCGCTCACCACCTGGCGCCTCGTAACCCCGGGCTTATGGGTGGGGACCGGGGCCGTAGGAGTCGGGAGAGCGGCGTAGCTAGATGCGGTGAGCAGAACCTCGATACGGTGCCAAGAACACAGTGCCTCAGCTGCAGCCCAGTTCGCTCGCGATATGGCCTCATCGTATTCCTGCTACGTGACTCACGACTGCGAGGTGTGCGAATAGGGAGATGCTGGTCCCCGTTAAATCCTCCTCGACATCCTCGGACGGGGACCCTCGTGTTAGTCCGCTCCCGGTCGCCCATCATCTCATCCGGGGGCCGCTGGGCAGGCCCCCCAGTCGCCTGCCGCCGGGCCTCTCTCCGCCGCCACTAGAACCTGGGTTGGCGTCGTACATCCCCCCGGGCGCGAATCTCTCCTCGTAGTCGCCAGAGCCCCCGCCTCCGTAGTTGTTCTTGCCTCCCCTCGAGCTGCCCTGCGGCTGTGGCGGAGGATTGAAGGGGCTGTTCGCGGTGGGACTCACGGTCCTGTTTCCACCAAAGAGCCGCTGCTTAAGCCTGTCCTGTGCCGAACTGCCAGACGAACCCGTGGGGGCTGGCCCGCTGTCTTTCCCGTAGCCTCCCACGTTCTGGTGGCTGCCAGCTCTCTGGCTGGGCAGCGGCCTCACTTGCACCTCCTCTCGCCCTATCATAGGGTCCGAATTGCGGAACGGGCTGTTTCTGGGGTCGTTATTTCGTATTGAGGCCGGCGCACCCCTACCTCGCCTCAGGCTCTGCGTATCTTGCGGTTGCGACGCCGGGTTGTTGTCCCAAAGCGAGCTTAAGCCGCCCTGAGGTGGTTGGGCCAGGCCTCCGTATCTCGACCCGACCTGCGACGGCTGCGAGTACACGGCGGCGACGGGAGGAGGTGCTTTGGGATCGGGCGGTAGCCATCCGGGGAAGGGCCGGCCTTTCTCGGTATAGTATGATCGGAGGACTCTGCACACGTGGGTGTCGTCTTCGGTGTCGCCGTCCGCCTCGCCGCCCAGGAGGTTGGAGAGCTTAGATGTCGTCGCACCGACAATGCTACTATACCAGTTCGCCATAGCGTCTTGTGGCGCCCCCCGGGGAGATTCGCGAACGGGTTCTCGGCTGGGTGCGTCGGTCGAAGCGCGTCTGTGTAAGGAGAGGTGTGATCAATGGTGCAAGTTGGTAGGACGGTAAGCGCGCGAGCGTTGTGCGATTGGCGAGAGGGGCCAACGTGAATTCTCCACAGCCTGTTTTATAGAGCAAAAGAAGCGAGGGGGCGCCTCGAGAGGTAGGCCAGGTGCGTGTGAGAGAGGGATTGTTTAGGGAGTTGAAAGAATCTGTCGAGAAAGGGTTGGGCACGTAGACTTGTACTTTGTAGCGGGTGCTTTGGGCAGTGTACCTATAGTTGACGGATCAACCAACATCAATGCTCAGCGGGTGGGTAAATAGCATTTATTGTTGCGACAGCACAAGCTGGCCTAAGGTACCTATATCTTGTTACCTATAATACTATGTGGTAATTAAGCCCGTTAAATGTCTCCCCCTCCCCCTTAGTTTCGGTCCCCTCTCGAAACCCTTTTTCTGGCCTGGTTGGCGCCGGGCCATTACATACAAAAACATGTCAATGAATCTACGACAGAATGCAGAATGACTCAGGATGAGGGTAAGCCGGTTTTAAATAAAATCATACGCGGCGCTCGATGCCTTCTATGACCTTCTTGGTTCAGCCTAGATCTGACACGAAGGAAAAGAGGTAAGATCGTATTGGGTGTGTGTCTCGCGGCAGGAATCGATAGCTCCCAGCTACCGAACACAAGGGTATCAAAACTTATACGGCATCCCGAGGCAACTAGACGAGTTGTTTGGCATATTCCCATAAACCTAATCCTCAGGCGCGTGCTAGAAGGCGAGCTCCGCCCTTTGTCGCTCAAACTCGGTCTCGTGCTCGAACTCTCCTCTACGCCGAGCTGCCTTCTTCGGTTTCGCGCGGATAACCCGCGCCCGCTTCCGCTTATCTCCAGCCGCCTTCTTTTCTTGCTCCTCGTCCTCGCCCTCTTCGCTGTCCGATTCGGCCTCCTTTTCCGATTGATCGCTCTCTAGCCAATCCTCGATATCCTCCAGGTCGTCTTCGCTTTCGTCAAAGTCGCTGACGTATTCGACGGCTCCGTCGGCTACGTCCTCCTCCTGCTCCTGTTCCTCTTCTAGCTCCTCCTCCTGCTCGTCTTCTCCGTCCTCGTCTTCTATACCCGTATCCAGATCCTTGTCTCTCGTTCCCTCGCCCTCGCGCTCCATAGCATTGAGCACCTTCTTCCATATAGTCTCGCTGACGTTGAGCGGTTGCTCGCCGTACGTGCCCTCGCGCAACCTCTGCATGAGCTCGCGCTCAATGGTGCGCTCCAACTTGGCCGCTGCTTCTGCCTTGCGCTCTCGGGTCTCTTCTCGTCGCCGGATCTTCGGTGCTAGCTTAGGTACAAGCTTCTCACCCAACCGTTCGTCTTCCTTGGCGAGCCTCCTCATCCGTATTGCGACTTGCGTCAGTCTAGTCACCCGTTGCTTCGCTTTGTGGATCAAGAACTTGGGCCAATAGATTAGATGCTCGTCGATCTGCTTCAGGGCGGTGGCGTAGTTTTGTGACAACTTGATTCGTTGCCATAGCTTGGACGGCATGTGTGCCCGTTCCTGGTGGGTAATTAGCAGAGCAGTGGAAGTGAGGCATCGCAAGCGAACGCACAATGGTCTTCATGTATAGGTACAGCGTGCCCTTGGTGGGGTGCGCTCGAACGGTGGCATAGCGGGAATTGGCCAGGGGACAGGCCTGTCTATTGCAGAGACCAGTTACATTGTATCTAGATCGCAGTCAGTGACGGTCCGTCCGGATGCTGGGACGTCCTGGCCCTACTCGTTTCGGCAGAAATTCCTCTCTTTGGTGGTTCTAGCAAAAGGTCAGTTCTAACTAAAACCAGAGATCGGTAGTGACCTTTGCCGGTACTGGGGCTCGCTTACTTCAGCTTGAAACTGCAGAACTGCTTGTCGATGACCTGCCAGATAATTTCGTCCGACATGCTGGCTTGGATAATGGGTTCGCTCTGGCTCGTAACATCAATAGAGTCTGGCAGAGTATGTGGATGGGCGAACCACGTAAATGCATAGAATTTCTCTAAGCTTTTTTTTTCCTTTGGACCAGCAGGCTCAGAAAAAAGTTCTGCCGTCTACCAGCCGGGCGGTCAAGGGCGGTCAGCCACTCCTTCCGGCCAGTCATATGAGGCCTATTACCCCACTCTCCATGACCTTCTTAGTTGTGCGCCCATGTACCGAAGTATTGTACGTTAGGTAATCTTCACGGCGGGGCTCGATCTATGGTGCCCCTCCTTTTGCGTTCAAATTTTCATCTCATATGGCGGCACTGGGCGCGAGTGAATGATACCTGGCGATTTGAGCATCGAGCAACCTCGAAGTCCGAATCAAGTACCTCATACGATATTCAGTTCTATGATACTGTCGAGCTGCTGAAACTCGTTGCGGGGTCGAGGAAGGGATCTGGCCCATGTTTCGTGCTGGTGGGAGACATATATTCGCATGTCTTCGACCACGGTGCACCGTATGGTTTCAGCCAGATTATACATCCCACTACCCCGTATCTCCGTCGCGACTGTTCACGAGCTCTATTCGTGCGCATTTGACCGGCTATGGCGATCTTCTCCGTCGCCACTCCGCTTTCCAACCCCGTGATGACACAATCTACGCCCTATCGACAGCCGAAGGCAAGGCCGGCATTGCGGTGATCCGAATTTCGGGGCCGTCGTGCAAATCTGTAAGATATCTTTCTCATGAATCCGACAGCTAAAACCTGACAGTTTGGTGAGATCTACCATGGACTCTGTCCCGGTCAACGCCCTCTGAAGCCTCGCTATGCTGGTGTGAGAACGTTGTATCATCCGGAGTCGAGCAGCTCGGAAGTTCTTGATTCGGCTGCGCTAGTTATCTTCTTCCCGTGTCCCCAGACGGTCACCGGCGACGATGTGTTGGAGTTGCACGTGCACGGAGGCGGCGCGACCGTGAAGGCTATTCTATCCGCAATTCCCAAATGCACTAGCGACGGGCTAATCCGCTACGCCGAACCCGGAGAATTTACGAAGCGCGCCTTTCTCAATGGCCGCCTTGACCTAGGTCAGGTTGAAGCCCTCGGCGATATCCTCGCGGCGGAGACGGAACAACAGCGACGTGCCGCAGTCCGCGGCAGCTCCGGGTCGCTGGGTCGAACTTACGATGGCTGGCGCCAGAAGCTCTTGGAGGCGCGGGCGGAGATGGAGGCTCTCATCGACTTTTCGGAAGACCAGCACTTTGACGAGACGCCCAATGCCCTTATTAGCAACGTGACGACGCAGGTCGAGGAGATCCTGCGGAGCATACGCCTTCACGAAGGAGCCAGTGAACGAAACGAGCTTCTGCGAAGCGGCATCAAAATTGCGCTTGTCGGGCCGCCGAATGTCGGCAAAAGTTCGCTGATGAACCAGATAGTCGGCCGAGAGGCCTCGATCGTATCCGGGGAATCTGGAACCACTCGAGATATCGTTGAGGCCAATCTGGACATTCGTGGGTATTTGTGTACGTTTGCTGACACCGCCGGGTTCAGAACTACCGTCGGGGTGGATCCACGTGGTGGGCCAGGTGCTCGAATAGGGGCCGTTGAAGAAGAGGGAATCCGCCGAGCTAGGATCAAAGCCACACAGTCTGATGTCATCATCGTACTCACCTCAATCGAAACGGACAGCTCGGGAAAACCCCAGATTCGCTACGACCTAGAGACCCTGAAGCTGGCTGCCGAGTGTGGCGAGCGCCTCGTGGTTATCAATAAGCGCGATGCAGTATCCGGTGGCGAGCTGCTTGTCCTCACCCGACAGTTTTCCGACCATGTGCTCGGCGCGGTGAAGGGGCTTGAGGCTGTTCAGCCGGTGCTTATCTCGTGTAAAGAAGCGCTGGGTCAAGGTTGCGACGGTCCTGACCCCGGCGGTATTCGGGTCGTCGTAGATCGATTGGTCGCGTCGTTCCAGAGCATGACATCGCTCCCGGTCGCCCTGCAAGACCTCCACGGGGTGACCGAGCGCCAGAGACAGCTCCTCGTGCAATGTCGGGGCCACCTGGAGGACTACGTCGAGAGCGTAGGGGGCCCCGAAGCTGGGATGGAGGGGTGTGCCCCCGAGGAAGCCCCCAGCCACGGCGTTGATATCACGGTGGCGGCCGAGCATCTTCGATACGCCGCGAACTCGCTCGGGCGAATCACAGGGCGCGGCGAGGCGGGCGACGTGGAGGAGATTCTCGGTGTGATCTTTGAGAAGTAAGTACGACAGTGGCACCACCGAGTCGGTTCATCAAATTAATTCGAGACAGGTTCTGCGTAGGAAAGTGAATGAATTGGATGTATTCAGAATGATAAAACATCTATTGCGCCAACCCGATCTTTTTTTCTATGCGTATAGAATCCTTCGTTTCCCAGTCGTCAGGCGTCTATCCCAGTAGTTTATGCTAATCATACAGGTTAGGTGGCTAGCGCTCTCTATCTCTAAAAGTCTATGGTCGTTCGTTTCCCTTCGTAGCGTACAGCCCTAGTAATACAAGTGAAGAAAGGAAGGAAAAAAAAAAACCGTCGGTGGAGTCGTGATGCTCCACCGGATGATGTTCCCAACGCCGATGAGATGCAGGTGAGAAGCCAGTTCGGATCGATACAGTCGTAATACACTGGCCGCGGGGCCAGGGGGGGCGGGGGCCGGCGGTGTCGGGCCCGTGAGAGTTGAGCCGCCGGCCCCGATATCCGGGTGACCTACGGTGGGCCTACCCAGCTATGGCGGTGGTTTGTCGTGGGACACGGGAGAGGCGGAAGAGAGGAGGAGGGGGGGGGGCTTTCAGTTGTAGCCGCTGCGGCCGAAGCTGGCAGATTGGCTGTCCTCGTCGTCATCGCCCTTGTTGTAGCCACTGCGGCCGAAGTTGACGAGCCGGCTGTCCTCGTCGTCGTCGCCGCCCTTGTTGTAGCCGCTGCGGCCGAAGCTCCGCTTGTTGTCCTCGTTGTCGCCGTCCTTGTTGTAGCCGCTCCGGCCCCGGCAGGGCATGCCAGAGACTGCGGAAGAAGTAGAAGCGAAGGCAGCCATTGCGGAGAGGGGGGGTTGTTGGGTGGTTCGAAGATGAGCTTTCGAGACGGGAGGATGGGAGGGTGGAAGTGGGAGGAGGGAGCTTGGTGGGCTGTTATATAGAGCTCGGAGACTAGTTAGGCAGTAGATTGTCGAGGCAAGCGGGTGCTGCGTATATGTGTATAGGCAGTATATATATATATATATAGGCAGGTGATTGTTCTTGTTTCTAGAGGTGCCTAGTAGATTGTAGTAGTAGTAGTGGTGGTGGTGGTGGTGGTAGCTGTTGCTGTTTGTCGATGAAGCCATGCCTCAAAGTTCAGGAGCAGAGACGAGTTTATATAAGTTATCGAAGGATGCACAGCCCGTCCAAGGCAAGATTGGCCATCTCAGGCGAGCGGGATGTATGTAGCTGGGGGGGGACCAAGGGTGCCTCCCCGGTTGGCATCCCATAGTCTCGGGAGTCGATGTCCTTGCCATGGGCTCTCAGCCTCTCTCTCCCACTCGCGGTGGAAGGATTTTGGTAACCAGCGCCGTGTGTGTAAGATGAGGGGGGTGGGTGGTGGTGGGAGTGTATCTAGAAAGGGAGACACAACGGATAGAGCAGGGCCGTAGGGGCGGCCCATGTTGGGAGACGGGACCAGCGCCAGCAATTTGTGACCAAGGTAACGGTACCACTCTATAGTACATCCAAGTAACGAACAAATTTGGGGAACCCATGGGGGGGGGAGGTACTGTCTGGCCGTGAATTTTTTTTTAGGAGAATAAGTGGATATCGGGCTTCTCTCGTTTTGGCAGCACGGCTCGAATAAAAAAAGCGCCTGAGCAGAGAAGTAAGGCCGGGGGAGAAGGGGAGAATTAGCCTGACACCCACTGAGAGGCTTCCAGGCAGCTGGGTAAGACATGCATGGCCGAAGGCATCGACGCCAACCTGCGCGTGCACAGAGATAGACAGCGGCCAGTCGGTGCTACAGACGCATGGAAGCTGCAAGGAATGCGAGTAGAACAAGAGGGGCAGGGATACGAAGCGACCAGGGAAAAAAAAGATCCAAGAAATAAAGAAATAAAATCGCTAAAATCGCTAAATGTGTCGGGAGCCACGGGGTCGGGCTAGTCGGGTCCGGGACTAGACACCGCGGTAGGGCTGAGACGTGCGAGACAAGGTACCTAAGGAATGTGCATATCTATTGAGTGCAGACGTGGTATCTACCAGAGGTGGGAGGTACCTACCTACAGGCGTCGATGGCCAGAGATAGAACGGCACGCCGCAGGGGGGGTGGTTCTGGTTCTACCGAATGACTCTTTCATATGGTAGGCTTACCATGCGAATGGTGCTGCTAACCCCGGCCGTCAGCAGACGCAGGATCTTCAACAGCCAGGGCGTGCGAGATCATTGGGTGCACCGGGGAGCATGAATCATTGTGAGGAGTATACTATGTTAAGAAGCGTCTAGCGCTAACTCAGGTGGGCAGAAGCTTGATGGTGGTGGTGATGATGATGATGATGGGTGCTGCTGCTGATGCTGATGGCGGATGGCTATTTGTCTTTCTCCCTCTGGCCTTTTTTTTTGTTATTATTATTAATTTCCTGTATCTTTGCATCATTGCCAATCAGATCGCCGTCGGCGCAAAACCAAGCCATCTTTCGGCCCCTTCGCTCCTGTGCCTACGTAGAGCACACATGCCTATCCTAGATGCCCCCAGCAACGTCGCATCTCGGCTACCCTCGTGGTACGAGACGGAATTCCGGGAGAGATGGGGACGAAGACGACAGACGGGGGGGGAGCGAAAAAGAAGCAGAGAGAAGGAGAGAGAGAGAGAGAAACAAAAACAAAACAGAAGGAAATGAAACGAAACGAACGCCATGCGCATGCACATACACTGGGTTGCGGTATTACCTACAGCCGACCATCGAAGCGTTACAGCTACGCGATATCACCGTCAGGAACCGCCCGATTTAGTACTCATCGCCCTATTGTGTACCCCTCGATGCCATTCTTGACAGCACCGTCTCTTCTTTTTCTGGACCGGCTGCAACCACACAACGTGCGCTGACGGTAGAAGCCAATTCCAGAGGCTCGGGTAATGCCGATTACTTGCCACTGTTTCTTCCGCATCCTCCCACCCGCACCGTGCGGGCGCTCGCACGCGAACGGGTCTGCTTCTTCTTCTTCTTCTTACCGGTGTGAGGCTCACGATCGTCACCAGGTGGCGTCCCGCGACGTATTCCGGCTCGCTCTCGACCTGCACACGCTGTATAGGTATCCTGCACCTCACTCGCTCAGTATGAATCATGGTGAGCGCCAAGGGTGGCTGCTCCGGGATTTTGCCCGTCGGCGTTTAGTCATTTGCTGTTTGTCATCTGGTGGCCCCACTTCGTTGGTAAGCCCGGTTTCAGAATGCTTCGCAGAACGACGCAGACGACGCAATCCGACCGTCGCCTAACACTCCAGGCTGCCGCGGGGCCGCCGGGGAGGCCAGCTTCTGCTCCGATTGTAAGAATAGAGGGAGGGGGGGGGGCATTGGGCCATTGGGCCATTCGCAAGGATGTTGCGAAGAAGGGTCCGCATGGAGCGACGGCTTAGGAAATGCGTCGGCTGCCTGCTTCTTCCCGTCGGCGAGACATTCCCATCCCATCGTCGCCCACGGTCACGGCCACGCGAAATGCAGGTACGGCTGTTGCGGTGCATCACATCGTGGCCGCGTCGCTATGTAGGGTAGGGTTCGAGAACTGCCATTGGCCGGTGGCATTAGTGTGAGGGAGATGGGCTAAGACACGAATCTCGCCCGTACACAGCGTGCGAAGGGGTGCATGCGAACCGATGAGATCTGGCAGCAAATAACCCGGCGTATTACGGCTGAAAAGCACGCTCTGCGCCGGTCACGTAGCCAATAGGACCGCACAGCGCCCGCCTTGGTAAGGTCTGCCACGAGGCGCCAGGAATACCGACTTATCAGAGCCGTTTTCTCTCCGGAGGCCACCACACGGGGTGCACACCACGGCTGGTCTGCTTGTGCGATAGGCGAGGAATCAAGGAGAGTTGACCACCCACCAAGAGCTTAGCCGGATCTGTTTTTGGCCGGTATCTTTAGGGCTTATTCCTCGCCCGTGCCCGTGCCCGTGCCCGGAGGTCGTGGGTACCCACGTAGGTACCTTAGGCAGGCGGCTAGGGCAGGTTACCCACAGGCAGGTACTTGAGGCAGGTGGGAGGTACCAAATAGTATGTAGGTATTTAGGCCAGTTAATTATTTCGCCGGGCGCCTATTTTTAGAGCCCGCACCGTGCTGACAGGGCGACTGATTGGACCGCCCAGCACCCCTCGTCAACGACCGCCTATTAGGGCTCTGTGACCATCACCACAGGCGGTACCGCCTGCACTTAGGGGGGGAGGCTAGGTACCTAACCCCAGGCACCTCCGGCACTGCCACCGCAATAAGACTCTACAGGCCCCATGGACCCTGTGCTTTTTTTCTTTTCTTTCCTATAAGCTGCTTTGCGGCGTAGTCTCGTGCTGAGGTATAGCAGAGAAACACAAATACGGAGACAGAGACAGCGATAGAGACAGACAAATTTACCCCGGTCGGATTGAGGCGTGCCATTCTAGGGACTGACTGGGTTCTTCTAGTAATATCGCCTAGTTGACTGTATCCCCGCTGACGATGATTCAACAGAAACAGTAGAACTAGTTCGACTTGCATCCGCTTCTTCGTTCATCTCCGGCCGCCAGTTGCGCCTGTCCACATGGGTTGACTGTAGGGGTTTTCATTTGCTTCTTTTTTTTCGGGATGGTCTTCCCACCTATGCGTGCTTCGATGACTAGGTAGGCATGCTCGCCCGCGCAACCCGAAGAAGCAGAGGGTCGCATCGGGCGACCAGGTCAGAAAGTCGTCGGCAGGGCGTGGCGGCGAGCGGGCGGGCACGCTGTCACGGCTCCGATCACGAGATGGCCCCTAACCTAACACCCCATCCAGGGTCCAACGAGGGAGGGGCACGGGCGGTAATACGGGCATAATATGAGAATATCGTAGTTAAGTTTAGTAAATACTGCAATTCTTTTTCCAGCAACATCGGCGATACTTCGGTCAGGGTCCGCACGAACCACCTCCGTGAGCTATCGGCGATAGGGTGAGTAAGGCGATAGGTCTTAAAATTGTTTCTCGTCCGGAGGCGCAATGGATGAGTAACAGAGAGAAGAAACAAAAAAAAAACTCCGTATGATCATGAGTCGAGTTGATCGGCATGCTCCGCCAACGTGTAGGTCCAGAATACGGAACAGAGCAGATCCTAGGAACTCCACATAAAACTCGCCAGGGAACCGACTCGCGGTTGAGGGTTCCCCCCCCCCTCCCCCGTCGTATCCCGTCGTGCCATCATGTCCAAGCTAAGCCATCGGTGTGCGAGGCCGCGACACTTAAGAGAGATTCCGTTATAGACCTGATGGGCACGGACGGCGTTGGCCCCCAAGACGAACGCGGCGGCGAATGGCCGGCCCATCTATCAATCCACTCCTCTGCCCCCCCACCACCACACTTGAAACACGATCGCTCCTAGGTTCCGTTTGAGCCTCGTTCGTCGCCAATGGCCGCCGGCAGAAGGGTGCGACAGGGGAGCTCAGCACCTACCTAGCCCCGGCCGCACGTGGCGCGGTGAGCTCATCGGAGAAAGAGGGAGGGAGAGGGGGAGGAGAGAAAGGGTCTTGGGAACGTCGTTCAGCTTTGCTTCTCCTTCCTCTCACCTGGCCTGCGAGGCAGGACAGCACCCACTCCTCCCCGTTCCCATTCCGGCATCATTTTTTTACTAATACACCCGCGTTGTTTTGGAGGGGTGGACGACGCGTGCGCGGTGCGTGTCATTCCCCCGCGAGGCCCCTTGGGTCAGACCATGTATGCACACGTTCCACCACGTCCTGCCGGTTTCCGTTGCCCCTCGATCACCGTCCCATCCAAAAATTTTCAGGATTGTTTTTTTTTTGTTAAATTCTTTTATTTTTTAGTATGAGCCGTTCCGGACCCCCACGGTGACGAGGCTCCGGGATTAACAGGTCGACGTTCTGTCGTCCTTTTTTTTATTTTTTAAAGAGATACCCACCTAAAGAAATAAATCATGCACTACGATAACTACTGTGACCAGCCCCCTCGTACGGCAAGGGCTAAATTCGTAAGGCAACAAGGCGAAAGGTTGTCATATGTCCTTAATTAGCAAAATCCCCATGCACCGTTCGTCGGTAAGCTGGATAGCTGTTGATGGCTGCAAACGAGACGGCAGCCTGCCGGAGATGTGGCTGTGGAGCGCGACAGTCCAGTCGGCCCCCTCGATCGAGGGGCAGGTATCCGCTTAGATCCTGGATATCCTCAACGTCCTGCCGGTATGCTCCGGAGCGTGCGTGCACTTGTGCTGA